CATTTTGATGGAGATAATGAAGTTTGAAGATGGGAGGATTGATGGTGGAATTCGTGCAAGGAGTGGTGCCGTGCACGTTGTGGGGAAAACCCATAATACTAAATGGCCAGGGGGGTACACGTTGCATTGCTAGAATTTCATTATTGCTAAAGCTGGAGAAAGGACAAGGAATATACAGGCTGTCGAGATGGGAGCAGTACGCCGCTGCCTAGAGGAGGGGACGAAGTTGCCTACACTTCGGTTTTCTGCCTTTTAAACCACCTGCTCGCTTTCAACTACGTTTTCATTCATCTTTCGCAAAAAATTTGGTGGCTAACACTTGGCCTAAGTACCTATGAACAGAGCGGTGGCCTGACCAGAAATGCGATCGGTGCCAGCAGAAAGGATTTCCTTGCTCAGAGCATGAAATAAGCAGGCAATCCCCAAAGTTACAGTTCCTCACCGGGCGATCAACAGGATCGAGGGAAGCGGATCTCACCTTTAAGAACTGTTTCGAGGCACCGACACCATTGTCCTAATCCCCGATCTTATCTAGTGCCACGACATCATCGGCCAGTACGGATGCATCGTGACATGGAGGAAATCAACCAGGCACCGCCGAGGAAAGTAATTGGCGTTGCTGTAAGTTTCCTTTCGTGCAGCCGCTCTGTCTATAGCCCAAGTACGAGAACCGCTACATCTATATCAATAAGGAAAGATACGACTGAGTTAACCAATGACGATTAAAGTGCACACGATGCAGAAAACGAAAAATTAAATGCAGTGGCGATCCTGGTAATAGTACTGGGTGTCATAATTGCAGGCGAGCTGGCGTGGAACCTCGTGTTTGCCAGTTTATCAGAGTTAGTGCCTTCCCCTACCTATTGCTGCTTTATAGGGAACTTACACCCCTAGGTTGGGCCAGTAAGTTTTCTACCACTGGTTAATGCGCAGCACTACGCAAGTCCAGTAAATGGATACTCGACTAACCCGACATCTGCGGATGGTTCTGAGACTGCGGTGTCTTCCAGATCACTACCAGTTTCCTCCTATAACGTCCCGAGAACTGGATCAACCTACCATCCTTGGATAGCGGCAACATACCCCAATAACTCAGGCTTGGAGACTTACACTTTGATGCCGCACTACTCATCTCACGGGTCGACCAACGAAGGGGTCCAGTGGACTGGCGGCCATTACCTGATCTCGTCTACTCGCCAACTGCCGATCCCTACTGGCCTTCCCCAAAATGCGTCTGCTGTAAGCGTCGCACCCATACGCAGCAACATTGTGGGAGTGCACTCTGTTAGAGAAACAATGGACGGTGCGGCTCATTACACGCAACAAGCAATGTGCTGGCAGTCACAAAATGGATCTGATGCTGGTCTTCACGGGACGAATACTGGGACATCCATGCCTAGCTCTGAGTATCGAAATGAGTCCATCAACAATGTCTACACGACCGCAGCCAGCGCGCCAAGCGTTGAAAGTCTCACGTCTTCTGGCCTCACTGCGGAAAGACAAGATTTCAGAAAGCCCTCCTTACCGGACGAACTCGACAGTCACAAATCTCATAATACAATTGGTCCGCTGGGTTACATCACTAGCTCCTTTGCCAACTAGTCTATCTCTACCGATGCTGGTACAACCCGTAGTAAGACCCGGATATGTGGTTTCTCGGCAGTCTGTCAGCAGTGCGTACATTCCCAGAGACACTCCTATAACGCTTCCAAGTACAACGAATACCCTCCCACGGCCAATCTGTTCCACACCCACTGTGACCGAATCATCATCGGTCATCCTTCGTTGAGCTGACTCATCTTGAATATTTACTCGTTTCCAGCCGAGGTTGCCAAACGGCCCTCTGTTATGATCTCACCAATGGGCATGGGGGGCGCCTGCGCATTGGACTAAGTCCCTTGTCGCACCAGAGTGGTGAATTAGTGACGTGACTTAGATCACTGTAGTCACCAAGTTCACGATGGTCACCTTTCTGGTGATCACGATGATCGAAGTGAACACAGTGAACACAGTGAACACAGTGAACACAGTGAACACAGTGAACACAGTGAACACAGTGAACGCAGGGATGGAACTCATGTATATAATCAGGCAAGGTCTTCGTTCTTTAGACCTTGCGTTCAACTCATTATAGCTTTCTTAGCCATACGTTGTGAATTGATATCTTCGTTACAACCCTCTGCGCTTGCACCTTGAGCCTTGACACTCCTCTCCAAGAGATTTAAACCCTGACTGACACGGTCTGGATGCGCAAGGTCTGCGATTACCAAGTTCCATTAATCTAAACTGAAGAGAGAGAGAGAGAGAGAAGAAATCTCCCGGCACCTTTGTGCGCGAGATAGCGACTCTCCTCTCCAATGCCCTAATGCTGTGTTACCATGTTTGTTTGCTTCTCTGATATAATCCACCAGCCACGTCTTCAGCCACAACCAAGGGAACAGGCCGCAGGCCTGGGACCATAACACTGACTGAATATTTCTACATGGTACATTCTAGTTGCCACCTAATGCTGTAACAAAAGCACCACTGGACAAGTTAAGATGACTGTAGAATAGATTGAGTGGTGAGACGGTTGGATCGCCAAGATCGCGAGAACCACTTTCATTTTTGCGAAGCTAAAGAAGGAGAACTGTCAACTATCTACCATGCGTGCATGATGTTCATGATGTTGACAGTTCATCTAGTCATGTAACTATCACTTCAGGGGGCAGGCCACAGGCCTGGAACTATATATAACAAGTAGCAGTGATTTGATCAGTGTCTGCATGGTCTGGCTGTGTTGCTGTGGCGTTGCGCCGTTGCCAAGGCAAACTGGGGTATGTATTTGACTGTTGCCAAGGAAAGGAGGGTCGACTGGACTCTTAAATACTAAGACATCGAAGCAAGTGATAAAATGCGCGGTTGGTCGTCAAGGCGGACCAAAGTGGTGCCAAGAGCCCAAGACAAGAAGGGTCGACCCAAGTCTTACTAAGATATACAATCACATGATACCAACCGTACTCATTATAGTCAGTGCCTTGTAGCCTTAGGTTGACCCAACGCATCCGGGATATCCGGTGTCCCAGATCATTCCGACATTCCCTTGAAGACTGGGAGCTTGGGCCATGACGACATAGCAACACTGAGAGTCTGAGACTTCGGTCTGTTGTCATCACCACAATTAACGGGTCATCCGGCTTTAAATAACACCAACTCCTGAAATTGGCCAGTCTGTTATCCGAATTGATTCATCCAACTTCAGTTTACAATCCCTTACATTCCAATTCTATTCGAATTCCCTTCCACAATGTCTTCTAAGCTTCTCCGATCCACCCCGCTCCGAGCCGCGGTTCGCTCGACTCAGTCTCAATCTTCTAGAGCCGGTCTCGCCGGGACGACTTTTGTTCGGACCAAAGCGACCCTGCCAGATCTATCATGTCGGTAACCTCCTTACATCTGAACACCTATATATTGTAGTATAGTTGACAATTGGCTGACAATGTTCGACACCAGACGACTATGGCGCGCTCGAACCGGCAATCTCAGGCAAGATCATGGAGTTGCACCACAGCAAGCATCATCAGACATACGTAAACTCCCTGAACGATGCATCTGAGAAGATGGAAGCCGCCAAGTCTAGCAACGATGTTGCTAGTCAGATCGCCTTGCAGCCATTGATCAACTTCCACGGTGGTACGTGACACCCCTTATCGCGCGGCACCCAGCGCCGAATGACATCAGATCACCCGAATCGTTGAAGGAGATACAATCGACTGACGTGGCTATCATCCAGGTGGACATCTGAACCACACCCTCTTCTGGGAGAACCTCACTCCCAAGAACCAGGGTGGCGGCGAGCCCCCGACCGGTGCCTTGTCCACGGCTATCAACGACAGCTATGGCAGCTTGGATGCTCTGAAGGAGAAGTTCAACACTGCGTTAGCAGGCATCCAGGGAAGCGGCTGGGCATGGTTGGTTCAAGACACCCAGACCGGAAGCGTTTCGATCAAAACATACGCGGTACGTTGCCATTATCCCATGTCTGCAGGTTGTAAAGTCACTAACAGTGGAGGGATAGAACCAAGACCCTGTCGTTGGACAGTTCCGTCCCATTCTTGGGATTGACGCTTGGGAACATGCATACTAGTAAGCAACTGATCGACACTGGGTATGGCAACTAACGCTAACTTGTCACAGCCTCCAATACCAGAACCGAAAGGCGGAATATTTCAAGGCAGTATGGGATGTCGTCAACTGGAAGGCGGCTGAGAAGCGCTTCAAGTGAAGATGATCTTCGTTGCAGACGACTGGGAACGTGGTCGGTGATGTGTTGGCTCTAGAAGCCGTAGGGCCAACCTACAATTGTATTAGTAAGTAGATTATGGCACTCAAATCGACTCTGAGCGGTTTCTCGCGCGTAAATTCGTCGCAAAAGTTTCGCTTTTGCCGTGCTCATTGCCTAATCCTTGATATCCATTGTATTCGAACATTGCAGTTTTGGTCGCCACCGTCCGCCATTCAACGCAATCCACCCATTTTCATCCAGTTTAGATTTGTCTCAATCTCATCTTTCAGCCCATGCATATGCTTCGACCATACAATTGGCGCCTCTGCTATGATCTCGATAATGGGATCCCAGTTGAACCGCTTCTTTGGGTCATAAGGCGGCCTCCGGAGGCAAATCCCCCTCAGCCAATGAATGACGTGGCACCTGCAGCCAGCGCATCAACCACGCTGCCCTTTGACCATCATTCAAGATGGATGGTCTGATGAATTATATTTCCCATGGGAAATTCTCCGTCTGTGCTTGATTCCCCAAGTTTTCTCAGTTCTCCAATCTCCATACAGGTGGAACATGACCAAGAATGTGCTGTGCTGTCCCTGTCCCGCAATAAGACCCTTGACCCTGCAAGGCGGAGGGATTTCCGGTGCGTGTCTTTTTGCGCGGTGATGCGTTGTCATTCCCATTTCCCAGTCGCATGTCGTCAGGATTAATTTAAGGTAACAATCTAAGGTTCTCAGCGGCTCAAGAGACCCTTAACCTTTCTAATTGGTTGGAGATGAATTCACATGAGAGAGCTTCCATGTGTGGAGCCGCCATCGACGTCCAGAGGACTGAACCCACTGGTACCCGTTGATACCTCGTTTTGCTTTCTCAGATGTCCATTGAAGGTGATACTCGAGTCTTCTGGTGTATAATTGCTGTCTTCTTTTCTTCGACTAATTGACTTGTCACTTTGTGTTACGGATATACATTGAGCGACCATCAAATGACCATATTTGTACCACAGTCAGCTTTCAGTTTCGGTGAACTTAATCTGTGGACATCTTCTCCATCCAAGAACTATTCCATCGAGTCAAAAAACTCCATTTGCGTCATGATCCCCTGTTTTTCCGTAACCTTCCCTTGCCGCCTTTCAAACGTGGCAGGTTATGGTTGAGAACTTCTCCGGGCCGGGTTCACTCCCGAGTCTTTCGGACACCACCGATAGGACCGGTCTACGGGTTCTTCCGGTTACACTGTCCAGACGCGTCAACTGATATCATTTTACATGGAAAGGTATGTTTCGTATTCCGCGACGTGTCCCTTTGCCTATGGAACCAGTCACAGGATGATTGGTGAGCCATGCTCAGGCTCAAGAAGAGACCGTCGTAGCAGATATGTCTATATGCTTCATAGAAGGAGTAGGGAACCCTACTTTCCCGTCGTCTCATCCTGTATAAAGCCGAGCAACACATAAGCAATCCAGAATACTTGCTCGCTGACTTCGCCCCGAATCTTGAAACCTCCTCTTTCTTCTCGAAATCTATCCCGAGATCCTTTCTACAGGCAATCCATGATCGTCCAGCTCAGACCTTAAATCCATAAACATCCCTACGTACCACAAGCCTGTCAGTCACCTGGAAAGGGAAGGTCGTTGTAGCGTCAGCTGTTCTCAGCGCCCTGTTTTCTCCCGGCGTGGCGCTTTGCTCCTCATCCTACTCTACATCATTATAACTTCAAAAAATATCAAATATCGGTCGACGCCAGTAAATATCCCGTTAAAATAAGAGTTGATACGCTGCTAACATCTAATGGTAGAAAACGACATATCATGTGCACGGGCGATAGCACTGGTTCCGGGTGCGAAATCCCGGCAAATGAGACCCCCTCCTCGGAATGCAGTGAGCATAGTCAACATACCAGCAGCGATTCCGAAGGCGAAAGCCCAGTAGATGGGGACCAGGACGCGGGAATCGAAGAGGAGACCCAAGAATATGGGGCACCACTCTCCCGTTACCTTGGTGAGGCTCCGGAAGATGAGCATTGGAACGATCGAGCGAGAATCGAGTCTCCGGATCATGAAGATAGTGCCAATGAGGAAACCGGAGAGAGTATCGAATTGCGGAGTGGTGAGGAGTAGATGCTTTCGCGGAAGAAGGGCCTCCATTGATGATCCATAGACTGGTTATGTCCCTAAGACCGGAATCTTCGGGACCAGCTGAACCAATTTCATTCATAATTTTGCAATCAATTCTGGGCATATTCTGGGTCAAAATATTTAATATTCTTTTATGTCACTTACTACTAGAATTAAGTGATAGATACTATGGCATTCCTTATCTCTTCAAGCTTCAAACATATAGCATAACCTTGTGAGCGAATATTAGTCACTATAGTAGAATAAGGAATGCCAAAGAAAAAGGCACCGTGGACTCGACGATCGCTACTCTAAATGAAAGAATATTCATTCAGTCGGATGTCTTCATTTGTCCTCATACCCTGCCGTTCAAGTGGGCTGGATTGGAGTCTGCCGACCTGAATGGCTCATTGCTCTGAATTAATCCTCCATAGACGCCTCGTTACTTGAAAAAGGAACGTGAGGTACATTACGCCCTTTTCCGGTTGCGTTCTGTTCTTCCACTACTGGTACACCAGTTTTCATATGCCTGAAAAGTGCATCATAATGCTGTGAGACGAGGTTCGTATGTACTCCTTCTTCCATCCCGGACAGCAAACTCTGACAGGCCAAACACCATTCCTCTCCTAGGGGATAAGATCTTGATCGACCATTTGTTGATGCGTACAGCTTGTACAGAGCGTCGTTAGCAAGTTTCTTGTCTTTGACTTCGTCTTCATCGTCGTCTCGCCTATACCCCCTTCCGTATCCATAATCATGTCGGCTAAAGTGGAACGCAGCTCTCCCCTCGGCGGTCGCTGTCTCCTCAACACTTGCTTCATGTGTTCCGAAATCTTGGCTTCGTAATCGAACACAAATGAGCGTCCTAGGAATGAATAGTTCCTACACACCGTATTGATGGGATATCTTCTAATACCACACTGGTTGGATCCTGCTTGAATGGCTACTCTACCCAGATACCACACCCCAAGGATGTGCTAGGGATCAGACAATACGCGACTGGCGTTTGTGCAACAACATCGGCCGATCTCATCCTCATGATCCCATTCCTGTGTACTATGTACCGTAATTGTGGCTCAAATTGGGGTGGCCGTGATAGTCTTTATGACCTCGCCCATGACGGTAACGGAAATGGTTGACGTTCAATGTCGCTGTATCCCTCCTCAGTACAGTACGTGCAACTAATATTTTCCTACTCGCATTTGTTGATCAAATTAATAGATACATTTGTGTGGACTGCCTCAACATTCACACGTCAGGTGTATGTACTGTTAGCCCCACTCTCGCGTTGCAACATGAGTGCTCTCTCTTCCCGTCGATCCTGAAGTTCCATCAGGAATTTAATGTCTCCCCGCTCGTTGGGATAGTTGAGCATAAGACTACGACCTTGAGCTTTGTTGTCCGTGATTTTAACGTGAGACTCCTTCCATTCATCCGGTCCAACCCGTGCATTGAGCATAATAGCTCCGCCGTCAGAGATATTCCTAGTAATGATGCGCTCCCAAACAGTACCGGACTGATCGGCCAGGGAGTTTGCAGGAGCTTCTGACCCATCAGTAGATTGACTGTCTTCGCTTCCATCTAATAGGATGCCACTGTCGTCGCTATGCGTTGAGCCGCCGGATCCTCGTATCTCAATCAGACTTTGATATCATAATGCGGGAGGAGGACACTCACTTTTGGAGCGTGTTTGGCGTTGCCTGGGAACTCTCTGTCCTCCCGTGTTGCCAGTGTCGCTCACATGCATCACCTTATTGGTCGCACCAAGTCTCTTTTCAACTCTCCTCGTCTCTTCAATATTGATATGAGCAACACTGATAGCCGCGATGAGATCGATCTTCATCCGGTCTAGTTCACTCATGATCTCTTCCAACTTCTTTCGGTCTTTGGTACCATGTATTAACTGATCGACGAATCGGCGAATGGCCTTCTTATCACCTCGGTCCACCTTTTGTAGCCATTTCACCAGGCGCTCTTCAGGACCTTTCAGCCTGAGTAGAGTTGCGGTCACGCTTGCTGTCTGCAGAGCTTCTACCTTCTGGACATCCTCAATCCGCTCCTTGATGGCGAGAAGCTCTAGTTGATTTCTCTGCAAGAATTCTGCCTGGTCCTGTTGGCGGTCATAGGCTTGCTTGAAGCTCTTGAAGACTTCGATCGCTGCTTCAAGCAATTGGGTAGTGGCGGCCACGATTCCGAATGCTTCGGCCTAAAACATAGTCAAAGTCTGTCCGACTGCCCTCAATCAATGGACTTACCATGATTTCTCGGGCTATCTGTCGAATCTTCCAAACTTGGTGGCGCGCAATAATTAAGGATGGAGACGTGTAGCAGCAACAGCAGTCGGACCGCAGCCAACACTTATTGTCAACGCTTCTCCTCCAACGCCCCATCTCCGAGCCCACTGGTTTCATTCTGAACCTCCATATTGTATCAAGCTGACCAATCGCGTGCAACGATGACGAGACGCGCCGTATGCAGAATGGGATTCGAGAGTGGGCTTCCTGAGAATTTGCTGGCAGATGGCCATTGGATCGTCTACAATCTGGTCGCATTTCAACCCAGTCCTATTTGCAACCCGAACCAATGACATCGGTGACCCGGCTCTGAGTTCAAGGAACTGAACAACAAATAGATGCCGGGCATAATGAATCGCCGGAAATGGTAGTATGAGGAGTTCCAAAGGTAAGGTATTTTTCCACACCAATTCCAGATGGCCTCATCATGAGGCCAGTCATGAGACCCTCATGACTGGTTTCTCCGCTCCGGCATCGTTCACATCTCTGAAAAGGACAATATCAGAACCTCTCGATCGACGCGATTTCGCAGTGCGCGCCGCAATGGACTCACTGGATTCTCTGGATAATGATTTAAAGAAGATGGCAGGGCGCATGAAGTCGGAGACCAACAGAAATACAGCGAGCAGTGGCGCACTCCAGATCAATGCCCCGGTAGTTCGCAACCACCGTGAGGTTGGGTTCGAGACGAAGATTGAGACGACGACCAAGTAGGTAGTTATTCATTTTCCCCTAGTTAGTCAATATCCTTGTAGAAGAGCCATGATAAGCACACTAACCCACGTGTAGCTATGTTACTATTCACGACCTTCATGTGCATTATTCTGCAAGTATACGTACCGAGTCTTCATTGAGGAGTGGGGCTACTGTACCTGCGGTAACCTCGGGCACCAGCTCTACCAACACGCGTGCATTTCCTATCGCGGTAAGCCTATTGCCCCCAGCTGGTTTTATTCTCTTGTTCTGCATTCTTCTAACACAACCACAGCCAGAACCCGTCCGCCCATCCACTCCCCTTGAGCCGTATATAAAGATATTTTCTCGCACTGAAGGCGAGTGGAGCAAAGCATGCGCCAAGCTCAGTCCCGATCTTGACGGTAACTGGATGTCTAAAAGAATCGTGGGGCGCTTCGACCTCAAGCTTTGTCCAGACGAGACTACAAAGGAAGTAGAATATCAGGGACGCCTTTTGGTTTCGTGTGGTGTGGTTGAACTGTCCTGCTCTCCGGAATCCTGCCGCCATCGCTTCCATGTTTTTCGACATGCTCCATTCGATATCTTGCTTGGAAAAGAATTCGCATAGCACAATGAGGAGGATAATGATTGACAACAGGGTGGCAGTATCCAAAAGGGGAGTTGGAGGCAAGAGCTTAGGTCAAACGAGTTCTAAGGTCCCGGCTCCGTGTATGTTCCACGGTACTGAGAAGTCGGTATTGTTAGCTGGTCGGATTAATAACTACCGGTAAGAGGTATTAATCGGGGCTTCTCTGGCGTGCTAACTGGTACTGTAAGTGAACGCGTGTGGAGTTTGGTTTTGGCCTTTCGGAGGGGCATCAGGCACGTTTCTCATGGGTTTCTTCAGGGTGTGGTACTGCTCCTAGCCGTCGATAATACCGCCACGCAGTGACCACACTACTCCGTAAACTGTGTGCTACCGAATTTCCGTTTATAATTTAGCGCCATCTATCGGGTATAGCGCTGTTTTCCCCGTTTTCAACCCTGACGTCCTCCAAAACATCAATACTACTAATTATCCGTCCCTCTCTTCATTCCCTATTCCTTCGTCTGCTGAAAACATGTCCCCTAGCCTAGGATTGCACGGTGACTCTTGTACAGGGGTCATCTACCAATGAAATCTGTCTTCTTTCTATCATACCTAATCGTAAGTCACATGCACTCCTCGAACAAATAGATTGAGGATTCTGTCCATCGTTTTCGGGCGTGTGCAGAGAGCTTTCATACCAAATAGGAGACCATCTTTAACTCTATTTTATCCAAAACCACCGAGTGCTCCGTCAATTAAATACAACCATTCGATTCCTCTGCGTTTTCTCCATAATTGATTGAATTTTGGGCCATGTCGGCCCAAAACAAGCGTCGCCAAAGCGCGCGGTTGAACTCGCCCACCTTGCCAGTTGCCACCCGCTCCAAGAACGATGGCTGGATGACGATTTCAGCGCGGTCTAGTTCACCACATATTAGCGTTTTCTACCAGACACAGGCATGGACATGTAAGAAAAAATTGATTACGAGATAGAACATACTTTAATACACTATTGATAGAATTTTGGAGTACACACGACGTGTTTTGATGTAGTTATTAATAGATCGTGATTTTGCCAAACCCGCAGAGATACAAAACACATACAAAATTTCCGTAGAGCAGTCAGTGTGCATGATGGACAGAATCCTCAGGCCTCCTCCTATCAGAGGAGTAGTATAAGTAACGTGACTGTCCAAAAAAGGCTATTCCTCTGAGAGCTAGATGGCCTGACCGCCTGAGCTTGCTGAGGTAATAAACATGCAAAAGTCTGCAAAACATCGCCCATGGCTTATAAATAGTTCTTCCTCTTCAGCTTTATAATAAATGAAAGTGGTTCTCGCAGATCTTGCAGTCAGACCGTCTTAATATCTACAGCTTCATACCAGGACGCAGGTAGGATTGGGCAGAATTAAGGACTGCGTAAGCTTCCTGAACAATCTCTCGGACGATGTCGCCGGCTGGCTGTTCACGCTTTGTTACAAAACCTGCAACGATACCCATTGGCCTATTAGACGAGCATTAGCTTAATTTCTAGAGATCCAGTGCGGGCAGATAGGAAGGGGAACCTTTTCAAAGGCGGGATAGAGAGGTAGTTGAGGCGAAACCGATGGAAGCAAAACTTACCTTAACACAGCGTCGTCCTCAATTTCCTCTGTCAATTTCCCCTCCTCATGCAGTCTATCCAGCTCGTGATGCAGAGGCACAATCCCTCTGCTAGTCAGGTCCTTGATCTCGTATGCGCGATTATTTTCCCAATCGTCTACATATGCATTCCTGCTCGCTCGCAAGGGGCGTCCAGACCATATCAGACTCTTGACAGCAGAGTCAAAGCCGGCTTTGATAACCTCCTCCTTGGCACGCTTTGTCGCATTACTTTCTTTAGCTGCGACGAAGCGTGTCCCAACCCAGACGCCGGTGGCCCCGAACATCAACGCGGCGGCAAGACTGCCGCCGCCACTTACACCACCAGCGCCTACTAGGAGGACGCGCCGTTTGAGAAGTGGTGACTTGTACTGTGAGCAGATCTGAGCACAGGCGGGTAGGAGGATACTGAATGGTATGTCACCGGTGTGACCACCAGCTTCTCCTCCCTGAGCAATGATGATGTCGGCACCAAGTTGACAAGCTTTGGCCACGTGCTATCGAACAAACATCAGCCTTAGCGAAACACCAATCTTTGACAATCTACCAATGTTATCGCTTACCTTGGGGTGTCCAACCATGTTCGCATATAGCACGTTTGCCTGATGCAACCTCTCCACTGCCCACTTAGGAGGTACACCCACGGCCGAAACAAAAACCTTCGCCCCGCTCTCAATAACAACGTTTATCAATTCTTCAAGCTTCCCACGCGTGTAATCTTCGTTTGTCTTTCTTGCCGAGCCACCGACCTGTGGCAGCAGAAGGTCGACACCAAAAGGCGTATTCGGCTCCTTAAACTTGGCTTTCGTCTCTGCAATCATTTCGCGGAGCATATCCGGCGTGTAGGCGACACCGCCTAGGGTCCCGAAACCACCGGCATTCGCTACGGCCGCGACCTATGCGAGGGTATGATTAGAGCCATAATGTTCTAAATCACCTCAAAGCATTCCGATTCTGAGGAAAGCATTTGAGGGTCTTAAATGGAGACCACACAGCGACGGCACGGTTGAGGTCGTTGCATATAGAAACGATCTAAACTTACTGCAGAGAATTAGCACATGCTCAAGAACGGTTTTGCCAATCCTACCCATTTCGCTCCCTGACGTTGTGTCCATGCCCGCCAGCATTACTGGGTGGCGGACGCCAAGAGCCTCCGTCAGCGGAGTTGCGAGAGACATAGTTTGCAAGATTTCCGTGCTAAATTATAGATCGACAAGCTTGGGTATATGGTAAATGCTTGAACTATTGACCGATGGGTGATTTCCTCTTGCGTGTAACGAGAATGAGATATTCAAGCCAACATCGCGGTGGAGATGTTCCAAGGAGACGCACCTTTGCGACGTTAAAAAGGAAGGTATCTACGAGTTTGAGGAGTGCTTACGGCTACTGTGAGACCCGAGGTATTCCGCAAGTGGAGGAGAGTTGTCCGCAACTCCAGGATCCTATTCAGGGTAAAGCTCGAAAATACAAAATGGGTATTGATCCTGCCACACGCACCCAAAGCGGGTTAATAGGACGAAATCGTGATATCGCACATGACACCTTTTCGGCTGCAATGAATACATACTGGATCTCCGCTCAATCGCGACATGAAGCAACAGGATTGGAGAGGTTTTGCAACCTCGAAAACCATTTTACAACTCGATTTACAACTCCACAGAAAAAGCGGTTAATATCTCTATATAAGGTTAGCGTATAAACTATAATATTAAGCCTGAGGCAACGAGGCAACAAAAAGTTGTACAAGTTGTAAAAAATAATTTTAAGGCATCAACATTGTAGCCTAAGGCATCAAAAACTTTGGTTCCGGCCAATCAAACTTCACAAAAGTTCGTTAGCGCATTTACAACCAGTTGTAACTCAATTACAACTGTTGTAAATGAGTTACAACTGTGGATCATCAAAATTTACACCGTAAACCCGATTAGGATCTAGGGCCAACAGAAAGGTGGGTTGAAGTGGAGTTGTAAAATGGTTTTCGAGGTTGCAAAACCTCTCCATTGTCGGTGAGCTCTTCGACACCAGTTATACATCAAAGTTTATAACTTCTTGTAGTTTGCTTGCGCTAGATTTGTCGATGCAACAGCTGTTAATCCAGGTCTACACCGTCTCGAGCCGCCAAGGGCACAAATTTCGTTGCCCTTGAAGCCACAGTTTTCTGTGTCGCCTGGTTGTTCGAACCGCTGACGGGGTGCTTGACGAGGTCTTAAAAGTCAGGTCGCCTTCTCCCCATGCTTACTCTAACTGTCCTTGTCGTTGCTGAAGTTGATGTTTGAGATAGTAGTCTAGAGTAGGGGTCCGGCGTGTTAAGCGCGAATAGGATCTTAGTATTAGAGTATAGTAGAGAGTTTTAGGTACTACCGGTAACAAAACGAGGGCGTTTCGTCTAGGCGGAAAGACCGCAGAAAACAGCGTCAGAAACCCCCGCTTCTAGAGGCACTTTCGGTAGCAACCAACGTTACTCCGTACTGTCACGCAGTACATTGAATCATTGACCCATTGTTCTCCACGGTTGAACTACTATTCCTTGCCTCATTGGTAGCTTTCATTTAACTTTTCGGGCGATCTTGATAGCCAGTATGTGCCCTGTCCTGTCCTAATTCTTGAACTCTTGAAGAACGGTTCAACTTTCAAGTCAAGAACCCATGGTGCATCAGGATGCTCGTGGCCTCCCCACGATCATCGCACAACGGGTAACCTAAGCAAGCTAAGGGAGATCATAATTCATGCAGCCCTGACTTTCGTGAGCCAATAGCTAGCTGAGAGCGGAGTATCTGATGGTGGCAAGGTCCCTTGCCATTTCCTGCCATAAGGCTGCGAACAGTGACCAGTGACCACTTAAGTCGACTATTTGTAACTTGAGTAGTGAGGACGCACTCTCTTCACCGGTGGAACCTGTTCCCATCGCAAATGCGTCTCGTTAGCGCTGACGCGCCTTGCGCTTCCACACAATTACAGCTTCAGGAGATCTGGACATGGAAAGCTATTTAATACGCAAAATCACAATCTTCCTCCGAATGGCCACTGAGAGTCCGTCATCATCCGATTCGGCGCTCCCAGGCCGAGCCTAGCTTGCCTGTCGTGCACTGCACTCGACCACTTGTGCTATGGTAACACGGCTAGCCGCTCCCCTCTCAGCCAACCTATACGGAGTACCGATGAGTTTCCATCCGCCCCAACCACGTTCTAATACGGAAGACTTTAGGGCAGCAAGAGCGCTTACCAAATATTTTCCGGAAACTGTTATCCAAAAGCTTGCAAAGGATTGCGACGCCATCAACTTGCTCCGCGAATGCTGCTACGCTAAAAACGTAGACTTCCACCATGTTATCAGCTCAACGGACTCAGACCCCAATGGACGTCCGCATTCTCCACGATCGCGCAGCGGGACTAATGAATCATACGATTCCCAGCCATCGCAGCCTCATCAACAAAGCATACGGCCCAACTCCACTACTACTCCGTCGACAAAGGGGTCATCACCGTCAAGGTTGCCCAATCCCTCAGTTTCATCAAGCTCCCGTCTATCGGACGCCTTAGCCTACGTCAGGATAACTGTGCTGAGTGCTACTACGCAGCGCGAAGATGTCCCACTGAATGGGAAATACTGTTCGCCATCTTTTTTCCTTGTCAGATCGGATGTCGTGCACGATCGTCTAGGAAAGGCACCCAAGTGCCTGCCGGACCCTATCCAGTGTAGCTACCATGGCAAGCAATTTTCGAGCAGCGAAACGGTCTTGATTACGTGGATGGAAAAGGGAGAAGAACAGACACATCAGAATACGTTCTTAGTCGTTCCCACTGATTCTCTAGGCGTGGACATTGTGATAGGCGATAAACACCCCCGTAAGCATCTGTTACGCAACGACGCTTGCTTGTTTTCTTCATTACGAGGTCGAAGGATCTTAGAAGCTGACCAGTTACCTTATTAGGCTTCCCTGCCCAACCAGACCCAAGCCGTAATTACGGTAATAACGGTGGCCCTGACTCGCCTCACGGACAACCGCACCGTTTTCGACCGCTCTCGTCTACGGGTGTCGCTCAAAGTACCTTGACCTTCAAGCCTACATTACCTAGGTATCCAGCTGCTCAGAGTCCTTCGGGACACCGAGCTACAGGTGCGGTGGGAGGACAGCGCACGCCCCCAAGGTCGGATCGCTCAAGTCTCTTGGACACCCAGCAACGTCGGTCGAGTGCAGGTGGCCCCCAAAATTCTCGACTTCCTCGAGCAGCAGGAGCAGCAGGTTCGTCCGGCAGTAGCGCAGCTGGATCCGCAGTCGCCGATCGATCTAATGCATCCGGAATCTCTCCGAGCGCCCGTCAGCATTTTCCCGCATCTGGACAATTTTACGTGATTCTCGTATTCGGGAATGCTGAACAATTAGTTCAACTGGATATGAATGGAACAGGAGAGATATTCTTCAATACACTACAAGGACTCGTCCGGAATCTACGACGGGATGCAGCGCTAGACTTGGATCGGAACGTGGACCGGGTCGTTTTCGCTACTTGCCGAGACCTTAGTGATGATGATGTGTGCTGTCATACAGATTTGGCGGAGGAGCGGATCGCAGTGACATGGAGGCATACTGTGAGATGGATTAGAGGAATCCAAGAGACTCGGAGCCCAGAGGATATCTACGCCATAATCGAACGAAACGGTGGTTGAAACAACAAACGCCTTCGGTCGTACTTCATTCCAAAAGTGGCAAACCAGCAACCTGTTTAGGGCTGGTTTCGATCCACGAGGCTAAAAGGCATATCTTCCCTCATCCGCGACATCTGAGCGTCCGGCATTATCCTCGACAAGATATGGCACATACACGAGGAGATTCATGGAAAGAGGATACAGTTCGCTCGGCAGTTGAATCAAGATAGGTGAGACATTCGGCTAGCATGATGTCTGTGATCACAATGAGGAAGATCGTGTGCAGCTTCTTCGACCAGCGACCCAAAGATTTGCAGATTAGCAGCCAGCCAAGGGCCAAGGTTCACCAATACCTTCCCCATATCAGACCCTCCGTTTCTGGAACGGTTGAGACCGAAGTTCTGGAGATCATCTACCCAATCAGCGCTACTCTGGAGCAATCCGATTCATTGAAAGATACAGACACGAGGACAGTGGTTCAGGGGTGGATCGATTTAAAGCGGAATCCGGATTGCATTGTATGAAGATTTGGAGATATCGGTCCGAGCAGTACTGTGGCCTACTCAGACACTCAGTGTATTCTTTCACGCTTCTACGGAGTACATTGAGAGCAATCCAGGGGCTACCGTAGAAACTCACTCAGATTAAGTGATTCTACTTTTTACCCGTCGGCATTCAATTGGCTCATCGACCGCGCCGTCGCTCTTTAGTACGGTTTTGAAGCCGATTAACAAATCAAACACCAACAGCTGAAGGAGATCATGGAATCACCACGGCTCTTCAACGGGGACGCGTTGCTCAGGGTCCAACTTTGACGTCGGTGCAGGCGATGCAAGGGAGAAAGAACCCCGATTGGGCAGAAATATGGCCCAAGTGTTTAGTTATGTTCTAGAAGACTAGAACCTAGTTAGGGGTTTGAAGTTTTGAAAACAGCAAGGAGCGCTTAACCCGATCAGATGGGCTAGAACTAATATAGCAATGATAGGTGCTCGGATTGTAGGAGTAATCGCCTGAAGTCAATAATTCGCGAACATGATTGGCCTATCCATATAGAATATCCGAATCCGTCCCATTTTTGGTATTGCTGTCCTGGTCTGGATCCTGACGAGGATATGGGCTGTGTTCTAACAAGGAACAAAAACAATGGAATCCATAGCTTATGGTACTCTTGTCAGTAACTGATGGGTTGGGTTCAACACAATAATCGACGAAGAGTTGACCATTACGAGGTTCCAGGGCTTGCCACATCTCTCACAGCCAGAACCAGCTCGGAAATCGATCATTATGTCCCTATACGCCTCAATAGGCTTTGCTATACACTAACCACGGATCTTCTGATCCTTTGAGGCGATATTGCGTGGTAAATAGCTCCGAAGGCCGCGTCCACCCAAGCCGATCAATCTTCGTTTGCACCACCGACTTCCAGAGCTCCAGTTTTTTAATGGCGGCTGTAGGAAATGGTGGTACTGGATGCGTCGACATCTTGTTCAGCCTGAGAGCCCACTCGACATCATTCGTGCCGCTGAGATCGAGATGCTGCAATCCCCAGTCCTCCGAGACGTTGGTACCATCCACCACATCGCACAGTGCCACTCGATTGTTGGTGTCTAGAAAACTCTGGATCAGGACAGGTAATTTGGGATACGGCAGGCCATGCACACTGCGACAGATGGTAGACTTGTGGCAGGAAAAGTGTGAATGGTCCGAAGGTACTAGAGTAAAATCGTAGTTCGAACTTGAACCTCGGAACCGCTGGTAAGTATGCGGAAGCGAGAATCGCTGTTGGAATGGAGGGGCCGGTAAAGTCAGATAATCTGAGGCATATTTAGGGGACTTCAGGAGCTCAATAGCATCGCCCAGTTGCCCGGAGTCAACGATTATCTCCCAAGTCTTTCCACGTGTTAGAGCCAAGCGAGAGTGCAATAGCACGGTTCTTGAACGTACATGTCGAACCCTTTCTGCACCATAAAATATGAGAGCAGAAGCACCGCCGATACAGCAAGTGATCCGATGGTTTTCAAGAAGCTGGGTCACTTCTAAGACTTCATCAGTGCCATGTCCGCCACACGAGGCGACGCCATTCCCAGGGACCAAAGGAGAATCAGATGCTGATGTCATCTATGCCGGTCATGAACATCACGAAGATATCGCCCAACTCACTAGTTGGCTGGTCAAAGTGGGATATGATAAGAATCGAAGGGTGAGAAGAGGAATGAAGAATGTTGCCAGTCATGACGATACTACGGCTACTCGGATAGATATGGCACCTCTCGTGCAGAACCACCGGTACCTGCCTTGCAAGGGTTACACTAATCTTAGCTCCCCTCGCCATCAATTAAAACTCGAAACATACAATGGCTACCAGTGTAGATGCTATGCTTATTTGAATATATCTTAAACTCCAAGTAATTGCCTAAACCAGTTGGCATGCTCCTGGTTTGGATTCATTTGCACAAACACAGCCATAAATGCCTGACGCTGGTATAACGGGAAGTTGTCCTTTAAAGGATCTAACTGCTGCCAGTGATTGCTCAGCAGAAAGACCAGGTCTTCAAAATCTTTCTCTGCCTTGCACCCTCTGTCCATGAAGCCCCCAAACTTGGTATAGGTCTGGAAGTATGTGTTCAGGATTCTGACTGAACCGTGTGAAGTAGATATCAGTTCTGTCACCCCCCTCAGATCTATTGGGGTGTGCAAATTGCCTAATAAACGCTTAGTATACCGTTTTCAATCCTCGTTTCGAGAAGACGCCTGTACTGACCACTAACGATAATATCAACATGCACAGCCAGAGGCGTCACATGAGGACAGTCACTGTCCCATCCTTGCCCAGTGTGAACGAATATTGTAACCGACGTACTACCATATGCCTGTGGGAAACAAACACTAACAGTGTGTCAACTTCAGACGATGGTATCTCCAAAAGGAGGCCAGACCGAGTTTGTTGGATTAGCAGGGTTCGTAGAGTTTCCATAGAAGCCCTCACGACGATATCCACATCAGTGGTAGTTCGAGTTGAGCCCCTCTTTTGGAGCGCCCACCCCCCCATGCATGCGTAGTCAATGCTGCTGGCATCGAGCAGAGATGTTATGAACTGTTGCGCAAGATCAAGGTTCAGACTGGCTGGGGCTCGGGATGCGTAATACAGCTGGCCAAATCGCTCAGTGTTATATATTTCCGCAGGCATTAGAAAGAATGAATCCGATATCCTCCCAAAAGATGGGGATTTTGAGGAAATGAGTGACTGGTACTGGTGAGACTGGAGATTGCGGGGCTATAACTAGAGACGATACTCTTCTGCTTTTAGACTGTTGAAAATGGAAACGCGACCATTACCAACGGAATAGGGAGTAACATATAAGAACTCGTATTGAGAGGCATACCATTCGATACGAACTATCAAGCCCGATCAATCGCCGATTTCATCGAGTTCTGCCTTCGCCGCATAGCGCATGTGATACAACTGACTGAGGGGCACCCCCGCTGCAGCGAACAAAGCTGTGTGAGAACGATGATGTACAAGAGTTATCATTCGACATAGCCCGGTCTTAATGGGACTCAAGGCGATAGGCCACTTTAGCCGGACGAGTTTACGTGTACGGCACCTCTATCCTGATTCGCAATCCCTAGGGGGTCGGTAGGACTGACGTTCATTGGATTTCAGAACTCTGGGCGCCAGACAATCAACGGGATGGCTGAGGCTAGGGCACATAAGGCTGAGCGGCGGCCGAGGTTGGCGGTATAGAGTCGAGAAGTGCGTGAGGTGCGAGCATCTCATTCGTTAGGGGTTCACCATTATTCCGTAGCATCTAATACAGTAACTAAGCTAGAAGTCTGGCGTACCCCAAGCTTCCCCACTCTTCAATCATGTCTGCTCTGCTGCACCGCTGCTGATATCTGAACATCAAACGAGGAAACGTATTAAGCAAGAGTTGCATTAGAGTCTAAACTTACAGTAGAGATCGCACCGTTCCATGAGGTAACATGAAATAATGAAATTATCGCACACCTGTGTACTAAGTAGATCAGTTCTCAAATGAAGGATATCAAAGCAGATATCGACGGTATAACTTCGGGGAGATAAGCTTTCTTAGGGGAACCAATCGATGTATTACAAACTCATGACCTGGTTAGGGTAACGAGAGTGCATCTGACCCTGAAAAAACGTCTGGTTACAGGGCATGTTAACAAGATTCAGACCGGGAATACGATTGATATCAGTAGAGTGAAGGCCAGCTATGTCTGAGTAGGGTATGGGGCCACTAATTCTGGCATACTTGCTTAAACAAATACGACAAAAGGTTGATGAAATGTTGTTGTAAGGCTCAGACTCTTAAAAAAACCTTCAATCTTCAGCAAAGATGGACACCTTTATGCAAGCAGTCTGGTCACGGCCAGCACAAGTCACGATGATGCCGTGGGCGTGGCACCTCTTACCCTTGGGGATCATATGTTTACGACAGCAAAAGGGGATGCTCTGAGCCATCATGTCAAGTGTAATGGTAGACACTCCCCTCGCTGTATTTTACGCCCGATGTGTAGCTTGAACTGTTGCAAATGGAGTATATTGCGAGTGCCTGGGTGAGAATCTTGATATCTACTCGTTCCTTGTGTTCGGTGGCTATGGGAACCCAATCATCCTAGCCTACGGGAGATTGTATCCTGAACGGGTGCAGAAACAGGTTGTATTTGGAAGGGGAGTCGCTGGAAGGTCAAGAATCGGGTCGGAGATCTGGGAGGACTACGCACGCCTGCGACGGGATACACGACCATGGAAGAAAAATGTGGCAACTTGCCATTAATTGAGCAGGCGAAGGCATTCAGAAGTGCCATGATGAATATCTGAAATGTCACTAACTTAGCTTAACATTTCAGTTTTTAACTCAACAACAGTAGGATAGCAAATTGAGGAATTGGTGATTCGTGACGATCGTCGACATCACAATAAGGGTCCACGTGATTTTCATCCAACACGTGATATTGTCGCTTATGTAATTTTCAGTTCGGTCCACCACACCAACCGCTCACCACTGAATTCGCTTCGTAGTGCGCGAACCTTCTTTTCCCGACATCACGACAACGACAAACCCACAACCAGAATTGCCGTTGCACCGTAATCAAGGTACGTTTTAGCAATCCCTTCATCTCCATCAAGGCTTGGTACCAACCGATCTGGAACTGTTCCGCGAACTCCCCATTCCGAAGTGTAGGCTAACGATTCGCTCAAGATGGGCGCCCTCAAATACCTCGAGGAGATCCAAAAGAAGAAGCAGTCCGATATCCTGCGATTTCTGCTTCGCGTCCGATGCTGGGAGGTATGAGCAATCCGATGTTCATTGGCACGGCGAAGAGATCGAGCGTGCGCAATTCGCCGCGCTTGCCTCTTCGTCGAAAAATTGCCATTTTGATGTCACTCGTTGAACATTAGCTGAGAGTGCATCAATACAGTACCGACAACTCAATGTCATCCATCGTGCTTCCCGACCGTCGCGCCCCGATAAGGCTCGCCGCCTGGGCTACAAGGCCAAGCAGGGCTATGTCATCTACCGCGTTCGCGTGAGGAGGGGTGGCCGCAAGCGACCGGTGCCTAAGGGTGCTACCTACGGTATGTTATCATCGCGTTCAAGATTCGACGGGTGAGATCTTTTATGGGACCGTCGCTAACGTACTCGATGAACAGGCAAGCCCACCAACCAGGGTGTGAACCAGCTCAAATACCAGCGATCGCTCGCCTCCACCGCCGAGGAGCGTGTCGGACGTCGCTGCGCCAATTTGCGTGTCCTCAACTCGTACTGGATCAACCAGGACTCGACCTACAAGTACTACGAAGTCATCCTCGTCGACCCCCAGCACAAGGCCATCCGATCGGATCCCCGCATCAACTGGATCGTCAACCCGGTCCACAAGGTGAGAAACGCTGATGTCGTTGGATCCAATGCACGCGCTAACGACGTAACAGCACCGCGAAGCTCGTGGCCTTACTTCCACCGGAAAGAAGTCCCGTGGTCTCAACAAGGGCCATCGTTACAACAAGACCAAGGCCGGCCGCAGGAAGACGTGGAAGAGACACAACACCCTGTCTCTCTGGAGATACCGTTAAACGGTGGGCGAGGGTTTTCCTCCGATGGTGTTACTTCCAATGCTCTACACAGCGTGTTGAAACTATTCTGCATAGTTCCGGATGGAGTCAAATGGACCGGTAAAAATAGCTGCTCAGAAAACTCGGTCAAGTTGATCGAGATCAATGGAGTCATGATTCTTCATGGAATTGATCGTGTGTCTTGGAGTGACGTCTATATACAATACTAATCGGTGCCATCCAATGGTTACATTATGCGTGATATGGTCTAGGTGTCGTTCGAAGTCCGTGAGCCCGTTTCGCTTTTGGTGTGCTTTCTGCAGACTGTCCATCCGGAAATAACCCCTCCGCAAACTCCGAAGCAGTGCAAACTGCACCCCACGCTTGCCACAGCCCAGTGTCCGTCCATACACCGCCCCTACCTCCTCGATCATGGATCCCGCTAGTCGGCCCATACAAATTTTCAAGAAACGGGTTCGGGATCCCTCCGTTTGCCATGAGCTTCACTAATTCCATCCTCTCCTTCGCATAGCGGCTGCCGCCAAATCCGCGCTTCATATATTGCTCCAGGATGGCCCGTAGATGTGGATGGTACCACATTCGCTCCCAGTCGTCAGGCTGCTCAGGGCCGGGGCGGTCGGCGGGAGAAGTGTTAATAATGGCGGGAACCGCCTTTGTGAAAGTGTTGGTTGCAAGTTCGAGAGCTGCCCAGGATGTGAGTGGATCTGGTTTAACGGGTGTCGTATCCGTGATCGAAGGATGCTCGTCGTCAGGAGTGGGAGGAGCGGGGTGATCCTGCGGAGGCGAAAATGGTTTGATTAGGAGAGACTGGATGTCGTGTTCTCTGGCGATAATAGGGGTTTGAGGGATCAGGTTTGCGAAGGGTGGTTTGGAAGTACTGAGGGACGGCGGAAGGCTCAGTTCGTCTCCATTGATGAGAGTGTGCTCGATATAGGCAAGTTCTTCGGGAAAATCGGGTGAGACGGTTTGGAACAGAGCGCCAGAATAGTCGAGGCCGATGGCCAGCTCGTAATCGACGTCCGGATTGAGCTGGGCGGGTTTGGGTGTCTCTATTTTCTCATGCCTATACTCAAACGCGTTTTTCGATGGAAACAACCCTTCCATGAACGTACTCCAAGGAGAGCGTGTGCTAGCATGCCGGGATTGTTCTCGAGCCAACTCTTGCTGCCCAAAAAGTGAGGCAAACAGCATCTGATCAGATATTGAGAGCTCGCTATTGCGCTCAGCCCGGTCGACTGCCGCCTTCACCAGTGTTCGAATATGCCGAGCCGGTCCCATGAACATGGTCGAGTGTAAGAATCTCGGTGGTTTGTAAATTCCGTGGAAGTCCGCAACCACCGTCTTGTTCGCAATAGGACTGGGGAATTCCGGTGGCTCTGGGGCTGCAGCGCAGGCTAAATCCTCGATGGCATTCTCCTCGCAGGATTTGCTGGCTGCAAAAATCACCGACTGTGAGTACTTTGCGGCCGTTAAGCTGATTCCGCGCAACATCTTCTCCGGCCCGTATCTATCACGGCTTCTCGTGTTGCCTGCCTCCACTACTTGGCTGTACTGTTTCTTGAGAACATCTGGTGGTAATTGGAATAAGGAGTTGTGTCCATCAAGGATGAGTAACAAATCATTATCACGGATGCTCTTTTCTCTTTCAAAATACCGATGTAGTGCTTGTATTCGCGGTATTCCTGTGCCAGAATGGTTTGACGAGACATCGTCTGGAGGCGTTTCTATGGATGCGACCATCGTGAGAGGAGGGTAGTCCGCAGCGAATGAAGAGAGCATCTGCCTGCATTGCAAGACGTTCCGATCATTGCTTGTCACCAGAACATGTACTGGTCTGCTGTCTGATCTGTCTGGATATGTGGACTTGGACTTCCATTTTGATGTCGTAGATGAAGTCGTTGATGCATCGGCTGCGCTCAGAGTCGCTGCGGTGGGTTCTGGTGATAGGAAGTGCGGCATTTCGGTTTGGGTCCGAAGGAGGGTGTCGCGCATTTGCATTGAGCGCATCATGTCCGAGGGCGATGTATCCTTAAAACTCCAGTTAGCAAACATGGTTTTACTGACGCGATTCAAGTATGCCCTTACTCCTTCTGTCCAATGCACATATACGACGAGCAGCGTCACAAATGAAACGAGAATTAGTAGCCTCCCCGCTCGTCCGCCGAGCACCTGAAGAAGAGCAGGAAACAGGACATCGCTGCGGAGGACTGGAGATCGTGATCGCGATGCCATCTTTGCGAAAACCAAAGACCGAAACGTGAACTGCTCTCAGTATGCCTCAGCGTGTTCTTATCTCCAGTGGCCTGCATTCAGGGTCGAGTTATTCAATAATGGCCATCCAGCAGCCTCATTAGCGCAATCACAATCAGATCTCAGCCAGCACAGTAGTTAAGCAAAGGAACTCGACCGATATCTCGAAATATACAGGAAAGAAAAACTTTTGCACATCCAGACATTCTTCGGTCCGGGAAGTGCAGACATGGGTCAAACGTCTGACGGTCAAGAAACCGGGTTTCATCATCGCAAAAACAATATACTTGCCGTAAGCCAGGCGATCCTTGGGGCTGATGAGCCAGTCTGAGGCGGTCATGAACGCCATCAATCAAACAACATTTGAAACCCAGGACTACCATGACCGAATACCATGTGGAATCAGCCGCACATGAGGCAACATTCTGTTCAAAGCAGACATGATAGGTTCGAGGAGGTAGAAGTGGGATTGGAATTTCCTAAGAAAGCTACTATGGTGCCTCCGTAGTTTCAGGTTGATTGTCGAGGACTGCAGTTAATTTAATAGTATGCTAGACAAAGGTAAACCGCATCAGATGGTTGGTGAGTGATGATTGGCTGCAGCAGTAGGCCAGCAGCCCAATAAGGCATTTATGTGGGGAACTACTGGCTCCTCCACACGCCCTTATCAGCAGCACGAGTGGCCTTGTTGAGGAGCTTCGGTCGGAGGTCTACAGTCTAGTCTACACATTTGGAAATCTGATCGACATTGGCTCCTTTACGGCCGATGCGCATGCGTTCGTTACTTGTCCTTATTATCTTAGAATAAATCGACAATGAAGCCGGCGGAAAATATCTCCATCCCACCTACCACTTCTACCATGACATCCTGCCACCCAAACCCCTATTTATCCTTTGGACGCATAGAAGAGAGTCTCGCTCTCTGAAGGGTTGCGGTCTCTTCATCCTATCTTTTAATGCCATGAAACTTCGGTTCTTGTCTGTCTTGCCATAAGGCGGAAGAAGCTACTTTTGACGCATGTTCCCAATCTCATCAATTAGGCTTTGCCATGCTGCACCGAGACCAGAGACCGGAGACCAGGAAGTGGAGGAATCGTCATCTTGATTCCATTGTGGCCAGTGGCTTCAAGTCTTCCATCTCCCGCTTCAGTCTCTACAGGTAGGATTCCCTTCAATCATTTGTGCCATGTCAGTGAAAGACAGATTGATGCATTTACGGTCACATGGCGGACCGAAGCCAGGACATGCACACTGTAGTCTGTTGAGGCCTCCTCTCCCTTGAATGCTTACAATGTTCAAGGCGATATCATGATGCTAATATAGGGATTATAAACAGCGCAGCTCAGATCAAGTTTGGCACTGCGCGTTGTGGGGTATCGCTGATAACAACCCCAAGCAACAAGCCCTTATCCGAACAGCCCGTCTTGTCCATTATCTCACAAGGACCTATGATACTTGCCTACCAATCTCAGGAGCCGGTTTCCTGCTTGACCTTGGCCTCGACGGGGAATTTCGAATGGTTCGCACAGATATCTATCCTTTGATAGCTTATCAAGCCCTAACCTGAGTGTCATCGCCGAGGCCCGCTGGGACTTGAGAACTATTCGCTATGGACATGGAGAGGTCCTATCACAAAGAAGTATCCGGGCCTTTATTGGACTTGTTATCGTTCGACTCGGGTTTGGGCCGGTACATTAAGAGCGTGGCCCAGGGCAACGTTACCAGTCGCCTAGGAAATGTCTCTCAGCGCCAAGAGCGAATTCGGATGAGCGAGTATATTGTCTTGCCTTGATCTAAAAGTTGAGTTGCTTTGCCGTCCCGTAAAATCCCTCTCGTTTCGTTTCGAAATTTATATGAGCTCTCCATGGGCATTTTCAGGCTTGTCAGACGCATCTCAGCTAAGCAACCGGCGAACCGAGATTATCATTCTGTGGCATCGACCAACGTCTAGTTTTAAAATGGATGGTAGATTGGGTTTCCGCTCTGCTTATTTCATTTGTGGTACGGTTGAAGCAATATAGCTATTCATACCCTGGCCGGGTTTTATATTGGGCGTCGAATCTGGTCATATCGTTCAACCTCATCTGCCTCTCCCCAAGTTCTGCACCGCCTTTTCGAAGTCGTTTTCGTTTATTTTTGCAGTAGTTCGAGTCATCTCTGCAAGGTTTTCAGCTGTCTCCCATTCCCAGTCGGCAGATCTCTCTATATCCGCGGTGGAGCAGAACCCGCATACGAGGTGACATTATGCTTGCGGAAGAACGCCTTGACCTTTCCCCAGACCCTAGGGCAAGCATATTCGCAGATCATATTGACTTATTAGCCTCATCTACAAACCAGGATAGCAGGCGGCCCCAGATTCCTCCCATCCAGCCCTCTCACTAGCCATGGACCAGCGAACCTCTCCAAGCTCTGGATATCTCGCATACACAGAATCTAAACATAAGGGTTTCAGATTTAACAGTCTTATTAAGGGGCAATCCATATGGTTCTCCCCATACCCCGCATCTTGACGTATACCACGCGTAACCCGGTCCAAGCTGATTGGGACAGCATAACACCAGCACCAGTTGGAGGCCAGAACATGCGCCACAAATCTCCGATATGGGGGACTAAACCCTGAGCTTCATATCGCTGGGCAGACCAATGTCATATACCTTCAATTGTACCCTCATCTTGGCCGAGCATTCCAACAAGTTTGTCAACGTCACGATTAACCCCGCGTAAAGTGTTCGGCTCGACCGTGTGAATTATGATGGACCGGAGATTCCCTTGGAATTGGAATACGAGATAGAAGAAGCATATAAAGAGCAATGGTCACCGCGTTTCAGTACTCGAAGCATCCCATCGACATCCTCAAGTCCAAGTCCTCCGCATCTTCATCAACAGATCCAGCTCTTCTGAACCCTCAATCACCACCATGAAGCTCATCGCCACCATCGCCCTCCTCGCCCTGAGCGTCGTCGCTCACCCTCAGGTTACCGGCCCACCGGCCCCTGATCCCACCTGTGTCGTCGCCGACGCCGCTGCCGCCGTCCCCACCTGTGGTGTAAGTCCTTACCCCTCCTCCCTCCCTCCTCCCTCCATCCTCCCTCCATCCTCCCTAGTCCCTCCCATTACCACCATACCCACGCACCCACTAACCTTCACCAGTCTAACTGCATCAACTCCATCGGCATCTCCAGCCTCGGCTGCACCGCCTCCGACGACTACGGCTGCCTGTGCACGCAGAACGCGGCCTTCTACTCCGCCGGCGTGGCGGGCTGCGTCGCCTCCGCTTGCACCAACGTGACCGAGTCCGCGGCGGTGGCGCCGTCCGCGGCGGCCGTCTGCGCGTGCGCTGGGTTCCCCTATACCGTCAGCGCGGTGCCGACCCCGGTGGCCACGCCTGCGACCGATGGACATGAGGCTATGCCGGGACATGATCATTGAGTTAAAATAGCATGAGATGGCGTGTTGGGGTATGGACGAGGGCGGTTGGGTGAGACGGGCAGACGGGATGATGGGGGTGCGAGGGAAGGAGGAAAAGAAAATGTATATAGCGACAAAATATCACCTGTACATACCCAGATATGACACTTGAAGTGAATGCCGACTTGTCGGTGTTACCGAATCCATTGACTTCTTGCAAGATATATACATTGTGGCCCAACTGGATTATACATCCACTTCATTTTTACTGCATGCATGGTCTCAGGACAATGGTGCATAACATCAATGTAGTCCTGATACCATTTTCGCCATCGGTGGGCATCGACATGCTAGCCCCGTCTAGCGCCATAACCATGGCGCGAGACCGCTTCGCTGTATATGTACCTAGAACTCATAAACGAAAAGCAGAAATACCGAGCCGTGCGACTGAGCAGAGGTATCTATGCCGAACCCAATCATACCAACGCCTTGCTGAAGATCTGCTCGCTCACTCGACCTGAGTGATAAGACGGATCCCGACTCCCAGGATGAACGTCTTTGAGCACATGTTGACCAATCCCAAATGCATCCGGAAGACCATGAAACCAACAGCAGAACCATGTCCACATCCACAAATCATTGATCTGCCTTCACCTCTTTCTCCACCCGCCCACATCGGCGTCTCTTGTTCTTCCTGTTCGAACTTTCCTTCCATTCCACCACTCATCTACACCACCCCCCTCCCAAACGCCGCCACCACCTTTCCCCTCACCCCTGCAAACTCCTCTACCGCTTCCCGATGCTTCTCCTTCGCGACATTCCAATGCGTACTCACCCTCTCATCCTCCTTCATCCCCCTCATATAGCTCTCGAACCCTCCTTCGCGCCCATCGCCCACCTGTCCCAGCCAGCTCGCCCTATGCGGCCCTTTCGAGATCTCGATCACATTCGCCAGCGCCGATTGCCGCGCCGCGAAGTGTCCGAGCATCGTGTTGTTGAAGTTCGACCACTCGCCCATGTACGCGCCCATCCGCTCGTAATATTGCGTCCAGCTGGATTGCGTGAGGTGAGGTGGTGGGGGGGGGGCGCGAGGTGGCGCGGGGAGGGAGAGGGGCAGTGTAGCGGTCGGCGCGGTCGGGTGGCTTGATGAGGGGCGGGAGGGGAACGGGAGCGTGGTGTTGAGGTCAGCGAGGCCTTCGAGGCCCGCCGTCGTGGTGAAAGGGGAGACGTTTTGCAGGTCGGCGAGGTTCACCGGCGGACGTCGGGATTTGGGGAGTTTCTTGCCGGTGCTCGTGCGGACGCTGGGTGGTGGACCGGGCGGCGGGGGTGGGAGGGGTTGGTCGACGGGAAAGCCCGAGCTGGTGGGTCGAGGAGATTGCTGGAGGGTTGGATGCGTTGAAGTGCCGTTCACCTGGTTCATGTAGGCTTGGTATGTTCGGTTTTTGACGTCGCTCCAGTCTGGTCGCTGGGTCGGTTGACTGACGAGCCGTGGTGCGCGCGCCGGAGTTGGTGATGCGGCGGTTGATCCAGATAGTTCTCGCGCGATGCCGTTGGGCATATGCATCTGCGGTTGCGGCGGCTGCGGCGTCATGAACGGCGGTTCGGTGTCGATGTCCATGGCATCCACGCTTGCACCACCACTACTTGTCCGACTTGCCCTTCCACCTTCCTCTTGTGCAGGCGTGGCGTCCGCGTGGTTCGCATTTACGCCTATCCCAATACCACCGCCTCCTAGCTCCTCATCTCTAACATCCTCCACGTTCGGTCCCTTTGCTCTCCTGTCATGCTCGCTCACCCGCCCATTTCTCGGCCCCTTCGTCGGACTACTCGGCTTCTTCTCCAACGAATCCGGTGGCTGGAAATCCCAACCCTTCGTCTCATTCCACAGCTCCGGCTTGAATCTCTTCTCGCCAGGCGCCGCTGGGAACTGTAGATTACCGCTTGGTGTGGTCCTCAATGGGGATTGAGGTACTGGCGGAATTGGCGGCGGTGGCATCTGAGCCGTTTCTGCCGGTTTCGGAGTCCCCGGCGCAGACGGACGTGATGCAGAGCGACTGCGTGTGGGGGACCTATGGGCGCTGGTGGTGCTGTCCTTTCGTACTTTCGGTGCCGTCGGAGGAGGCGCGAAGTAATCAGGATTACCTTCAAACTTACCGCTCCACTCAGACGGACTGAATGTCGTATTGATGCTCTCTTCGCTTCGAGCATGTCGCGCAGTGTCGGCGGGCCCGCGGGCGCTTTGGCTCTGCGAGAACGAAGGGATATTGAAGCTGTTGGGAGCAAAATTGTCAGCATCATTTACGGAGGGGTTGTTGTGATTTGAATTGTCGTCGAATTCCGGGAAATCGCTAGCAGGACTGTACGGAGCACGTTTAGAGAAGTTGAAGAAATCGAAGATGGATTGAAACGTTGACGAGTGATCCATAGGAGCTGCCGGAGTTTTGAATTGAGACGACGCATGCGAAGGAAGTTGATTTGACGTTGGCTTAGATTGAGACTTTGAAAGCGGAAATCCTGGAGCATAGTCATCCGGCCGGGGAGCGGGCTGGTTAGATCCGGGATATGTTTGGTCGGCCCTGAGTGCATCTCTGGCTGCTTGAGTGAAAACTTGGGCGAGATAGGGACTGGACAAAGACGCCGCATCCTCCAAGGTACGATAACCGACATCAGCATATTGCCTTGCCGAACTTCCCGAAGAAGCTGATTGCTGAGTCCGCAATCTATCAACGCCGATACCAACCTGTTCATACGCGTTGAATCGGGTCTTCTTGGTATTGCACTCCGGGGCATGTGGCGTCCCCTCACCTGCTGCACTCTCAGGCGGAAGAACAGTGCTTGGATACGCCCAGTCTGGGACATCGTTTTGCTTGTCCTGCTTGTCAGTGTTCCGGGAAACTCTGCTTGCAGCCCGTTTTATGGACCCAAAGGGCCAGACGTTGTGCCAGGAACTCTCAGAACGCCTGGAACTCTTGGATGCCCGAGAGGCCCAGGATGCCCGGGATGCCGAACGCTTGTCTGAAGTTTGAGCTGACGCCTGCTGGTTAGGTGCGAAGCTGCTGCACGCAGATGGTCTCCTTGGCTTCTGCTGTCCAAACGCGAGAGGCCAGGTCGCACTGTTCTCCAAGCTTGAGATTCTCGGTGGCGGGCCAGGAAACGTATTCACGCTGGTTTGGGACATGTTCCTCTCCTCACCAATAACTCCAAACGGGGGTCCATATCCGGGCGGTCCTGGGGTTTGCTGCGGGTGGTAATGATGCTGTTGATGCTGTTGATGTCCTCCTTGAACGGCTCCAGGCGGTAAAAAAGGATCACCATGAGAAGCGGGATAAGAATAAACGCCAGCGAATGAACCAGAAGGGAAATTTGACGGACGAGAAGAAAACTTTGGACCAGAAGGAGATGCGAAATGTGTGTCACTTAAGGAAGGGTTGTCGTACATCGGTTTGTTGCTCCCGGTTCCACCCTCCGAAGACGCTTGTCCTGGGACAGGCGCAGCACCTGCTGTTGGGCCACCGGGCATCGTTCCAGATCCCGCTTCGCCATTAGGCTTCGTTCCGCGTTTCCAGAAACCTCCGGGAGACGCCATCTTTCTCTCCGTGGCGTGGCCTTCGCTTTTCCGCCTCGCTGTCTCAGGGTCGGAGGAGCGACCGGCTCCGGGATGGACGTGGCGGGCGCCGGGACCGAGATTACTAGGGTAATCTGGTCCGGACGAGTCCTCGCTCGAAGTGCTGCTGTAGCTGGAGTATCTTGCACTTGGCGGGGGAGGCTTTTTGCGCGGTTGCGAGGCAGGTTTGGTCGGGATGGGATTATATGCACTTCGTGCGCTGGGGCTAGCAGACCGATGCCGTGCTCGTGACTCCGGCGTCGCCTCTCGCGATGTCCTATCACTCGTGTCCGAGCTTACATGTGCCCTCCCTGGGCTTGCTCGCACACTTGAACTCCGCTTCATCCCCTCACCAAAAATGTTGAACTTCTCGCCTGGTTGGGAGGTATAAGGTGCACGAGGCCTATCCCTCCCTTCGGCGAATGGTGCCTCATCACTAGCATGCTGTGACCTCCCGCCAGCGAACGGATCTTCGGTTGATTTTCTTGAGGTAGGCGTAGCTGTCGCAGATTTCGACGCCCCGAAACCAGTGGTCTTGGCAGCCGGGGGCGGAGGTGGCTGCTGTCGACTTGAAAATCGCGACTGCGTAAAATATGCGCTTCCTGAAGCTGGAGGTTCATCCTGCTTTGCTCGCGGATCAAACCCTCCCGGTTTGGGCACGCGTGTAGATGCCGATCGTCCAAACGATCCCCGTCTCGCATTCATACCCTCGTAGGCGGAAGTGTATGGTCTCGGGTCTGGGCGTGGCGGTGGAGGACGGGATGGTTGTTCGTGCGATTTGGCATGGTGCATATACGTCCATGCGTCTGCTCGAGCTTGCGCATCTTCCCTTGAGCCGGTCTTGGGTCTCGGGCCGGATCGAGGAGGGACGTTGAAGCTTTCGAAGCGGGATGCGCCTGCTGACGGACGAGTAGCGAAATCGGGACGTGGAGGCGGCCGTCGGGGATCGCCAGTAGTGTATGCGGAGTAGGGTTTTGGTCGAGCGGCGGTTGGAGCTCGTGCACCGAAGCCTAGTCTTCGTCGCTGCTCATCGTACTTTTGGCGGGACTCGGGATCACCGAGGATTTCGTGGGCGGCTTGGATGGCTTGGAATTTGGGGACGACGTCGACTTCACTGCCGCGGTTGCGGTCCGGGTGATATAATCGAGCTGGAGGGAGATGTCAGTCTGAGAATGGAATTGTCACCCGTCGTGGATAAACTTACCGAGCTCTCGATATGCCTTCTTGATCTGCTCTGAGTCGACATTGGAATTCAAGTTTAGATCCGCATAGTAATCGCGTTTGGGATCTCCCTTAACCATGGTGCCGGTGAAGATATAAACAAAGGACGATGTTATTCATGGAACTCGCGGAAGAGAAAGACCGGCTGTCATGCAATTGAGCAGAAAGGGAGCCGTTCCGGGGAAGATAATTCGACGGTGAGCGAGCGAAAGTCCGGTTGTAGTACAGGTGAATGCAACCGTTGCCCCGTGATGCAGGAACCGTCGAGGATGATCCAAATGCGTTCGATTTCCAGGCAACCAGAGCAATATCACAACACAGCAAGGTGAAAGCTTCAGCGTAGCAAGGTGACTTTCTCCAAAGCCCCGACCCCTTGGGCACCCTCTCCGCTCAAGGCGTGGCTATAAGATATTGTCGTCTGAGACTCCGCAAATCCAACGGCTCTAGAAATCGAGATAGAGAGTTCGCAGGTCACGGTTCGGTGGAGTGGTGAAACATGTCGAAGGACGTGATGTGTATCCATGCATTCGCTGCGGTAGAAGGTGTGATAGTAGGACCCGTGTTTGACTGAGATCTTCGGGTCCAATGCAGTTCGAAGTTAATACCTAGGCACTCAAAGAGGTGATATACGAGGAAGAAAAGAGTAATCGTCAGCGGTGGTGGAGGTTTACGGTGAGTGGTTGGAAGTTTGGAAAACGGTGAGATTTCTACCAGAGCAACGAATGGGCGTCGACCACATGCCCACCTTGTGATGATGATCTTGCATGTGTTCTCACCGCAGTGAATCAGTATTATAATTTACATTGTAGCGATCAAGATTGTCTTAGATGAAGTGATGGTCTACTCTTTATTATATATTGGTATCAGATGTATCTCCCTGATATGGGCTTCTGCCTGCCATCCTACACGGCATATCACATTCAACCTCCAGAAGTCCCCCTCAGCTAATACCTGAATCCTGACTCCCGGATACGATACCCTGAAAACTTGAACAACAAAAGCAAGTAACGAGCGATCATCCCGGTTCGCTAAAGTGACGGAATACAGGGAATGGGATCGCCCGCTGACTCGCATAACCAAATCCCTTGCCGAACAGGCTCCCCTTTGGGCACTAAAACTGCAACTGGACCCCGCGAGAAGAGCCCCGTTGTAACTCGGTCCCAAGGTCGGAATAAGGGGTCTTCCTCTACCAGATCAGATATCAAGATCACCACGTTCAGCGTGAGAAACTAATCAAACTTACAGATCACTGGCTCATCGCAGCCGCGTTTTCCGTACGACGGGAATCCGCGATACTGAATGTAAGACAAGCATCAAGGAAGCACCCGTCAAGCAAAGACACGAAGACGTCATTGGGGTTGCGCAGCGGGAGAATTCGGGGAAAGTCGCCATCCATGCCGCTTCAGCCTTATGCTTAACATCCAACTACGACAAGGGGACAGAGGACCATAAGGACATTGGAAGAGAATAATGTCTGGGTGGCTGGAGATGAAATAGGAAGTCTTTGTTCTATTTCATAGGGTTCGTCATTTCGACTTGGGTCCGACAGGTTTCTATGACCCGTCCAACTACAGGTACATACAAGAATACCACCACCATAATAGGTCTATACAAAGTCCGCTCCAACCACCAACCAAGATGCCACCCACCCCTTCCGTTCCCCTTACTTTAACCCAAATCCCCCACTCTCCGTCACCGCCCTCCACAACTTCTCCACCAGCCGCCGCCGCGTTGAATACCCCCACAGCATCACCTGATTGAAGCACGTCCGCGCGATCGGGAACCGCTCCTCCACCCCGGGCCCGACCCCCGCGCACGTCACCCGAATCACCAGGCTCGCTGCCCCCACCGCCGGCACCCGGTCGCTCCCCGTGATGAACCCCAGAATCCGCCGCTGGTCCGCCGCGTTCGCCACTCGGAACACCTCCCAGAACCACTTGACTACGGGGATCTGCTCGGCCGGGTCGGTCGCCGTCGTGCCGTTGGGGAGTTTCCACCCTTCGTACACGGCGACCGCTTGGAGGGACGCCACATCGACGCCCTGCTCGGCGTCGGCGCCGCGGACGAGGAGCTCGACTTCTTCCGCGCGGAAGAGGGACGTCGCGTTGCCGGCGCACACGGTCCAGAAGCCGCGTTTGAAGGGCTCGAATTGGCGGGCGACGGCGCCGTCAAGGACGTAGCGGACGTAGGCGTCGACGTAGGCGCCGACGTTATCGTTGGTGACGGGGGTGTTGGCGCCGTTGGGGGCAAGTTCGAAGGGGAATGGGGACCCGTAGCGGTCGAGGGAGGCGGTGAAGTCGAGGGTGAGGTCGGTGAGGTCGCCGGTGTAGGTGAGAAGGGAGCGGAGGCTGCGGGCTAGGGTGGGGTGGAGTTCGGAGAGGTCGTCGAGGGTGGGGACGAATGGGGGTTGGGTGTGTGGTTGCGCGGGGACGTTGTGGGCGTCTCGGGATTGGGATGAGGCGGAGGGGTGGGAGGATGATGGGGCGTTGGCGAGTAGTTTGCGGAAGCAGAAGGGTGGGAGCGCAACGTCGAGGATGGTGCTGTTGTAGATTGCGAGGCCGAGGACCGCGCCGACGAGGTGGTATTGGTCGGATTGTTCGAAGGAGAAGGGATTGAAATAGCAGTAGTTGGACTCCGAGTCGTAGAGGAACATTCCTAACTTGGGTTAGCCATTGCGGCATTTCGGATGGAACTATCAAGGAACAAACTTACCATGATTCGGATCAAACAACTCCCTCACCAGCAGGAGGAACCACTCCTTCCTTAATCCGCCAGCATCAATCCCTTCTTCTCCAGCGAACTGCACTCGCAACCCTTTCTTCACCTCCTCCACCCCACTTCCACCCACGCTCTCACTAATCCTCGTCAAACTATCCTCCACCAAACAGTCCCTTCGGACCCTCAGATGGAAGTACTGCTCCACCACCCGATTCTTCAACAACCCATCAAAGAACGCTTCACGCGCCTTGTTCTCCATCTGTCGCCGCGCATCGTATTCTAGAATGCGGATCTTCGCCCCGATCGACAGGAAGAAGGGATACTGACAGAACGTAAACGTCGCCCGACGCGACTCCCACGCCTCGAAGTCCGCGATCAAGTCGCCGGAATAGTCGAGCAACGTGTTGTAGAAGTCAGATGTCGGCAGGAGTTGCCCATGGTTTCGAGCACGGTGTCGTACGGTGGCGGCTGATAGGTCACCCGCACCGTCGACGTCGGGAGGCGGTGGCAGGCGTCGGGAGTAGTAAATGCTATTCGCGGCAAACAGCAATGCCATCACCTTGGATGCGGCTTTCAATTGCCAGTCGTCCGCGTACACAGGTACCCGCGCCCCGGGGAATACCTCCGATTTCCTACCGTTCGCACGGCGCGATCCGGATCCGCTCGCGCCGACGCCGCTACCAAAGCCAGAATTATTTGATAGTCCGATCGCAGCATGCAGCTGTGCTGATGTCGAGGAGCCGATGCCAAGGCTCGGGATCAACCCGGCGGTGGGATCCTGGTTCTGGCTGTTGCTCCGTTTGCGCTGGTCCTGCCGGCTGAGACGGTAGGTCACGAAGCTTGCGACGATGTCCACGGTGGTCGTGAAATGACGTTCTTCGTACTTGGAAAACCAGCTGACAAGGACGCGGTGGCATTCGGGAGGAAGAGTGGAGAGGAGCCCGAGAATCCGCTTGATGATTCCGGAGTGGTTGCCGGGCTCATTCGTCCGGGCTCGACCGCGGGAGGGCGAGGGCTGATGGGGGGTGGATTGCAAATATGGTCGGTCTACGTTCGGATGGAGTGTTCGAGACGGTCGCCTCGGCTTGGGCAATTGCAACGCATCCGCCATGGATTTTCGGCGGACATATCGACGGGCCGTAGAACCATGAAGTATCGGGTTGGCTAGCAGGATAAGAAGAAAACGGATATCGTTCGGCTCCCGTAGCGGCCGGCCGGGTCGTTTGAGGAGGTTCTCGGCGACTTTTAAAAGGACTCGTTGGGTGTGAATTCGCGCATCCTCCAGATCTTGCTCTATCTCTTCCACTGCCGTTCCATAGTCCGGAGTATCCTCGGCGGGAAGTGTGCCGGGCATTACAGTCTTTGCGACTTCACGCCAGGACTGGCCAGCACAGAAGACGGAGTTGTACCACTGGTTCACCTCGAACCAATGCATCATCGGCGACCGATTGGTAACGAGCGAGCGAGACGGTTCCACGTGCGGTTCCTGGCGAGAGTATCCTTCATGAGACACATTCCGTTCAAGCCTTCCGGTCCACCAGAGACCGTTTTCAGCAACGTCGCCCAATAATAACGTCTTGGCATCCAACTCGGGGGCAACTCCTGGGAAGCCAAGTGCTTGATTAGGCCGTTCGTCTCTTGACCTTGGGGTGGATATTTGGGCGGAACCCTCGCTGCGAGTTCGATGTCCTGTTTTCGGGCGTCCAAGGGCGAAAGATGAGTTCAGGCACTCCCAATTGCCGAAGCTGCTGATGATATAGTCTTCGAGGGGTCGGAAAATACCTCGGACTCGATCGAAACGTCTCCGCTCCTCCATCTCGGCTTGGGTTAACCTGGGACTAGGTAATTTAGGTGAAGGAATAGGTGGGTCCACGGAGGCGGGATGAGGTGATATAGGAGGTGGAGGAGGGCGACGGTTTGGCGGTGGAGGCGCTTTTTCAGGAGCAGAGCTGGACAGCGTAGTGGGCCTCAGGGTAGCTTCGGACCCTCTGTGGCCCCGTTGTCGAATCTCAAGGTGTTTCCCGAGAGCCTCGTCGATAGGATTGTCTTCCATCCCGTTCTGATCGGCTGTAATCGGACCGGGAGACTCTCGAAGATCTCCGCCAGGTGATGGTGTATGTTCTCCGCCTTCAGGGAGGTTTGGCGGTCCCGGCATGGGCCGTAATCGAGGCGTGCCTGCTTGGCCGTTTTCCATATTCTTGCGGGAATGGAGGTATATTTCTATACATCGGTGGATAATGGCTCGTGTCCGCTCAACAGACAGAGGATATACTGTGAAATCGAAGTCAGTTTCAAGCCGATGTTACCGGATATCCTCACGTACCTCTCTGCGGCTGACCGGCCCCAGGATAGGTCCCTGGGTGCTCTTGACCTTCGCTCCTTACTTGCCGTTCGCCTCGTCTCTGCTGTGACATCGGCTCCAAATCATTGACCATCAAGCATGACATGCACCGGAAGACTTTCAGACCTTTCGGCCATTTGACTTTCGAATCGCATGTCATACATCGTCCAATCTCGATGTCTTTGTCCTCGGCTCGTTTAGTCGTTGGAATCCTCTTCAGCGGACTTCCATTCGGAGAGCTGTCCACATCCTGATGGACGAATTCATCGTCGGTCGAGTCGACCGCTCCGTCTGCCTCGACATTCGCCGCACTCTTCCGTCGACCGAATATATTGGGGAAAGGATGGCTGAGACTCCTCGCATGCTGTCGTTTTGGCATCGTGGAGCGCGTGGAAGGAACACCTGGCCGGGCATGATGCAGCGTGGGTATCGAGGAGCGGTCTGGAGGATTATAGGTGGAGTTACCAGGAGTTCTCCCACCGTTCCGACTTGCTCCAGCGTTGCGATTCGGATTCGTGGAGTCGATTATGGGATGCGGGATGGTTGGATGTGGGAACTGGTACGGTGAAAGAGGCATGAACTTCTGAGAAGCTTGAATCACTCAAGGAATGGGTATTGCTAGGATTTAGTGTTGGGCATGGAGCGATCTGAGTGAGATCTAACGAACTGTCAGGGACCTTGTTCACTAATGCAAGGCGCTGGGGGTTGCTTCGTGTTCATACTTACGACGTCACTAAGTGCGGAATCACTGCGGATACTGGCGCCGTCTGACACAATAATAGAACTCGTCTTAACGTCTTCCGGTGAAGCGATGCCGTGGCCTGGTAGCGCTAATAGCTATGAATTGAGGGGTGAACGAGCGGAAATGTCGCGTGTGGAACGAATGCAGACGACATTGATGATGCCGAATACGAGGTCGCCTTGTGGATCACGGAAACAATGCCATCCCCTCTCAATTTAAATACGCTCCAGCCAGAATTTAAGGAAGTCAAGATGTAGGTAGACCTCGATGCGGCGAAGGGAGGTGCGTAGGTCTGTAACTCTGTAAGGGTCGTGGCCCAACGGTCCTGTCTCCAGAATAAACCGTCAATCTGGTAGTTATGGCCACCCAGTCCGATTATTCCAGTTGTAATTTGCTCAGACCAGTCGGTGGAACCTTGGTAGGGTGGGAAAGCTACATACCGAATTCAAATACTCCGTATATTTTGCAGATCTCGGCCCTTGGGGTGGACTAGCGTCGCATGTAGAACAAATGGGAGAAGAGGAATCATGCATATGGAGGGATATGGATTATTATATATGAGTAAGAGGGAAGAATTGACGTTTATTTAACAAGCTCACGAATCAATGGAATGGGATTAAGATGCAACTCTCAAGTCGCAACTCATGAACTCAGCTGCGGATAGAGGACGCCATCTCGGGTGGCTTCCGCGTGCAGCTTCAAGGTCTTGAGCAATTGCCAATTGGCATCCGGCAGACTCGGGGCATAATTACCCAGATGCGACCTATCAACTAATTAATTAGGGACATCAGTGCGAGTTTCCCATGCCAAGAGCATCGTCTTTGATCCGTCGATCTCTTGCGGTATGTCGCGTATGACTGCAGATCCAGGAGATGACTACTATGTAATACCGTCTGACACAATCTGAAAATGGAGAATTTCTGGTGAAATGGCGTCTTGGAATATGGCCCCAACTGCAGCTCTACAGGATCCACTAAAGATAATAATTGGGAACTTAACTAACTTAGATATAACGGTTAAGTTCGCAGCAGCAGATGGGAAGAAATCTGGGTTTATCGGCGCCATGGGAAATAATTAGTTATAGTATTTCTCTCAAATACTTTGCTATCCAGGAGTGGTAGCTCAGTGGTAGAGCATGGGATTGCAGATCCCAGGGTCTCGCGTTCGATCCGCGATCGCTCCTTTCGAGTTTCTTTTTGGTTTTTTAAAACTTTTTTGGCCTTGCCCCTTTTCGCCCATTCCATCTAACTTAGTAGAGTCGACACTTTAGTAAAGATTTTTTGGGGAAGTGACGGAGGTAAAGAGTGACCTCTACCGGAGCCAAACTCTTTGCCTTTGCACAACAGACAGTGGTGGCAGTGGAAGTATTACTTGTAGTATATTTTGAACCGTTTGATCCCCGACTATCTGCGTCTTGGCGAGCTGGTAATAGCTTTAACTAGTATTACACTGTAGCACGACCAAATATTCCTCTCTTGCCTTTTTCCGGGAGGTAGTAGTAACTATAGACTCGAGAATCAACAGACATCCATGACAAGCACGGGACCTGTGGCCATGAGAGCTTGGAGACCGGACGAACGAATCTGACCTCGGGGTATGTCAACTCCGCAGTATAGAGCGTCAGCTATGAGCTTCAAAGTTGTACCTTGGATGGCTGTACAACCGGGCGGATAGTGCGACTTAATCCTTCCACGTATATCAAACGATCGGACATCCAGGGTTGAATAGGAGCTAGGGACGCGATTGTGATGCTTTAATTCGAGTTCAAAAGCACCGAAATTCCATCTTACACACGTCTTCCAAGATCTCAACCACAGTAGTGTAGCCACCTTTCCAGCATTTCAGAATGATATCTCGGAACGGGACATCGTCCATTGGCGGAAACATTTCTTCGCCACAGAGACGCTCAGCTTCATCACTATGTTCAATCTCGTCATAGGGGCGCCGTCTGGTCATGATATCGAAGATCAGAGAGCAGAACGAGAAGATTTCGGTGGTGATGGACACTTCAAAGTGGTCCATGCCAACGACCCTCGGGTACGGTGTCTCAGGAGCAACCATGGTTCTTTGTCGTTCAGGGCGGAACCGGAGAAGTCGCAGAGCAAGATGGAAAGATCATTGTCGACCAGAAAGTCTCTTGCACTGACGTCGCCTTGGATAACATGCTTGAAATAGATGAGGGTGATACTTCCGCCCGCCGATTCTACCCACGATATCTTTGTCCGCAGCGGAACCGGTTCCATCGAGCCCAGCAGGAAGGCCTGAAGGTTGCCATTTTTCTTGTAAGGAAATAAATGCCCACCTCTGCGAACTTTATATAGGCAAGGATACCCGGTTGGTGTCCTAAGTGCTGGTAAATCTCGATTTCGCGTTCCATCAGCATCAAGGATTCGGATTCTTGATATCTTGCATCTTTCGATACATCCTCATCGTATGTGTCCACGTTGAATTTATACGCATGATTTAAAACCGTGGTGCCATCTTGAGAATGCCATACTGCTGCCTTACTGCCGTTCATCGGGGCGAGGATTGTGCGATACTCAGGATTGATGAACTCTGGTCGGGAGACCTCGTGGAGGCATCTTGATGATACCTATATGGACATTAATAACACAGCTATACAGCGGGTGCCTCATGTAATTCCCACGAGGGCGTCTACCTCAGTTAAGTGACATTAAAAACGAAATTCTTGTCCGAAACAAGAATCGATCACTGGAGGCCGGTGGTCAGGGATGGTATGGATCGCTTGCGGGGAAGGATACTGGTAACATCCCGTACATAGCCTCTATAGAGCCATGCTTCTGAGTTCTGAGGAGGCCAGTTTAGATCTGGTGGATCCCGCCTAGGATTCTAGAGGTCTGTAGGCTGGTAAATCTAGAATGAATGTTTTGAAACATTTCATTTCTCAGGGGTTTATGTACGACAGTACGAGCAGCTTGAGCAGCGGGCTGGGACTGGACATGCAGAGTGAGTGCACTTTTCAGCCTTGCAGCCTGAAGTATTTCTGCAGCTGCACGCTGTGTTGACCAAACCAGAACTGGGGGCTTCGCGCTAAATTCGGCAGGCGCAGGCCTCCGAGATTCCGGCGCCGATCAACGTGGAGTTACGACATCCAAGTCCCAGAATCCCAGAATACCATTTGATATGCATCACCAGCTTGCGTTCATTCACGTGGAGTGAACATCACATGCCAATTCCTGGCAAGCATGAGTTAATCGTCCGCCTGTATTCCCTTTTATGCTTCGTACTTGTATTAATCCAGATACCTTTCGTTGATTCCTCCGCCTTTTCCTATATTCCGAATCCTATCGACTCCGAAAAGCATATTTAACCATTGTACGCGCCATCCCAGAACACCTAAAGCAATCACCACCGCCAACTAAGCCGGAAGTCAGCATGACTTCCGTCAAGAAATGGATTGCTCAATCCCCGCCCGTCGAATGGGTCACCCAGCAGGCCCGGGAACTCCTGATGGGCACCTTACGACAAGGGCCGATCCCACAACATGTCGCCTTCGTGATGGACGGCAACCGTCGGTTCGCGCGCGGCAACAATATGGAGACGATTGAAGGGCACAACTTGGGTTTCGAGGCCCTTGTGACGGTACCTTTCCCCGCGCACCGATGCGAAAGATGCCCCATGCTAATCCGCGCAGACGCTGGAAGTGTGCTACAAGGTCGGCGTCCGGGTCGTGTCCGTGTATGCGTTCAGCATCGAGAATTTCAAGCGGTCGAAGTATGAGGTGGATGCCTTGATGGATATGGCGAAGGTCAAGATCGGGCAACTCGCGCAGTATGGTGAGCTGATGCAGATGTACGGGGTTCGGTTCCAGTTTCTGGGCAGGCGAGAGATGTTGCGACCCGATGTGTTAGAGGTCATCGACCGGGCGATTGAGTCGACCAGCAAGAATGGACGGTGAGGACATCAATATCAGGCGAAATAACGGTAAACAAAGCATGGCTAATTCCCCGCAGAGCCATCCTCAATATCTGCGCTCCATACACCTCACGAGACGAGATCACCACCGCGATCCGCGACACCGTCATCGACTACAGCAAACCCGTCCCCCCCTCCTTCAAGCGTCCCTTCTCCGAGAATCGTATCGCCCGCAACATCCGCGCCCAGCAACTCGCATCCGGCAGCGATGGCCCTGCGGAAAACGACTCCCAGTTCCAACCGGACGGCGCTCCCCAAACCGAAGCAGGCGCATCCCAAGCCCCGGACAACACCACCAACGGCCGCTCCGACGCCGACTCCGCCTCCGTCACCTCCGCCTCCCACACCTCCAACACCCTCCGCCCGAGCACCACGACCAGCACGACCTCCCCGACCACCTTCCCCGACCCCGAAACCATCACCTCGGCGACGTTGACCGATTACATGTTCACGGCGGGGATGCCGCCGCTCGACCTATTCATCCGCACGTCGGGCGTCGAGCGGCTGAGCGATTTCATGCTGTGGCAATGCCACGAGAACACCGAGATCGTGTTCGTCAACTCCCTGTGGCCGGAGTTTGGGCTGGCTCGTTTCTTACCCGTCCTGTTGGAATGGCAGTGGGATCAGATGACTGGGAATCGGGGCGGAAAGGGTCGGTGGAATGGGAGAGGGTTGAAGGTCGCGTAGATACGAATACCTATAAATCTATCCCCATTTTTTCACCACGAGCATGCGTCCCGTCCTGTCTATTTATACGTTCAACGGTTCGGTCCGGGGTGATGTATGCAATTTTTCCGCTCCGCCACAGGATTAGCCCTATCCCCTTCACCCTTCACATATGCCGGGCGGGGCATGGCATAAAGCAGGGAATTGATATCGAATTATCGATGATCCTCCACGGAGCCTCATGGTGCACTACGGAATACGAAACGGCAAGGAAATTTGTTGCACAGCGTCATGTCTCATTTAACATTGCGTTGACTCGAAAAGTCTCACCTGTTTGAGGTTTATAAATCGTCAAATGTTAATCCTTTTCTCATTCATCCGCTTCATATGCGATTCCATGTGGCCCGACTCAGCTCCAGAGCTGTCCCTATCGAATTCATACCGCTGTTGGTATATTGGTTTTTTTGTATATTTTCGTAAGGCTAGGCTGGTTGGTGAAGTATGGTACGTACTCCTTATGAGGCAGTATTATTCGTCCTACACTCCGACTGTATATTGACGATCGACAGTTACCATGGCAGCTTTCCTTCGTCATCGCGTCCTACGTGCTCCCTCCTAGCTCCGCACAACTCTTCCCCCCTCCTCCAGTCTACTCCACCATCCTCCACTCTGCCAGCAACCCGAATGTCACCATCTCCTACACGTCCCCCGAAAAGGGGACTTGTGCCACCATTTTCGACACTCAGAGCCAATACACCGGCTACATAGCCTTGCCTCCTGGCAGCATCTCATCTTTCCCGACCAACCATACCACCAACCTCTTCTTTTGGTTCGTCGAGGCGCGGGTCCATCCCGAGACCGCCCCGCTGACGGTATGGCTAAACGGCGGCCCGGGGAGCAGCAGCATGGCGGGACTCTTTCAAGAGGCAGGACCGTGTGAGGTGGTTCAGATGGCCGACGGCAACTATGGCACGCAGCCGCGGTGGTGGGGGTGGGATCGCAGCTCAAATCTGCTGTTCATCGATCAGCCGGTGCAAACGGGGTTCTCATACGATTCGCTGGCGAACGCGTCCTATGATATCCTTCGGGACGAGTTCGTCAAGCCTCCGACCGATGTGCCGGACGGAACTCCGGCATACGGGTTCCTCAACGGGACGTTTAGTAGCGGAGACACATGGTCGACGGCGAACACCAGCGTGGCCGCCGCGCATGCAGTATGGCATTTCATGCAGGCATTCCTCCCATCATTTCCGAAATACAATCCCTCTATACCGGAGAATTCTACAGCCGGAGGAACGGTCGAAATCAACCTCGTCACCGAGAGCTATGGCGGCATCTTCGGCCCAACCTTCGCAACGGTCTTCGAGCAGCAAAACTCCCAGAAGTCAGTCGGCCTCCGCGGCAACACCACCGCTCTCGAGATCCGGCTATCGAGCCTCATCATCATGAACGGCATGATCGACCTCATCACCCAGATTCCCTTCCTCCTCACCTTTCCCGCGAACAACACCTACGGTCTCCGACTCCTCGAGCCCAACGCCGTCCAAGCGGGCCTCACCTCCTTCCACTCCCCCGCCGGATGCGAAAGCATGGTCCGCCAATGCCGCTCCCAAGCCGCCGCCCTGGACCCCACCGGCTCCGCGGCCGTCGCCTCCATCAACACCCTCTGCGCGAACGCCCAGGCGATCTGCGGCCGTCTCCAAATGCCCTATCTCCAAACCGGCAAAAGCCTCTACGACATCCGCCACGACCACCCCCTCGTCTCCCCCTCCAGCGCCTACATCGAATACCTTAACACTGCCCCCGTCCAGCGCTCCATCGGCGCCCCCGTTAACTTCACCGAGACCAACCGCCCCGTCTTCGACGCCTTCCAGCGCACCGGCGACTCCGCCCGCGCCAACCAACTCACCTCCCTCGCCTCCCTCCTCGACCACCACGTCCGCGTCGCCCTCCTCCACGGTGACGCCGACTACGCCTGCAACTGGCTCGGCGGCCAAGCCGTCTCCCTCGCCATCGCCGCCCTCGCCCAGACGCCCGGCTACGCAACGAAATTCCCCGCCGCCGGCTACGCCGACCTCGTCATCAACGACACCTATGTCGGCGGCGCCGTGCGGCAGTTCGGCAACCTCTCCTTCTCCCGCATCTACGACGCGGGACACCTCCTTACCGCCGACCAGCCCGAGACCGCCTTCACCGCCTTCACGCGCATCGTCCGCGGCACGGCGCTCACGACCGGGCAGCGCGTCGACCTCGCCGGCTACGCTAGCGCCGGCCCGCCGACCGCCGACCATGTTAACAAAATGCCCAAGCCGCGTGAGAAGACGTGCTGGGTGAGGAACCTCGGCGGCACCTGCACGGAGGCGCAGAAGGCGCTCGCGCTGGCGGGTAAGGGGGTGGTGGTGGGTGGAGTCCTGTATGAGAAGGCGGGCGATGTCAGGCCGCCGCCGGGGGAGGCGACGGGAGGGACGCCGGGGAGCCCGCTGCCGAATACGACGTGGCCGGGGGTGGGGGACGGGGCGAGTGGGACGCGGGGGTGGCCGACGGGGGTATATACGGCGACGGGGACGCCTTCGTCGGGAGGCAGGAGGGAGAAGAGGGTGAGTGAGCGGCTGTGGGCGGTTGTGGGGGTGGCTTGGGTGTGGATGTTTAACGGGTGATGAATAGCGGGATACCTGACATAGTATGTATGATATAGCATGGACAGTAGCATATAATAGTGGGAATCTGGGACCTGGAGGAATGGGAATATGGGATAAATTATATGATCGAACAATGAGACTTTTTATTGATCAGGTAAACATGCCGAAACCTCTCAGCGCTACAGTCAATAAATGATCCGCTACCGTGATCTTATCACCTACTCAAGACAAACCCCACAACCAACACATTCTCTCCACCTACTCCCCCTTTCCCTCCCGCCCCTTCAACCACCCCTCATGCAACTCCCTCTGCCTCTCCCACTCTTTCCTCAACTTCTTCCCCCTCGCTTTACTCACCTCCTTTCCCTCCGCATCCCTCACCGGCAACCCCTCCCTATCCCACTCACTCCACTCCGCATTCCGAAACATCTCCCGCGGATCCACCCGCGCCTTCTCCTCTATCGCTCGTTTTTTCGCCTCCGCCTCCGCTTCTCTCCGCGCCTTCGCCGCCAACTTCGCTTCCCCCGCCGCCGCCTTGCTCGCTCGCTGCGCTCGCAGCTCCGCGTTCAGCGGTCGCACCAGTGCCGGCTGCCCGTCGCGGTCCTCGAGGTAGATGCCGAGGTCCCAGAGCGTGGCGTCGCGGAGGCGGTCGCAGAGGGCGAGGACGTCTTTCGCGGGGGCGGAGGACGCGGCGAGGGCGGCGACGGCGTCGTGGAATTGGGAGGAGGCTTCTGCGTAGGGGAGGGAGGCGGCAGGTTGCAGTTTGGCGGTGGCGTCGGGGTGTTGGTCGCGGGAAGTGGAGACGAGGGTGGAGAGGGTGGTGGTGGGGGTGCCGGAGAGGGCGGAGGTGCGGACAGAGTCGCGGAGGGAGGAGAGAGGATAGATGAAGGGGATGGCGGGGGCGGGGATTGTGATCCCTTCCCAGCCGATGGCGTCGGTTGAGTTGGATTGGGGGTTGAGGCCGAAGATGTTGGTGATTTCGGTGACGTAGCGGGCGACGGCGAGGATGTCAGACTGGGAGGGGGGTGAGGGGGAGGTGAGGGCGGTGTTGACGTCTGTGATCAGTTCGGAGAGAACGCGCATTGCTTGCGGCGTGTTGAAAGAGTCGCAAAGTGCGGAGTAGACCTCTTGACGGACGGTTTTGATCTTCTCTTGGAGTGCGCTCCCCTCTTGATCAACGGCGCTGTCCGCACCCTCCGCCTTGCTCTGGGATCCCTGCATATGATGTTGAATGTCCACCGCCTTCAGGAAGAAATTCGTGGCCTTCTCTTCCCACGCCTGGCCCTGTTTCACCAGGTCTTCCGTGATCTCGATCCCATCCTTCCAATTCCCCAGCAGGAAAACAATCCGCAATGAACGCGGGGTCCACTCTCCTTTGCTCAACGCCTCGCGGATCGTGGTGAAGTTCTTCAAGGATTTCGACATCTTCGACCCCTGAATCGACAGATGCCCCATGTGCATGAAGTAGTTCACCCACTGATGATTCGGCTTCCTGCAGCTGTCCACCGCATCCTTCGCCCAATGCGCCTCGCTCTGCGCGATTTCATTGTCGTGGTGAGGAAACGCGAGGTCGATCCCTCCCGAATGGATATCCATCCGCTCCCCGATCACGTCCGACGCCATCGCCGAGCACTCGATATGCCAACCCGGCCGGCCCGAACCCCACGGGCTTTTCCACGACGGCTCCCCCGGTTTCGAGGCCTTCCACAGCGCGAAGTCGGCCTCCGATCGCTTCGTTGCGTTCGTGTTGCTCAGCGCCCCTTCGCCGTCTGCCTGCAGATCCTTGTCGCCGCGATTCCACGGCTCCAGCCTCGCGTACGAGTTCCCGGCTTTCTCGAACGCGGCGATGTCGAAGTACACGCTCCCGTCGGTGGTGACGTAGGCGAATCCGTTGTCCACGATCTTCTCGACGAACTTGACGATGTCGTCGCCGTACTCGGTCACTCGTGTCAGGACGTCCGGAGGCAGCACGTTCAGCGCACCGACGTCCTCGAAGAAGCGTCGCTCATATTCTTGGGTCAGCTTGGTGAAGATGGAGTGGTCGCTGGCGTCGATCAAGGCTCCGGAGAGCTTGTCCAGATACAGCAGCAAGGTGTCGTCGGTCTGCGCATAGAAATCGCCCACCACCATGGCACTGGGGTCTTCCATAGCGATCCTAAGTGCCACCGAGGCAGACGTGACGGTCTTGAGGTGCATCTTCAACTTCGCCTCCTTGTCTCCGGGCGGGCTTCCGTCGTCGGCAAGAGCCTTCCCTTCCAATACTCCTCCATAATGCGTCACAACCGCTTCCTGATATTGATCCGGTGCGAGGTTCTCCGGTAAAAGAGGGAGATTCTTCGCGGTGTATGTGTCGAGTGCGTCTTTCGTGGCATCTAGGAGGGCCTGGTCTAAGGTAGGATGTTTCGCTTTAAACTCTTGTAGGAGATGTCTCTGTCGTCCGCGCAGAATGATCTAGAATCGGTTAGGTATTATGATCTACCCATACGCGCAATATTGTGGTGATATACCTTGTCATCGACATCAGTGATATTCATAACAAACTTCAGATCAAATTTGAAGAAGTCCTTCATGATGCGCCGAATGATATCCGTCGTCACATAGTTGCGCGCATGTCCTAACTACAACCACATTAACCAACTTCTCCCACCACGGTCATTGGAGCCATACATGTGCATCATCATAAACCGTTGGCCCGCACGCGTACCAAGTGACCTTCTTCCCTTCCAGATCCACGGGAACGAATGGCACTTTCGACCTTGTCAAGGAGTTGTAAATGTTCAATGGCGGGGTCCCTACGTCCTTCTTCGGGGCGGGTGGCTGTTGCCATGGAGGCTGTTTCGTCGACGCCATGGTTCGGATATGGGTGTATCGCAGGGTGCTCGAGAATGGAATCTGTCGAGCGCAGGTGAATTGGGATTTATGCTTCGCAGTGACTGTGAGAAGCCAGCGGTGCATCAGCGAGTGAGCGAAGGAGCGGATATCACTGATTGACGGCTTCTTACTTCTCAGTCAGATAAGGACAGAGTTAGAGGAAGAAGGAAGGACGAGAGGTGGAGGAGTCAAGAAATATATGGGAGTGAAGCTTGGGGATGACTCTTAACTCTTCATTCTTCCTCTGGACTCTTAACTTCCCCTTCCAATTAATTGTCGTTGTGAGAGGACAGGGATCTCCCCGCTAATAGGAAGATCTCACCCTCCATGGCTCCTTCCCTCGAAAATCTTCAATTTTGGATTTAGAGTTCCAGACAAATGCCAACATTCCTACGCTCAGTCGATTGAACCCCCCTATTGCAAAGGTTCGTTGCAAGAAGGCGTATTCCTAGTACTTCTATAGTCACTCGAAGATCATCACCATCTCACCGATCCATTGAACCCTCCGCGCCAATTCCATCGATCAGCGACTCCATCTACATCTACCAGTATTCCATGAATCAGTAACACCTCCATCCCCAACTGCTACTCCTCTACAGCCACAATGGAGACCTCGCCCAATCCCCACCCATCCCCCTTCCTCACCCCACCCCCCTCCGCCCAGGCCGGCACCCTCGCCCTCCTCCACCTCCGTCGCGACCACATCCTCCCCCTCCACCTCTCTCCCTCCCCCACCGCCCTCGCCAACACCCGCTTCGGTAGCTTCCCGCACAGCACCCTCATCGGTGTCCCCTGGGGCTCCCAGGTGCTCTCGTACAACGTGAAGAATGCGCCGGGGGACCGGGGGTCGGGCGTGTCGCGGAAGCGGAAGCGAGGGGAGGGCGAGGGGAACCAAGCACAGGGTGCACAGGTCGCTGGAGATGCGGAGAATGGGGATGGAGAGGGGGAGCAACGGGAGAAAAAGATGGAGATCAGCATCGCGGGCACGGGGTTCGCGCATCTGCTGCCGCCGACGCCGGAGCTGTGGACGCAGAGTTTGCCGCATCGGACGCAGGTGGTGTATACGCCGGACTACAGCTTCGTGTTGTCGCGGCTGCGCGTCCGGCCGGGGAGCACGATCATCGAAGCAGGGGCGGGGAGTGGGAGTTTCACGCATGCGTCGGCGAGGGCGGTGTTCAATGGGTATGAAAATGGGAGAAAAGAGGAGGGGTCTACGGGGGAAGATAGGAGAGGGAAGGGGAGGAAAGGGAGGGTGTTTAGCTTTGAGTTTCACGAGCCGCGGAAGGAGAAGTTGCAGGAGGAGATTGATGCGCATGGGTTAGGTGGCCTCGTCACGCTTACGCATCGCGATGTGTGCGAAGAAGGGTTCTGCTTGGGGACAGCTACGGATCCGACGACCTCGAACAACAATCTCGACACCGCTCCGAACGCCGACGCCATCTTCCTCGACCTCCCCGCCCCCTGGCTCGCGCTCAAACACCTCTCCCGCCGGCACCCCACTCCCCTCAACCCCACCCAAAGCGTGCGCCTCTGCACCTTCTCCCCCTGCATGGAGCAGGTAACCAAGACGATCAATACGCTGCGCGAGCTCGGTTGGGTGGAGATCACGATGGTGGAAGTGATGCACAAGCGGCTCGACGTGCGGCGGGAGCGGGTGGGGGTGGCGGAGGAGAACCTCCGCGGGGGCATTGGAGTGCCGAAGGACGTGAGTGAGGCGGTGCGGCGGCTGCGGGAGGTGACGCGGGAGCGGGAGGAGGCGCAGGCGAAGCAGATTGCGAACAGTCGACGGAGGCGGGAGGGTGGTGGGGGAGGAGAGGGGAAGGGGAGGAAGGGGAAGGGAGGAGGGGAGGAGCATATGACGTCGCGGATGCATCGGAGGGAGAAGATGTTGCGGGAGGCGGAGAGTCGGAAGTTGTATCGGGAGGGGAGGTTGGTGCATCGGACGGAGCCGGATTGGAAGACCCATACGAGTTATTTGGTGTTTGCGGTGCTGCCGAGGGAGTGGACGGTAGAGGATGAGGAGAGGTATTTGGTGAAGTGGAAGCTACCTACGGGAAAGAACTGAGAGGGTGATTTTGGTTAATGAAGTTATTTGAAGGGCATCCATATTCCTTCGTGATATCTTCTCGTAGGATGCCTATTGCTTGACCTTTTTGATGGGTCTGACACTCTAAGACTTCACGATGGACAGGGCGGGACCCTAAGCAGGGTTGTCGATTCCACCATAGATGCAATAACATGAGGGCATGATATCGCATGCGATAGCGGTATTATGAACCAAAATCGGAGATAGATTAATACTTTTTCCTTAGTTCCTAAATCCCAGGCCAAGATGAATAATCTCCGCTGGAAATGGTCGGATCCAGGGCTTCTAGGCTCTCTCACTATCTGGCTTACTGGCTATGGGGCTTTCTGTTAGCGCTCTTTGCTTGATACTAATACCCCAGACAACACGAACAATGACATCATCAGCTCGGCATCCGGAGCCGGAAACGCTGAGTAGTACACTGCAACGACAGGAATTGTCAGATATCTCGGGAACGATTAAACCGCCAGTGAAACAGCTATCACGAAGAGATTATCTGGTCGAGGAGAGACTGGCATATCACGTGGTTGAGAGTTGAGAGTTGAGACATCACATGGACAGTGTTGATCAAATGACTAATGAGGCAGTTGGATAAGGCAGAAGGCTGGGTCTCCTCCTCCTGGTCAACAGTGAAGAGTCAACGAACGGACTGGATGCCGGTATGTAAGATTATGTAACAGAAACAATGCGCTTATCGGTGTTCTCATTGGTAAATTATTGTAACAGTACAATGTGATTGGTGAAGATGCTGGAATCTTCTGGTACCGATTGAGGCTGGTTGATAATCAATGTGGCGGAGGTCAGAGGGGGTAGGAACCTGCCAACTTCGCCTCCCCGCATTGACGGTTTCGGTGAATCAGGCAGGAGCCTCAGCTTTCCCACCTGCGCCTTCCTTCTCCTCCCTATCTGCCTATTTAATCGCCTCCTTCCTCTTCTTCCTCCAACTCTCTTCTCTTCATCTACTTTCAAACTCGCTCACGTACCATCAATCGGTCTCTACTAACTTCAAATCTTCATCAATCCTATCGACAAACTCACATCCCTCTCTATCCAGCATGCAGATCTTCGTCAAGACTTGTAAGTGTCTCCCCCTCATCGCCCCAGCTGATAACCCTCATTCCACCGCGAGCGGGGTTACTCGTCAGCAACCACCACTCTCAGCGTTCACCAACGAAGCAACACGAAGGCTAACATCTTTCAGTGACGGGAAAGACCATTACCCTTGAGGTCGAATCATCGGACACCATCGACAATGTCAAGTCCAAGATTCAGGACAAGGAAGGCATTCCTCCGGATCAGCAGCGCCTGATCTTCGCCGGCAAGCAGTTGGAAGATGGTCGCACTCTGTCGGATTATAATATCCAGAAGGAGTCCACCCTTCATCTCGTCCTCCGTCTTCGTGGCGGTATGCAAATCTTCGTTAAGACTCGTAAGTTCTCTCACCGTCCACTGAGTCATCGTCTTGAACTCCGACTGACTTCCGCCGCCAAACAGTGACCGGCAAGACCATCACTTTAGAAGTCGAATCTTCCGATACCATCGACAATGTCAAGTCCAAAATCCAAGACAAAGAGGGCATTCCTCCGGACCAGCAACGTCTCATCTTCGCCGGCAAGCAGCTTGAAGACGGCCGAACCCTGTCGGATTACAACATCCAAAAAGAGAGCACTCTCCATCTCGTCCTCCGTCTCCGCGGTGGTATGCAGATCTTCGTGAAGACGCTCACTGGCAAGACCATCACCTTGGAGGTGGAGTCATCCGACACCATCGACAATGTGAAGAGCAAGATCCAGGACAAAGAAGGCATCCCGCCTGACCAGCAACGTTTGATTTTCGCCGGCAAGCAGCTCGAGGATGGTCGCACGCTTTCCGACTACAACATTCAGAAAGAGTCGACGTTGCATTTGGTTCTGCGGTTGCGTGGTGGTATGCAGATTTTCGTCAAGACGCTCACAGGAAAGACCATCACGTTGGAGGTGGAGTCGTCCGACACCATCGATAACGTCAAGAGCAAGATCCAGGATAAGGAGGGCATCCCACCGGACCAGCAGCGATTGATCTTCGCGGGGAAGCAGTTGGAGGATGGGCGGACGCTTTCTGACTACAACATTCAGAAGGAGTCGACCCTGCACTTGGTGCTGCGACTTCGTGGTGGGCAATAGACGGGTTGATGAAGATGCGGCGAAACGATGGGTTTCAACGCCCGGACGTTTTCAACACGCGCTTCACGATGGGATTTTTCTTCATATTCGGTTAGCGGGATTCTCGGAGTCATCATACCACATGGTTGGGCCTGTCATTTATGAATAGGGTTATTACCATTCCACGGTGCCACGACTGGCATATAGTTAAGAGGTCCTCAAGGAATTGACGTGTCAGATTCCAATCTCTTGATCCAAGGTCATCTGATCCTATTGCAAATCGTGAATCGTAACGTTGATCGTGACGCTTCTGCCAGTTTGATATCTCAAATCCGGTGTTTGCATACCCGTGGCAAACATGTCTGACGGATTCGCCACATCACCATCCACCGAATCATGCTGTGTCGAACTCCAGATACGCCGTAGAAGAAGCTCAAATAGCCTCCAGTACTCCTAGTCACAGAGTTCAAAGCGAATGGAGAACAATTCAAAGGAACATCTCCTGTTGCGAACTGTTAAGACATGATGTGAAGATATAATATATTAGTCCATGAATGGTTTATCGTAATTACAATGGTTCAATAATCCTCCGTATTCCCAAATCCATCCTTCATCGCACGCTATAAAAGCTCGCTGTCATCGAGCGAAGAATTCAAGATTCGTCATTTCCAGTCCCATTCCGAACAGCACCATATCATCAACCCAATCCAGAACAAAATCGGAGATGTCCAAAATCGCCTCCCCCAACCCAAACACTCCTCACGCCGCCACCTCGCCTCCACTCTCCCAATCCCTCCATCCCCCTAAACTCCCCCACGCCGCCAACACATCCTCACTCACGCTACTCCTTACGTCCTCCTTCCGCACACTACTCCGCATACTCATACTACTCCTACCTGACCCTACCGTCCGCCCCGATTCTGCCGTCCGCCCTGACCCCGCCGTCCTCCCCGATCCCGTCCTCGCCACCCCCACCTCTGACTCCCGACTCAGTCTCTTCCTCGTCCGCTCCGCGCCAACACCCATCCCCATACCACCGCTCATCCGCTTCGCCATCCGCGCCTTCACCACCGCCTCCGACACCACCAACCCCGCTCCCTTCCCCTCCCGCTCGCGCTCCTGCGCCGTATGCGCTTCTGCGCTCGCCATCCCCACCCTCGCCTTCTGCTCTACGCCCACCGCGATCGCGTCCAACTCATCCGCGCGACTCGTGCGCCCACCACCGCTGCCCTCGCTGCCAGAGCTGGGGATCACGCGCACGGCGATGTCGGAGGGGGCGTCGGAGCCGCGGCGGGGAGTGAGGGGAGAGGGGAGGGGGGAAGCGGTTGCGGAGGCGGTGGCGGAGGGTGAGAGAGGGAGGGAGAGTGGGGAGAGAGGGCGGGGAAGAGGATGGTGGAGGTTGGAGGAGTGGGAGGGGTAGCAGTAGGTGGTGGCAGGGAGGGTTTCCAGGGGGGGAAGGGGGTCGCGGGGGGGTGGAGAGGGGAAGAAGGGTGAGGGGAGGCCGTGGGGGGTGGAGGGGGTGAGGGGGAAGGCGGAGAGGATGTTGGTGGGGGGGCGGAAGGGGATGGAGGAGGTGCGGGCGGGGATGGGGGGTTTGGTGGTGAGGATGGTGATGCGCTCGCGGTCGAGGGTGGTCGCGGTCGCGGTCGCGGGCTGGGGTTCGAATCGCGGGGAGAGGGGCCGCTCAGTCTCGCGCGGGGGCGAGCCGGAGACGGAGGATTGGGTGGAGGCGATGCGTCGCTTCTCTTGCTTGATGGCCGTGCGGTATCCTTCGGTGAAGGAGTGCTTCGCCATCGCGGCGCGTTTCGATCGCATCATCTCGAGAAGCGCTTCTTCCTCCTCCGTCACGGCCATGAGTTTGTGTTGCTCAGCTTTGAGAGCCCGCAGCTCACTCTCCTTTTTCTTCTTCTCAGCTGCCGTGGACTTTTCGACTGACCGCTCAGCTTCGGGAGGCGTCGGTCGAGGACCATCTTCCACGATCCGGGACAGTCGCGTCTTGCGCGGCCTTCGTGGTGATGTAACGACGTCACTCGAATCGTCAGTAGAGTTATCCCTGGCGGACCTGCTCCTTGAGGACGCCTCATGTTCCCTAGCGGTAGCCTTCGAAGCACCCTCTAACGCCTGCGCCGGAGGATACTCCGTGGATTGTCTGGTTCGCGGTTTCAACTCCAGGGCTCTCGCTCTTCCAATCAGCATCTGACCTGCCGAGTCTCGTGTGTCCGTGGTGTGGACGCTGCTGTCGCAGGCTCTCGAAGCGGTGTCCAGGTCGCTTTCTTCGGCCACATTGTCTTCTTCGTCGGAGGATGAGAAGGACAGCACGCTTGCTTCGTTCAAGTTCGTCCTCGATATCTTGCTCTCGCGTGTCATGGCGGTAAACCCGCTGCGCATCGAAAGCGCCTCCTGGGAATTTTGAGGTCGGAGGGTCGCGTGCGATCGCTTGTCTTGGGCTGCGGAGTATGGTGACGCACGCTGCCTCCTTCGTTCGTCCTCTGGTGAGGGGCGATATCTCTTATCCTGAACGTCGTATGACAGCTGCGACGACGTATATGACCGATACTCGGATGGAGGCTGGGTACTGTGCGGTGTAGCGGGTTCCACCTCAGCATCCTCCTCCGAATCATCCTCGAGCAGACCATCGAACCAATTTTGTATCCCTTTCGGCGGACGACGAACGTTCATCTTGGCGTTGTCGTACTTGTTAGGCGTTCCGCTAATGGGCCTGCTGGCAGGTCTGCTGTGACCGGATGGTGGAGCTGCTGGATCGCCTTGTGGATTGGTCGAGATGGAGGCGATGGAAGGTCTTGTCCGGACTGAACGCGGTGCATCTTTTGCACGGTACGAATCTGCAGAAGCCGCGAAATAGTCGGAAGACATTGACATCTGGGATGGGGAATGGACAAGGTTATGAGTCAACGGTCGTTTGTCCGACGACCTGGGTTTCGGGAACAGTTTCGTTATATCTAGACGCGAACCCCATTTGGATTGCCCCGTTGGTTCTCCATTTGTGTGGTCGGCATTTGTGAGTGTGACTCCGGGACGATTCTGTCCAGCGGAGTTGGGGGGGGAGAGAGGAGCTGGCTTGCCTCGACGTAGTCCTCTATCCCGCACCGCCGAATCGGATGTCTGTTGGGAGATGGTAAGAGGGATGCGCGCGGGGTCGTAGAAGGACCGAAGCGTCGAATCGGAGGGTTGGTGCCGCATATTTCGATTGGTACCGCTGCTAGCCGTGACCGAGGGTGTCAGATTGCGGTGGTGCGTTTCCCCCAAGGCATTGGAGGAGGCCTTGTTTCGAAGGCTCTGGTAGTCGACGTCGGCATTTCGGGATGGATGGTCCACCAGGTCGTAGCCGTCGCCGCGATAGCCGGTATCAGCTCGGATGGCTTTCGATTCCTCCCGCGGACGCTGAACGAAATGCCGCCGCGACGACGAGGGACGTGGCGATGTAGAATGGGTACCGAAGCCGGTAGCACCGAGCAATCGTTCTGCTTTGTTCGCTGGTCGTGCCGATGCTCGTGAAGGAGGGAATACGGTCAGGGTTGGAGCGGATATGTGTTCTATTTGAGGTTGCGGCTCTTGATTCCTCCTCTGGAAGGGGAATATCGACGTTCGACCCATGTTTGGATCGATTCAAGCCGCATTTGTAGCGCTCGGCGAGTGAAATTTCTCAAAGAAAGACCAGTAGAAACGGAAAAGGACGAAAAGAGGCCGTGACTACGTGAAAGCTATGAAGGGCGAATTGCGCAAAGAGCGATAGAGGCGCGTCTCTGTATTCAGCAAACGACCGTCAGCGGATACGAATTGCGAATAGACACGGAGAAAACGAAGGCAACTCGCCCACGGGATCGGGGTTGTGCAGAAGTGGAGGGACGAGGGACCGGTTGGTGTTTTTGGTGGATATGGAGATCGGTACCGTACCACAGAATCGCGATGTAGCACGAGGCGGAAATGCGCTACCTTTCGCTTTCCCAGATCCCGTCCATACTTTCAGGATTCGGTGATCACTAGTTTACCTGGAGTATGCGCCGGTGGGGTTGGTCTACCGGTAACCAGTTGCCCGTGAAAAGGGATAGCGCTTAGTTCTCCCGTGCAACGGAATAAGGGCGGGATTTGGTGGTTAAGTTAGGGCTGATAGGGCCAGGTGCAATTGATATCAAACGAAGGGAGACGAAGAAAGAATAATCTTCCGTTCATAGCACGAATGAGATGGTCGTAATCATACAGAGGTCTCTCGGCGACCGTTGCTCCGCTGCCCCTTCGACCGGGAACCAGCAGTTGGAGTCGGTGAAGCCAACGGGAAACAACCGTTGAAGCCCGGACAGCGAGACGCAAGGACGATTGACGAGGATAGCCCTCGTCCTGCTATCTGTAGTACTGCAGTCCTGGAGGCGAACAACGGAGAATGCCAGAAAAGACCAAACAATTGCACATCCAGTCTGCTGATCTGTTCTGCTTTTGTTCATACAATTCAAGCCTCAAGCAAGGAATCTCCAACTCTTTCTAGGCTCACGGGAATGGACACCGAACACGAAGTGCTCATGCACCAGCCATGCAATTGCTGAGGACCCAAAAGCGAGTCTAATGACGAAGCGTCATGGCGCCAGGAATTGGTTTTTGGAGGGTCACAGGATGCAAGGAGCCGTCGGAGCCGTGCCACCCACGGTGCCAGTCGTAAATGGCGAAGTTCGTCCTTCGTTCAATCGTTCAAATGCCCACATTCCCCGTTTTCCACCAGGTTTAGCCTTTTGGTTGCGTGCAGATCAAGAGATGGTGTAGACAGGCGTTCCCATCGATGTTGGGGCTCCCCTGCATGATCGAGCCGCCATCCAGGGCAGATGCCAATCAAGCGCCGAAATTTCCCAAGTCCGTGAGAAATTGCGGGCATACTTCCCGCTCGGCGCTCAATGGTTTGGGCTGTACGGAATACGTACTATGTAAACACTAAACAGTGTAATGTTGTGTCGGCCAGGTACATACGGGAGAGTTCCAGAGTGGGCAATGGGTGGAATTCCATGTCAAACGTTTCAGCATTGCCGTAGAACGATAGACAACGATAATCGTGATGATACTCCGCAACTTGAGGAGAGTGCTCCGTATAAGATGGTTATTCCCGTGTGGTACTGTGGTTTTTCCGTCAGCGCTATGATATTAATGAAAATAATAAAGGAGCGGGGTCCGCCACATTCCACTATAACATGGATGATTTGATAATTGATGCTTGAATCTTGATAGAATATCGAAGCCACTAGTTAACTGTTTCTAGCCTCTAGGGAAGTTGGATATGACTATGACTACTACATACCTATTTCATAGTAGGTGTGTATGTGAGGGAGTTGGAATGATTGATGATTGATGATTGATCAGAAGACAACTTCAACGCCACCACCTCGAAGTACCTATCACCTTACTTACGAGTAGTTAACTAAGTTAGTTACTTACTTACTATCAGTCGATGTGTTTTGCGAACCGAACTTGTAAACTTGTAAACTCGTCAAACCGAGACCTGCATCCTCGTCAAATACGAAGTTCCGACACTCCCAAACGGTCAAACGGCCTAGAATCCCCAATCCTTCTACTCTCCCGTCTTCCAAACTCCGGGACTGGAAGTCTGAAGAGGGCAGTAAACATGCGTGAATAAGTGAAAGGGTTGAAGGCAGGGAATCACTAATCAGGGATGAGGTCCTGGCGATCTGCAGGCCCGTCTGACTTGCTGAGCGCCATCATCCATGCGATCCTAACATCCTGTCCCCAACCCTGTTTAATTCCTACCTGCTCCGAAAGGAGTTCGTAGGAATCGTCTATCATCGGCCATCGGCCATCGTCCATCAGACATCAAGCGTAGCGAGATCTATGGGCCTGACACATCTCTCCCAGGTGAAATGCAATGTTGTCCCTCAAGAATGCTTCAATCAGCTTGAATCTGGTGGCGTGGACTCCAGCGAACCAAGCCACGATATCCATCTTCCAGCCCTTCTCGCTCCCTGTCTGCGATAGTGCGATTGCGACTCGTCTATCTCAGACTATCAGACGGGCGGATGGCCCGCCAAAATAAGACTTCAGAAATAAAAAGAGATCGCCTCCAAGACTGAAGGAGTCCAATAGTTAGGCCGTCCATGATTCATGACCCATCAAGGTTAGGGGTCTTGGGGTCCGATCGATCTGGCTTAGAGAGATGCATGGCGCGTCGATAATCGATATGACTCCTTGATGATGGCCATCGTCTATTCTTCTCTGTTTCATGGAGATATTTCTTTGGTTTCTGATAGAATCTTCACGCGTTGACAAGATCGCCCTGGGGTGCAGGCCTGATCGCTTCCATTGCCTTTCCGTTTGGTCTTTCCCATCACATTCTCCCTGCCAGAATCCGCAGGATGGGTGCGCTCATCTTTTCCTGTGAACTTAAGGTCGGTTCTCGGGCCTCATCTGTTATCGTCTGGTGTGTGACGCCCTGTTTCGTAGATGCGGTGCCCGATCAAATGCATTTCGAATAGCTGGACCGTATCGTGCAGTTGCTTTTCGTGACGGCATGCATCCATCCGATGCAGGAATCGAGTGACGGTTCACATCGCGTGCTGGAGTTCTGGTGGTCTGTTTCCACTGCTGAGTGTTGATCGACAGCTGTCGATGCAACGACCTGTGGCTGTGTGACCAGACGCTGTATCTCTGGAAGGAATCAATTGTCCAGACTCTCGGTCTGTGGTAGCAGCCTTGCACTTGGTAGGAGGCTAGGAGACACAGACGGAAGAATGTGATGCAGTCATCTTTCCAAGTCCTTCTCGACTCATTATTTGTGTTCCTTTGTGCACGACGGTGACACGGTGCATGTGGTGGTCAGAATCCAGATCCTGCTGGGCGTGCTGGCTGTCGAAGGCTACGGAATTGCGGATCTTCTCCACGTAGGCGACGAGCCGAAATTCATGTTTCAAAGTTCAGACATACATAGATAATGTCTCGATTATTATATGTGAATTGCTAAGTCTGCTCGATACAGATCCTCCTGTTCATATCATTCTGGTCTTGCTGTCTGGGTGAGGTGTCAACTCTCTGATAGAATTTAAGAAAGATCAAAGGAAATGAGGAAAAGAAACATGTTTAAACCCTTGACCCATACTTCTCCATACCTGCCGTTGCTTGTGCCATTTTTCATTTTCCATATTAGTTGCGCAAAGACGGGAAAAAACGTTATTAGCTAGTTCCCGATCTACCACCTTTGTGAACCATTTCAGTTCGTAGGCCGCAGCAGTAGCGTCCCCTAGGGAGTCTTCAATGTTGGTGTCCCAAACCCAACATTGAGAGCTGTTCCCGTACGGCTTGATCTCGTTCTCATTCGTTTCCTAGGGGGTCCTACGTTTGGTCCTCCCGCAGACGCCGTACCACCTTGCCTGAGCCTCTTCGAACCAATTGAATACTTGAAGACCACTTTCCGTGACTGCTGCATCACGGGCATCTGTTGTGGTCGGTGGACAGGCGTGCTGAGAGTTCCAGTGATGGTCGTTTCACCGGTAGAAACAGCCGACGAACGAGGAGGCAGGTCGAGAAACGGTGGTATCACTTGCCCATGTGGAGTCACTGGCTGTGTGAGCTCTGGAGGTCGTGGGAATTGACTAATCTCCTCGTGCTCGGCGACTGGAACGGGCTCGAACTTTTGGGTGTTAGCTGGAACCATTTCATGCATATTGCGAGAGGTCGTACCAGATGGCCAACCTTCACTTCAGGGTTGAACAGCTCAGCTCGCATGGAGGCCAGCTTGTGTTCGGCTGAGGTGATCTGAAACTTGGACAGTCCAGTCTTGGGGAACCCTTTGCTCTTGGAGCCCGATGTGCTCACAATGAATCCCTTTTCGCGAAGCTGGTTGAAAGCCGAGGCAGCGGTTCTGAGATCGCATTCGAGGGTTCTGGAAAAAGAAGCCTGAGTGTGGTATCCTTCGGTGTCTATGACTTTGACTGCTTTGCGAAGAAGAGCCAAATTACAGATCTCGCTGAGAAGACTGGGATCCTTCTGTCTTAGGAGACATTCGTAGCATGCATGAGGGTTTGGAATCTTTGGGTCATTAGTGCCATGAAAGCCATAACACTCGGTGTGCTGATGTTTGTAGCAGAAGGCGCATTGAATCTTGCGAAGGTCAGCGTATTTCTACTCGGAGTTTGCAGAATACTCGCCATTGACGTGGTCTCCGATGCAGATCCACACTGACATTTGACATCATGGGCGTCTCGCACCGAACGACCCTGCAGACCTAGCTGTAGTCCTTGAAGGTCTTCAACGATACTAGACATCAGTCTCAGACGCCCTTCCGACGGACGTGAGATCTGAGTTGACGGATCAATCACCATCTCTTGAGTATCGCCTCCGAGGTGCACTGACTCGGCTGCCTGTAACTACAGCACGCAATATTAGCATTTTATCATCGCCACAAGCATACGACATACTTCTTTGGCCAAGCCAACTTCGATCCTCTTCACAGTATCTTGAGTCGGTGTAAATTCATCCAGCTGAGACGCCGGAACGACCATATCATCGATTGGACGGTGATAGGGGGTATTACTCTGGCTTTCAGGCTGGATTGCTTTCTTTCCTGTAGAAACAGGGTATCGTGAAGCCTGAGACGACTGAGCTTGGGCATTGTACCGAAGGTGATCACCCTCTCCCAGTTGCTGTTGAGTGGGTGGTGGCATTGCAACGTTGCTGGGAATTTGTCGTTGAAGATCGCCAGTATGCATTTGTGACTGGCTTCCCATGGCATCGTGGCCGAAGTCGATATCCATATCGCTAGATACCTTGTCGCCGTATTTCAGGCCCTCAGGGATATCTGGCATCTTAAAGGTGTCCCCCCGCCCTTGAACATTGCTATGCATCCTAGAGGGATCGGGAAACGAGTAGGACAGATTGAGATTTACCCCGTGATGGCCTGAGTAGCATTTGCCAAAGGACATGGAAGTTCGCTTCCAGCCATTGTTCGACGGAAAGTACAGGCTATCATTGCTGTATGGTTCAAAGCCTGCTGGTTGATAGCTGGGGTCACAGTCTTCGGTATAGTACAGTTGCATGGCGAGATATCGGCGTCCTAAATATGGTCAATTCACAGTCAACGGCCGAAAACTCGTGTACCTACTAGGAAGTGGAGGCAAATCATTGCATACAGTAACCACTCGTCGAAAGAAAGCATGCAATGAATGACGAGCCGCTTGAAGTGTCATTCGACCCCCCTTAGGATCCTGGAAGCCGAGGGTAACATCACCGTGTCTCGCATTCTTGCGGTACGTGAAGGTGAAGGTGTAAGATTCAAGAACATGCTCGGGATGTTCAGGGTCCTCAAAAATGTTGAGTTGCAGTGCTCGGAGGGCTTTCCGAACGATAGCATCGGCAGCACCTTTCTCCTACACGCGAGTCATAATCAGAGGCGATATGCCATATTCGATGTCAACTTACAAGCCAGTCTAGTAGCGTGTCCGAGTTAGCGCTACGGCCGCGCTGGATGATATTCATGGCAGCTCCAGCACTCCCGGTCCTATGAAGAGATCGTCCAGTGACAAGACGAGACTGATCACCGAAAGGCAGCAAGGAGTCAACGTGGGTGTTCTCGAAGACATGGTCGTCAAATAGATCCCTTGATCGTATGTCAGTGTTAGTCAAACATACTTCTACCATAAACGCACCTGAGAAAGGCCACCGAACTCAGCTAGCCGACGTCAGCGCTACGCTCTCATCTAGTGGCACGCATCACTTACAGATCCAAGGAGCAGCTTCTGTACTATCTGGGCGCTGATGGTTTCAGTCACGGTGTCCGTGGTTGTTGCAGAAGCTGCGACTGCGGTAAGCTGCCTAGGGCGCTGTGTTGTCGCCATACTTTGGGATGAGATACAATTCAACCATACAACGCTATTTGGAAGCGGACATTAAGCAACTTGAAGAATGAAACAATGTCACCAACGGCAATATTTCACCGGGAAGTGAACGAGCACATCAGAAATGACATGGAGGGCGATGAAGTCTGGGGACGGGCGACATGAAGTTGAGATAGTCGGCATGCCAAAGGAGGAAGGAGCCCCTAACGCAGTGGTGGATGGGAAGGAACGCCCGAATTTCCACACAAACGCCAAGCTGCAATATCAAATCGTACAGACAATGAGAAGAGTATTATTAGTTCAACAATTAGAAGCCAGAATTAATGGTGTTGATAGGGTGGACTTTGAATGATCCTCCTAGGACTAATATGACGAGGCGATGCCGAGCCACTTGTACTAATTCAGTGAGACTTGTCGACGACATGTTGATATACCATCCACACAAACCAAAAAAGTCTCGCAGTAGGTTCAGTAGACAAACGGATCATAATGCCCATCTTCTTTTCATCTCGCCGGCAGCGACCGAAGCCTTCCGAGCCTATACCACGAACGTGGAATATTCGTCCTCAGGCCACGCGAAACGGGAGACCAACCTAAGTTAGCATACTGCATACAACTCAATCAACAATACGCAGATCAAGAATCTTTCTGTTGGACATGCGAAGCAAATGGTGGACTGAGACAGAACGACCGAAATTCCGGAAACGACATTTATATCCGTATTGCACGAATCCACCGATCATCTCGTCCCGATTCACAGACGGGACTGAAAAAGAATCACTCTATCTCCTTAGGACGAAATTGGTTAATATGACATAATGGAGCGCTTGAAATGCATGACGACAATTCGAACGACGACATCACAATCTCGCTGAGGAGTGGCTGCCTGGAAAGCTGCCACGACTGGTTGCGGTAATGGCTTCAAAACGCATCCGTACGGAGTACATTACTTTAGATCGAGGTCAAGCACTGACTGCACTGTCCATCAAGATGATTCTAGGATGGTCATGATTAGTCGATACTCTATGGAAGGCATTACTCTATCCGACGGCGATCTTGCCACCACGGATCAAATATTTGCACATGCCCATATCCGTCGTATATGCAGGAGGTTGAAGACTTGAAATGAAGAAGACAAGGGTGGCGCAAGTGGCTGGAAGTCGCAAAAACGTTGAACCGGAGCGGGTTTAACCCTAAAGCGGGCGGTCGGGAGGCTGTCGAGGGCGCTCGGCGATGTCACGGCAGGGGCAAGAGCTGGCAACGAGCTGGGATGAGCTGGGAAGAGTTGGCAAATCACAAGGCAGCCGCGGGGCCATTGCCAGGTTCGCCTGCCCGAAATGGCGAACCAGCAGCCGTGAAACGCACGTTGAAAGCTCTCCAGTTTCCACCCGTGACTTGGTTTAATCATAAATGTCACGTGCAGGCATTTTGCCCGCCCACGGATCTTGAATCATCAACCAACCAACCCGCTGCTGGTATGGAACGAACACCACCAACTCTCTGGACTGCTCTCGACTGAACCACTGCACCCATCGGTTTTCCTCCTCCCTCCATCCCTCCATCGTCGCCTTCACATTCATCCAACCCCTCCACCTCCCACTCGAATACCGTCCAGGAACTCCCAAACTCTCGTAAAAGCTTCTGACGAGACTTTCCATCTGTCTCCTCCTTTCGACACCTGGAACCTGGAACGCTGGACGCTCGCCGTCAACTCTTGAGCAACTTCATTCCAGAATGAGATTCCCCGCAACACGGCATATCCTCTGGGGAAGTTGTTAAGTGCGTGTTCGGGTACTCGAAGGTGTCTTTGTCCATATCGAGGCATGCGAACTGCAACATCGTCCTTGTTCCCAGTTCAACAAGCCGAAGGTGCTCCTTTCCACGGTGTTCCTTTCCACGGTGTTGTTGGCGTAAACGATTGACTCCTTCGGGCTTGCACGACACACTTTCTCCCTGACCCATACGCAACTCTTCCAAGAACATACGCAACACCTTAACCGTTCATGTGTTGGTCTTCACATGCCCGTGAATATCCTTCAGAATTAAATCTATGGATATCGCTTCATCCATGAATGCTTCTGTTCCCTCGCCCCTCTCCTCCTTCGAAGATCCTGCACCTCCTCCTGACACAACCCAGATGGCATCGAACAGAAAATCCCGGGGCCCTTCCCTCGAGAACTCTTCTCCTGTAACAAACCCCGGAGATTCATTCGGCACCTTTGGACATTTATCGTCAGCGACACAGACAACTGTTGTCACCACCACAACGACTACCACCACCTCTTTTCCGCCCCTGGTCTTCAATTCACCTCGAAGTCTCAGCGAGCGTGACCCGAAACAATACCCTCTCGCCGCTTCTCCCACACCAGCTTCGATTCGACAGCTTAGCTTCAACCTTGGGGGTCGACCTGCTTTTTTGAAGGAGTCCGAGAACTTCAAGCATGCACTGGAAGAGGTACGTTCGAGGACTGCACACCTTGCATCGCTAGTTCCCTATGATCTGTTCTATTGTTCATTGCATGAATTCTGACGTCGACCAGTATAAACAATCCCAAGAATCCCTTCAAGCGTCCAACGGAGCCATTCACTCGTACCCTGCATCGGAAACCATGGTTGAGAACCCGTTCAACCCGTCGAAACCTGTTCCATCCAACACCGATCGGAAACGGCCAGCCCGGTCTCCACTTCCCGAAATGTCGAACAATCGTTCTACTTCACCACTTGTCGAAGTATCCAACAAGCGTTCGAATTCACGACCCGCAAATATCCTCACACAAGCTGCGGAGAAACTCGCTATGCAGCGACCGACGAAAAAGGCTCGAATGATGTCTGACGAAGTTTCTCAACGTCGCTCCCCGCGCCTACAGGAGAACATCGGTGAACACGTTGTCGAGACACCAGTCCGGTCGTCTTCTAGCCGAAGATTGTCGGGTTTGCACCATGGACACAAGGTCCAAGTCGATGGTGCGTCAGCGAGCGATCAAGACCGGGCCTGGAGGCTGAAGGGCAAAATGGCTCGAGCAAGAGGGACTGCATCTAAAGTCCCAGCTCCCCTGGGCACTCCCGAGTCCGGTATCTTGCGACTACGGCCTCGGCCGAGTGGATTCGCTACTCCCCTGGAAAGTGGCAGTTGCTCCGCTGATTCTACGGAACTCGACCACTCGCACCTTCTGGATGCTCCCGCACCTGCCCCTGGCATTGCTGCCACTCCTCCTATAGCAGAAAGCGATCTTGAGCCATATGTCGAGGGCGAACAACGCACTAACCGCCTTCCTCCTCCTCCTCGACCTACACCTTTAAACACGTTGGCCGCACAAGACGCCAGTCTGCCTAGCCCAAGTCTATCACCCATCACGGCTGCTGCCCAGTTGCATCCGCCAGCTGAAAATTCGAACGATATGGACTCCACCCTCGATGGACGGTTTGATCTGGACACACGAAGTCGGCAGGAGTCTCAGGAGTCCGAGGCACTGCGATCGATCCAGATGCTGAGAAGTTCTCTCAAACCGACAGGCATTGGCATTCCATCCACAGCCGCGGATTTCAGTCCTAATCCCCAACTTCCGACTCCCACCCTCATGGACGTTCCAAATATGGTTGACACTTTCGATGCCATGCCCACGGATTTGCAAACATATGTGATGTTCCAACTGCTCCGCCGGTGCTCGAAGAAAACCCTGCACTTTGTTGCCGAGACGGTGAATCCTGCGCTGAAAATCGATTTCCTTGGTCTGCTCCCTCTCGAACTCAGTCTGAACATCTGTCGCTTCCTCGACACTAAGAGTATGTGCCGTGCGGCACAAGTGTCCAAGAAATGGCGGCAGATCGTGGATACGGATGAAAGGGCATGGAAGGATTTGCTCGACAAGGATGGCTACCTTATGCCGGAAGGCGAAATCGATCGAGCGATCAAAGAAGGCTGGGCTTGGCAGCATCCCACTCCCACCGATGATTACGAGCGGGACCTCAGCTGGTATGTCAAACCGAAGCTGGAGATTGCCGATTCGCCTGGATCATTGGCTTCATATGGAATAGCCGATGCGGGAGAGGGGAAAGTGACGTCATCAGGAAAGAAGAGGAGAGCGGTAACATCAGGCGTAAGGAGCAGCAAGAGGTTGAAGAAGAAAGAAAAGGCATCTTCAATTACTCACGAAACCGTTTCTATGCAGGCTCTGGAGCGATTTCAAGGACCAAATACCTACGCAAACGCGGCTGCCGTCGCCATTCCAGACCCGAAGATTGGACTTCCTAATCTGCGGAACCTTCATCTCTTCAAGTCGATCTACCGCCGCCATCATCTGATTCGACGCAGCTGGATGGACGGGGAATCGAAACCATATCATCTTGCGTTCCAGGCTCACCACCGTCATGTAGTGACTTGCCTCCAATTCGACACGGACAAAATCTTGACCGGCAGCGACGACACGAATATCCACGTCTACGACACGAAGACGGGGGCGAGGATCGGGACACTTGCCGGTCATGAAGGCGGCGTATGGGCTCTTCAGTATGAAGGAAATACTCTTGTGTCCGGTTCCACCGACCGATCAGTCCGAGTCTGGGACATCAATCGCGGCAAGTGTCTGCAGATTTTCCAAGGCCATACATCCACCGTCCGGTGTCTGGTCATTCTGAAGCCGACGCAAGTCGGAGAAAATGCGGATGGCAGCCCGATCATGCTGCCGAAGGAGCCATTGATCATCACCGGATCCCGCGACTCGACGCTTCGGGTTTGGAAACTCCCTCAACCCGGCGAACGATCCATCTTCCAGTCCGGCCCCACCGTCAACGAGTACGACAACCCGTATTTCGTTCGTGTTCTCGCTGGCCACAACCACTCCGTCCGCGCCATCGCTGCGCACGCCGACACCCTCGTATCCGGCAGCTACGACACCACGGTCCGGGTTTGGCGGATCTCCACCGGTGAGACCATCCACCATCTGCGGGGGCACACATCGAAAGTATACAGCGTCGTCCTTGACCACGAACGCAACCGCTGCATCAGTGGGTCGATGGACAACATGGTCAAGGTCTGGTCGATCGAGACGGGGCAATGCCTCTTCAACCTCGAAGGGCATTCCTCGCTCGTCGGGCTCCTCGACCTCTCGCACGGTCGCCTCGTCAGCGCGGCGGCCGACTCGACATTGCGGATCTGGGATCCAGAGAACGGGCAATGCAAGAGCACGCTCTCCGCGCATACCGGGGCGATCACCTGCTTCCAACATGACGGGCAGAAAGTGGTGAGCGGCAGCGACCGCACGCTCAAGATGTGGGACATCAAGACGGGGGAGTGTGTCAAGGACCTGCTGACGGATTTGAGCGGGGTGTGGCAGGTGAAGTTCAACGAGCGGAGATGTGTGGCGGCGGTGCAGAGGAATCGGTTTACGTATATCGAGGTGAGTGTTCTCTCGTGAACCCTATTACAGGAACGACTAGAACTAATGTTTGGTCTGGATAGGTTCTGGACTTCGGTGCCGCTCGTGATGGGATATCGGAGGACCAGCTCGGCGTGCGGACTCTGGTCGATGCGAATGGGGATCCCATGTCCGAGTCGCCGGAGTCCGATGACGAAGACGGACTGAACTAAACGACACTACACTACACTGCATTGCGAAGGAAGGAAAAGAAAAGGGATGGGACCGGAGAGGAGTTCCTTGTTCGGGTCTACACGACGCTCACGACACGGCGACACGGCTGTTTTGTTTCTAGCATCGTATGTTACGGCTAGCGAGCATTTCCACGGGTGTTCAGGGCATTTCACAGCGCTACTGCACACCATGTTTTTCTCGTGTTTACCCCTCCCCATCTCATGAGACCGCTGGATGGGTCGATCCGCTTGGCGATCGATGTCCGGAGGTGTGGACGTTGGATGTACGGAGAGTACGCACGACAGTACCAACTACCAGCATTTCTACCGGTGGCACGATCATGATCTGTCGGGCGGCATGACCTTGAATGCATTGTCATCATTCCGCATTCTCGGCGCGAGGGTTATTGCGGTCCGTTGGCCACCAGATGTTCTTCTGAGGCTGTTTAGATACCAGGAGTAGGGATTCCATGTGCAATTTTATGAGTGTTCACGAACCGCCGTTGCTGCTTGGTGTCTTGAGTTTGGTGAGAATTGAGCAATGGTAATACACGTACATCATCCATCAATGATTCAGGAACGAGACGATCTGTCCATGTCGATCGGCGGACTTATTGTCTTTATTGTCGGGACTATTGCCGGCACTGCTCCCGGTGGGACGGTATCCGTGCGTACTGCTTATTGCTTAATTCATAATTGTCGTTGCAGTTGTGGTTACATCGCTTTGGTGGGTGGATACGGTAGCTTCGCCTTCACCCGAGCCCACTGTTCCCGCTCTCCCGAACTGCATTACTACAGTGGACTGGTAAACCGTAAACCGTAAACCGTAAACTGTAAATCCTTTCCCGCCGTATCCGCGTGATCTTGAAGCCCGATATCGAACGATAGCTACCGGCATCTCGAAATCCGCAGCGAACCTCACCCATTCCTCCAACTGACTGATCATAATTCCCCCCGAACCGACCGAATTCGGTTTCATTGCCCCTTTCTGCAGCGTTCCACCAGATCGACATTGTATCACCGTCACCCGATCTCGTGGCCCTTGGACAACATGGCGCTATTGCCTCCCGGGCTCTTCATTGGCGACGTCAGAACTCAGCACTCAGAAGTGGAGGTTCCAGATGTCTTGGTCTATTCTTAGCAAGCGAGATCGGGGAGCACGGCGGCGGGCCAGCCTGGGAGCTTTGCCAGCGGGACAAATAGCGCTCATTCGACATTGGTGCCTGGGATGCTGGAGCGGGGAGAAAACCAAAATGTCTTGAACTCTTGCGGCTAATATCGGGGATCATAGTTATACGAGTCGGGGTAATTCAGAGATCAGCTAAGTTTCATCGTTGCAATACGAAAGATGGAGAATGGGGAATATGGTCAAAAATTGGGTTTTCCAATACCGGTACAGTAGGGCTTACATACATGATCGTTTGCAATATCACGCCAATATGTATGGCGAAAGGTTTAAATAATTGCTCCATTTGTGCTTCATCGTCATGGAGTCCCCTGCGACGTGGGAGGATTGGCAGTGCATTGGAGATGGCGTTTGGCAGGGCTGAGGAGGTGGACATTGGACACGACAGGTTTGGCGTTGGGCTTTTGGGGCATTCCCTTGACTTGGGAATCCCAAGTTCCAAGATGTCGAATTGCCATAGCGGGATGGATCCGAATTCATTACTCCTAAGTCCTAAGTCCTAAGTACCTACTGTAGAGAGCCGAGATGGTGTCATGATGTGCCTTGATTTGCACAGCGAACTTGGAGAATCCCCCGCTTCAATCTATCTCACCATCATGGGAGTAGTTCATAACACCTTGCGAAGTGGAATCGGTGAAGTCAGAAGTGGAATCGGTGCGGAATCTACAATGGAGAAAATGAGAGAATCCTCGTCATCGTAAGACCTGCTACGCTCTTTTTAGTTACAATAGAAGCCCACTCTCGCCATCGCCTTCTCCACCCTTGCGCTTAGCCTCAATTCGATACTTCTTCCTCCGCGGCTTTCCTGACTTCCTCCAAAGTCAAAACCATCGCATCACTGAATTCCATATTCTTTTCCCTCATATTCACCCCTTCGGAACACCAAAGGGATACGGACCACTTGTTGGGCATTTTTCTTTCATCCACTGTGTTCACCGAATCCGTCTTGGGTCACGCCAAAGTCAACCCAAACGACCGAACCAACACTTCGCTGCAACTCCACCTGCAGCCATACCGTTCGTTTAGATCCATTAATATCAATTCTTCCACTGCATTGATTTGCATTGTCCTCAGCTGAATGCCGGTGCTCCTCTCGCGCCACCTCTGAGACATCGAACCTCTCCGGCTTTCCTGCTGGCCGCCACCAATTTTGCCTTCGTCCACTTCAAATCAATTGACGCTTCACCCCGCCGTCCGCCGTCCGCCGCCCGCGACCCCCAAGTCCGGCCCTCCCTTGGGAGACCATCATCGGAATCAGTTCTCCATCGTGCCACGCTGTACTTCCGTACCTCCAGCCGCATCCTCCATCGACCAGGCCAGGTACCGTAGCTGTCCAGCGCCCCTCCATCGTTTCCACCAGTCGGCAAACGGGTATTGCACCAGCTGCAAACGCCGAGAACGCCGCTTTTCATCCAGCCCAATATCCTCTGGAGCGACACCGCTGCACAGCTGTAGGGCGAGGCATCAATATCCTAGACTTGCCTTCCTTGCGGTGCGTCGCCATCGGACCCGCCGTCGGATGTAATACGAGCAGAACAGCACATCTCACGGTGCAGCTATCTGCAGTTCTGCACGGCACGTTTGCTTGCTTGGCAGGTAGACGATAGATCCAGTGCCACCGCGATTCGATCGAGAGGTTGGCTACACTGCAGACTGCGGCTGCAAAAGGCTATTACTTAAAACGACGCGGCATTGCTCCTTTGCTCATAAATCTCTCTTGGCTGGCAACCTCGTCGTCGACCCGAGCCTTCGAGTCGTAGCACCCATTGAACCTCGTCTTTCAATTCAAAAGACCCCTTTTAGACCTTCAATTGAGTCCTGTCGGAAGATCGGTACACACATCAGCGATTCTCGTCGATGTCCGCCACCATGGTGGACTCATTTTCTCGTTCTCAAGTGCCTCACCGCAAACCCCTCCCTTCAAACAGCAACATTGCCGTCCCTCCCCATACCGGCGATCAACAACAACAGCAGCAACAGCAGCAACAGCAGCAAGCATCCTTCCGAAACCACCGACACAGTCGCACCGTCTCCTCGTCGATTTTCCCCCAAGGTGCTCCTGACCAACCCCCCTCCCGAACCCCTTCACAAACCGCCCAATACCCCGAACCCACCCCCATAAACCGCGCCTCCCGCACCTTCTCTAACGCCACCATCTCCACCACATCCACCTCCTCCGGCCCCCCCACCAAATCCGACCTCCGCCGCGGTGGCTCCACCTCCTCCCGCGGCACCACCTCCTCCGTCGCCCCCACCTCCTACGTCGCCCTCATGCGCAAGCAAAAGGCCACCGTCTGGTGCGACCGCAGCCAAGCCGAAGACCCCGCCCTCCTCGCCCAGCAGCGCGCTGCCCGCGCCCGCGCCACCCGTGAGATGGTCGGCCCATCGCACCTGGCGCGCCGCACGGGGACGCCGACGTCCGGCGCCGCCCCCGGCAGCATCACAATTGCGAGCGCGAGCAGCAACACGGGGTTGCGCAGTAAGATCCGCCACCATGCGCCGCGGCCGGTGCCGTTTACGGGGGGGAACTTGGCGGGGCAAACGGGAGTGCCGATGCGGCTGAGCGCGAGCGAGGTGGATGAGGAAGGGGGCGGCACGGGGGAGGATGGAGAGGGGGATCAGTATCATCGGCGCACGGGGAGCGGACGGAGTAGTGTGGGGAGCGGGCGGAGGGTGCAGAGTGGGTATTTGGCGCCGGGGCAGGCGGGGCGGTATAGCGTGGGCGAGCGGATCGGGGGCGCGACGCCGCCGTCCGGGGCAGGGAGCAGCGAGTTGTTGGCGGAGGAAACGTCGGCGCCGGGACGCGCGGCGGGGCGGGCATCGTATGTCGCGGGAGCCACCGGGTCGGGACCGCCGTCGCGGCTGGGGACGGGGCTGTCCAGACGGAGCTGGAGCAGCGGAGAGAACGCGGAGCAGCTAGAAAGCCAGTTCGGAGGGCTGGGCGAGATGCGAGAGGCGGAGCGGCCGAAGCTGGTGGTGGCGGAGAAGACGCCGAAGCAGCGGGAGGAGGAGCTGCGGAGGAGGGGCAGTGTGGATGATCGGTCGACGAGCATGGGGGCGAATGTGCGGCTGTTTGTGGCGAATCCGGATCTCAGTGATTGAGATGGATGGCAGCGAGAGGAACATGCTTCCGGTTGATTAATACCCATTAGCCGCTACTAGCGTTTTACTGCTTGGGTTTGGGGATGCGATAGGATACATTATGGCGGAGTATCAATGCTGGGGTCGGAGAGACATTACTTCGAAACAGCCATAATGATCACACTCTTTGTCTAATGCCTGCATTGGTGACAATATACAGTGATCGTGATATATACTACCTCAACTGTTTTCCAATTTCATGAGTCCGAATGCTTTTGCGAAATCAACGGAAAGGCAATTCCAGCTCGTGAATCTCAAGGTCACGTGGTTTCGCGCACCACTAGCGCCAATCCACGCGTTTCTCACCGGAACCGCGACTCTCGCGACTTGAAAGCCCCCATTCCATATGAATTCACCACCTAACACACCACCATATTCCTACCATGCATCCAGACCACTGACATGATCTCCCCGATCAATCAGCGCGACTCACTGCCCAGCCAGCACCTTCTGCGGCTGCGTGCAGGATTTCTAGAAGATGTGAGTTGCTTTTTCCTGTTCCCTTGTTCGATGACTCGGGCAGATGCCGATGCGCAAGGGTCTTGGTTGGAGTGCCGCCGCCCACTTCGTGTCGCGGGATCGGTTCCCCGGCGCCAACTGGCACGGGTGGGCACTGCTAGCGATCAGCGAGTGATGGAGGATGTGTTTGGTGTCTGTACGCGTTTGGGAGATGTCGTTCTTTCGGGTTATTGTTGATCTGGATTTCTTGCGACGCTGCTGCGGATTGTTGGAGAGAGGTTTGCTGATCACCGGTTTGGGGTATAGGATACACAGGCCTCAATCGACGGGTGGCAGGTCGGTGCGGGTGTGAAGGAGAGTCGGGTCAATATAGAGGGAAGCAAGGTGAGGACAGATGCTGGCGGACGCGCATATGAAGAGACTGCGGGAACGGAGGTTTCAAGCATCGGCGCACATGTGAAGGGAAGAAATGAGCGGAGCGGCGACGATAACAACGCCGACAACGAGAATCAAACAACAACACGGAAGTCAAAGTCTTCCACCACAATCGCCGTCGAGCGCACGCCTGCGCAATCACAGATCGAGGTCTCTCAACCGAGCCATCAGATACCACAACCTCGTCGATCCGCGCCACGGAATTCCATCCCACCACATCTGAGGGCAACACTGTCTACACCAGCCATGGACAGACTCGCTGGTAAAGACGATGGGTCCTCAACATCGGATATGGGCAAGATGGATGGGGATCCTCGGGTGCTCAAGTCGTTCCCAGCTACCTTGGACCAAGGAGGTCCCACGCAGGTGATGGATAGCCAGGTTTATAAGGACTACGCGGAGAACACGCGGTATGGCGGCGGCCACTCGGGGTTTAACATTAGTGGAGAGGATGTCGCAGCAGGTCTCGATGCCGGAGATGACGATGTCTTCGCAGGCTTGAGCCCTCATTCTGCCGACGATGACTTCGATCAGGATGCGCCTACATCTCTGAGAGGTGACTCCCCTTTCCATCCCACCTCCGATACGAACCTACAGACCTCCCCGCAACAGGATTCCCCAGAAAATCTACCCCGAGTGTCGCGGTCGTCCATCCTCGACGGGACCAAATCAGACGACCACTTCCTCCTCCCCAAAACTCCTCTCGTCCAACAAGGCAAGAAACGAAACCATGCCGGCGCCATCCTCCCCTCGTCGACCCCCAATAAGACCCCTCACTCCGAAAGCCTCGCGAAATTCTTCCCTGCCCCCGCGAACGGGTCCAATGTGGACTTCACCTTGTCCCAAGCGTTCGCCGGCACGCAAGCCATGTCGTCCCCATTTGCCGCCAAGGCCATCCGCAGCGATCCCATCGACCAACGTCCGAGCCCCCTGTTTCTCCAGGCCGAGCCCCCGAGTTCGACGCCGGTTCGTCCGCGTGGAGAGCCGTTGGATCACTATACAAGCATGGAGGAGAGTCAGAAGACCCGGGAGCGGATACGACGAGAAATGGAGGAGCGGGGACGACCGACGTACCAGGACGAGGATGAGGAGTACCTCCGGAGCGATTCGCCCTCGGAGTTTGATAAAAGGAGGAAGCTCTCGGTCACCAAACCCTTCACTCGAGGTGCGGGGGGCTCACGGCAATTGAGGTTGAAGTCGCTCAATTTATCGAGCGAGCTCGTCACGCCTGTCAGACCTCCTATCCGGAAAGCACTGCCTGTGGGAAGCAGCAGTGTCCAGCAATTATCGGCCGCGCCAAGCGTATTCAAGCGAGGTCGCAGCCTTGGGGCACTGCAAGACATTGGCGAAGAAGACGACGAGGCAGAGGCGGTGGATGACACTCCGCGAATCGCGGACGACGTGCAGGTTCCGATGACCAGCTCTCGCAATGATGCCCGGATCGGGGTTCAGAGCTCTCCAACCAATCGTCGCAGAGGAGGGCGGAGTCTGATTCTCGAACCTCGTTCATCCGATCCTAAAGGAGATACCCAGAGGTCAGGACTTTTGGTGCAAGAACCTCAAGTTGTTCCCAACTCCCAGCCGGAACTCCCGCAGGAGGAGGATGCGATCATGGAAGAGGAAGAGGGAAGTCAGATTGCGGACGAGCCGGAAACGACTCCACGAAGCCAGGAGGAGGAAGCACCAATTGACGGGACACGCCAGGTGGTTACAAGCTCGCTCAAGCCGCCGCCTATGCAGGTCACATCGTCAATGGCACCGCCACCAGAGACCTCACAGGTCGGTAATCCACAACCGGACGAGCCAATTCCTCTGTCACAGGTTCCAAGCAGTCCTCCGACCAAGTCTCTTCCCGCGATTCAGTTATCACAACCAAGAGAGTCCCAGATCGACAATGCTATCCTCATTTCTAGCGGATCGAGCGACCTGCCGTCTTCCGACGATGAGGACGAGCAGCCGAAGAAAGGCGCGCAAAACGATGCAAGTCGAATGGCTACTAAGGCACGACCACGCGCCCTCACCTCTAAGAACTCGAACGCCGTCTCCGTGTCCAATACGAATAGCCTCTCAAACCAGCAATACCACACCGCTCCCACCCAACTCACCTCCAGCTCCACTCGCTCCCACCCCTCCAAATCCAGCCTCAGCACCGCCCCACCAACCTCCAACAGCCAGCGCGTAACAACGCCCGTCCACTCCACGACCGACCCGGACGATCCTAGCGGCTCGCAGAAAGAAAATCAACTGGGTGTCCCTGTGCCATCCGCGGTCCGCCGTCTGTCGGCCATCGCCGCCGACCCCAGCCCGAAGAGGTCGATCGCCAGCCAGGATCTGGAGATCGACCTGTTCAATGACGATGATCGCGAGCTGATGCGGCTGATGGGCGACGAGTCGGTGCCTGCGGTTGCGCCGAGGCAGGACAGCGCGAAAGGCATCGCGAAGGGGGGCGGGAAGAAGAAGAAGATTGTTCAACAGGAGGATGTGGATGGTGCAGGCCAAGATGTCGCGACCACGGGGAATTTGCGAAAACGGCGGAAAGTGGGATTTGGCTCGCCGGAAAAGCCCACTCCGTCTTCAGATGAGGCGATGCGAGTGTCTCCTATTGCGGATGCTCAGAGGGAAGGAAATGCGGATGACGGGGTTCCGGTCGGAGCCACATGCAACGAGGCTAGGGCATCGACACCTATACGAGAGATAGCGACACTTACAAAGACGACGCCCAAGGCAGCCGCAGCGGAGGAACCAGAGTGGACGTCTTCGAAGAAGCCACGCCTCGTCTCCTATGCCGGGAGGAGGCGATTGACCCCGATATCCAAGCCCAAGAAGCCGGCTATTCTCCCGGCAGATGCCAGCGCAAGCGAAGAGGACCCCGAGGATCGAATTGAAATCCGACCGAGTGAAGAGATGGATATCTACTCGATCCAGAGTAGTCCTGAGTCGTCACTTCGGACAAGCAGGGTATCTGCACTCAAGGTTAAAAAGGTGGTGTCGAAACCTGGGAAGAAGAAGGCTGGGAAAGCGGTCGACAAGTTGAAGAAGAACAAAGTGGTGAGAAGTATGAAGCAAATGTCAGCTGGAAAGAAAGTTCCAGCCCAGGAACTGGATGGGGACGTTGCGATGCAAGAGCCTGTCGATGAGGTAAACGATACCGAGGAGCGAACCGGAGTTGAGAGCGGCATTGCAAAGGATACTGGAAAGAAGACGAAGGCTAGGAAAGCAGTCGACAAGGTGAAGCAGAACAAAGCGGTAAAAAACACAAAGCGGAAGTCAGGAGAAAAGAAAGCTCCAGTCCATGAACCGGATGCGGATGTGGAAATGCAAGAGGCTGTCGATGAGATGGACGAGAACAAGGAACCAGTCCAAGGTCCGAACGGCATAATAGGGGGTATCGGCATGGAAGACGCTCTGTCATTGGCTCTCACCGACCCTGACGTAGAGAGGACGAGTACAGGAGATCCTTCCGAACGTCCTTCTACGTCCCTCCACGACGAGGAGACAGGGCAACTTACGGATGATGGTATGTCCAGGAGAGACCCCTCTACTCCATCTACGTCAGCCGAAGAGCACGAACAGGAGAATTCTAGCTCGGATCGGAAGCTCTTTAAGAATCGAGTATTCGCGTTGTTCAAAGGCCCGTACATGGCGTACTACCCAGCCACTTGCATCGAAGCGCACGGAGCGGACAGCGATGAACTTACCATTCGATTTGACGATGGTACGGTCGCCCGAGTTGAGTCACATCAAGTTCGACGCCTCGAGATCCAGAAAGGGGACATTGTCCGCGTCGATCTCCCGAAGATGACCAAGCAATTCGTTGTAGTCGATCTTCACGACCAAATTTCGGTGGAATTGGAGCGGAATGTTCTCCCTACTAATCCCGATCAAAACCAATATATGACGGACGTCAATGGGTTCCAGAAGGTCCAGCTGGTCCCGAAATCGATAGAACCGAGGAAAGGCGATACCAAGTCGAGAGGCAGTTCTCGCTCGACAGATAAGACCCCCCTCAGTGTTCCCATCAACAACATCTTCATCCACAAGATGTCCTGGCCGCTTCTTGACGACCGGACCTATGTCCACCTGCGCAATGTCGGATTTCCCAGTCAACCACCCCGATTACCTCTTGGAAGCTCAATCCTCAGCACCAATCGTTTCGCTTCCCCTGCACTCCCCGGAAGCACCTCCGGCTCCGTCACCCCGAACAATCGCAAGCGGGACCGTCTAGCCAGCACCACCAGCCTTCCAACACTCGTGAACGATCTTGTCCCCGCCCCGCCCCGCTATCCGAACGGCGTCTTCTCCAACATGGCATTCGCCGTCTCGCACGACGACGCCGAGAAAGCGCGACTCATCCACCTCATCGAACGCCACGGCGGCCGCATCCTCGACGAGAATTTCGAAGAACTCTTCGATGTGCCCTCCCCCGCGCACTTCCCTCCGCGCCCCAGCCAGCCCGGCGAGCCCGCCGACCCTGCCTCCAACTGCCTAACCATCCGCGCCTCGGCCGCTGGCCTTGGTTTCGTCGCCCTCATCGCCCACCAGTACTCCCGCCGTGTCAAATACATGCAGGCGCTCGCGCTGGGGCTGCCGTGTCTCTCCGGGCGGTGGATCCATGACTGCGCGGCGGGCGGGACGGTGGTGCCGTTTGCGCCGTATGTGCTCGCAGCGGGGAAGAGCGAGTGGCTCGGCGGGGTGGTGCGGAGCATGATGCTCGACCATCTCCACCAGCCCGCCCCGACCGGCTCCGTGAATCCGCGGCGATGGGACGACCCGGCGCCGATGATGCTAGCGGAGATGGTGGCGCAGCGGACGAGGCTGTTTGGGTCGCAACGCGTGCTGCTCGTCAAGGATGGGGGCGGGGGTGCGAGCGGGGGAGGGAGAGGCGCGAAGCGGAAGCCAGGGAGGGAGGGGCATTCGGACGTGACGCAGATGCCGTCGTTCCTGGCGTGGGCGATGGGCGCGGCGGGCGTGGGGGTGTGTAAGGAGGTGGAGTACGCGCGGAAGGCGATTGAAGCCGGTGGTTCGAATCCTGATGGGGAGGGGGTGGTGTGGGACTGGTTGTTTGTGGAGGACGCAAAAGGGCAGATGAAGAAGATGGTATTTCAGGGGCTGGAGAAGGGGAGGAAGAGGCCGGCGGTTGTGAGAAAGGAGTTCGCGGTGCAGAGTTTGATACTTGGGCAGCTGGCGATCGAGGACTGAGACCTTGTCAAGGAGCGCCTCTGGGATCGGGCGTTATGCAGCGCTACGAGCGGCTCGGGGGATTTGGGCGAACGATGGGGATGCCTACAATGACAAGTAGCTTTTATGGCGTGTCTAGGGTCAATGGAACCAATACATATATATGTCTGATTGTGCCTCGTTCTGTGTCTCCGTCGACCTTGGTCCTCTCCGCGATGGCTACATCCCATCCGAACATCTCACCAATTACGAATCACTGGATGAAAAGCAGTCAGATTAGCATTGGAAAAGAAAGTATTTACTAGGATTTCCTTGGTTGCAATATTTTCATGAGAGTTTACTCCCTACTTCATTAGAAGTTAGGGGCATATGATATGATGCTCAACGTGCACACACAGGACCGGTAGGGGCAGAGGTGTAGGGCAATAAGGCTGACATGCTCCTCTTTGGCCAGGCCTTTTAGGTCCTTGATGCACGTCATCATCAGGTGCGCGTTCAGAGTTCACACTTCTCACTTCACACTTCATAACTTATAGTCTGTCATAAACTAGCTAGTACTCGCATCAGTCATAGCAGCAGAGATAGAGAGCTTCAGCCACGTCCAGCTCACAGTAACCGAAGTCTCTTGCATCAGCGCACGAATCCACATATCTCCCCACTCACGCCACTCTTACGATCCAACCCGCAACGGCGACACACCTCACTCTCGATCAAGTTTGAACACTTTCCACAAACAAGTCAATGGAACGACCCGGCGAAGAAACCAACATGATCAGCGCCGTCCTTCTCATCATCATCACCCTCTTCCGTAAGTCTGCAATTGATGTTCGCTAGGAGACGGAGATTGGATAGTTGGCTAACGACGGAATAGTCCCACCTGTGGGCGTCTTCATCGTCACAGGATGCGGAATGGACCTCTTCATCAACATCGTGCTGACCTGCCTTGGGTACGTTTTCCATCCCGAAACCCAACCCCCTACACCATATTGCTCCCTGTCGAGGGAAGAAAAGGCTAACATGCTGCCTTGCGACCAACAGGTATTTCCCCGGCCACATACACGCGTACTATCTCGAATATGTCTACTACAAGCGACGCGAAGAGTCCTCGCGCGGATTCTATGATAATAACCGGGCGCCGGCGATCTACAGCGACCGAGTGCAGACGGGAGGGCGGGGATACGGGACGATTGCGGCGCCGACTTGAGGGTCGGTCACTCGCCATCAGTGGCATTCGGTTGAGATGCTGAAGGTTACGAAGGATGAGTATGGTTTACGAAATCAGTGGGGAATTCAGGTATTTGTAGATTAGGGATCGGTACTGATCTGTCAGTGGACGTGGAGTTCGGTCGGTGGGATTAGGGTTGGGTTCATGGAATAATGAGATATCTGATGGGTTCTATCGCTTCAATTGGTTAATGAAAACGCCATGAGGAGTCCCTGTTTGATCTGATGCTTCGTGTATGGATATTTCTAATTGTCGATTTCCATACATTCAGCTTTTCATGGATGACACTCAACCAGCTCACTCCCAAATCCCCATGGCCTCGGGCTGAGTCACCAACCAGTACCAAAACCGATGCTATTTGAACTAATATTTCAATGGGCCCAAGGGCCAAGCCCTCAATCAACAATGTGGCCGTCATTAAGATTCAATCCTAAGTGTCATATATCCTGCAGTAGTGAACTAGAGCCAAATCCTCCCCCTCTGGTTGTTGTTATGGTTGGGCGATGATGTAAACACTGAATGCACGTGACAACGCGCCAAGTGTTGCCAGGCTGGCTAATCGAGGCGTCGCGAGGGATGACTAAGCGCCTCGCCTGCCTCGACTCAATTACATACTAATCCGCCTCGCGAGGCCTGCGCGAACCATGGTTAAATATACCATCCGTAGTCCTGTATACTATATAGTGACCAATACCACGGTGGCTAAGGTCATTGAATCCTATAGAGTCTGGGTCAGATCCAGAAAATACGGACTACGACGATGAAAGATTGGTAGCATACGACTAAACGGGACTAGCAACACGTGATACTGCGAAATGCGATGCCTTGATCGAGGAACGAGGCGAGGCGAGGCGATGCGCTCAATAAGCGTCGCCTCGATTAGCCAGCCTGAGTGTTGCCTATAGTCGAATCACGTGATTTGAATTATATATGACTCCACCAATTATAACACTAAACTATATTCAGACTAGCCTCCATGGCCCATGCTCTTTCCTCCTATTTAAATATCTCCGCCCCCCATCTCTTCTCTCGTTCTTCTTCTTCTTCTTCATCCGAGTGCACGGGCATTACGCATAGCAGTGAAGATTCGTCTGAGCTTGCGTTTTTGCTAGTTGAAAACTACCTAGTTTGACCTCTCCAAGTGTGCCTTCGTGTCGCTTGGGAATTTTTGGCCTGTTTGAAACCCATCAACTTCTTTTCATTGTTGCGAATCCGCCTTGTGTGGGACTGCAGGGAAGAGAGTGGGATCACACTAGCTATTTCTGTATGTGTATACTCGTGGACTTAGATATATTCAATGAAGGACCGTTGGCTGAGACTTTTATATGCTTTGATACATCGCCTGCTTGTGTGACCTGTAGGATTGTCGTGACGTGGAGGAGGCCTTAATTGAGGTTAGAAGCTGCGGGGAGACGACCTCATCGGAGATTTCGCAAAACAACATCAACAAAAGATCAGGATGTCTCGAACAGCACTGGTCACTGGAGGTTCGTCCACTTTGATCGTCATGCCGTCACTCTGCTAAACATAGATGAAGCTTCCGGTCTCCTTGGTCGCGAGGTTTGCAAGGCGTTCGAGCGAGATGGCTGGAACGTTGTTGGGACGGCGCTCACTCGCGTCAACCCCCCATCAGTGATCAAGCTCGATATCCTGAACAGCGAAGAGATCGAGCAAGTGCTTGATGAAGTCAAGTACGTGTCTATTCCGCCTTGAATGATGGATCTCCACGTTGCTGACGCCTCCCTCCTCCAGACCTCACACCATCGTCCACTGTAAGCCACCCTACCCATCCATCACCACCCATCCATCACCCCATCCATCACCCTCAGAATCCCCCACTCACACCCCTCCAGGCGCCGCCAACCGCTTTCCCGACCTCTGCTCTGCCGACCCCTCCGCCGCCACCGCCCTCAACGTCACCTCCAGCGGCACCCTCGCCGCCCACGCCTTCGCCCGCGCCATCCTCCTCCTCTACATCAGCACCGACTATGTCTTCCCCGGGCCCCCCGGCGCCGCCCCCTACTTCCCCGACTCCACCCCCGACCCCCCGAACACCTACGGCGCTACAAAGCTGGCTGGGGAACGCGCCGTGTTGGCCGCGACGGGCGGTGCGGCGGACGGCAACGCGCCGAGGGGCGTGGTCCTCCGCGTACCGTTGCTGTACGGGCATACGGAGTCCGACGACCGCTCGAAAGACGGGGTGCACGCGCTGGTGGACGCGCTCTGGAAGTCGCAGGACCTCATTGATGCGCCGGCGGACGCGAAGATCAAGATGGACGACTACGCGCAGCGGCATCCAACGTGCACGGAGGACGTGGGGCGGGTGTGCGTGGAGCTCGCGCGAACCTACCTAGCAGACGACGCGGGAGCGAAGAAGTTGCCGCGGGTCGTGCAGTTTTCGGCGGAGGAGCGGATGACGAAGTGGGCGATGGTGGGGATGTTCGCGGAGATTTTGGGGTTAGAGACCGGGGGATTGGTAGCATGGGATCCGACAAAGGAGGAGGCAGAGGGGACGTCGACGAAGAGGCCGTATGATGTGAAGTTGGATACGGGGGCGCTGAGGGAGGTGGGGGTAGACGTGAGGTGTGTGGATTTTAGGGGATGGTGGTGAGTTTCGGTGTCTTTGCAACGTCGTGATAGGAGGATCGGCTAACATGGCGTCTAGGAGGAGAGAACTGCATGCTTTTAGGCATTAGCTCCATTCGTAACGAGCCATATCTAAAATGAATATCAGGAATGGATTGGGAACATTTCTTCGCTGGCTTGACTAGAGCTGTAGATCATGAGTACCATCGCGATAAGGCAAAGTGGACATTGCAACTCTGAACATCAATACAAATCAACCATGAGACAGCATATAAATTTAATCCTTTCAATGTTTGCTATATGAACACGGGGAGCATAATGACTACTTATCCAGCCTTGAGCGCAGCAAAGACCACACCCAAGGTTCGTCGAATCACTCCCGTAGGCGCTCTCGAAAGGTGGAAGTTCGAACTACCTTCAACGGCACGCAGTGACCGGACATGAGGTTCTACTAAACCGCCTGAACATGATGTAAATCCCCCATTCCCACACACACACACACACACACACACACACACACACACATATAATGAAACCGGCTCCGGGCATGCATCGTTCGAAATGACCGTCAAAGTGACCAGCGATGGCCAGGCATGAGGTTCCGACTAGAACTGCAGAGCTTGTAAATCTTCCATGTTATGAACCCGAATTGAATCGCAAAAAGTTTTCCACGTCCGTCGCCCAAGAACACCGTCGCTAGTGCAGGGGGTCACCGACCATCTCGAATCCGCTGTGTTGGATGTGCCGGGCGCGGAGGTGCTCAGATCGCATGGCGGTGAGCGTTTCGGTGGTGGTGTAGCATCCGGGCGATTCCCTTCTCCGCTTCCATGCGTTTCACGATGGGGTTGATGGTCTGGGTCTCGGTGACGGTGACATAGACCTCCTCGATCTCGACTTCGTAGACGGCGCCGGCGGAGGTAAAGGTGGTGGTCGCGACAATGTTGGCCCAGACCTTGGTGGAAGTGACCAGCGTGGTCGTGGTGGCCGGTGGTGGAGGAGGTGCGGGCTCGGACTCCGCATTGACAAGAGCCACATTGGACGGTTGCGCCTCGCCGCCTGCAGGAAGTACAGCAGCATTCGGAGTCAGAGTGGATGCGGGAATCATCTCCCCGGGGAGGGCTGCCTTGGCGATCGTGATGACGTCCCCGCCGTTATCAGTGATCACAAGTTCGCCGGGAGTGTATCCTAAGCTCAAGGTCTGGGGTGGTGCCGTGGTAGATGCAGGGGGTGCTGTGCTGCCAGGAGGAGGGGCATAGCCGGGACCATCGTAGATCTGGACATTTCCCGGCATTTGATTGCCGGGTCGGAGACAGTCTTCATCGCGAATCTCGGAGGGAAGATCGATCTTGCAGTTTTGCTCGGTCTCCTCGTCTTGGATGGTGAAGAGTGGGCAGGCTGACTGTTGACCGGAGGCATCCTTGCATTGGTCGATGGCACCTTGCAGGAAATCCGGTTCCCAACCACTGATAAGATCGCCGTGGAAACCGTTGCCTAAAAAAAAAGCGTTAAACACCAACAAAGCTATTTGACGAGTGCAACATACCAGTAGGATCACCGTTACCAATGACAAACCGGCCAGGGACACCATTGAAGGCGTTCGTGTTGAAGATGCTCTCGAACAGAATGGTGGGGATCCGGGTCTCGAACCCTTCCGGACATGTTCCGCCCTGGAGCAGACTGGAGAATGCAACATGAGACTGATCGGGGGATTCGGTGTCCTTGCCATTCCAGCAGGAGGGGAAGACGAGCTCCAGGCGAATGCCGTCCTTACAGTTTTCGTCCATGTAGTCCTTAGTAGGGAGGAAATGGCGGGAACCGAAGCGCTCCGCATCACGGTTGTAGTTCAAGCAATTGAAGCCTAGTGCCTTGCCTTCAAGTGATGACTGAGTCTGCTCTTCCGCAGTCCAGACTGATGTCTCGAGATCCGGGATTGGGCCGGTGAAGTTTCGTCGCCGCGTATCGCCAGAGATCATGCTAAATCCGCGAGGGAAAGCCTTGACGTTGTCGCCAATCTGAATGTAGTAGACCAGCATACCACCGACTTGTGGTACCATCTCGATAGTTCCATTGGAATGTTCGAAGTAAATAGGCGGGAACCAGTATGCCGACAAATCCTCCTTGACACTGCAAGACGTACACTCCGAAGCACGGAGATCATCGTAGCCACTTGAGAATCCGAAGTTGTTGCCCCCGTGGATGGCATGGGCATGAGACGCAGGCGTTCCTGGGTTAACTAGTGGGTCGATTCGGGCCACACCGCTGCGTCCATGGCATTCCAGTCGCCAGAACGCCGATACCGAGCCCGCGAGGGCGAACGAAAGCCAGGAGACCTTCATGATCGACAATCAATGGTAAGGGGTTGGTTCTCGGAAGAATAGATGTAATAAGACGAGGCGATGTCTGTAATGGATGGAATTGAAGATTGAACAGCACGGAAGAAGCGAGCGGCTGCTGATAATTTCGAAAAATGGTGAAGGTGAAGGTTATTTGTTGTGTGAAGAAGAAGAAGAGAAGAGTAAGTGAACGGGAGTGGTTCAGGCGGTGAGAGAGTGAGAGTTTCGTTGTCGGGGTGAAGGCCGTCCAAAGTGATGGTGGAAAAGTGATGGTGATGTTCCGCGACAACCGCAACAGTGTGTGAAGCTTTCTATCGTCCTTATCCCGGTATGATAGAGTCTTTCTATCTCCTTCTCTTTCTGTGCTGGCCGAGTCGACTCAATGATGAGGGATAGAGTGAATGACCGAGTGAATGATCTCCGTTTGATGTGGACTGGATTCGTTTCGGAGTTTCCGCCTTTTCCCTCTTCAGGCACCGATTTCTCACGGTGCTCCGAACGTAACTCTCCCGCTTTCGATCGATTCAACCAAGATCCTTTCCACAACACGCAAAGTCCGACTCCTCCTGAGGGTCGGTCGGATGCAATGCGACCTCGCAAGCGAATGAGCAAACGAATGGATGGACGTCGAGTCCGATGGATTTCGATTTCCTTTTCAGACGGTCGACGATCTGACGATATCGTGTTCCTGGGACGACGGAGCAAATGAATGACAGTGGTGGCTTGGGCAAGAAGCCAGGTAAATGAGCGACTGATCTTGCGGGGTTCAACGCAAGGGATGGGCGGAAAACGCGATGGAGGAAGGAAGAGAAATGGTCAACAGACGGGAATGAAGGAATCAGAACATCAGAAATTCAGAACATCACCGAAAGCCAAGGAATGCAAACAGCAAAGCAAACTAGCATTGCTGGTGAGGAAAAGAGAGGGAGATGATGATAGGGAATAAGGGAAAGCCAAGGTGGATCGTCGTTGTCTCCCGTGAGTCCCGTCTAGGCAAATACCAGTCTAGGCGAATAGGGTTGGCGGAAGGTTATGAGACAAACGGGGCCACCTGCAATTTACAGCTCCTCCACGCGATTACCAGAGCAGCAGGCAGGTCATTGCTTGGAAGTCGGGCATTGACCAACCCTCCCGAAATAGGCTCCTCCATATAATTTCACGGCATCCTTAGCCTGAGGACTATCAGACCTCATCTCACAAAGTCTCCATCACCAGTTTGCGAATCTCCCCGACCGATGCCATGACGGCGGTCGTCGCTACCGTTGGTTGTCCTACAACGAAACCTCCATGTCTCAGCTTCTGCACAGAGCCGAACCAGATCGTGCAAGTGCTGGAGCGAGAAGTCAGTTTCCGGTCGTGCAGCACAGGTACCGTATCGTGAGGTTATACATCGGAAGGGAAGAGAACGATGCTGGGATGCTTTCACGATGTCCCCTTCACCGGGCCAAAAAGGAATTCCAAGTACTAACTAGGTGAAAATCCATGAAAGATTTCCGGCGAGGAGACGGTGCCAATGCAGCAGGGCATGCCAGGGCGCGATACGGACCCTGCGCCATATTGCACCTTGCCCCTGCCCAGGATCAAGCATCGAACCTTCTCCGCAGCACGATTCCGAACCACCTCATCTCTTGCTCTTACGAAATTAGGGCAGCCAGGACAACAATCGTCGTTTCCAAGCACTGCGACGCTGCCGCTGATTGGCAGTATCGGAATTCGTATGGAGCCAAATGAGGTGGCCACGACGGCTGCCGCCCATTCCACCGCAGATTGGATATTAGCGTGGTAGTGCAGACGAGGCACGGAAACCACTGCAGGAACCGTGAAACAGAAGGATTAATTTGTACAACCATGACTCCACGAGAGAAAGCTAGGATCACCTAGCCGCTGGGGGATTCGGGAGACTTCAGAGTTCGTTGCAGAAACATTGCGTATCAGGCGCTATCAGCGTATGGAGTGACGAGAAGTTGAGACAGTCCGCCCCGAGCTGACGACACCATCGGATATTGCTTGTGAGTTGTGCACTTGTGCTGCTTCGCGAAGAAGCTCGTGCTACCTTTATTATCTGCTTTCTCCATCCAAGATTAAATGCCGATCAGCCGTTGGTTGGACAGGGAGAGCCCGAGGAGATCGTGGTTGACGATCATATTTTATCCATGGTGCTGGACAGACATCAACGTGCGCCTACTTTCTCCTCCACATTTTATCTATCTGATATATCTCCCTGTCCGTCAGTATCTGCTATAGTGCTATTATATGCATTTTCGGGGTCAATGCCAATGGACGTCATCGGTCATCCTGAAACATATCTTTCCCTTCAACCGGTATAGAAATGAGCGGTGTCTTTTCCTTCTTAATGATAGGGAAAAGATCGGGTACAGAGTCGCACCAGCGTCAATGAAGAACGATACACCGCTTCATTGATCTTAAAGGAGAAGTCTTGGATAATTTCCTTCGTTGTCATGATTGGTATGGCACCGTTCTGGTACTTGCGCTTTCGATAGGAAACATCTTTCGAGTGACACTGGGAACAAATCGGGTCAGTGTCTCGGTCCTGATGAAATCTTTGTTATCCCAGCTTCATTCTCCAGAAAATATGTCTGTGGCTGTAATACCTATTATGCTCCTTATACCTTGTTTATTCCGCTATACCTGAACACAGCCTGTTAATATCTCCAGTCTATCATTTTCTCTTGCCTTTACAAGTTCAGTTCTTAACCTGTTGCCTGCACTCAAAGAAGTTGCCCCACAATGTCCATGTTCTCGAAGACAGTGCTATACATAGTATGCAAGTCGCTTAGAATCATGCATTGAGATTTGGGAAGGTCATACGTTTGGCTAATGAAGGCGATTTTTATCCTAGAAATAGATGATCCACAAAGCCATTGTCTTGATAGCCTTATGCTCCGAATGTTAGTAGCTTGGAGCAAATATGATCCTCGCATGCGCACAGCGCTTAAACAGTCATGCTATGAGACAAGCAGCAGCAAGTCTGAGGCTTCGAATTCAGGTCTACGGCCTTGTATTCAGGTCGGTATAATGATAGTAATCGCTAACTTTCCGAGATCTAGGGTTCTTCCACCTACGTTAAAGTGTCTTCTCCCCAATGGCCGTCATCGCCAACTGCGCGACATCTAGGTTACAACCGGAGAATATTGCGAGGAGTGGGTTACTACGCCAAGACGCAATATCCTTAATTAACTATTCCCAGCAATATGGATTCTGAGCAGGTCATTTGTCTGGATACTTGATCAGAGAACATCACCGCTTACTTCTATATAGGGACCGAACATTCGCGTATTGATGGAACGACAGCGGGGTCATGAAAGTTCCGAAGCAGTCGAAGAGAGCTTGATCTCGACAACAGATGTGTACTCATCAAATGGAGCAGTCACCAGCATTTCCAGTGAGTTGGGGCTTGATCCTTCGGTCTTTGGATCGCCGAACCCTTCCATCCGTTCATTTTCTCATTCCTCCTAAAGCGGGAGCGCATTGCCTAGCCGTCCCTCGCAAGCCCGCACGGAAGGGCTCCTAACGACAGAACCGGACACTCCAACAGGGAACTTGGGTAGGGCGCTTTCCCGCTCTCATGCCTCACCAAGTCTAGCACTGTCAAATCTTCTGCCCGTGAACGGCACGCCGGACAGCAGAGGGCTGGAGGACTCGGTGGCTTACACGGTGCTATATACGGAAGATTCTAGCAGCAGGGATAGCGTGGTACGACTCTCGGCGGATCGGTTCGACGAGATTCAAGTCAAAAACTCGGACAATATCCTCGAGATCGAGAAGCAATGCTCGGTTGCTTCGCAGCCTTGCCAAAACTCACGCATCACACTAAGATCACCGATGACGTAATGTCGATCCATAGTCCGTATATATTGGGGATTCTCCCGGATCTCATCGGATATTATCCAAGCGAGGGCCTTTACAGCTCAAGCAATCCAATGCTGGGCCAATAGCGCGCCTTGCGGATCGAAAAACCCTACAGGATGTTCGGAATCGACGCTATCACACGGATGAAGGATGCTCGAGAGAAATATGAACAGATTGCTGAAGGCGGCGGGCTAGATCCTGAGACGATCGCTCAGTACGGCCTCACCGCCCAGCATTTGTTGATGCTTGAAAGAGTTCTGGACCATGCCAGAAGTACCAGGATCGCTGATGAGGAGAGAAGGTACGAAAGGAACCCTCCCGTTGCGACCTTCGACATGCTTTGGCTCCTCTTCCGGCCGGGTGACGTCGTCTATGCGAAGATTGGCGATGACTTTATCGCCTGTCGCGTTTATCTTCTCATTTGGGACCTCGAGAGAGACCCAAGCGAGCATAACGTTTCGATTAAACTCTGATATCTCGATTATGATGGTAAGGATTCGCTGTATGTCTTATTATACGTTCCTAGCCCTATTTAAAGCCAAGCGTATCAACCGTGTTTGGCATTCTGTTACGGTTTCGAAGCTTCATGACGAGAGGAAGATCCCCGATCTCGACATCTATCCGATGAAGTTCGCTGTGGACAATGAATTTGGGAAGCGGCTGGTCGAAAGAGGACGCAAGTATTTCCAGCTACTAGCACCTCATGCCCCACAAGCTGAGTACAACGGTTATGCATACCGACACCGAGGAAGGCAAGAGAAGTGCTTCGTGAGCAACCTCAAACTAACTGCAAACGATGAACTCCTTTTAACAGTATCATGGAAACACCATCGTTGACCCTGCATTCAACATTTATGAATATGGCCCTGATCGGGACGATGAAGAATGGGTCTCGAAGGACGATGTTTTGAACGATAAGTATTCGCGCCACAGTGATGTAAAGGGCTTCGCGGACATTGACCCAAAGTCGGGGGACTTGCATTTGGCGGATGACCATTACAGGCTCATGCCGAGGTGGATTCGAGTGTTCTTGCTCGGGACAAGGACTTGGTGTAAGCTGCAACGACAACCTTCAGGCGAAGGGATCTAACCAGTATGTACAGCCTACGTGATGTGGATGATATCAGTGACTGTAAGTGCCACCTGTCATACATTTAACCTGCACTTCAAAAGCTCATCATCTTGCCCTAGATGTCCCCAGCCGCTCAATCATCGATACTCTGGTCATTGATGAGACGGATCTGCGGAGTTTGAAGGCTTTTACAAGGGTGTCTTATCGGACGTCCTTTGGCTCCAGTGGCCATAGGACATTCTCAATTGACCCAATCAAGGGGAAGGCCGAAGGCAGAGTTATTTTATTGCATGGTGCGCCGGGGACAGGGAAGACATATTCGGCCGAATGTTTAGCTGAGTGGAATGGTTTGGTCACACCAAGCGATTCCGAGTAATCAATGCTAATGAACCGGAATAGAGCGACCACTTCTGCGCCTGTCGTGTGCTGATATTGGTATTTACACATGGACCATTGTAGTTTGACTAATACTGCAGCTGACACATGCCAGGCACTGAGCCAGAAGATATTCAAGCAAGGCTGAACAAATGGTTTAGATACACGTACCATTGGAACTCATTTCTGCTGATTGACGAAGCCGATGTCTATCTGCATCAGCGGTCCAGTAGAAGCACCTTGAATGAAGAAGCAATCATATCCGGTATGGTGGGACAGTAACACACACTGATCAAAATATTTCTAACAATGGCGATTGTAGCGTTTCTACAGAGCCTTGGGTACTACCGTGGCATTATTTACCTTACCACGAACCGCGTCCTCAAGTTCGATGACGCCATCCACAGCCGCGTATCACTGATTTTGCAATACCCCAACCTTGGTGAGAAAGAAAAGAAAAGGATACGGGAGCAGCATCTTACTACGCTGGAAAACACCAAGCGGTACGACATATGGAAAGGGGCACGGAGTACATTCGAAGAGGACATTGCTCAAGGTAGGATAGACAGGTAGTGGATTTTTTCCAAGCATCCAAGCTCCAAGATGGGGAGTTCTCCGCGAAACCAGATGTTAATGATAGTCATTTGTTTCCTTCGCGTCGCTAGCCGGCATGCATCCCACCTATATTTCCCTGAGGGCTGGTTCGAGCGATATAATTGGTATATCAGCGGATTCTCCTTGATACAGATCCAGATTCGGTGGTTCAGGGGGCCTTGAGATAACCCTGTCATCTAAAATCCTAGATATAAGGAGAATTTTGGCCTTGTTTTCTTTGACACAACTGTCCAGTGTGTTGAAAATGCTTTCCCATACGTCGGTGTCCTCTATCCCTTCTAGGGTCTCAATTCCGTACAGGATGAGGTACGGGAAATGTCCTTTCCTGTTCCACTCTGATACAGTTTCAGTTGTACTCTCTTCTCTGGTTGGCGTTGGAAGAGAATTCGTCCAGTTGGCCATCACGCGCTCAAGTGCCGGTAAAGTTGTATTGCAATCACCTTGAGCGCTACAAATTGCCAGCAAGGGGACTTGGAGGATAGAAAGCTCATCGGCAAGGAAGCTGCCGATTCACAGTAACTTCTCGTCTTCGACCGTGCATTCGATCCTAATCATTGATCCAGACGATTCCCGCAGCCATTCCCCAATGCTGATTAAGATGCCACTTCGGTAATTGCATCCGATCCCGCAACACTACGATCATGGCACAGGACTTCGCACATCATATCTGTGTGGACTGCCTGGAGTGATACGATACCGTCTTGCTTCTTGTCAACCGAAGCTAGAACTTTGCTGATGTCCGATGCTTTTTCGTTTCTAACACGATGGTGCTCGTCTTGTTTTGCCAAGTCCTTATCAACCTGCTCCAGAATATCCTTTCGATGACTTTGATCCGCTTGTCTGTTTCAGTGTTAATCGTGACATTGAGATTTGACTTGGGCCGTGAGGCTACGTATCAAGGGAGGAGACGTATGTCTGAAGGAATTGGAACTCGAAGTTCAGCACAGCACCAAGGCTCGAAAGACTTCCTTGTATCTCTCGGATCTCCGACTCTTTCATTTTCAAGTCAATCTGCTTGATAATTGGTACATTCCTCAGGGTGCTCCATCGCTGAGGGTTGCCAGATCTGTCACACATTTCTTTAACGGACTCAGATATCCTTTGCTCCTCTCAATCCATGTATCCACGTTTTGATTACTCGGCTGAGATCTTTGATATTCCTCTATCTGGTCCAATAGAGACACCAAATTATCTACCCATGCCTTTGTATTTTGAAGCCTTATTTTGCCTTGCTTGTAAGTCACAAATATGGCGCAAAATGCCCTCACTGTCGTCGTAAGGGCGAGGCCCGGCTGCGGTGGCCCCAAGTATCTCTGCCATAGCCTTGCGATTTAGCAAAGTGCTTGAGAGGAACTTGGAGACAAGTCATGGCTCCGGCGCCTCATCGCAGGTATTCATATACGACGATGGTATGAGGCGCTTCTCGCAGCCTTGCGCAACCCTTGACAGCATGTATGCAGTTGTTATGCAGCTTCACACTGAAAGCGGGGCTGTCCAGCCTCACCAGCTGAAATATTCATGTGACAAGGCAACCATTAAAATGATTCTTCGGTATTTGACCCGAGGCCCCTATTCGGAGATTTCAAGAGGCGTTAATAGAGGAGTTCTAACAGGATTCTCTTGAGCACATGGATGCACTTCAGAGTGTTTATGCACATGGAAAATGTTGGGAGTTGTTGCCTTGTTGCATTATCCATAGTCACTATGGCAACCATCAATGGTAGTTAAACCTTAATAAATACCTATTCATTCCGTATTGGTACCTCAAAACCAATGGGGAGCTTTCTTTGGGCACAACCAGTTCCTTGATAACACATACAATATAAGTAATACATGAGACCAGGTCTGATCACCCAGATCCAGGCTGAAACACCCTGATCAATTTCAAGACATCACTAGGAACTGGCGAATGTGGCCCAACCCAGACAAGCTTTCTCTCACACCTTCAAATATCTGATGGTTTGGAACTATTTTACCTAGTAGTAAAAGATTTAGGGTTACCATAGATATTATTGTGTCACGTTTTCCCTTTTGCGGTGTGCCATAAATGAAATGCACTGATCCCACTGAAATTGCTATGACAGCTTCAAGGGCCAAGAACAAGCGTCAACGAATGAATTTAAGAATTTCTAATGTAACAATACCCTTTCGCTATTGAGTTAGTGCCTCTTTCAAGACAGTTTCTGTCTAAGGCGCTGCTTAGGTCTTGGTTTGGTTCTTTAGGTTTTGACAAGTTCGTTCACTCATTGTCTGGAAGTAATTGAAAACCAAAACTAAACACTGCCGTGGTACCTCAAATTGTCTTACAGAGACTTAGCCATCCATTACTCGAAGACGTTCTTTAAATTTGATAGTTGCTCAACATATATTGATCTTTATATATATCTGATTATACGCCGAAGACCAATCATCATTAATTTCCTACCTTCGCACAATGTCAAACCAAGACCACACACCAGAGGCTATAAAGAAAAAGAGGGATGAGCGTCGAAAGCGAATACATACTTCTGCCGTGGAATGGCAGCCATTCTTTATCGGAGCTTTAGCCGTCAACTACGTTCTCTTATTAGTCGTGGCAGCCGGTTATGCCTTTTCAGAGCGAAGCACTATTCCTCGATGGTTGGCAATCATGTCTTTCGCCGTCGCTGTAACTTGTCTCACAGCATTTTCTATCGGCTGGATGATCCATCTAAACTGGCTTCAGGATTGGACTTGCTTTTCAGCTATATCCACATCTGGGTCTCTGGATAATGGTAGTCCAACCCTTCCAGTAGTTAACCATTTGCTGGGAAGCAACTGTCCTCCCCCTCCGGAAATTGATACAGAAGCTGGTATTACAGATCGTTGGCGGCCAGATACACCGGGGTACGGCGTTCAAGCACCACAGCAAGTGTATATCGGCAGCAATCACATACCAGACCAGCAATGGCAAGTGAACCGTGCAAATAGGGTAGTGGGCATCCAGCCCAGTATCATTGAGGACAATGGGAGTTGAGTGCGTCCTATGGAGCGGCTAAAGGCAGAGGAGGTGAGTTTTCACTAAAAAGGGGCTCTACCGCGTCAATCATTTAACACACGATCCGAAATTAGGATGGAACCACTCTACCTAACAAAACGACCTCTCCACCAAACTCTGTTGGCCAGCGCAAAGGCCCAACCATAACCCCTTTTGGCTAATCGAATGAGAAGGGCCAGAATGAAATCCCTACTATCCAGGCTGCTATAGAGGCTGTTGCCACGATCTCTAACAGAATGACGCCTCAACCAGGCTCTGCTGCCCACCGCGAAACATCAAACCTACCGTTTTCAGGCTCGCCAAAAGACAAGCAGGACTACAATGAAATGCCCACCACACAAGCCGTCAATGAGGCTCCCGCTATATCCGATGTAACTCGTGGTCTAGACTGTTCAAGCTCCCTCAAAGACCAACCTAGAGAAAATATCCCTAAAAACACGGCAAATAAACCAACAAGATATGTACGTTCTTGGGGATCCAAAGTGAGGACAAGAAAAGGGACGCCAGAAATCAAGACAGTGGCGAATGTGTACGACGCAACCAGGTTGCAGGACTCATTGATATAAACAGATATGGATATGGTGGCTCTCGGCACATTCTCATGTAGTCCTGTCACTCCGAGGACAACATTCCTTGCCACCAAACCACTGTATATAGATCCTAAATAGGCACGGAGGTGCATTCTCCTTGATTGAGCATCGGTCAAGTTCAGATCATCTCCTGGGGGCGGGTATCTTCCGATACTTTTCAGAATTGTCAATACCTAAAGTAGACCCTTTGCCTTCTAAAACCAATGATGCGGTGATACTCTGGGAGACAGCAGTCAGACAGGGGTTAGTCTGACAAACACTCTAGTCTCTACCTTAGATCGCCTAAAGCTATAACTAATCAATAATTACCAAGCACTCCTTGCATCACGTCTTCCATCCAAGGCTCCAAAGGGGCATATGCGCTCGCAAAATTGAAAAGGTTGCGTCTGAATGCTTGATCGTGCACTGCTCGTAGGCCAGTCTTCTTTATCGATTCTTGGTAAACTTCTTTCATCAATACCTCCTGAATTGGAGTAAAAAGATATTGGCGTTCAGCCGTGGACATGAGCTCTGATTCACCCTTCACCTATTTCTATAACTCGAACGCGGTGGGATTTTCAGAGGATAGCTGGTCCCTGGGGATGATGACCATCCATGTTACGAAGATGTGCGCTTGCTTTGGGTCGACTGAGTCTGACTGATGATGGCAGCATTCGAGATGCTTGAACTGTTGTTCTGGAATTTTACTCGAGCAAAGCAATCGAAATCCGACTAGTCTCCGCGTGTCCCATATTCTAATTCCAAGGCAAATAAATGGCGCGAGACACCATGAGCAGTGGCGAGCAGGGTGAGCAGGTTGAAGATGTGAGGCGGCGGAGGAACCAGTACCCTCCAGTGGCTCGTACCACGTTTCCCTTATTGCTCTGCCAATGATCTGTTCCTTCGTACAGGGTAGGGAGTCTCCACGTCGGTTCCCGGCGAGGTCCTCGGGATCCATCAGTAAGGTAAGATATCCATCTTCAGTCAGCGTTAGTCTAACATCGTGTGTGATTAGCAAGTCGCGGAGACAGTCATGAGTCTCAAGAACTTCATCTTCATTATGCACACCAGTCCACCGTGCGAACCGCTGGAGCGAGCCTTCGAACGGTTCCTTGCCGACGCCACTCAAATTTCCTGCGAAGTACGTTTGAATTCGCCAGAGAGCCAGTGTCACCGGTTGGAGTTCGGGCCAGGATGGTGGACCGACCTCTACAAGCTCGACAGGATACCCTCATATTATCTTCCATATTGAAACTCAGTGGTACATTGTCGACCATGTTCAGGGGCTTCGTTGATCGAACCCGCCTTAAAAAACTCGTCCAGGCACCATGAGGCAAGATCGTGAATATTCAAGCTCAATCATAGGATATCTTGAAGTACCACAGCTGAGACAGTATCTGGAAAATCCACCTTGGAATCCGGATACTTGGATTCATGTGTGTAACAGCGAGTGTACTCAAGTATGTCCTGGTTGATCGGAAGGTAGGCTTTCAACAATGTGAAAGTATAAATCGTCGCTCGAAGTCTCCTGCCAAATTTGACGTCGTCAACGCGCTTTCATCAGCGAATGACCACAAGAATGAAAGACTCTGCTCATTGCAGGAGACACTTGGGCAAGGTGCGCAAGGCCATAAATATGAGGAATCCACTCAAGAATGGCCAACCGCATCTCGTACGGTAGGAGGGCAGTTTTGCAAAGTGATCCATAGTAGTTTGATCTCGAAGTTGGAGGTCGGTGGTAGTAGCAAAAGGGCCTCTAATTGACATTTTCGAAGCAGGAACGATAAGCAGGCACTCGGTCTGCCATCGATGATTGTTCTGATGAATGTGAAGCCACGATGAGAACCGGAACATAGGATGAATTGGATCCCGGAGAGAAATATTAATACAGGTTCAGGTGCCACTCACCAGCACACAACCTTCTCACTCCTAAGGCTAAAAGCACGTGAACGTACGGGCTATAGACGCCTATAGTACAGCTAACAGTCATGAGCCAACGAACCACGAAGCACGGACTGAGACAAGCTGGGGAGACTGAGGAGCAGCATCGCAATTCGCAGAACCAAGCACAAGTGCACTCTCGACTCAAATGGTAAGGTTGGAACTCGAAGACTTCTGAGTTCTGATAGGTACGTACCTGCCAAGCGTCAACAGTCTCCTATCATCCGGACCTGACGAATCATCGCCCATTCGGGTCTCCGTTCACTCCGGAATCCCCGAGGACCCTAATGGAATTCCTAGACCCTATTCCTGGACCCTGGTATTCCCTATTGCATCAAGTCGCACGGAAGGATTCAAGTGCTGATATTTAGTGGAACGGTGGAATAGCGCGAGACTTGTAATTATTTACTGAAGCTGCGCTCCAAGCGCTCCATACCTCGTAGACCATAAATCAACCACAAGCTTGAAATTGGCATTCGGGGCTACTGGCGCCCAATTGCATCAGGCGGTTGCATATATTGTTACATTGCTTGGCGGGCAACTCGCAAAAAACAGCCAAATTTGGGCAACGACTTTTGCAATTGTGCCTGATTGCAAAACTCATTACCCAAAGTTGGCATATTTTTGGGAAAACCATGCCAAGGAATGTAACAATATTACGTAGTAATACGTAGTATGCAACCGCCTGATCTCTTTGCCAAGCCGTTACCAACGTCAGACTAACTGCAGGCAATAAAGCCAGGCAATCGACTGGTTTTCATAAGGGCTAAGAATACCTACTGTAGGACCCCGGCTAGGGCCCCGGCTAGGGGATCTTCACTCTTCAGCCTCTAGCGTTTAGGTGGGAATTGGGATTGTTGGTACTCCGTAATACTGCTATTTTGGATATTTCACCATTGTCCGTTTCAGACTTTCAGACTTGGTTTCAATTTTACCTGTCTACGCGCCGTTCGACGTTTATAGTTCCTTCAATTCCATCATTGTAGGCAGAATACCTTGCCTTCATTTCTTTTGCATCGCGTGCGTGTTGCTCATGCTTTTGCGTGGTTATGGTGTTCATTTCTTGAGTTGGTTTGTTGTCAGCTGCGAGCCGAGCCGCTATTGAAGAATTTCATATCTTACTGCCGTCGTGCTGGCACTGCAGAGTGCTGACGTCCTATGTCGCAAGGAATGGCTCTCAATCCAGCGCTATACGATACCTCAGATGGCAGCCAGAAAGATGATGGACAGTATGAAGCGGTATCCTCTGCGTACAGTGCTGCACCGTTGAGAACCACCTCCTTTCGACCATGGAAACCTTTTTCGCTTCGTCCCCCGTTCTTAATTGGCACAATCGCCATTTGTTGCGCATTAATTGCTGCCCTTATAGTCCTTCACCTGCGCAGTATTCGCGATGATGGACTCCTTTTTGGAGTGGACATCAATGACCTTCCATCGTCGAAAACATTTGGATACTTGATCCTGCCGACCATCATTTCGGTTCTGTTCAGTTTAATGTGGGCATGGATTGATTTGGATACGAAACGGATCGAGCCGTTTTACCAACTTTCGACATCTGGGGGGGCTTCGGCGAAGAATTCTCTCCTCCTTCATTATCCAGTGGACTTCATGGCCTCGGTGCCAATAAATGCCATCAAGAACAAACATTCCATGATATTCTGTGCCTCTCTGGCAATTGTTCTGGTTTTCTGGGGTCTCACTCCGACGCAGGCAGGCATATTCTCCGTGGAAACGATCAACAAGACTTTGTCCGTTCCTATTCTATCCTCCACGTCCTATGTTCCTATTCCTGAGCAGAAAGAGCTGCTGTTGATGGAGGAGGTGTATTCGGCGGCAAATATACTATGGTGGAATGAAACTCTCCCCGAATTCACCACACGCGACTATGCCCTCGCCCCTTTTGCGGTGGAACAGCCACTCTCAACCGTGGAAGATACCGACACATTGACCGGGGAAACTCGCCTTTTCAGCCTCGACATTTTTTGCGAGCAGGCAGTGGTCTCCGGGATCAACATCACGAATGGCGATTCGGATGGCCGGCTTACTAGTTCCTGGGGATGCGACTTTCAAAGGTTGTATCCACTCGGTCCGGGAATGAATGTAAACGAAACAGACAAGATATATTCTATGTTTTATGTTGGGTTCTTTAGCCCCGAGGGGTTTTCCGATTATTATTTGTCGCCCTATTGTCCGAAAAATGAGTCCAGTACATTTTTGACCATGTCAGCAAAGATCAAGGTACCCAAGGCGCAATACGAGAATTTCACCAATGCAGAGAAGCTCCAGAATGCCGATACGACTACACTCTACTGCCGACCTTCTTATTTTACCCAACGCGTGGAAGCCACAATATCTCTCTCTGATAGGAGAGTCATTTCCAGCAACCCTCTCGGACCAAAAGAGCCTTTTCCGGCAGAGATGTTCAATACTACCGACTTCGAAACAAGCATGAACCAAGGGACAGAGGCAGCATCGGCTGGCAGGAGTAACTTCCCTACCAACTCGTGGCCTGGACAAAAGACCAAACTCGCCAACACACTTTTCGATTCCTACTATACGCCGCGTTTGGTACCCTTCGCTCTCGGGGCCACCATGCTGCCAGAAGACGATTATATGGTGCCCGAGGTCTTACGTAAGTCTTTCGAGTCCGCTTACCGAGTGCTGTTTGCGCGCCGCTTGGCTAGCATACTCAAGGACGACCTCGATCCCGCAACTCGAGGAACGGGCACAAGAACTTACGGTGTTCAAGCCATTGTAACGGTGCCGGCGTTTATTGGCATCGTCGTTGGTGTCTTGGGCGTTATCTGCATCCTCTCATGCTGTTTACTCTATATGTCTTTGACACGACATCTGAAGCTCGAGAGAGATCCGTCGACGATATCTGCACTGATGGATATGGTGGCCGGCCAAGACGCCGCACTGGCGGCCTTCAAGGATTTGGACACTGTCCCCGTCAAGAACTTGGAAACCGCGGTGGAGGATAAAAAATTCCATATTGCATACGATCCAACAAGCGCAGGGCTGAAATTGTCAACGGAAGACGAAGGCTGGAGAGGGACGGAAACGTTGCTTCCTGGCAGTCAAGCGCACGGTCGCGGGGAGTGGAAAAAAGTACTACCAAAAGAGCTCACCTTAGTTGCCGGGACGATATTCTTCATTTTCCAAATTGCCGCGTTCGGTGTCATCCTGGGCATTTATCTGTGGTCTATCTCCGCGAATGGTGAGTCCCAACATCACTGTTCACACACATCTTTGCGTTGGGGTTCCGAATGGGGAACACTATTTCCGGCTCCCTTGCACTTTGATGCTCCTCCAGTCGCCTACTTGCAGTTATCCAAAATGTCGTGGACTGTTGAATTAATCATTGAACTTTTCTGCCGTGGTTGGGGATGGGTAACTCGCAGGCGGAGATTGTTTCAATTCTCCTTGCCGTCGATCCTCTACACTTCGATGCCCACCCCTTACGCGCTTCGGTCCCATTTTCGCTTTCATTACTCTTTATTGGAATGGGATTGACACGGCCACTAACTTGTCTAGGCCTACCTCTTCCTTCCGAAAACCAGTTTGTCCGCCAGTTTGTCACCAACTACCTTCCAACAGCTTTAGGAGCACTAATCGAACCGGCCTGGCTGGTGCTCAACCGATTGCTCTGCATGCTGCAGTCATTCGAGGACATGCGGAAAGGATATGCAGAAGCAAAGTCATCCATCAAGGCCGACTACAACTCTTACCCACCACAATTTTCCATTCTGAGATCGATTCGGAACAGACACTTCTTGTTATCTGCAGTCTGTGTCATGACCCTCCTGGCTAACGTACTCCCTGTCGCCCTCTCCAGTCTGTTCTACGAGCAGACGGTGCCTGTTCCCGCTGGTTCCACTTTCGTTCAGCCTTTCACATCAAATTTCAAAGCCTTGAATGGAACGGGACAGGAATTCAATTTCATTCCACAGTATATGGGACAGGGGAGTACGACTCAAGATGCATTCTATGTGGCAATGTCGAATATCACAGCGAAGACTCCGCTGCCACCATGGGCAGACGAAGCATACACATACATTCCGTTCGAGGGCCCCTCTGTAGAGACCAATATGTCATTCACGCATCGTGCAAAAACGACATATTTCGGAAGCAAGCTCGATTGTGCGCCAGTCGAGAAATCCGGGCCAACATCATACCAGGCTTCGCTTGATCGATCAAGATTCTCCAACCCCACTGCCGCACCCATGTTCCAGTTTGCGCTGAACGTAACATTCACACAAAATGTACAAGAGCCGGTGACATGCGTGGCAAACATTAGTACCAACGTCGCCAAATCGAATGGACCGTCCGCCCTCGAGTTTACAGCCCCTTTGTTTGGAGGCCCGGATGCATCAGACGAGGTCTCCCGGCTCTGCGAATCCCGTTTCCTCGCAGGATGGCTCCGGGCAAACGTCGCTGAGGGCGAGAAAGCCAAACCTCGAGACCCTCCGCCCTTTTCCGTCACTGACAGGAAAGAGCTTATCATGGCATGTGTGCCTACAATTGTCACTGGTGAGGCTGACGTCGAGGTTGATACGACGGGACGAGTGCTTCGTAGACATTCCGTCCAGCTATCCTCGGATATAGCGTCTCATTTCACCACGACACCGCTGGATCTCATACAGCAGGCGAACCAGTTTATTGTTGGCAACGGAGACATGGTATATTCTCCGGGTGAAGAAACAAGACGGGCCGCCGCCGCTGTTTGGCACAATGACACGTTCCCTTCCGATTTCACGAATTACCTGATGACGCGCACTCTCAACAATAGTGCGTTCCTCGATCCTGCTACGCCTCCTCCCACATATGCGGACATCAGCAACCCTTTCACATCCCTCTACTCAACCTTATTCGCGATTCTTGTTGCTATTAACCAAGACCTTTTGCTCGTTCCTGCCTCTTCAACACCCGCTCAATCGCTTCCCGTTGTCGCGGGACTGACCAACCGACCCGAGCGTCGACTTTTCCTTCATCGCTCTATGGTCGCCCTCGCTCTCGTCATCCTCGCCGTGTACGCATTCACCACCGTTCTGGTGTACCTTAAGGCCAAACAGAAGTGGGGGTTCCTCCCACGTTTGCCGACAAGCATTGCGAGCATCTTAGCCTACGTGGCTGCAAGCACCGCCGTCAAAGCCAAAACGGGCATTCAAATGGCCCCGAGGCCGCGGGGTGAGAGGTATGGATTGGGAAGGTTTACCGGAAGCGATAACCGGCCGCATTGGGGAATTGAGACGGCCGACCGTATTGAACTGGACGCAGTGGATACTGAGATTTTGGGGATGAAGCGGAGAGCAACGACATGGAATGATTGGACTCGGCGAGGAAAATTGGCAACAGGGGAGTCGGAGATACGTTTGCACGAGATGGGGACCACGTAGTCAGGTTGGAAGCAAATTTTGGCAAGGACTTGGAACGGGGCGATGGAGCAATATAGATAGAAATTTTGAAATCGACGGTCCTAAAATATTTCTGTCTCTAGGCTGCACATAGATCGCACAATATATGTTGATAATTGTCAATAGTGGATAATCTTGTCGAACCGTGAATGATGGAAAGATAGTCCTTAGATACTAGAGATATCGAGCTACTTTAATTTATTCCCTACGGCGTCAAACCATTCGTGAAAGGTGCTCGCCATCGGCTCCTTTGGTTCCAGTGTGACTGTCTCTGGCTTGAACGACATCGACCATTCGGAGGATATGGACTGTTGCTCAAGTCCTAAGGAGGAGAGGTCAAACATATCATGCAACCAGTCCATGGAAATAGCAAGAGTCGCAAGCAGGATTCTACATGCCATTGCTGTTATTGACTGAAGGACCCCTTGGTTGAGGTCCATTGTTAATGAAGGCGATATACGTAGTCTATTCTTCAGTGCCCACGTCCTTTCGGTCATTCCGAAGGGTCATAACCGGTAGGGGTATATCAGAGTCTACCACGTCCTGGGTATTGAGGCGGAAACTATGAAGGATTTGCCACCTGAACGAGTGACGATGATTGAGCTCTATTAACTAGACTGTTCTTTGTCTAGACGATTGATAGCTTCGTGGCGATAACTAAGCTACAGGTAGTCTGCGCTAGAAAAGAAGAGATGGGATATTCGATAAAGATGTAGAGAGATCTTACCGGACTGGAGGAGCAGCAAACTGGTGAATGAAGGATTCGGGGGGGGGAAACATTCATGATAGGTTATTCGAGGAAGAATCGAGGCTGGCACTCTGAATAGTTGAGCAGTCTGAAGCCATCCCGGAAGCTGGAGGTTTGCCCCTGAGCGATCAGCATGCACACTCACGGACGCAGGCTAGGGAAACAACTAGAATCCATCATCGTGACACCCAATACATGAACAGAGGTCGAGCCTAAAATACCTACCACAAATACGCAACTGACAGCGTGCATCCTGCTTCCTCATCGAGACGCCGCCACGCGATCAACGAAAGTAGTATCTTGCAGATCGATTGGTGTAACTTAGAGATCACAGATTGCGATTTATGCCCCTTTAATGTCCGATCCCACGCAGGAAGAGCTGGAAGACACATCACATAGGATTATGTTTGCTTTGAGACATTGGATAATGCGACGATAAAAGAAAGACACTCTGATTTGGGCAACGATATTCTTTGATGATGGGGAATGATATTGCAAGGGTGGTTTGCCTCCCCATCTTACTATGTTCTGATGCTCAGTGCTTCTCATCACCTCAACCGAATCGTTCGACATCCGCGGTTTAGGTAACCGGATCACGGTCCCTGGCCCGCTGCACGGACAGATTACCTGGGACATTGGACAATGTCACAATGGGGCAAATGCGGAGTAAAGTCCCGGGCGGGTGGAAGGACCGCCCACACATGGCAGTTTAGCATACTTTAGGTAGTGGAGCGTGAAAGAATTTTGCGAGCTGGAAAGTGCAAAGTGGCGATGAAACAACGAGGCTTTTGGGGCTTGGGCACTGGCCTCTTCCCAGGTGATCCTTGCGGAAGCACCCGTCTGCTCGGAGATTGAGGTGTGGTCGCAATTTTGCGATCGACGTCTCACGTTCTTAGCGACTACGACTTAAGAGGTAAGAGGTGGGAAACTGCGGAGAAGCCCAAGGTCGAGGCCCACGGGCCTCACGACTTGACAAGATTGATGAATTAGAGATCTGACTTCTGACTGAGAGAGGAAGGACGATGTGATGAAAGCGTTTTGGCGACAACTTGCTTTTCGGGATCCACTTAGGGCGGTTACGGGGTACGCCACCAAGCAGGCCACAGAGCGTGAGTTGGAGACGAATAAGATGATGACCTTGAGAATGGATTCGCGCTGTGGTAGCCACTGGAAGGACGCCTCTGTAGCAGAAATGTAAATGGCAAATGACAATAGAAAATTAGGGATTGATTGCAGCTGAACAAGAACCCTACGTTCCACATCTCATTTAACAACCTCATGCATTTCTGCCTACAAGTGGCAACCTTTATAGACTCTATTTCAGTCTCATCCAAGTCACGGCAAGGAGGGCACGCAAAGGAGGGCACGAAGACACGAGTTGATCAGGCCAGAACCAAGGCCAATGGAAGTGAGCCCAGCATCCTGCCACGATGGTTCAGCCGAACTCCGGTTCCTGAATCTAATTCTCTCGGCTTTTTCTTGTGAACGTGAGCAAGACAGGGACACCGCCGCGTCGCAGGCATTAATACATGGACAGGCGTTGAAGCGACCAGGCGGACTGGTGTGTTTCATGGAAAGACTTGCCTCGGGCTCGCAGCCAACCAGGAGGTCGCGATGGCGAAGGGCCTTTGCACAACGAGTGCGGGGTGGACATGGGACGCGCTGGGTGAGAGATCCTCAATCCAATCGTTCATCCACGTTGGCGTATTCTCTGAACTGTGATGCCGATAAACTTGCCATGTTGCATCGCGGTTTACGCAATCCACGTTTCTTGTTTGGCGACATGCAGGCGGGTAGGAATCTGGTGACTGTTGGCAAAAGTATCGTATTTTTGCTTCTGGAGATCCTGCACCCTGCCAAAGTGCCAATGAGCATCGTATGCTACTGTACAATGTCGTATTTCTCCAATTCTCTCGCATCCAAGCGCACAGCAAAGGCGGACATGGCCTGGCCCCCGATTTTGCGCAGCTTCTGTCGCTCAACCCGGCGGGAGCTCCGTGTTCCTGCGCCCCAGTGTGGCGACGGGCGAAGAAGTGTAGGAGTAGCTTGTCGATGGAGCTACTGCATCGCGAGGAGCCCAAATCCGCGCATGATTGGATGCAGGAACTTCATGGCAGGGGCATGAGGCTGAAGAGGAGAGGGATACAAATCCTATCAGCTATCGATAGCTGCCCGTACCTGCGTCCGCCCCGTGGTGCCAGATAGGCTGCAGGTTTTGACTTTTCGACCTATCAATTTGACGGCATCCCAACGTGTTTGCCTTTTTCTGCTTGCACAAGATTCTTGGACGTGATCGACTAAAAATCGCCGGGCCAGTCAGGACAAGATGCTGGGGTGGTATCCAGGAGAGGGAGAAAAGAAAAGTCACCATCTTCCCCGCGCGCTGAATCATTCAGGATACCCCCTTGGAACGATTCAACATGGCGATGAAAGGTCGCCGTTTGGAAACAGTTCCTGTCCGTTGAGTTGTTGAGTTGGCGGTCCCTTAACCAATCCGTAAGGGGTATGACATTGAACTCAGAACACTGACTGTTCACTTGCGAGTCCTTTCCATCATGCCCTGATATTGACAAACCTGGATGCTTCCTTGGTTCCCTGGCACTCCGCCCCTCGCCCTTCCCGAAGTTCCTGACATCCACTGCACAAACCAAGACTCTGTGGCATGTATCTATCCGGATCCGGTAGAGCTGATCTGGGTGGCTTTTGCCGTCGTGATATCGTATCCAAACACCGTTATCGCCCCAGGCTGAATGACGAGCGACACGATGCCCGAGGAATGGTGGTGTAGGATCGGCATGATTCCACTCATTCCTCTCAGGATAGCGATGTACATCGGTATCTACGGTCGCTATTTCATGGAATGCATTTCCTAATTCCTCCCGTCACACATCTGGCGCTTGTGTTGCGCGTGAGTGGAGGAGAGTACTTCCGGCATATGACCAGTCAGAAGAAAATCTAGATATGGAGACCTTCCCAGCGTTCTTGGGACCAGTTGCGCAGCTGCAGAGGAAACGGGGAGTAAGGACGTTGAGTGGGTTCATGGCTTCATGCAGGTGCAGAAGCCTGGCTGCTTCGAAACGGGCTATCCTATGGCATGACTGACAACTAAACCATAAGATCCAATCGGATAGGCGAGAGATACTTGCCTTTAGGTGGTGCTTTGTTCTTTCGTTTGTTCCTTGTGTCTCAGCCTCTTAAGCCATCAAGGGATAGGAAGGATGGGGACTTGGGGAGAGAGTCAGCGTCACGGAGAGCCGGGAGCCCAGTCCTTCTGTCTTGCAGATCGTACTCCAGTCTGGTTTACGGGCGGTATGGCCGGACAGGCTGTCAAATGGGCCGCAGCTGGGGGGTAGAATGCCCGTAGAAAAGGCGCAGATTCTGCAGTCTAAGCGGCCCCCCTGGCGGGTGACCCTTGAACGACAAGAGACATGGTTATGTGGTCCCCCTGTGACACTCCTCATTTCACAAATTATAAGGTGAATGGGATCCCGTCGAACCGTCCCCCTTTCCTCCCCTCTCCTTCATCGATCATTTTTTATCAAGAGTCTGTTGGATTTTGGAAGATTTGTGCTAGCACGGTCCCTCCCTTTTGCTCATTCACTTGTTTTTGTCGTTCGCGCAACGCTTGCGTTCGCATTCACTGTAGCTCGCTTGACGCAGCAACAGCAATCACTCTTTCAAGTCCAAGCCCGAATATCCCCCAATCTCACCGAATTGCGCGTTTAAGGCATCATTCTTTTGCAGCCTAAGGCCAATTCTACACTTTCCCTTTTCAGCACCAACATTATCAACATCTCACGCTCTTTCTGTCCAATCACCGACCGATCGCAACAACATCTACGCCCCAAATCCATAGGGTTATCAACTCTGTGACAACAACGTTCGAATAACTCGCGTTAAGTAAGTAGTTATTCATTTTCTTCATTTCCTGTCATTATGAATGTATTGAGGGCGCCATCGGAGTGCAGCATCTTGCTTTTCTACCAAATTCTTGAGTGTTAGACAGGTTTTGTTGTGACGGTATCCTGCTTGGGAGTTGTGGCGCACTAGTCCCCTGACCACAGCAATGAGTGTCAGTACGAAATCAATTCAGATCACTCTGTCAGCTGGAGAGTTTAACGTTAGAAGCGGCCCTCTCTATCTTGAGCTCTATCTTGAGAATTGGCAGGATTTGGGAGTCTTGGACTTGATATACGATCCGGGATCTTTGGCGTCACTATCCCCTTTCCTTTGATATGTCGATCATTTCTATCAATCATCCGTGCAAAATGGTCACCTCATCACCACTGGTGTTGAATATTCGAGATATGTTGTGTTGGGATTCGGTGTTTTGTCTCAGGTTTTTGCGACTCCAGGACAATGGACAAAAATATCTCCAACCGAGCCTCGAACATGGACCTCTGGAATATTGACTGTGTTCATATCTCCTTCACATGCAAACAAGATCCCCTAGCTCTTCTCTTTACAAACAGCTTCAAAACAGTCTTTTGGAAAGAGTATCTAACAAGGTTTCACCTCTAGAATTCGACTTTCGCCTTCATCGCCAGCCGGACTTGCGATAACCACCGACAACGTCGACAGTCTTCATTGAACATGTCGTCCTCAATCCTCCTCGCTGCTACCGCAGCGCTCTCCCTCTTCAGCTCGGCCTCCGCGCATTTCCAAATCCAAAAACCAGTTCCCATCACTGGCTCCGCTCCGAAAGATCCCCTCAATCCCAGTGGATCCGATTTCCCGTGTCACGGTGCTGATCTCTCCAACATCGGCTCGCGAACTAGCATGGCTGTTGGTTCCTCGCAAAATCTCGAGTTCAACCTCGGTGATGGTGCCAATACTGCCGTCCATGGTGGCGGTTCGTGCCAGCTCAGTGTGACTTACGAGACGGATCAGGCGAAGCTCAAGGACCCCGCTTCCTGGAAGGTCATCTACTCCATCGTTGAGGGGTGCCCGACCAACTACTGGTGGAATCTCGACACCGCAGAGAAGTGCACTCCCGGCTCCGACAACGTCAAGTGTGTCAACACATTCGACTTCACCGTTCCGGAGGAGGTGAAGGATGGCGACGCAATCTTCGCCTGGACCTGGTTCAACAGCCTCGGCAACCGCGAAATGTACATGAACTGCGCCGCCGTGTCCATCTCCGGCGGGAAAGACAAGCTCGACGAGCTGCCATCCCTGTTCGTCGCCAACATCGGGTCGGTTTCCGGATCGTGCGAGACCGAGCAACTCAAGAACGTCGAATTCCCCGACCCGGGCAAGTACGTCACAACAAAGAAGCCCGCCGGCCCCGTTCAGTCCCAGTTCCCCAATGCGGTCCCTGCTGGCTGCGGTGCCGCCAAGGCTCCCGCTGGCTATGGTTCTCCCGAGCCAACTACCACTCCCGCGCCCGCCAACCCCGGTGGTGTCTTCGCTCCTGCTGCCTCCCCCAACAGCCCCTCTGCTGATCAGGCGGCGCCGACCCCAACTGCTGCTCCCGTCGTTGCCCAGCCTGCGCCCCAGCAAGCCCAGCAATCGGCTCCCGCTAGCTCTGCTCCCGCCACTCCTGCTGCCCCAGCCACTCCTGCCGCTCCTGCCGCCGATGCTTCGCAAGGTTCGTGCGTCACGGGCCAGGTCGAGTGCTCGGACACCGGATTCTACTGCATCGACGACGCAACCTTCGGGCAATGTGCCTGGGGATGCGCGACGCCGATGAAAGTGTCGGAGGGCACCAAGTGCGAGGCGAACGCGGTTACCTGGGCCACGAAGGCCAAGAAGAGCGTCAGGATCCCTCCGCAAGGCAGGAGATTGCTCTCGATCTTCGGCTAATCAACCCAACTTTCTCACGGTTTCGCTGGTCGGAGTTTTGAGTAAACGGATGTTTGGTTAGGGCCTGGGATCGGTGTGAGAGATTATCTCTACTGGTATGTTCTTCTAAATAAAATTAGTATTCTCCCAATTTCTTGTGCTAACTTTGTTTCTCATAGTGTGTGTGCATCATGGCGTTCAAGCGAAACTGCGAGAGGTGGCGGGGTTCTTTCCCTTCACGATTTCTTGTCAAAACCTTTTCGGGGTAGCTCTGCATAGCTTTGCACTGGGTTTGGAGCGAACACTTCTCTTCTTCGTCGATTCTTTTCCATGGTGATTTCGAGGAAGTGGACAACGGACATTGGGCATGACGGATACTCGTATCTCGAATTCCACCAGGTCAGCCAGGATATGGCACCAGGAATGTACATACAAAAGGATCAAGCAGTCAATACAGTTGATACCTGGAGCCACCGGGGTGTGGGCTCGCTGTTCTTAAAAAGCAAACCAAGCCGACAATTCAGTTAAATAAGAACATAACTTGTGCTATTTACTGAACGTGAACATGACTAGTGTGAGTTGTGACTGCATGAACGTATGACGATGACCTACGGTGATGAAGACTTCGTTGTTGATTCAGCAGTACACGTAGTATGAATGTGTGGGCCACGTGATGGTCTCAGGGTCTGGCAGGGGAACTGGGAAAGGTACGTACCTGCCTAATGCCGGAGAGGCCCGCCCGGTGATCCTCGGCATTCGTCGTTGAGAATGGAGATATCAACAATCCATCCATTTAATCCTCACATTGCAGTAATGTAGAATTTGACTTCCTCAACTGTCCTTTCGACCTAAATTTCAACTCCCCGCCGCCCACCATGCTCATCCTCGGCCTGACTGGCTCCATCGCGACCGGCAAATCCACCGTCTCCAACATCCTCCGCTCCGCACCCTACAACCTCCCCATCATTGACGCCGACGTCCTCGCCCGCCAGGTCGTCGAGCCCGGCACCTCCGGATACAATCAAATCCTCGCATACTTCGGGCCCACGACCCCCGATCTCCTGCTCCCCGGCTCCGAATCCGGTGGCCCCAATGGCCCCGATGGGAAAGGCCGCCCGCTGAACCGCCCCGCGCTGGGTCGACGGGTGTTCGGGAACGAGCCGGACAAGGTGCGCGACCGGAAGAAGCTGGGGCAGATCATCCATCCGGCGGTGCAGCGGGAGATGTGGAAAGCGTTATTATACTATTATCTGACGGGGCGTTGGTGCGTGGTAGTGGACGTGCCGCTGCTGTTTGAGGGGGGCATGGACGCGATTTGTGGGTCGGTGATGGTGGTCGCAGTGAAGGATCCGGCGGTGCAAATGCAGAGGTTGATGGATCGAGACTCGTTTTTGACGGAGGAGGATGCGAAGAATCGGGTGATGAGTCAGGGGGACGTGAGGGAGAAGGCGAAGAGGTGTGAGGCTCGGGGGAAGGGGAGAGGGGTGGTGGTGTGGAATGATGGAGGTATAGAGGATTTGAAGAGTGAGATAGCTCGAGCAATGACAGAGGTACAGAGTGGGAGCCCGAAATGGTGGGCTTGGCTACTCCTGCTTTGTCCTCCCATGGGGGTTGGGGCGGGGTTGTACACGTATTTACGGACTTGGATCATTAGAAGGGAGTATTTAAAAGCGCAGGCGAAGGAGACGGCAAAGTTATGATAGATGCCCTGTGATGGCTCTATCATAAGGGCAAGGAGTTGAAGCAAAGTATCCGATTCATTTTAGTTACCGTACGGTACACAACCCAGAACCCCAGTATTCAGCATGGGAAAGCTGCCGCTTGAGACATCACCAACTGTCAAGTCATTCGCAATGATTTCCTACGTCCCCTTTGAAACATGGCCGTTGGCCGTTGGCCGTTATTGCCAACATATTGAGGCGTAGTTTGAGGCCCTTTCACAACATTTCTTTGTTGCCTCTGGTATTCTCGTCGAAACTACCGCCCTCCAACCCGCCGTTGCTTGAACCGGAGCTTGTGCTTGCTTTAGGCAAGGATTGAAGCTCGGTCACCATGGTCCCAGGAGCCGTATCAATTGCGTCTTCGACGGTAACAACCACGTCGGTGGTGACCTGCATGCCTGTCGTTGGGATCGGTGCAGACGAAGTTGTGCTTGTCACCCAGCTCTGTTTGTAAGGGTTCAAGAACGGAGGGAGCACATTTGCCCACCCCTTGGAGTTACTCAGGTCGGCAGGACTGGCAACCCTAGGGCGCTTCAACAACAGGCGCGGGAAGAACCGCTGCACAAGTGGCTTCAGGGAGATCAGGCTTGCGCATATGATACCAACATTTGCCTCTACGGCAGACCAGACAACAGCAGCGACGCCAGCATCTAGAATACTTGTAAGCAAGTGTGCATACGAAACGACTGTGGACCGGTCTTTGCTCGCACTTACTGGTTCCTTCCTTCCGGCCTGAAAAAGCTTGAACGAGCGTGAGCCTGAGTGTCGCGACAACACAGACGCTTGGTTGAGTGTTAGCAAACGTTCTATGCAACGAATGATTAGTTACACTCACGTTCCGCCAAGGCCGAAGATCACTAGGACGGTGTTCATCTGCCTCTTCGGCAACTGCAACTGCTTCACAACCGGCATGGGGAGAATCCAGATGATGAGGTCAGCGAGTAGGTTCACGCCCGCGGAGGTGAGCCAGTACACATTGAACGACATGCACGTGCCTTCAATGTCCATGGACCAGTACTTTGCAATGGGAACACACACAGTTCCACCACCTGCAATTCCCCATAGGGCTGCGAGGGTCAGGAGACCATAGAGTGCGTAACACCAACCTTGGACAATCGGGCAGCCCCAAAAGATACGGCAGTACTGGGTCACGATAGAGGTCTTGGTCAGGTTGACAGTAGCATGGTAGAGAATGTTGGAACTGATGAGCAGCTAGATGATCCAGTCAGTCAAAGTCTCAAGTCTCGGCGTTCAAGTCTCGGCGTTCAGGGGTAAACGATGATGATGATAGGGAGCGATGAGACGTACCTTTGCAGTGATGGGACGGATTGCATGCTCGATATCAGCGACGCCGAACTTGACTTCTTCGTTCCTCATGTACTCTAGCAATTTTGTTAATCATTGTGTGATCATGGAATTCCCACTGAGAAGAGTGAGGTACTTACGAGCAGTGATGACTGCAGTCATCCCGATGCTCACCAGCATAGACGCGGTTAGGATGAAATCTTCAGGGCCGACATGATGAAGGATATAGACCCTAGTAGCCCATCTCGCAATGATAAACAGAAGAGCAAGAGCAGTAATGACAAGGACGGGTGCCACTGCTGCAGCACGTAGCTCATGGCCACTGTCAATTGATCGGGCCACAGCCCGGGGCATAGGAGATTCTGGGTTCATGATTCGAACCATGCGAGAAGCGGAGACAAGGAAGAAGTTGTTGTGAAAGGAAGGCGGATGGGGTAAAGTAGAGAGAAGAGGGGGAGATGAAGAGGGAGGGGAGGTGGGGAGGAAGTAGAGAAGTGGTAGAGAGGAGAGTAGAGAAGGAAAACTGAGAATATTAACCCATTTGTGTGGAGGTCAATTACTCACTAGAGTTTCGGTGTTGTTATTGGATTATTTTGATATGGCCAACTTTATGTGAGGTTTCGCAGAGAGGATGTCCTCAGGCAAGCTAGACTGCAATAGATGTGATATCGGACGGGCCTGGGCGGTTGCCGCGATTTACACTCCAAGGAGCGTAGGCCCCAAGCATGTGTTCTAATAACACAAAGATGCTTTTCATGGTTCAGAGGGCATTGTGAAAGTGACAGGATACTGGCTGTGGCGAGTCTCCATGCCGCTTGGAACCAAATACCCCCCTTGCCTTAGAGATTGGATAGTACTCTTGGTTCAAGGCAATGGAGAGAAAGGACTGAACAGAAAGCCGAACCACACTTGGATCATTAGCTCGCTTGATCCTAGGAGCAAATCACATGAATATCTACCTTTTGTAATAGACTTGCATAGAATTTCCTAAATGGAATGAATATCATCGTTAGGGTTAGCGTTCGAGGACCACAGCCTAGCGGCAGCATTCGATATATTATTGAATAGGGCCATTTGGCCTTCCAATCATCGAAGCCGCTCGCCATTGAGAAGATATAGTTTGGCATGAGCTTCAAGTACTCAACAGCTTTTGGTAAATCAGCAGTCTGCTGAATATGATGCTAAAGTTCACTGAACCAACTCATGGTTTTCCTCAACTTTGGAACCAAAAGCACAGGCAACCTATTATGTTGGAGACTGAAGTCTAGGTACTTCTGTCTGCAAACGGGTGCAGTGAGGTCCTGACACGTAACAAGAAACAGTCTCCATCATTCTTGGAAGCAATCCGTTTAAAGATAAAGCAATGCGAACCATTGGCAAACTGGATCGGCGGTAGTAAGGCGGATATAGCTTGCAAACCGCGGCAATTTTAGTCTAATAGATCAATATACGCCTATGATAACAAAGGCAAAATGCAGCTATGCATTCGTCATTGAAATTGAGAGCAGCATAGTGATTGGTGCTAGCAAAATAATCCAATTTCCCTTGCAGAGTATGGATTAGTCGCTCTGCCGCGATGTACTCATGTGTCGTTTGACATGGCTCCGCCAGGACGGTTCAGTGTAACACTCCATAGACCATGAGTATCGCTTAGAGATGAGCTCTTCACAAGAGCCAGGGCACCATAATCGCCATTTTGTGATGCTCGCAGGCCAAGGAAATGGGGATAAATTATATGGAAACATCATACTATATATAGTTCAGTCCATCCGTGTCACTACCCGAAAAGGGGGTCGGCCAAATCGAATGAACTTCGATCTACAACTGCATTGGCTCCTGATACAGTCCCTTGTAGTTGAAGCTGATGGCGGGACTTGTATCGCTCGGTGCCTATTGGAGTGCTTTAGGGGTAAAATCGATATTATAAGGGAGGAGCTGTGGTTGCTTGGAGGTAACCCCGATTGCATCAGCTGTTGATTAGATCCCTAGGAAGGGAGGTATCTAATAAGACTGGAGTTACGTTTGTCGCAGCCAAGGGACTAAACTCCTTTTGCATCATTTTAAATTCTTTGTAGTATCTAGAACTGTTGTCACCTCCGCCCCTCCCAAGTCCGAAAGAGAACAGGAGGCAAGGGGTACAAGGCGACAAAGACGACTAGGATCTTGCTTGCACTTCCAATTGAAGTTGCATCCGATGAAGCATCCTCTCTCATAATCTTCAGTGCTTGCAGTGTCTAGAACCGTTCTCATCTCCACCCGTGCCGTTAGAGCATGGGACGACAAGATACCATCGGCGCCTGAATGGTGCCTTCGCATCATGATCCGTTTGTTTATGATCCTTTCGTTCTTCCCCAAACTCAAGTTGGTGGTTATGTTCGCCACAGTTCCCCAAGGAAACATGCAAACAGGTAGTCAGACATCTTAGCCGAGCGACAGGAGCCAAGTCTTCTAAGACGCAATTTCAGAGCCGATTTTTCGCATTGAAAACATCCGAGCAACTTCTGATCTTGCTCCCACAGTTTTCTCCCCCGGTGTTCACCAGTGGCAGGCGTCAAAGGCGACTGAAGCTGTTTTTGGTGTCGTACTTTCGCTTCCAAGCATGGAACCATCATACAAGGAAAATCTCTAGTCAGGACTTGTTCGGGACCATCACTGTCTGCACCGTGTTGTGCCCTTAGACTAGCGCTGGCCAGTCCTTTGAAGGCAATTGGATGCAGGGTGGACTTTTAGAGTCGCGCTTTCGCTCCCGAGCCTCTCTGAATCTTCAGTTCCTCATATCACGTTCCAGCTTGAGTGTTCAGATGTATTCCTGTTTCTCCAACAGACATATGCAGCTAAGCACCCGGGTGGGCGCATGAACGTGTGGCGTGCGGTAGGGGTGAACTGCTCAGGCGGCCAGAGATCCAGTGAGTTGGGGAGTCGTGTTGGGTGTCGTGCTTTCCCAATTTTAGGAGATATCTGACGGCAGGAACCATATAGTATCTAGATGTTATGACTCGGACAACTCTTCGAATATCCCACACTCCTCGTCCCTGGATTCGGCTTTATAAAGGGACCTACAAGTATATTCGAATCCAATATTGCACTCACAGGAATTGAATGAAAATTCGCTAACAATAGGCAGACTTTTAGATAACAAGGCTTGGAGACCAAACGGAGCAAACATGATATACTCTGCAAGGAAGCGGACCTGGATAACAGGACTTGGACACCAAACACAGCAAGCATGAAAAACTCTACAAGGAAGCAGACATCGACTTGATATGAAAACCATAATTAGGAATGCTAAGTGACTTACTGACTGGCATGTATGCAGGTGCTTCCTAGATCATAGACCTGAAAAATCGCTCACGGTGCACAGGAGCCCTCGAAGAAGGCAAATTTATGGTCTCACAAATGAAACCTCCGCTTACTGGCCCGAGATCCGACTATCGGTGCGACTTGGCTCCATCGACCGCAAACGGTGCCAAAATCCTTGGAGCTGGACTCCGCTGTCAAGCAAGTTAACTCGATCAGCTTGTGCTTATGTGGGAAGAATCAAAGGCCTGAAAAACAGCGCTCGAAATGCGATATGTCACGTACCCGGTTGTTTGGGACAAGATCGAAGTACCCGCCTTGTCCACACGATCCACTCTCCAGTTCAGTGAATGGCCCATCACGGGAAGTAGCATGCGTGGAGTCGACGGCACATGTCACCCGAAGACGTGTGTCCCGCAATAGCAACGCTTCATGCGAAAGTGGTGAGTATGATTTGTCATGTTGACCGATGGAGTGGCGGATATGGCGACTGATTTTCTACACCTGGTTAGAATTACGGTGAGGGGAATTGGAGTATTTGATATACTTACATGTCTCAGATCCGGGGAATAGAAATATTCCTCCATTCGTAAAGTGGGGACACAAACATCCGGACCGACACTTGTATATCCGCTGCTTCAGATACGTGTACCTGGCCGCGTGCCTGGGATCGCCGTGGGTTCACATCCCTTCCGCAATGGAGTTAGTGTGGCACCAAATTCTTAAGTATCGAGGACATCGAGTTCTCAGGTTTTCGAGTCTGAATGTTGGTTGTTGCATTGCGCGGATGTGCAGATCATTCAGTCACGTCAAAGAGACACGTGCTTGTGACGTGCGGTCGAGACGGTGAACGACTGACACCTCTCAGGAGAATTAGCAGCCAGTCTGCTTCCGACCAAGGGAAAAGGATGAAAGCCGCTGCCATTAGGGGATGAGGGACGGAGGAAGCAACTCAGTCGCCTTTCCATGTCCCTATATGTGCTCGCAGCTCCGCTCGCCTTCTTCTCAGGTATGTTTGCAAACATTGTATTCTGAATTTCCTCCACGTGCATTGTTGGCAAGCCTGGTACCGCCTCAGGCGGCAACTGGAAGTGCACGCAAGGCGATGCACTGATACAACTACTATTCACCCACCATCCAACTCTAGATGATCTAACCAACAGAAATTCAGTCTTTAGACCCCCGGCTGCTCCTCTCCGAGCATTGGTGAGCGTTCACCATTGCCATCGGCAGTTGTCTTGATTTTGGCGTTGAGCTTCGGAACGAATTCAGTTATACAACTTCTTTCGAATGAAGCTCCAGACTTCACACATCAGGATGGTACAATCGCACAACCATGCTGTGCGGAACCAGTGGTATACCGTTCCCATGCTGAGTGTCAGAGGCAACTGCTGATATGCACAGTTTCAGGAGGCATAAGTGCCGAAACGAAGATCGGACAGGGCACTACGCATATTTCAGTGCCTCGGATTGCCTTGAAGGGCGAGAGACCAGAGACAGAGGGAACGCTCCTTCCCGTGGAGTGCCTCAACAGGAGCGTAGCGTTGTGGTCAGGCGACACTCTCGACACCAACAAGATGGACTTGGAGAAAAACGGAACGGAACTACCTCCTAAGCAAGGTTTTCGACTGACACGAGCATTTCGGTTCGATTACGTGACGACGTACCGAGCCCTGTTCTCGACAGTTTCGCTGGCGAATATAATCGCCATGGCCATCGTATTGACCAACTGTGAAAGACAGGATGGCTGGAAGTTCAACGATATACTTGGCACCGCTGTCGCCGCCAATGCTACCGCGGCGATTATCTGTCGCAACGAGCTCTTCGTCAACCTTCTCTTCAGTATTGCCACCGCGGTGCCGCGTTCTGCCCCGATCCGGATCCGGAAGCGAGTGTGCCAGGTCTACCATTATGGTGGTATCCACAGCAGTGCCGCCGCAGCAGCGACAGGGTGGTATATCGCGTTGGCCGCTTCGACGGCGTACACAACCCGCTTCAATCGAACCCTACGCGGCTGGACTATCGTGTCCTTATCCTCAAGCATCGCTTGCATTCTTGTCATGATGTGTATTTCAGCCATGCCTTTCATTCGATCCAACTTGCACAATTGTTTCGAGCGCATTCACCGATTCGGCGGCTGGATATGCATAGTTCTCTTCTACACTCAATTCTTTCTCTCCACCATCTGGTTCCCCGATACCAGCACTGGCTCCACGATCATCAAAAGACCCGCGTTCTGGCTCTTAGCGGTCACCACAGCTTGCATAATCTGGCCGTGGATCAACACGCGAAAGAGGCCGGCAAAAGTGGAAAAGCTCTCGCCGCATGCCATCCGTGTCCACTTCCGAGGTCTCGTCCATTCGTGCATGGGAATCCGCATCGCCATTAACCCGTTGAACCAACATCATGCGTTCGCAACCATTCCCGAAATGGAAAACGATTATCCGAGTTTCAGCGTAATAATTTCCAACGCCGGTGATTGGACACATCGGATCATTACTTCGCCGCCGTCTCATTTCTGGATTCGGGGACTGCCAGTCTTCGGGGTCCTTCGCCTAGCAACCATATTCAGCCCGGTGCTAGTGGTGGCGACAGGTTCTGGCATCGGTCCATGCCTCGGATTGTTCGTCAATGCTCCTCACCTCAAATGCCGGGTACTTTGGGTGACGAGAAGCCCTGAGAGCATGTTCGGCAGCCGAATCATTCAGAGCGTCCTCCAGGCAGATCCAAATGCTATCATTATCGATACCGGCGTCTCTAGGAGACCGGATCTCATCAAGACAACCTATGAACTCTATGTCGAGTCAAATGCTGAGGCGGTATTCTGCATATCGAATCAGAAGTCGACAAGGGAGGTGGTTGGGGCGATGGAGAGGCGCGGCGTTCCTGCGTACGGCCCAATATGGGATTCATAATCGGTGGTCTACTGTGATAGACGTAATATACCGACAGAAACGCAGGTCTGCGGAAGATACATGTTCTGAAAGCAACATCTTGGCGATATTACTGCTTGCAAAATATGGGGGCTTGGTATTTGCGATAGGAAGTTATGACAAGACAAGAGGTCTCAGAAAGGGAAATGCATAGATGAAGCGGGAGTAGCTGTATATTACTGATTCAGGAGAGCGAAAGGTATCTATACAGACCTTACGTAACAAATGAACATACCTTAGTGATACAATAGGTACTGGTGCAAAGGATAGGATTGATGTTCAGCAAGCGGTAAGACAATAGAGACTTGACACAAGCATAAGAGTACTAACGCGCAACATATTCATCCACGGCATAATCCGAACGCTGACTACGGGTTGGAATCTGGAAACAAAGGCATGATGAAAGCCTTGAAATGGAACGCAGCAAGGGGCAAGACAATGATCGAGGGACGAAAAAGGAGAACCACGTTATTGCTACTGACCGGCTGACTGCATAATGCAATTGGAAACTCCATCTGCCCGAAAGAGTCGGATAGCTCATAGCATAATAGACGAATCCGTCAGACAGACTGAAACCGTCGCCTCCAACAACCTCTTTCATGACTGATCGCTAGGTTGCAATCGGTCCGGCCGACCCCTCTCTGTATCAGATTGGTTTCGACTTCCCGATCTTCTCCGCGGCGCACCGATCAACAACATCCACGACGCAAATGACCGAACAATGGGACAAAGAAGGGTCCATCAACTTCCCTATCCAGCGCGCATATGTAGCGGTAGACTCAATGGCAGCGACGGAGCGGGCGTCACGAGAACAATAGACCAGCAAGCTACATGGACGATGTCATGCGGGCACAGCTGAAGAGCAACGGGGAGGGAGGACATGAACGGGCCGATGGGATGAAGCACAATTGGGACCGAACTGCAGACCAGAGGTGCAGGAGATGCAGGACTTAAATGATGGGCAATGTGGGAATTCGGAATTGGGATGGATTATACGCTAGTGCGGTGCGCTATAGGTGTAAGTTGCGCCAATCAGCGAGCTGGTGGGGATAGATGGAATCTTTTGCAACTTTTTTGTCTCAAGAGCCCGAAACAGGGGCATGGATTCAGTTGTGGAGGCTGTGGATGGTGATGGCGTCTCATGGGGGAATGGAGATCTAGCCTGGCGCTTCCAATGGGCCGAGAATATGGAATAGGCACTGTAAAGTTTGGTGGACTGTCTTGACAAGTTGAACTGTGCACGCAGGAAGTCTTGAATTTGGACCGTACCTTACTGTATTAGACTATATTAACCTGTGCGTGCCTGCATGGTGCTTCAATGGAACTGATAGTTATTGATATTGGTAGTTATTAATAATAACTGAATCCTCCCCCGAGTCCCGACTCCGTCCCAGTATTTCTGCGACAAATTGTAGAGCACGTGACAGGGGCTGCAGGCCAAGCAGCTAATGAGAGGACAAGAAAGCGGGATTTGGAATTGCCTCGCAGGAAGCCAAGCGTAAGCGCGAAATCTAAGGCTCCAAGGCCAACATGCCACTTCCACTTCACCGAAATCCTTTGATACAATTGACCTCCACATCAATCTTCCTCTCCCTGATCCCTCACACCTTTCATACCACACACCCTTCACCTCCAATTCTCATTCCCCAAATGACATCTGCACAGTATTTGTCACTCCGTAGTTTGGAATTGACCGTTTACTTTGTACCGTCCCAACTTCCATATCCCCCCATTCGTTCTGGCCTCTGGAACTAGTCCACCACTCCACCACTCCACCCAACCTACATCTAAGTCCTAGATCCGTCTCATTGGTGTCGGGGATATTTGGAAATGCCGCTATGGATCCTTCGGTCTGACGATTTGAACATTTCGAAGAGAGTGGCTTGCCTAGAGGATCCCTCGAGGAAGGCGGATGCTCTCAAATCGTCCAATGCGATCTGGAACCGTCATCGGATTCCCAGTGGCACTACATGATGACTGACGCCGCATGCTTGTTTGATACTGGACCACATCTTCGGGAATCGGGTCGGTCTGCGACTCGATGTGTGTGCGATTGTCGTTGCTGGCAACGGAGATTTGGCCCTCTGAGATGTAACGAGGTGACGCTGCGGCGTGGTAAAGAACGGTAGGTACAGTTAGGATTCCATCATGCATCACTTTTCCAACTCTTCCCCATCCTCGCCCGCTCGGCAACTTTTTTTTTCTTTGACCGTCATTGGCTTGGATTCCCCTTTTGTGTGTAATTCGGCGTCTATTTGATATTTTGCCTCTCCCGCTACCTTTCCTGTCTATCTGAGTTGAAAGGCACGAGTCATCTCCACATCAAATTTGTACCAGTCAATGGAAGCGAACCGTTCCATATCGTCCTGTGTTCCTCGCTCGAGCATTTGACTTCTTGAGATCCGTCTGGGTTCCATCATCCTTCAAATACCGTGATACTGTCATTTCGGGACACGAGTCGAAACCACAACATCGACATTCCGAGTACACTGAAAAACTCTCCGCCTGGCCGAGTGTACGACGTCGTGTTTGATTCCTACGATCCTTCGAACTTTACCCCTGCGCCATCTCTGTCGTCTTTGTGCTTGAAAAAGAGAGGATTCCGTCCTAGATGTCCACACCAACTCAATAGTCTCGTGAATTCTGCCTGGAGGCCTTCTCATCTTCTATCCTCACTTAACCACCACCATCGCCCTATCACTTCATCACCATGGCCGGTCATAATCAGCAATACCCCCTCCACCAAACCCACCAAATCAGCCAACCCGGCCAAACCCAGCCAACGCGGTATCCCCAGTACCAACCTCACTCTGAGCAGATGCCCAAACCACATCCATACTTGCCGCCAGCCCTTCTCTCTTCAATCGAATCATGGGCTCGATCTCTGCCGAACCGGCCGCCATCACAGGGTTCTCCATCGGGAATATCGTCGACAGGATCCGCATCGACAGCGGGACCCGGGACATCGTCCTCGCAAAGCTCACCGACGATGCCTGTACCACCCCCAAGGCCACTTTCAACTTCATCGGATCCCGCGGTCCAGGCATATCTGGCATTCAAGATGTCGTTGTTGCAGCGTCAGGACGTTGCGTAACCTTCAGATGCGGTATCCACAGCAAGGCATACCTTATGAACTGCCAGAACGCTGCTAGCTTTGCCGATGTTGGATCCCGTTATTGGAAGGAATTTCAGACCGATCGGTCCTCTCTCCCTCGCAAAGATGCTGCGCGTGGGACGTTCGTTTCGGCGCATTGCTATCGACGATACGCTTTCTCTCCTCGAGAGGATGGTTCCAGGCCTTGCCTCACGTCCATGCAAAGATCGCCGGCCACTAATAAGGAACTGAAGGGGCAATATATTCCCAACCCGGATCCGGCGATCCAGTTTCAATTAGACAGACTTGTCGTATGTCGAATTCGGACGTCCACGGCCGCCCTTTCCATGACATCACGACGACCCCGGACTATACATGGTTAAATTTTCCATCCTCCTCTGCCTTCCTCGGCGGTTCATTCTGGAAACCACCACGATTTGCCGAAGGACAATGGATCTGGGATATTCATATACTAATTATCATGGCGCTGGTTGCTCATTCTTCATGTCCTCAACACCTCGTTGCTCTGTCCTTGTTGTATGATCACGGGAACCACCTGAAGCACCTTGAGTCGCGAGAGGCGGAACCCTGAACTCTGGATGTCACTCGGCATGGAAGGCCTCATTTGGCAGGTCGGCGTAATTTTATGTTAGATGGATTGGAATTTGGAAACGTAAATAGCTTACTTCATACAACTGCACATAGTTAGAATGCGGTCTACACTCGCTCTGTGTATTGTGTGGAATCGAATCGATATTTGCTTATTGGCGATCGAACTTCCTTTTCCTCCATTTATCAGCTATGCTCTAGTTGGCATTAAATGCACCGCGATACAATTATCGTCATATGGGATCTCTGATCGACCTTCGACCTGGCCATACCACTGATCCCTTGCCATCAAAATAATCCAAGTGCCTTGATTTTCTTGCCTGAAAGTCACCAATCACGGAGTCCTAGAGTGTGCGTAGATATATCCTGGAGCCGTATCTTCCACCTCACAACTTCGGTTCCAGCTCCTCAAAGAAACTCAAATCTTGAACCGGCACTGCCGCCGCGCTCATCGGCAATCCAGCCTTGAACAGTCGAATGTCTTCGATCAACGTCGGCTCCCCGTTCGCAAGTACCAGCGCCTCCTCGTCCGCCTCGGGTGCCTGGGCTTTCTCGCCAGCTGCGCCGACGTCCACGAGCACCTTCCCAAGCACGTCCTTTCCTTGCTCAAGAATGCCCGCCGCGGCAGTCTCGTCCATCCCTGCATCCTTGACGAGATACGCGCGCACGGCGCCCAAGATAGTAGCGTGGTCGCCGCTGGCAACGTCGATGTCTTGGAACCGTTCGGCGAGCTTGGATGCGTCAGAGGGGACGTTGGCGGCTTGGAATAACTGCGCGAGAAGCGCGAGGAGCGCGGTGGTCTTGTCGGCGGGGCTGGAGATGTTCTGGGCGCGAAGGTGGACGGTGAGTTTGGCGCGGGTGGGCGACGCCGGGCTAATATACTCGTTGTAGAAGGCGATGATGTCGGATTTGGTAAGGTTGGTGATGTAGGTGGCGCCGATTTCATCTAAACGGGTAGTGTTAGTGGACTGGATAAGAAACAGTATTGACGACCGGTGGAGGGGCAAATAACTACTTACGTTCTAGGAAATCAAACCGTTCGCTCAGGATATGCGTCGTGAACCGGTCTGTCTCAGAAGAGAGATTCTTCAGCCGTTCCAAGCGCCGGTTGATAATGGCCCTCTTATGTTTCTCGAATTGGATGTCCGTCATTTCCTCCAACCGCTTGCCAAGAGACTGCAAGAAGACCTCGATCCGCTTCTCTAGGTACTCTGGCGAGCGCTCGCTTTGGATCAACACCCGGAATCCGAGAAGTCCATCGATTGCAATCATAGTGCTCCATACGATGTATCCCAGTTGCTCTTTGGTTCGGAGTTGGTCGAACGATGGCTCATCGGCGATTTGCGCAAACAAGCCGACTTTGGCTCGCATCACGCGGTCATATTGGTTGCCCGCGTAGACATGGAGCTCGATGCAATTGTTTACATTTGCCGGGTCCCTGAGCGTTTTCTCATGCCGGAAATTGCTTCCAGGGGGGAAGACAAGCGAGCGTCGCAGAGGCCACTGAGATCTCGGGAGTCGCTGTGGCCGGAGAATGGTCTCGATTAGGCTTGCCATCTTCAGAGCGTCTTCCTTGTAGAGGTTGCCGTGGGCGAGAATCTCGGTATGGAATTGGCCTAGAAGTAGGGGGTGCATTTGTCGTACGTCGTCGATGGTTACTGCGTCCATCTCGGCGAGGAGCTGGTCATTGGACCAGAAGCGTTCGACAATCAGCGACCTGAACAGTCCTCCGATCTGTTGATACGGCTGCTGCAGTTCCAGGTTGCGGTATCCCCTGGTCAACCGCTCTTTGAGAATGTCGAATCGGTCTTGTCGTATGTCGAGGTCCCGCATCGCCGTCAGCACCTTCTCCAATAGCACAGGCATCTTGTCGTTGTAGCCGTGGACGAGGATCTTCACCCCCAGGGTGCTTATTGCTTCGCCGCAGTCCAGGCCTGCAATCTCTGCCGCATAAACGTATTCAACCAGCTCGTCTCTCACCAGTTCGATGTACAACTGCTGGATGACAGCGTTGCGGGCCGAGATAAAGGCCAAGGGTGTTCGTAAGAGCACATGGAAGAAGGCTTTGGGCACCCAGAACCTGTCGTCCTTCTTGTGCCATAAGCGCATATTCTCCTCATTTCGAAGAAGACTGGGGAACTTTGAGGGTTCTGCGACCTCCTTCTTTTCCACATCAAGTCTAGTCGGGACGAATTCATTAGGCATAGGAAGATGTAACTCCGGCGCTCGATGACAGGACGATGCCTTTGAGGCTTTGTGTATTCGCTCGAGGAATTCCAGCGGAATCTTCTCAGCTGTATATTCAGTGCCATACCACTTCTCTTTCTGGTTCCAGACACCCGGGTATTTCTGGCTAACAAGGAGCATCCGGAAGTTGTCCGGCCGCAAGTGGCGCAGCCCATTCTGAATGGCCTCCGGGTTGAAATGCCTGATAATCGACGATCCGCTGAGGATGTGGTGTGGTTTGAATGGCTTTTGCATCTTTGAACTAAGCTGGCTTGTGGTCTTCATGGCTCGACTCTTCTGCTTGAACCGGAAGTCCACTTCTGCAATTCCCTTGAGTTCATCGACTACCCACTTTTGGGGTGCAGTTTCGGTCAAGATAGAGATGTACTGGAAGATGACGAGAATCACCTCTTGGTAGTTCTCCAGGCCTTGCTCAGTCAGACTGACCGAGATGTTGAAGAGGGCTGATCCGGGGCAAATCTCATTCATGCCGGCTCCCAATCCACTGGCCCAGCCTTTGTTTTTGAGGTATGCAAGTATGCTTCCAGGACCTTCATGTCCGATCAAGTGTGACAAGTATCGGCTAGGATGCGATTCGTACAAGTGCTCCTCGTCTGGGTACGGGAAGGACAGTTCCAGTGAACGCATATCAAAGACCGGTTTAGCAAAGACCTGGACGCATAGTTCATTCTCAGTGAGTGGGGAGATGTCCCATCGCAATCGAGGGAGCATCTTGTTCTCTACTGCCGAAAACATTTCCGTTACCCATTGCTCCAAGGTATCAAGACTCTCTAGTCCAAGAAGCGCCAACTTCATCCGGTTGGCAGAGTAGTGAGTGTGGTAGAATTTCATGAACTCATCCCTGATCCGGACGCCCCGTGCAATCGGATCATCATGGAGAGTCTTATAATTGCCGGTAGAGAAATGATTGTAAGGATGTTTGGGGTTTGATAGAGACTTGTTGATCTGATGGAGCCTCCAGTTGTCACTCTGGAGATTCTTCTTGTTTTCCGAATCAACAGCCCGCAGCTCCCTGTCCAAGGTCTCCTCCAGGAACAGAGGTTCGATGAAGAACTGTGCAAACCGGTCGAGCGCACCATGCAGAGGGGACTCAACGCCACCGGTTGCAAGATTAGTCTGGCTCGTTGACGCCGAGCCAGGTGCCGAGTCCGCATGAGACGAAGACGCTGCTACCTCGAAGAAGAAATTGGTCGAGGTGGATGCAGTATATGCATTCGAACTTCCGGAATTGGAATTCAGATATTCATGATAGTCGTTCTCACGCGGATACTATGCCGTGATGTTAGTATCCATACGAGAATGTGCCTTTGATCGAATCAAATCAATGATCGAAAACACCATCGGACGTTGGCATGCTAACCTTCTTGGTTCCCATGAACAGCACGTGCTCAACGGCGTGTGCCAATCCAGGCATATCCGCCGCGTCGCTAAAGCTGCCAATATTGACATCGAGCGATGCGCTGGCCTTGTCCGTCTCTGGATCATGTATCAGAAGCGCCTCGAGCCCATTTGGAAGCTTGATGACCCTATATGATCGATTATCCAGCTCCGGTCGTTCAATATCCTCCGCCACCCGTTCTACCAGGCGGGTTTTCGTGGGCTCGTTCATCATGTCCATGGCGGCTTTACCGTGGGACCAGTTCGATGTGCAGGTGAATCCGCGATGCTGCCGGCATGAAAGATGTGATTGAACAGTTCTAAGACGAAGAAAACGACAGAGTGGTGTTGTCGACGATCTAGGAAGCTTGCTGGCCAGCGAGTGGTTGGTGAGCTTGGGAATGTGTGGGGACGGAGTGAGCGAGAGAAGCCGACGATGTTGTCGGTAATATCTGAATCTTGTTTGACCCAGCGAGAACTGATCCGATGATAGACACAAAGAATTACCAGCTGGCTGCCTGTATGACAATGACAGTAGTCGCATCGAACTTCGTATTTCATGCGCTAACACGGCATAGACCATAGGCAGACAAGAAAGAAAAATGAGTTGTGGAATGAGGGAATGAGGCTGACGATTGAACCCCAGTCGCGGCAAACTCGAGGTCGTGTCCGCTAACGGCTTGCTATTGTACTTTTCGTGGCAATCCGGAAGAGATGTCTTTGTATAACATCCAATAAAATTAATAAAATATATAGGTATTGTTCTTACAATCCTCCGCTCCCATCCTTCACGGATGAATCCAGTTGAGACGGGACGGGCCTCGATGCCCGTGAGACATGATATGTACCGCAACGATGAATGCAGCGTCGTATTCAACGAGCATGGAGGATCATGGAGGATCGGGAAGTGGTTGAATCGTGATGTTGCCCCCGAACTGCTCTTTATGAGCAGTGCAGACTGCAGATTTCCCCCATGCAGCCTGGAAGCCTGGGCGGGTAGAGACATGTCTCACAGGAACACGGCTTCTCAGCCCCTAGATGGTGCATATATTATGGAATTAAACTTGCGTGCACGACACACAATGCATGTCGAGGCCTCTTCTTTCTCGGAAGCCTCGAATCGAAACTTCACAAAGACATTGTCAATTGTGCATACCACCAGACAGATCCGACTAGCTAGGTGAAAGAATAATCAATGTTGCCCAACTCACGCGCTCAAAACGTTCAGACGCTTATGAATATCACCATACTTTCACAAGCGCTTCGTGCCACCATGTAGACTCGACGCGTCCAATAACAAAAACAGCAAGGCGTCATCTACTTCCCATCTTCGCTATAGATGAGCAACTCTTCCCCATCCCACATCCGCGCATCATCCGCACCATCCCCCTCCTCGGGGTCGCATAGGAACGCGTTGGCAATCTCCGCGTCATGCAGCTCGTCGAGGTCGTAACCGTTCTCGCTGCGGAACGTACTCCGCGCAAGGGCCTCGTCGTAGTTCTCTCCGATCTGCCGCTGGACGGCAGCAATGTGTTTTTCCAAACCAGGCGACGGTCCTGGATGTGCAGGCAGGCCGGAATTGGTATCTTCAGCTGGCAGCGCTGGAGGTCCGAGGTCCAAATCGACGAAGAGGCCGTTCCGTGTCTTCCCTTTCCGCATCGGTTGAAGAACCTGACCCTTATGAGAGGAAGAAGCCTCGCTATCGCGCACGATGGTTCGGCTACCGACATTCGGGCGGATAGTGCTGTCCTTTGTAATTGCTGACATGTCCAAGTCCATACCCGTAGAAATATTCGATTGTGCTGACCTAGGGGTTCGCGGTATGGGCGTCGCGTCGACATAGCCTTCCCCAGCGGAAACTTCGAGCGAGAGCCTTGCCACGTTGCCGGGTGTAGGATAGAATGAATCCGGGTCCGCGTCGAGCAAATCCCGTGCCGGGGGCACATTCTCTCCTTGACCAACGATGATCGATTGAGGCGTGACGGTCAGACTTTGAAGCTCATCCTTAACCACGCGACGGACGATCCCTTCGAGTCGATTCTGACGGTCCGCGTTCTGTGCAAGCGGCCTGTGTTCTCGGCGGCGGAGAGTGCCCTGGTTTCGGTTGATCTCCGTGCATCCCCCATCAGGTCGCATGCGCTTCAAAGGTGAACCGGAATAAATCATCTCAGCTGAATCCAAGTCGGAGTCATGACCAACCTTCGACGCTGGTGTGGTGTCATAGGATGCTACCCAAGAGGTCTGACGTTTGCTGGGCGACGTGGGCGGTCTGGACGGGCCAAATGCGGCGTCCCCTCGGGCAGAGACCAGCGTCGGAAAGTCTTTGCGGATGCGATTCTTGAAGTGATGATCAAAGGCAGGAATGGATCGGGTGGTGGTGGTACCATAATCTGAAACCTCGCTGGGTTCCTCCGAGGCCAGACTATCCTCATCACAAAGAAAGTCGTCGATGGAAATCCGCTTCGAGCCGGTTTCAGGCACTCGCCTACGCACTTTGTTGGTCATGCTCTGAAACGGAGCGCGATGAGTCGGAGCCGGAACATGCATTCCAGGGCCACCAAGTGGCATTCGAAATATTGCCGACACTTCTCTCGGAGGATGCATATTGGCAATAACTGTGCTGCCAGTCGCATTGGCCATGGAATCATTCCTGCCAGCATTTCTAAGCCTCCCAGGACGCGTGACGTTGGATTCGGTTGTGAAGATCGGAGAAAAGCTTGAATCGCTCGCAGATGATATGAAAGAATCGGTCCTGTGAAGCCGACGAGCGAAAGTTTTTCGGAGTGATTGGGACTGGGATTCCAGCGCGGGAGACGGTCGGCGTTCCGAAGCATTGATGGCAATCCGAGACTGCAGTTCTCGTTCGAGGCGAACCCCGTTTGGAAACAGATCATCGTAGATGGACATGATGCGGAATTCCAGTCGCTGCATGCCTGCAGCCTCGTTTGTACTCCATTCTCCAAGCCAAGGCTTTCGCGACGAGTAGCTAGGAACGATCCCTTCGAAAGAGTTTGTCACATGATTCCAGAAGACGTCAAAATCTCCGGAAATGATTTTGTGCTTGCAGACCGTAGCGTATTGAGCGGATGCTCCAGTAAACTCAATGAAATCCGGCGCCTCGATGACGAGGTTGATTCGACAAGAACTGCCAACCTCGATACTTCTTGGCAGGTCGGGGAAGATTGTCCGTAGGGGCTCCCATAGAACCTTTCCCATGACATTAACCATGTATTCACCTTGAAGGGTCATCTTCGGGGGATAGGCGCGGATATGAAGGACTGTGACCGTGCACATCGCACCACCGCTCTTGAAGCATTCTCTCGTCCCCAAGAAATGTAGAAGATGCTGAAAGAACTCGAAGTGCGACGGGCTGTATAGCCATGTATGTTGGGACCCTGCCACGGTATGACATTCGATCATGGAACGTATCAGCTCTGAGGGTTGGAATTGGAATTCCTTCTCATCCAAGCGGTTGATGTAGGCGTAGAATTCATGAGCGGCGTTTGGCGGGGCAGCAGATCCTGAATTGCGTGAGTAAATAGCAAGAGGCACCGTGGGCAGATGCAGAATAAGCATCACATACCCAGAAACTGGATAGATCTCTCGAATTCCGTCAAAAGCGCATCTCGAACCGCATTCTCGAGCGTCCTTCGAAACACATTCTCCCAGAAGCCGACCTCGTGGGCTTGGGCAATGCTAAGTCCTTTCCATGTAGAGATGATTTCCAGCCCATGTGCATCCGGATGAGCCACTCGATCCGCCGCCGGGAAGAATTGCATCAACGGCTTGTAAACATCGGAGATGTCGTCTCGCGTCGGGAACATCTCGCCGCTCAACGCCACGGTGGCCATCGGCATCTTCTCCACCGTCGAGAAGTCCCACGACTGTCGATTAGCGAGCCGCTGAAAGCCGAACATGTTGTCGTAGAGCTATTTCCGTCAACACTGACCCGACACGGAGAGTTGGAGAGCCGAACGTACCTTTCGAGGGGTGCCCCCCGCTCTTTCGGTCCCCATGCTGACCTGATGAAGTTGGAGAACCGCACAACGCTAACAGTGCTCGATGACTTATGCAAGGAATAAGAAGATGCCGCAGGATTTCAGACCGCATTCGCCTGAGGATGGCGCCAACGGAGAGAAATACTGTAGAGCGATAATGGTGACCGAGGGGAGTGTTGGAGAAGGACAACAGGCCGCGATCACCAGGAAAGACGTGTTTCAGTCCTACAAGAAGGCATGGTGCATCTTCACTTCTCTATACGGCAGTGAAGTGTATTTACACCGCATTCATACTTGCCCGAGTAGTCAATCGCTCATTCTTGTTGCCCAATTTCGGGATCTGCAAGAATGCATCCACGCCGTATCCCTCGAGGCTATGCAGCTCCAAGCTCCCAGCCCAGTATTCAGCATATATCCTGCTCATGGGCAAACCGATCCCCAGCCGCAGATCCGGAGACCTTGCGGTTAATGTGCTCAGAGAACTCGGATGTTTACCGGTGGCTGCATCGCGATCGAACGGCTTGGGCGTTGGTTCTTGCTCAGCATCTGTCCCGTCCACACGCAGCTCCTGCAGTGTCGCCGCCAACTTAGGGACTTTGTTCAAATTCTCCAAGCGCATCCGACGTCGCGGACCCTTGCTGAAGGACCACAGATACGGAAGGATCTCGCGAGGAACACCGCCGCCCTGGTCGGAAATTCTGATGATGACATGTTGGGCGGTATCGCATATCAGCACTTCGATCGGCGGCGGCGGAGATTCTTTATGTTTTCGCTGTTCGGTCACCGCTTGGAAGGAATTGCGGAGTAGCTCCCCGACGATGTACTGAAGATGACTCAGGATATAGGGAAATGTCGCGTCCGTGTGACCCTCGATTTTTACTTCGGGGATGGCGACTTCAGAGCCATACGATTGCTGCATCAGGCTCCGTGTCGTGGTGGCGCATTGCTCCACCACCTCTTTCGCATTGCAGCGAAGGAACACCTCACCAACGAAATCGGCGCTGTGATCATCGTCCTTCGCATCAGGAAAATGCCAGGGCGAATGGAACGTCTCCGACAGCGCCAGATGCTGCTCTGCAATCACTCGTCGAGATATTCTCTGGAGAGAATCCGTCAGTCCTTCGATCACTTCCGCATTTTCAAGTCGACTTTATACGCACCGATCTCAACAACGTCAGCATGAACTTGTCCGTTTCTTCCGGCTTCATCAAGCCTTGGATCTCCAGCACTCCCATCGCCAGGTGTGGTATGACAGAGAGGTGCTCTCCCAACGTTCCTTTTATTACATCGCAGAATCGATCGTTTTCTTCCACAGTCTTCACTTCCGGTATTCGACGCAGCTTGTCGAAAGCCTTGTAATATAGTTCGTATACGTGTGAGAGGTTGTCGTTGGTGAGGACCACATATGGGAGGGTTTGCATATCGCGGATCCGATGCGATATCCTATCGAATGATAGCGGTTAGCCATAAAGAACTGCATGCAACAGAGATATCAAGCACATACCTCAATGGCAGTTCCGTCCGTACATAGTTTGCGGAACTGATCAGCCTTGACTCAGTTAAGGTTCGCCCGAAGAAGGTGAGCTGTCGCAAACTGATCGGTCTCGCTTCTTGCTGCACCCAGCTGGAGCTCGTCAGCTTCTTGCTTCCCCGGACAATTCGAGATAGTCTTACTCATCAAGTACAGTTGACGGGCGCCACATAGGCCCTCTGGGAGGTTGCGGTGACTTGTCAGCGGCATTGTGTACTCTGCAACGCTGAGGAGCGGAGGTTAGTGGCAGAACCGTTCTCGAGAGACCGTTGCGGGTGCCCGTTGCAGGTCTAAGGGCAAGCATGGTCGCTCAGTTCGTCATATCATTGGAAGCAATATATAAAGAACGACAATCGTGGAGATTGGAGGTTAAAGGTTAAACACGACTCAATCTTCATCACCCGAGCTCATCGCCCTTCACAGCAGGGAGTAGTCAAAGCCCATATGGGAGTGAGAGGTGAGAAGTGAGAAGGGATATCACGGTCAGAATGGTCTGACAGCCATAGACACATGTCTCACAGGACTTCATTGAGCCGTGAAAAGAATGGTGAAGCATTCAATTCAACCAAGTCGCCCACTGCACGAGACTAAGGAATGGCTCGTGTCCTGGAGATACCAAGACTCCAAGAGCTCTCTAGTCTCGCTGCTGACAGAACGGAGGTTGTGGGGTTTTGGCGCGTCACTGAGCCGCGATTGGGCTGTAGCGAAGGCGGGGGCGCTGCCGACAGCCTGCAGCTGGGCACTTTCCAGGCGCTGTACAGGCTGCACCCCGGCTCTACCCCCGGCTCTACCCCCGCCTCCCGTAGTGTTACTTCTATATGATATGATCCCGTACCGACGACTAAGCATTCACGGAATCACGAGCTTGTTGGATTGTTGGAGGTTGGAGTTGGAGTCATTCCTTCACAGAAAAGTATAATTATTAGTTTTTATTACTTCTACTTATTACTACCTCCTATACCCCGGATGCCATCTGCCCTGGATGCCAAGTTGCGCGTCACTTCGATATCAAACGACACCATCCAGGCCATCACACACAAGGCACAATACCTTGGGACTCCTGTTCCCATCCCCCACACACTCGTGGACATCATCGGCAAAGACTGGAAGTGGCGTATTACCCAAACCAACCTGTGCTGAACCACTCTGAACTCTGACCCGCGACATCCCACCAACATTACGTTCGCTCCACAGTCCACCGTCTCCACTCCTGGCAACAGTCCTGGTCCCGCTGTGGTGAGCACAGGAATAACGACAACGACAACCACTACAACGCTGCGACAACGACACCACCCTCCAAAGAACCCAACCACGCCGCCAAGTCTTGTCGAAGCTTCAAAGGCCATTATTATTGCCTTTGACCTCTCATTTAACTTCCCGCCACCTTGCCGCCGAGCGTTACCTGCTTGCTCACTTCCACGTTATTCCTTGTTTCCGCTTGAAAAGTCTCCTCTTGGTCCTTCCGCAGACCTTGGACTCGCTGACTTGAGGTAATACGGTTGGCAGTTCTTGCCAGCAAACGATTTTGAGCTGAGCGAAGCTCCTGCACTTTCTAACCATTTGGCCACCTTCTCCAGCGTAAGAATGGAGCCGGTATGTGATCCTCCACTGCTCCACAACCTGGCTAACGATGCTGTTTCTTGCGCTCACATAGATCGAGGCTGATATCCCCATGGAGACCGAATTTGACGAGAAGCAAGACGTGGCCATCATTTCCAACGACGAATCCATGGAAGGCACAGAGAATGACGCGGATCAGATCCGCGCCGACGACTTCGACGCCATAAAGAAGAAATACATGCCGGAGGTCCCGGATCAGGAAATAGAAGATGAAGCCACACACACATGGGAGATCGAGGACTGGCGGGCTTTGGGCAAAAAGGAGCATGGCCCCATCTTCCAATGCGCTGGACACCCGTGGCGTGTGCTCTTCTTCCCATATGGCAACAATGTCGACTTCGCTTCCGTCTACCTCGAGCATGGATTTGAAGACAAGCCCTCGGATGATTGGTATTCATGCGTGCAGTTCCTTCTGATCCTATGGAATCCAAACGATCCCACCATATACCAGCAACATTGCGCCAATCATCGGTTTACCGCAGATGAGAGCGACTGGGGATTCACAAGATTTGCAGAGAACAAGCGGCTATTTCATTCACCATGGGAGGAAGGAAAGGACCGTCCACTCGTCGAAAACGATACGGCCAAGTTGACTGCATTCGTTCGCGTCTACAAAGATCCTACTGGCGTGCTCTGGCACAACTTTGTGAACTATGATTCGAAAAAGGAAACTGGAATGGTTGGCCTCAAGAATCAAGGCGCTACATGCTATCTGAATTCCTTACTTCAGTCACTATACTTCACCACAGCGTTCCGAAAGGTAGGGCTCAACTGAAATCCAGGGATGTGAAGCGCAGGTTAACGTATTGCTAGGCTGTCTACCAAATCCCAACCGAAAATGAAGTCGAATATCGAGAAAATAGCGCATATGCGCTTCAGAGGCTGTTCTACCAATTGCAAACCAATCCCGGCGCGGTTTCCACTCTCGAGCTTACGGGTGCATTCGGGTGGGATTCGAAGCAGATTTTCGAGCAGCAGGATGTCCAGGAGCTTTCAAGAATTCTAATGGAGCGACTAGAGAAACATATGAAGGGCACCGAAGCCGCCGACGCCCTGGGGAGGATGTTTGTAGGCAAGATGAAGACCTATATCTCCTGCATAAACGTCGACTACGAGTCATCGAGAATAGAAGACTTCTGGGATCTTCAACTCAACGTCAGCGGCAACAAGAACCTCGACGACAGCTTCAAGGACTACGTCCAAGTCGAAACCCTGGACGGCGAGAACCAATATGACGCTGGAGAAGGACTGGGCCATCAAGATGCCAAGAAAGGGGTCATTTTCGAGACTTTCCCGAATGTGCTTCACCTTCAATTGAAGCGCTTCGAGTACGATTTCCAGCGCGATGTGATGATGAAGATCAACGACCGATACGAATTCCCTGATGTTTGGGATGCCTCACCCTACCTCTCCGACGACGCCGACCGATCCGAACCGTACATCTATCACCTCCATGGCGTCCTGGTCCACAGCGGTGACCTGAACGCCGGACACTATTACGCTTTCTTGAAGCCAACCAAGAATGGCGACTTCTACAAATTCGACGATGACCGAGTGACACGAGCAACCAAGAAGGAAGCATTGGAGGAGAACTTCGGTGGGGAAAATACTCCGCTTGCGAACGGCAACGTGCAGCAGCGGAATCCTTACACCCGAACATGGTCATCGAAGCGATCAATGAATGCATACATGTTGGTGTACATCAGAGAGAGCAGATTGGACGAGATCCTCATGCCGAACGAGGTTGTCGAACCGCCATCACATCTTGGTAAGCCCGGCATTGCAAGTTGATTAATTGATTGGTTGCTAACAGCTCGCCAACAGAAACGAAATTTGCAGAAGAGAAAGAACTTCTGGAGCGAAGGCGAAAGGATAAAGAGGAAGCCCATCTGTACATGGAGGTGCAAATCGCATCCAACCACAACTTCAAAGCCTACCAAGGATTTGACATCGTTCCTTGGAAGACTGAGACGGGTACTCCTGCACACCCGAAGCTTTATAAGTTGCTCCGCAAGTCTACCTTGGCCGACCTTTGCGAGATGGTTGGAAAAGATCTGGAGCTGGATCCAACGCTCATCCGTCCTTGGGTAATGGTCAACCGACAAAACGGCACCATCCGCCCCGACCAGCCTCTCGAGCTGCCCGACATGACTTGCGAAGAAGCGCACACAAAGTTTGGCACGAAGACGACCAACACCTTCCGGATCTGGATCGAATCCACCGACGAGAAAGACGAGACCGGCAAACCCGTGTGGCCGAGCTCCAAAGTCGACCTGCATGGTGTCCAGAACAACAAACCGGTCCTCCTATTCCTCAAGTCTTTCGAACCAGACGCCCAGACCCTTCTCGGTAAGGGCCAATTCTGCGCCGCGCTGCACGACAAAGTCTCGGACCTGTCCCCGCAGATTCTCAAATTGATGAACTGGCCGCCCGGGACCCCGATCAAGCTCTTCGAGGAAATCAAGCAGAACATGATCGAGCCCATGAAGCCCAAATCGACCCTCTACCAGTCGGAGATCCAGGATGGGGACATCATCACCGTCCAGAAAAATCTGAGCGATAAGGAGATCGCGGCGTTGACCGCGAAAGGCCATTACTCGGAAGCCCGGGAGTACTACGACTGGATGCTGAACCGCATGAAGGTACATTTCGTGCCGAAGAATCAGCCGGGGTCGGTCGAGACCGACTTTGATTTGATGCTGTCGAAAAAGATGCTATATCCACAATGGTCAGTGAAGGTTGCCGAAAAGCTGGGTGTGGACGCGGGATATCTTCGTTTCTTCGCGGCCAATGCCGCCACGGGTCGTCCTAAAGGTGCGGTACGGCATACCTCAAACCAGACACTTGGACAGACTCTGAGCCCGAACTGGACCGGCTACGGGCCCAGTCACAATCAGCGACCAGACGTTCTTTTCTACGAAGTCCTCGAGGTGACGTTGACGGAATTGGAGACGCGGAAGGGCGTCAAGGTGACACTTGTGTCGGAAGGCATTTCCAAAGAGGTATTTGCGCAGATGTTGTGTGGCACATTATGGGGTTCTAACCAATATGCAGGATTCCTACGAAATTCTCGTGTCAAAAATAGGCAACGTGAGCGACCTTGTCGACGGACTAGCGAAGAAGGCCGGGTTGGACCAGGAGACCGCGCAGCGTCTGCGGGTATACGAAGTGCATGCCCACAAGATCCACAAGGTCCTAACCGCGGACTATCCGGTTTCAAGCCTCAACGAGTACTCCAGCTTCTTCGCCGAGAAGATCCCGGAGGAGGAGGATGCGGCGGATGAAGGCGACCGCCACGTTCTGACGTTCCATTATGACAAGGAGCCGTCAAAACCGCACAACGTCCCCTTCGTCTTCTTGGTCAAACAGGTATGTCCTTCTACTTCCATCTTCCATAAATTTCACATGATTGACTTTTCTAGGGTGAACTTTTCAAGGATACCAAAGAACGACTGTCCAAGCGAATCGGCATCAAAGGCAAACAGTTTGAGAAGATCAAGTTCGCCGTTGTTCCCAAAGGCGCTATGTACGCCAAGCCGGAATATCTAGACGATGGTAAGTCCCAACCTCTCCCGGTGGTTGGAATGCCGCTAACAGCACTGTAGACGACATCCTCTACGAGCGGCTCGCCTCCCGCGACGACATGCTAGCACTCGACCACATGAACAAGACTCGCAGCGTCTGGAACCGAGCGGATGCCATCCAAATTCGCTGAAGCGCTTTCGGCGATAGCCATGTCGAGGGTATCTTAATCTACCATGGGCAGTCGTCCATCGTGTTGTGCGGAGCAGTGGAATGGACGAAGCGGAGGCAGATCTTGCGTGAACGTGCGGCATTGCCATGTCTGACAATTCCAAGCACCAGAATCGGAGCGGGGAGGCAAGACACAGTGGGGAATTGCGGCTTGCTGATTGCGAAATGGGCAAGACGAACACGGAGGTGACAGACATGATACGATTTCCTGGTCGATTGGTCACGGCGTCGACGAGTAGACAACGCAGTCATGGTGTATGCTACTATGGACGATGGTTATTCAATTCATTCCCGTCATCAATGTACGTATAACGCGCCGAAAGGCTTAGATAAGAAATGGCTGTGCGAAATATTCTGGTCATGATGTCGTCACGCACTGTGAGTCTGTGACTGCTGCTACTGTTTTATATCACGTGCTACCCGTTGGATTTGCTGGATGTGTGGCGTTCATTTGTTGTCAGACAAGGGTAGATTTCGGTAGGGGCCCACCAGTTTGACACGCAGCCTGGCCAGGGCTCGTCACGGTGGCTTCAACTGAGTTCAACCTCGATCCATCAGCTTGAAATCATCCCCTACCATATCGCCATGCGACTTCTCCTCTAAGTGATTCCGTCCACTTCTGATGTTTGCTTTCTCCCGCCACGATGAGGACCTTCAGCGTTTTCCTTAGTTTGCTCACCTTCCTCCTCTCCTCCGTCTCCGCGACCGCCCTCACGTACAAGCTCGCGGCCAACGAGAACACATGTTTCTTCGCCACGACGGAGCAGAAGGGCCAGAAGATCTCGTTTTATTTTGCGGTAAGGGACCCGATCACGGTATTCATGTAGGGGCTGGCTGACTGATGCCATGTAGGTGCAATCGGGCGGTTCGTTCGATGTCGACTACAAGGTGATCGGCCCGTACGACAAGACCATCACGGCCGGGCAGAAAGAACGGCAGGGCGACTTCGTTTTCACCGCGAACGATCCGGGTGAATACGCGTTCTGCTTCAACAACGAGATGTCGACGTTCGCAGAGAAGATGGTCGACTTTGAAATCATCGTAAGTGGCAACTTGAGGTTCTAGACACGGGGTGGTGCGGTCCGAAGCTGATGGCGTCGCACAGGTCGAGAACGAGACGCGCGCCGCGAAGTTGCCCTCTAAGCAGGGCAGCTCGCCCGAGCAGACAACGGTGCTGGAGGAGTCGATCATGAAGCTGTCGGGACAGCTGTCGACGATCAATCGCAATCAGAAATATTTCCGGACGAGGGAGAATCGGAATTTCAGCACGGTGCGGAGCACGGAGAAACGGATCTTCAATTTCAGTTTGATCGAGAGCGCGATGATGGTCACGATGGCGGCGCTGCAGGTGTTCATCGTGCGGTTCTTCTTCCAGGGCGCCAGGAAAGGTGGGTTGATTCTGTCATTCGCTGGTTGCTACTTTTTGACGGTGCTAATGGCCACGCAGGTTATGTGTAAATGCATCTATCTAGTATGCAAAAAAAGTACCTGTACAACATCCTATTTGCTTGTGTCAAAAGTGACTGGAGAACGACACGGCATGCCTATCCATCAGCCGATTCGAAGCCTTGCAGAAGGGCAATATGGAACGCAGAATGCCATTTCCGATGGTCCGAATGTGTCCCTAGTTCCGGGTCCTCGTCTTCCCGCTTTTCCTGCGCAAATGCGCGAGGCGCCGTAGGCTCACCGTGGAGCCCGAAGATGTCCTCGCATATCGATCTACACCGGCATGAAAGGAGGGCTACCGCATGTAATATTGTGAAGGGGTTCGAATCCATAGCGTATCTCAGACCAGGAGGACGCTGCTTCATGTTAGATCCTGAGCCTTGTGAACAAGTGTCTGCAACTTACGCGTTGACACATCCGTCCATCTCAACGTTGTTCATCACCTGGGCCCATCGACCCCAGACCACCTTGCCTCCAGGGGTCACCAATCCAAGTTCACTACAATCAACCTAGGACAAATCAATAACGGTGCGATAGAAGAAGGGAAATTCGGTGTGCTGCTAACCTCGATGATGGTTCCCTTAGTCAATACACCAAGCTGGGTGTACATCGGATTTTGCGGGTTCTTCTTGACTGAAATGATCGGCAGTTGAACCGTGACGCCCAACTCCCTGTGGGTAACATTGGCCTTCTTGTATCGGAGACCCATGGGCCGGATAAAGCGCTCGTATTTGACCGGTCGTCGAGTGAACTCGTTCCCAACGAACGTGGGCTTCGTGACGACTCGCTTCCACGCCTTCTTTTTCGTTTTCTTTCCCGTATGGACCACTTTGAACATCTCTTCCTCCGAGATACCACGGACCTTCGGCAGTGGGACGCTGAACTTCGCCACCTTCTCGGACCGCTTGTTCTTAACCGCGCTTGACAATGCCTTCGCGTTCGTCGGATTGGACCGGTCAAGGAGATACTGTGGTAAAGGCGTGGAAGGCTCGGGCGCCGTCGAAGATTTAACATCTCGCTCCTCATCTGTTGCGCAAGATCAGCCACCATGTCAGGAACGTGCGAACACACGGCGTACGCATTTTGATCTTCTTCTTCATCTCGATCTTCTCCTTGTGTCGCCGCTGCTGGAGCATCTTGGCCCGATGGCCACGGAAATTCTGCGCTTCATAGGATGCCTTATGCGCCTCACGGGCTGTTCGCTTCCGTGTCCGCTCTTCATGATCGAGCCTGTGGGAGATTAATGGCGGCGCGCAATGTGGTGGACCAGAGCAGCATACCTGCGTCCGTGGCGCTTTCGCCAGCGGTCGATGTAATCGTGGTAAGGCATATTGAGTCAACGCTTAGGGTGACTCTGTTTTCGGTGGTTTCGTGGTATAAACGCAAAGGTATCCCTCAGCGTTTCGAAATGTAGACTGTTTCTATGAAAGAGCCTGGCAGTCGTGAATTTTTGAGGTTGGAGGGCGAAATCTTGGCGGCCCCTCGGCTGCCCATAGATACCATGTGCGCATGTTGGTTCGTGGCCTTGTGTCCTTGAAATATCGGCCTTGTGGCCTTATATCGATTCCCCCTCCACCCTCCGCCCTCCATTCCGGTTCGTCCCATCATCAAATAAATATCAATCATCATAATACATCAACCGTGGAAAGACGTGGATTCTTTCATTACTAGCACGGAATACAGATTCAAGAACAGACTAGAGAAACAGCCTGAGGAACTCCACTAGCGCCATCATCGCCATCGATTGCCCGTACGGCATGCTCGTACGCGGAATGTCCTTATAATGCTGGAACGTGTGTCCCATTCCTGTACCAAAGCTAGTGTCCAACAACTCCCCGTCAACACTAATCCTCTCCAGGATTGCTTTGACTGCCTTGACCGCCACCTCTTCATACTCCCTGCCGATATATCGTTTTCGGGAAGCTTTCAGAATTCCATATGCGAACCCCGCCGTCGCGGACGCCTCGATGTAGCTGCCTTCGCTGGTCGGGATGTCCAGCAACGTTCTCCACATGCCGTTGGGCTCTTGGAGCGCTTTGAGTGCCTGGCATTGCGATTTCAGGATATTGATCAAATACATCCGGAAGCCATCACCTTCAGGGAGGTCTAGCAATTCGATGAAATCAGGGATGAAAATCGTCAGCCACGAGTTTCCTCGTGCCCACCTCGCTTGAGCAAAATTGTGTCCAATCGTTCCGTTTTTGTCCTCGAACTTCCAGCCGTGGAAGAAGAGCCCGGTCGGTGCGTCGTACAGATACTGAAGATGTAGGAGGACCTGTCGCTTGGCTTCCTCGATGTACTCTGGTTTGTTGAGGATCTTTCCGATCTTCGCAAGAGGCAAGACGCTCATCATCAATGTGTCATCCCACAGCTCATTGGTGTTCGGGCCAGCGTAAGTGATATGCTGCATGCCGTTGCAAGGCGTTCGAGGAAGATCGTGCATAACCCAATCGGCCCAGGTTTCCAGCCAGGGAAGATACGACGGTTCCTTCGATTGTTCATAGATGTATGCCAGAGTCAGGAACACGGCCATCGTATTGATGTTCTTCGTCGTACCCTTCTCCAGCTGGATCTTGAACCAATCGACAATGACTTGCTTGGGATAATCGGACCCCGTCAACGTGTGATATTGGTAGAGGCCGTATAGGCCGATTCCGTGAGTCCATTCCCAGTCATTCCATCCTTTGGTGTCTATTACGCGGCCATCGGGAAGTTTCAGCAAGAACTCGCCAGTTGAATCCTTGATGTTAATGAGATTGTTGATCAAGAGCTGGATTTTCTCATGAATCAGCGCTGACTCCAACCCAAAAGCATTGAGCGGCATCGTGAGAAATATGAAACAAATGTCGATGAAAATTGGTGTGTATATCGTACTGTACAGTTCATGAGGTCAAGAATGAAGAATCTACTACAAATCAGAGATCTTCATGGTTTTTCGGCGGCAACGGACTCCACAATCTCTTTGATAGCTCCTTGACGAGCACCTGGCTTTCTTCATCCTTCACTCGAGTCCGCATCGGCTCTCTCGTCCTCATTTACCCTTCTCTTGATTGCTTTGTGGGTGTCACGATCAAGAGACATCAGACGCTCGACCAGCTCAATGACCTCGTTGCGTGCAACATTGCTCCGATGACCGAGTGAAGACATGGATTTGTTGGCGAATGACGGGTTCGGTAGCTCGGTTCATAGTTCACGCTGCTGACATTTTGCCATTAATTAAGGCATCGCGGATGTTAGCTTCATTCGTTCATTTCCCCGCAGACCGGCGGTCACCCCCAGCTAGTAGGTGAGATGGAGCCCAAGGGTCCCCGTTACCCCAGGTCCACCAACTATCAACTCAACGTTCATCGTGGTACACCAACACTCCACAGTCCACACCTCCACAGCCGTTCGATTTATCCACTTCCCGGTCGGCGGGCACCGCTTCGGATGCGGAGGTTTATCTCCCTTAGATCGTCCATCTTATCCCGACTTTCATTATTGTCAAGTACACACCAAAGACGATCAATTGCCCTTCTGGCCTAGTCCAGAGCACGTAAACCAATAAGTGCTGGATCTCGAGTCACGTAAGGATGCCGACAGGGCAATCGTGCAAGACAACTGTATGTTCTCCGGACTATTGCATCCCGAGAGTAAAGTTACTCGGGCTCACAATGTTGATATTATATTGAATCTCGATGAACGCACCAGTCTCTTTACTGGGATGGTGTGGATTCGTCTCGACTTACGCTGCCTGAGTCTTGTTTTATCAACGTTGTTCGTACTTCCAGTCATCAGGGACCAATGATCTAGATGGCAGACATTAAAGAGCAGGGGACCGTCGAGCAGGCGAATCCAATCCGTCAAGAACAGTCAAAGGGGCACGATGTCTCCCAGGTGGAGAGAGTCGTCTCCGCCTCCGAGTTCGACGAGAAGGACCATATTGACTATGGACGTATCGATCAGGAGGTCGCATAGTACGCCAACGCTGTCGCGGTGGAGATTTCTCCTGAAGAGAACAAGCGTCTGAAGAGGATGATCGATCGCCGGGTGCTCCCGATCATGATCTTCACGTACTTCCTTCAAGCCTTGGATAAGGGAACACTTTCATTTTGCATCGACCATGAACTTTCGAGAGGATTTAGGACTTCTCCAAGGCCAGTCGGTAAGTTCGACCATCCCATACCTTTTGTCCAACTGGTGTTGACTGAAGACGCTCCAGTACTCCTGGCTCACCACTTGCATCTACATTGCCGTCTTAGTCGTCGAATATCCGACGAACTGGATCATTCAACACGTTCCACTTGGAAAATATTTAGGCGCGAACATCGTCCTCCGGGGCAGCGTCCTCGCCTGCCATGCGGCCGCTGTGAATTTCCCCAGCATTCTCGCTCTACGAACGCTCCTGGGGATCTTCGAAGCGGTCTGCCAGCCTGCATTCTTGGTCATGAGCAGCATGTGGTATAAACGTGAGGAACAAGCAGAGATTGTTACCTATTGGGTAAGTAAATGAAGAAAGATCATATTTTTTGAGACAGCCCGTGCCGACCATACCCCCTCCATGCCCCTCGACCGTACCCCTCGTACTAGATATGGTCCCCTCCCTTTCCTTAACTAAACATCCACTGACATCCCTGGTAGTATATGATGAACGGCGGCCAACAAATAGTTGGCGGAATTCTATCCTACTGCTTTACGCTCCTCAAAACCGGCCCCATCACATCCTGGCAAGCTCTCTTTATCACCTACGGAACGTTCTCTGTCCTCTGGGGCCTGTTCGTCCTCTGGTGGCTTCCCGACTCCCCCATGCGGGCCCAATGCTTCAGCGAGGAAGACAAGCGGCTCATGATCGAGCGCGTGCGCGGCAACCAGACAGGCATGCAGAACCGCAAGTTCCGGCCGGAGCAGGTCAAGGAGGCGTTGTCGGACCTCCAGACGTGTTGCTACTGTCTGATTGCCATTTGCACTACACTTCCGACGAGCGGTCGGGGGGCCTTTGCGAATATCATCATCACCGGCTTCAAATTTACAGTGCTTCAGTCGCAGCTGCTGGCCATGGTCCTGGGTGCCGTTATCATCATCATCCTGCTAACCTCCACCTGGTTGGTCAAGAAGACTGGCCAAAACTTGATCGTGGTGGGCTTCTATGTGATCCCGTAAGTTTCTCTTCCCATTTCGACCGACTGAGCTCATAAATCTAGGTCCTTTGTTGGCACCATTGTGTTAATGACAGTCGAGAACAAAAACAAGGCGTCACAGGCGGCCTTCTCATCAGTTACTACATTGTCTTGTCTTTCTGGGCCGCTCAGACTCTCGCCATGAGCATGATCTCCCGCAACGTCGCCGGCCAAACGAAGAAGACCGTCGTGATTTCCGCCAACTTCGTCTCTTGGTGCACGGGGAACGCGATCGGACCACAGGTTTTCTTGTCCTGGAATGCGCCTCACTACTTCATTGCCTTTGCTACCCACATCGGTTGTTACGTGTTGCTGGTCATTGTCATTGTCTTCCTCCGGTTTTACCTCAAGACGCAAAATGATGCTAAAGATCAACTGGCGGCAGAAGGCGATGTTGGAGCTAGGGACGGGACTCTGATTCACTCGTTCGAGGACTAGACGGATAGGGAGAACAAGAATTTCAGATATATCTATTAGTACAGAGAAATCCTCTTTCAAGTTTATATCCTCGACTCGGGCTGAACAAGATCTGCCAGTCTAACACGCTCTTCCGGCACGAGCCAGGACTGTTCTATATCGAATCTTCCACTGCGTGTGGTCGGCATCCTTGCAACATGACTGTTTCCGAGTGTCAAAGATCCACCTCGTGGAAAGTCTGCGGTGAAGTCGTCGGACCACAATACTAAATGACTGCTGCCCTGTCTGATAGTCATGGGGTCAAAAGGTCTCCCCATCCATTTCTGATTCTTAGCGTATCGTCGCCATGCTGGTTGGAGACGAGGTAGTTGAAGACTTGAGTACAAGTCATCTCTGGAGCAATAACATAAAGAAGCGGAAACCTCTAGCATTGAGTCTTGTATTGCTTTCTAGGCTAGCCAAGCCTGGTAGGTTCCTCGATGTGAGACCATACTTTGTCGGCTATCCTGATACGGCCTCGTACTGAAAACGTGTATATGAATGCCGTCACCATTGTGCTGAGATCGTTCCGTTACCCGACACCGAACCGGCCTTGCAGCTATTGGGTTCGGACCCTACAGGGTCAAGGGAGGTGGAGCATAGCTGGTTGACTGGAAGCGGACTTTTCTAGCCGGCGTGTAATCTTAATTACTAGTTTGCGGAGTAGGCCAGGGATCCACTCGAGTCTCGAATCGTGGGGTGCAAACTGGTAGCTTCGGTTTCGCAACTCGCACATCGGGCAAAGTCAAGCCGGATCAGAACCGGAAGGTCGAACATTCTCCCGCCAATAGCAACCAGCCAGCATTCTTCTATGACAATACAGCAACCCAGAAAGGAGATGCTCCACGTTAAATTCAAAGATTTCGCCGTGTCTGATTCTTCTAGCTCGTGCTCTGGCTCCGCAGTGATCTCGTCCCCTTCGCCCCAGCGGGTACTCCTTCTCGTTTTCTCTTCAGCACTCTTCCCATCGCGTCCCGAACCTCGGGGTCGGATCGGATCGTGTTTTGAACGAGCCATTCTTTCAGCTGCTCGCGCACCAGGCGTTGCCGGTCCGCGTCCTCGGCGAACGGCGCCATTTCAAGGGTGAGGAGCCGAGACGTTTCCAGATCGTATGACCGGGTCAGGGCATCGAGGCGGTTGAGCTGGGTCTGAACTTGCTGCTCACTGGCCATGCTCCCCGACCTGTTGATGAAGGTGAGTGCGATGAGAGGTTGGATTTGAGATAACGCGATATATATTGCGATGGCTGTCCGTCGTGCGAGTGCAAGAATCTGGAAAGGCAGGTACGGTGCGTGGAGGTTGAAGGTTTGGAACAGCGGATTCAAAACACGAGTGGCAATCGCTGGTCCGGTCGGTCGCGTGATGGTGTATGCTTCGAACGCAAGCATGGCCGCGAAGGTGAAATATCTCCACTAGACGGTGTTAGCGGCATGCCGCGACTGAGAATCATCGAACCACATACGTATCGCCCTGCTTCCAAATATCCCAGAAAGTTGGACACGAGCAGCAAGAACCCCAGCGCAGCATAAGATGGCGCTATCCGCATTGCGCCGGTTTTCACATAATCTCCGATCGTCTTGCAATGCTTGTACTCCAGAATCTCCGGACCGAATCGATCATAGGCGAATCGCTTCACGGGATCGATGAGGGTTTCGCGAGCTTGGTTGATGTGCACATAATATTGCTCAGCTTCCGCTTTCGCATCCCCATGAACTTTGTCAGGATGATGTATGAGGGTTCTGCAGACCACCAGCCTTAGCATTGTCGCGAATCCATCACGGTTTATACTCACAGTTTCCGAAATTTCGAGTTTATTGCCTTCACATCCACATCGGGAGTCAATCCCAGGTCTTGGTAAAAGTCGCCAGATCGCTGTAATGACCAATCGGCCTCGTATATTGTGTACAGCAGATACACGGCAATGACTCCAATCTGAATGTTCCGCCTGTGTCGTAGATAGCGAGGTGAGCCTGGAGTAGGCTTTGGTTCGCCGGCGCGAATGGTGACGCTATAGTAGAAAGACTGGACCCATGATGCAACGAGCTATTCACCAGAGATTAGCTCTCCTTGTCCAAGTTGGCCATCTATGGAGTACGTACTGAGGGCAGGAAATACCAGCCTGCATAAGACAACAAGGAGGACATGGTTTATGGGCGTGGGAAGGCGCAAATGACAGGTTGGAGCAATCAAAGACTGAAGGATGCTTCCGGCAGTAAAGATGGTGTTACAGGAATGGTTGAACTCGAAAGTAGATGTTCATACCCCCCTTATTAGATTATATTCATACTGAGATGCTTCTTGTGAACTTCATGACAACAAACTTACAATAGAATGTCGCTGCACTGCGGAACACGGAAGTATCAAGAGCCACAGCCGAAGCTCCGCCGATTGGCCTGAACGCTTCCTTGTGACGTTCATCTCCATCTTCATATCGTTCACCACAATTGGACTTGTTGGTGTACTTCTGCTCTTTTGCACCTGTGCGCTCTATTCATAAGGTAACGTAATGATTTCATGCTTTTTATAGGGAGTACCGGTGCAGCTTTTAGGGAAACCACTTCTTCCTTCTCTATTCCACATTCCCAATCCAATTCACACCCGTTCTGGTACCCAAAGAATGCACGCATCATAGGCCTCATACTTCATAACACTTCTTCCCATGTCCCCCTCATCAACCGCCATGTCTTCCACAACCACAAATAACAAACGGGGACCCACTGCCCTGGTACGTGAAATATGCAGTGCACTCCTCTATTAGATGCAGCGAACTAATGGAAGCAGGCGAGATCTCCAACTGGTCAATCAAGAACCAAGGTTATCACCGTCGACAACGTCCTAGCATTTGCCTCCGACATGCCCTCTGCCCAACGCCATGATCGCGAGCCTCCCGACCGAAGACCCCTTATGCATACACGCACGCCGAGCGGCCGACGTCCGCTCGAACCAAAGTTGACGGGTCGGTTCGTCCCTCAAACCATCCCGCAGCGGACGTCCAAGGTTTCGGAGAAGCTGGTGCTGCTCCCTGAGACGGGTGATGTCATTGCCGATGACGGCAAAGGCGATTTTGCCGAGGACGATCTGTCGCCGCCCTCGGATGAGCAGCTTCTGCGCAGCCTGCGACCTGGACCTCGCGATAAATCTTATGCCGAACGACTGCCCAAGTCGAGACGGACGGAGAAGGTCGCGCGAGTCACAGCATACTGCACTGCCCAGGCCTACAACCTGAAGGCAACCGCCGAGTTTGTGAAGGGCAACCATGGCGCCAGAACGAAACTCTACGGCGACTGTTTATACTGTGCATACCATCTGCCCTTGCTCGGTGGCACGGGTGGATATCGGATCCGCAGCAGTCCTATCCTCAAAAGTCCCGGCGGGAAATTTATGATTGACGAGGAGATTGAACGAAACGAGCAAATCGAGTATCATGAAGGGTTCTTTGGTGATACAGAACGGTTCGGCGCAAGGGATTACAATGTTTCCGAGAGTCCTTCAGACGACCATCGAGATTCAAGCGGCATGGATCAAGGGAAACCTCTGGACACTCCCACCTCCCCCAACCGACCACCATCGCCCCCATCGATCCCAGCAAATGCAGTTTCGTTTGGCGAAGTGTTCGCTTTCAATTATGGAGTGCTCGTGTTCTGGAACTTCAGTGAAATGCAGGAAAAGAATATTCTCGCAGACCTAACTTTCTTCGCCACGGACAGTGGCTTGAACCTCGCGACCCGACCGCAGGACGAAGCTGACTTTGAAATGGAGGAATTTCATTTCGAGTACAACCCATACATACCCAACCCGAGGATATTCAACGACATGATCACATTGAAGTCGACGGACCATATGATCAAGCTTGCCATGGCCCATGCTATCGCGCAGAGCACCAAGGTTTCGTTCTTCGAAGAGCGAATGCAGGTAACCATGAACGAGACCAAGGACATCCCCAAAAACCTCGCGATGACGGGAAAGCTGGGCATGAACAAGAGGCAAGTCATCAGGATCATCGGACGCCTCTTTAACAGCCGGGTCGACGTCAATCTTGGTGAGTAAATCTTTCATTCCTGGAAGTGGACGACTCTAACGTGCAAAGCGTCAAATGTGCTGGACGTTCCCAACTTCTTCTGGGAAAGCGAGCCAACGTTACATCCGTTGTATAGCGCCGTTCGCGAGTACCTTGAGATCAAACAGCGGATTCAGGTGCTCAACGAACGGTGCCAGGTGTTCTTAGATCTCGCATCCGTTCTCAGTGACACCGTCCGAGACCGGAAGATGTCCCGTAAGCATTGGACACATGCACACAGGCAATATACCAGTCCGCTAATGACCACTTGCAGGATTAACCTGGATCGTGATCATATTGATCTTGGGCTCGCTCGTAGTGACGGTATTCGAAGTCCTACTTCGGTATGCGCTCCTCTCGAAGAAACGGAACCTAGCACCACTAGGGCATTGTCCAGGCATTGAGCCATCGGCGGGGATGCTTGGTCTTCCAAGCACAGCGTCATTGGGTGAACTCTGAGAAAATGTCTGTACCCCGCTCGGTTTTACGATTTTACTGGTATGGCGTACGGCGTCTTCTTGCAGTGCGGACAGACGGGGCTTTCTAGATATCCTCCTTTCGTCTGGGCATCCGATGGGGATATCTTGCGTAATGAGCTTCGCATGCTGTCCCGCAATACCCGAACCATATCGACCTAGGCCACAATGTGCCGCTTCGGGATGGCGGTGAGAGTTCTTTGGCTCCATAGGCTATCAGAAACAGCTTTCATACTCCCAGAATAGGTCAGTATCATGGGATCGGGATTGTCAAACCCCGCTTTCGCGTCGGTCGAGTCAACGCAGCATATCTATTAAGCGATGACTGAGTCTCACGCTAGTCGTACGAAGTCTTTTGGAGGGGATATACTCTTCAGATCCAATTACGATGGTTCGACGTGCCGTGGTCACATCATGAGATTGTGAACAGCAGCCCGCTAGCTAGAGGACAGACGAGAACAGACGACGATTATGGGTGACCTACATACATAGGCGGCATGCCACATACTACGCAGTTGATAGAACCTTCGGATCATGTAAGGGGAAATAAGAAGAGGCGACTTGATGATTCACGGCTGGCAATATTGATTAGCCCGTGCTGACGCACTATTGCTGAGCAGAGTGCTGGGATCATGCTGAGCGATGATGAACCGCAGGCTTGGAAACGCCAAATGTCAACGTGAACGAGGGAATTCGAACTGCAAATATCCAGATGTGGTGATGGGAAGCGATTTGAGGAAATCTACAGCAAGCTGGAAAGATAAGATGGCATGATGCTGCATCGCCAAATGCCTTGGTGAGTGGTGGTGGTGGAGATCGGATTGGAGAGGTGGATGCAAGAGCGGACGGGATGCGACGTTGAAATATGAATAGCAGTCGTTTTCAATAAACTGACACATGGGGAGCAGCCAGCAGGACGGCACGAGCATGGACGCCAAAGGAAACTATTGAAAATCTGATGCAAGAGGCAAACGATGCCCTCCCGTCGTATTCGGAATCCAATGGGATGGCTCAGAAAGTTAACGATACATCCATCACCGATTCCCAGAATGAGCTCTCAACAGAGAATTATTGTGCCGTGAACAAACTTATCTCCAGAGGTGGAGAGCTGAATGGAAAAGTAACTACATTAGCAACAGGAGAACACTTGACGGTACTCGGGCGGCGCGACAGACCGACTCCTGAGATGTTTTGGGAGGCTGTCGTGATAGTGAGAAGTTCACGGAACTGACGCCGACTGGTGGGCAGAGAATGACGCCACCCCAGACAATAACTCCAAAAATAAACCCCATGAACTCCACGCACACCACCACTTCAACGAAATCCCATCGAAATACCACCCTCCCAAAGTCCAAATCGTCATCATATTCCAAAAACACCGAATTTCTAAGCCGTGACGACCACCGATGTGTCAACTCAGCAGCACCGACTCGGCTATGTGGGCGGTTTGATCTCTCACTTTGATGCTATGTACTATGGCTCAGCCCCGATCGTGCCATGCAACCGGCCAACGGTCCGCCACGCGATTTGCGTCCCCTTGCTATCCCTCCTGACGACGACAACCATCGCTCCCACTCGTCTCTCTTGCGATGGCTTTCCGCTGTATTCCATATTGTAGCTATGGCTGTGCAGAACGACTACTCATACAGTGGAGGCCGGCCCCAGCGCGCCGCCAGGGTAATCAATAATACCTGCAAGCTGGCGATGTTACCTTGAAGTGATGCCCGATATAGCGATCGAATTGTCAACTGTCTTACCTGTCTGTATAAGGTCATTCGCTTCGAATCGCCTTTTGGTGGTGTGATTCATCAGCATTGTCTGTCCAGTTCGCCTGTCGCCATTTTGTATATCTATCCACACCCTCGCTTTCGTCTCTTCGTTATTAAATTCAGTCTTTCAGTCAATCGCTTCATCATAACATTCGCTTGAGTCACACCAACACTTTCCATATACTATATCAATAATATATCTCAATACTCCTCTACCAAGTACATAAGAGACAAAGGTTCATATCGGATATGCTCAGTTTCCTCCCTGTCCTTGTGGCAGCCTTGGCCGGCTCTGCTGTAGCCGGCGAGAAGCCCTGGGGGGATAAACATCCTCACTGGCCGACTGGAAAACCCTCCAGCACTATCTATCCCTCGAGCTCTTCCTCATACACTCACCATCCCCCTTCCTCAACTCTTTATCCGTCAGAGTCTTCTTCATATACGCATTATCCTCCTTCCTCATCTCCTCCCTCATCGTCTCCCCGGCCGACCAAAACTGGTCACCACTCCACCAAGACGATCACGACCTACACCACTGTAACGACTTGTCCGGTCACCATCACCTCCGGCCACCATGTCACCACGACTTGGACCACGAGCACTATCACCGTCACCAGTTGCGTCAATGGCTGCTCGCATCCGACCAAAGAACCACATAAGACGCTCCCTCCCAAGCCGACCGACACCACCGTCACCATCGTGTATCCGACCACCGTCACCAAGTTCGTCCCATGCTCGACTCCCGTGAGCAGCAGCGGCCAAACCACCTTCTACTCGACCTGGCTCAGTACCACTGAATATGTCTCTACCTACACCAAGACATACAGCCACGGTCCACCCCCGCCTCCGCCTCCAACTACGCTGCCGGAGACATGCCCTCCAGTTGCAACAGTTTACGTTACGGTGACAGAAACCAAGGGCGATACTCCCGCCCCGCCACCAACTACAGCTCCCCATCCACCCAAGCCTACTTGCTATTCCGACAAGTGTTATCACACCATCACCTACACCTATCCCAATGGTTACTGCACGACGATCACCATCACCGAGACACAATCGCCGTCGCCGAAGCCCACGCACACTCGAACCACCTCTAAAAAGCCGCACCCGCCGCCGACGGGAACAGGTAACCCGTATCCTCCACCGACCAAAAGCAAGCCGCCAACCCCGCCTCCTTCAGGGACGGGCAAACCTCACCATCCTCATGGGCCGGGAGGCTATGAGTGGCCTAAACCGGGAGGTCACTGAAGATTGAGGGCATGACTTTTAAGGTCAATGCTTTCGAACGTTAATGACACTCCTTATAAGCGGGAATAAGATTGTATTGGTCCCGAGTCCATATGGTCGGATTTATGGTTTTTTTGCAGCATAGCAAAATGGCGTTGCAACGTTTACGGATTTGATCGGCGTCTCTCCTTTCCACGAGAAGTTCTTCTTACTATACAGTCTTTGGTCACTTTTAATACAAACCCACATTACTTCAATTGTCATGCATGTCTCTGCCTTCGTTTACAGGAGAACCAGTGTCGTTACTCTGCGCGGTAGTCCCTTATCGTTATCTACAGCTGCACCCCAGATTAGAATTCCTGATAAGCCCAACAGGGGCAGCACGCCATACAGCCCTACTGCGTTCACGACGGACCCATTCCGCAATGATGAGTAATAAGCTTCTACACCAATTTGCTGGTTCATCTTCAGCGAGACCGATGTGGTGCCGCCGACATCCTAAGCGATCCGCATTACACTACTTTCGCCCAATGCAGCATCTCCCCTTTCTTATGATCGTCTCGAGTGCTAGGAATCCGATCCTGTTCAGCATAAGCGGCGCCTCCCAAGGGGCATCTGAATTCTAAAGCGACGTCCACAACTGTTACGGAGCACTAGAGGAGGCGACCATGCCAGACGCCCATCCACCCCGTACATCTGCGGATCCGACCAGGGACCGGGATTCTCATTGGAAAGTTTAAGGTTCGAGGTCGGACGGGGATGGACCGGCCGGTTGGGAATTTGCGACGAATTGGAGGTGTTCGCAATGTCTCCAATGGAAAACAAGGCCTGCAACCATCAGGAGTTGCCGTCGACGAGGCCATCCCAGACCCTTTTGGACGTTCCACAGCCCATACTCCAGTCGTAAGATGATTAGATGTGACTGGCGTGACTCGTTGGGTTGGATGCGCCATGGGGAAAGGGAGAGCGTTCGTGTTTGATAACGATTCAGGAAACAATCACCTGTTCCCCTCCATTTCGAAAGTCATGGACGCCAACACCCGTAAATCGACGTCGGTAATTGTAAAGCGCGATTGGACGATGATCAATCCACCTAGGCCTCACATCCATCACGGCATCTTCACTTTTCAGTCATCACAGCCAGCATCGACACCATAGGTGAGGTTCTTGCTAAGCCTTTTGTGACTGAGTTGCATCACTTCACCACGGCCGCTGCAAGGCTCGAGCGGTTTCTCACTGTCACTAGCGGAGTACGGAATACAGGCGAGCAAGCTTGAGCTGATTTCGTGCAGCAAGCTTGAGGTTTGTCGGGTCCTGTCGAATGCTGAACTAAAACGAGTTTTCCCAGGAAATGGGAAAGCAGGATCGAACCGGTGAAGAGAAAGTCGGCGAGAAATAATGCGGGAGCCGGGAGGTCTCTTCCGCGAGCAGTTCGTCTGTGCGTGCGCAGCATGCGAGGGAGCCGATCAGCGACTTGGCGTCTGCTGAGGCCAAAATGCAGGGGAACCACCACACCATCTTTTCTTGATGATTGTGAACGACACTGCACTCCATGCGCAACGCTGATACAGCGTGAACCGTCCAAGTGGGACACAACTATCCAGTAATATTCCAAGCGGATGTGAAGCCACCGGGTCGTGCCATAACATTGCGCTTACTGAGACGGTTGATCCCTCGCCATCTGCCGGAATTGCCCTTCATTTGTAACTAAACTGCCGGGAATTCGGTCATATCCGGATGTTAGTCGCAACGATTGCGGGGGGGAATTATTCCAGCAGATCTACCCCTAGTTATGCGAAGGTCAGAAGCTCAGCGCAGTCATTGAAACTTGAATGGGATAGATCATGGAAGAGATGAAATGTATTAACGGGTTAATACAGGCTTCATGTCAAAGGTAAAAGGTTCCTGTTTACTCCGCACAGTCTGCGGGTCTAACCGAACCGCTCGTTCATCTCAAACCCTATCCCCAAGATCTGGGTCAGGCTGCAACGCCACCAAGGCAAACACGAAATGACAGCTGCATATCTCTAGCTTCATCCCCATGTCCTGGATGGTTGGATCACTCGGATGCATTCACGGTTTCGTCCTGGTGTGTATGGTTGACCATCGCTCTCCGATAATCGGAAACCAGCTGTTCCTGAGACTGAGTGACTGACGATCCTTGATTTGTTGTGTCATCTTCTGCGCTCCCTACGGGTCTACTGTTTCTTGTTAGACTAGGGAGGTTGTCCTGTATCGTGTGACTGGATAATCATTCGGCTGCTTCCCAGAACGGAGAACGTCCCAAATATTCGATGGATACCCTGCTCCTTCAATCATGGCTTGTGCGTCCCAAACAGGATTGCTTGCATAATTAGATGATACATCCAAACTGCATGTCCGTCCTGTCAAGCCAGAATATCGTTTGGCCCTGAAGGCCTCGCGACATAACCGGCAAGTCGACTGCACAGGAGTGCTCCGCGATTTTAACTTTCCGACCAACTACATGGTGACAGTCATGAAAATTCGATCCCCGACAAATTGCCAGTGAGCGGAACTCAGAACTCAGAAGTGGTATATCGGGTCATACTGTGGTAGGTACGCGCAAGAGCCAATAGGACATACAGTAATGTAGATGTACGCTCACACGCTGTACGGAACGCAGTTGTGCGACGAATTTCGTGTTGGAATAACATGGTCTTTTCATTTCTCTGTGCTCCTCTTCATACCTTCGGTATGTCGGCGACTACATCCGTTCGGCGTCTACATTCCGCGACGAGTCATACTTAAGCGACATGGGACGCATGTTGTAACTTGTAGGGTTGTACCGGTTGTACGGGTACCGCTCGTGTTTTGGTACCCAGCGCTTAGAGCATCCAGATTTCAGTGGGCACAATCATCATCATCACATCGCTTCGGACGTGAAAGCTTCCGGATTGTGAACGCGCTTCTGGCGAATGATGCTTCAACCCGAGACCAATCTATAGTCTGGGTTTGCGTGACGAATCTCGATGCTAACGCGTAAACTCGTAGAGTGAGGATCAGCCCTAGAGACGTATAGAATCCGGTTGATGACCAATTAGCCGGGATGCCATAAGTTGAAACTGGATTGACGCTCACCTAAAGTCCAAAGCTGAACCTAAGCGATAACTCATAACTGCCGATATGCTGTATGCGGCATTGCGGCCGAAATCCTTCATTTCTCTCATACAGACCAGGGCAGAGAGACAGAATGGGAACTCTTACTACCGCGATCTAACGTATTGGAGGTTGGCGCAATCTGATTTCTAATAATACTAATAACCAGCGCAGTGGTATTGATGATACACTCATTGATGATTGATCCTGCTGAGTTCTGACATGGAGTGTTCAGTCCGGTTCCCCGTTTCAGACCCCCAACCTCGACGCCCTCAAGATGTCCAATGAGGATTCATCATGTGCTAAGCTTGAGCAAACAGGACCTTATTACCATGCTGCATCAACATGAGGAAAGCCGGGAGGCCGAGTAAATTAAGGCGCCTATGTCTGGCATGGATTTGACGAATATCGCCAATATTCAATGGTTTGGCGGGATTTCCGCATACGCAGGATTCTGGTCTCTGAACTCCTGTGCTGTCTGATGCCTCTCATAAGTCGAGGTCGTAAGCCGTCTCATGCATAACAACCTGGGCGGAAATAATCAAATACTGAGAGCGGAGACCAGAAGACACTAAGACACCGAGAAACAGTGCATGCGGAGCTGGAACAATTTAGAATATATGAAGGTCGCACAATGCAATGTAAAAATTCCCCGAATAAGCTCCACGACCACAGATCCGCTCCGAGACTGCGGGATTCCTGCGGTTGAAGGATGTCGTGAAGGATGTTGTGAAACCATCGAGCCAATGACTTCTCCGGTCCGGTATTGCTCCAATCCAATTCGAACGATCCCACTGTTGGACCAGATTCCGCCGTCCGTCGCACGGCATGATTTGCCGCTGGATTTTGTCTGTTGTCGATCCGATTCCATGCAAAAGCCGTGCAGCTTGGTGGACGACGCTGTCGCACAGAGCGCTGGCTACATCGGACCGTCCACACGGACATAAAGAGGAGAAGAATAGGCAAATGCACGAGTATTTCGAAATGAGCCTGAATGAACGAAGTGGAAATTGCTTTCTATGGCCATGACGAGCATCCATAGGGCAAAGTGCCAAAGACTGATCAGAGAAATATCTTCAGAGGTGGATGCTTATTATGCTATTTTTAGAGGTTATTCCTCATATACAGTTTTGTCCTTTGAATAGGACATTGGGATTTGGGATTTGCCAACCAAAGTGGTGGCTTGAGGGTAGGGGTACTCTGTAGTCTGTACTGTGTACTTCCTAGGGTATTTGCAACTTGGGTCATTACCAGCAATCCAACATGTCATTAGTATCGGCTGGGACGATATGCCTCACCTGCACCAAAGTCTCATTTCGATAGCGGGGAACGACACGACAAACAAAGCATCATATCCAACAGAAACTGTGACCTCCCAGCCACATATCGCCGACCTCGTGTCTCAGATACACAGTGAATGTACGTCAAAAGGTGCCAACGCATGATACCACTGCAGAGCGCCCTCTTCTGGTACGTTACGACAGTCCGACATGCATAACCCTTTGGTATCGGATAAATCATAAATCTGGATACAGGAAGGGCCTTATTTGATCAATTCCAATAAAACACTCCGTTAATGAAACACTGAGTAGATATATCTCCACTCATAATCGCAATTGGGCAATGGACCGAAGATTTAACGGGCAGTCCCACATATCATTTGCTGAGAAGATGAGATTCAAATCAGGTCGTGTTCCATGACGATTTGTTGTTCATCCAGTGAACAAATGGATCCGGGTTACCGGAGAGAATAAGGTTGAATGAAGACTGGCGTTCCCTATATCAGACCGACTCTAGACGTTTTCCTATTGCACAAGCATGCGACTAAGCTGCTGCCACCTGGACCGGACCGATGAGGAGAGATTGCTAAATTAGCAATCAACACCTGTCCCAGTGTTGCGGTCCGTGAAATTTGGGATCGTGGCTCTGATGAGCCTGACGTTCCTCGACCTTTAACACTGGCATGAAGTTTGACAGGGAAGTACCCGGTATATATCCGCGTGATCACTGGCCCTGACTCCTGATGATCATAGGGGGTATTTATTGTTATCTACGGTTATACGGTATCTTCAACAATCAATCAAGGACATATGATAATGCCGGTATGGGGTACCTTAACTCCACGCGATGCGCACGGTCTAGGACCACCCATGGCCTTTGGCCATATCCTATGTCCTCTGAGCCCATGGGGGTTGACATTTATCAAGCATCTTGATTCGCGAAGGTTGTTAGTTTGCTGCTAACCTTAGCCCAGGGCCCGGCGCAGCGGCTATTGCGGCAGAACAAGGAGAATTCAACTTCCCTCGGTCCCTGTCAGACGGAATGACCAAAGCCCAAAGGAAGGTGGGCAGCAAGAGGCCTTTTGGCTGGATCGACTACCAGCATCGATGCAATCGAAATACCAATGAGAAGTCAAGACGCTGTGGATTCCAAGGCCCTTGGTCGTGTTAGCCCCCGACGCATCATCCGTCTTATGAAGTCATGAGAGTGTGCCAGGGCGGTCCTGGTCACAGAACGCAAAAAGGGTTAATAATTGGCCAGTTTTCTGCATGTCCACCAAGCTGCAACGAATCTTGCAGATCAAGCGTGGCGTTATCCAGGATCTTCGGTTCCTGTTGTAATATAACAACGTGGTTGAAGAAAAAGACGGTGAAGCCCATGGTGAAGGTGAAGGGCAATTCAATGCGTTGTCAAGAAAGCGGCCTTACTTGTTTGGACACATCGGTCATCACTCATGAGACTAATAACGTGTATCTTGCCAGATAATGCCCTAGGAGCCCCGTAGAGTTTGTCCAAGACATCTACTCCTGAAAATCCGAGACACGGAGAACAGCGGCTCCGTTGAAACGGTGGATTCTTTGTTTCCAGAGTACGGGGTAACGCCCGCCATGCAGAAATTCACAAAAGCAAAGGTACTGTGGATAAACGAAAATATCGGCACCGGATTGTCGGGACGACTAGCCAATTTAGGGATGGCAAATTGGCAAATTGGCAAATGAATCAGGACAGAATTGCCTATTGGTGGGCAGACGGCGCAGTTATGTCAGTCAAGCTGCATCTCTAATCATAATTTAGAAGTATTTAGAGGGGATGCGCTGACAGAACATGAACCGCAGTCAGATCGTATTGAAATTTAAAAGCTGGGACATTGTCAAAGATCCGATTCTTTGGGCTGAAATGGTCGCGATCCGTCCGAACTTACTGAGGGTGAGACAAGGCTTGAGGCTAAGTGCAGCCGCAATAGATGATCAGACCTGATGTGTATCGGATAGGTTGATAAAAAAAATCACATCTCATGTACGGAATACAGTTGTACACGTAGCTACCGCACATAAGCTACTGTAGGAAGTACTTAGTACTAGCCCGCTACTAGGTAGATATTTACTGTACACGTTGGTGATAGTTATAGGAATGTACATGTGCTTCGTATTACCTGTGGGCTGTGGGGCCGTCTTTACTATGTATGCCATACCCATTGCACGACCATGAAATAGTTCCTCGTGTCTTCCTTCGATCCGGAATCAAGGCCCGCCAGAGACCCTGGGAAGGAAGGCGACTCATTGCGCCTTCTTCATTTGACGTCTTTGTGGGCGTCAAAAAGGCTGTGAGAGCTGTGAGGAATGAGGATACTACCCTCCTCAGAAGGCACACAAAGGAGAGGGACCGGCATGAAGACCCAGTCCCAACGGAACGTCACCTCCACAATCCACAATCCACAGTCCACAATCCACAGTCCACCATGGCGCTTCGGTGCATAGGCGCCAAGCACCAGGAAACTGCGGTGGTCCGCGAGCAGCGACATGCGAAGTCAGGGAAGCAAACTCGGGCAGAAAGTCGGCCCATTTGCAGGAATCCCTTCGGTTTGGCGCACTGGCGGGTGCGCAGGTTGTGGAGACGTCACAGTGCAGTCCAGTTTGAGAGTGGACCAGTGACCCGAGAGGAAGGAACAGGCGGCAAATGAAATTTGACTGGCAGCAGAAGCACCGAGCAGCGGCCAGTTGGCCCCTTGCAAACGAGCCCACACTTGCTCGTCGCTAACTCGCTACTGCCCTTTGTTAGTTTTGTTACTCGCCCTAGCGGTAGCGGCAATCCCGACAGTGTGGTTATGGGAACTTTGAATCCTGGGACGCCCGAGGTTTGCACGACCACTCGACCCCGGTGGCCACTGCCTTTTCCGGGGAGCGCTGAGTGCTTTTTCCCCCTTCACCACGGTGCCAAGCAATCAGCGAGTTCTCTTGTCTGTGGGAGGGGTGAACGGTGGGACATTGAAAGTTGCTGGTCAGCGACCCAAGATTCCGCTCAATCCTTATACCGTGATATTCTCTCCCAACATCCGGAGCTGGTTCTGTAGTATTATTTATTGCCTGCACCATGTCCGTCGGGAGGTCATGCGTAATGCAGGACCTGGCCCCTGGAAAATGTCTGGGAAATGATGAGGCAAGTTCCGGACCGGGCTGCGGTACCTCAGTATCGTATCGAGTCGGGGATGGGATAATGATGGCATTTGGGAAACTGGGATAGAGACAGGGGGTAATTGAGAGCGGGTTTGGCTCATCCAACGGAGTACCTACCCTGTATTCCCGTTCCCGAATTATAGGGAGTTAGCTTGCCCTTTGCTCTGGCCTTTGGACTCTTTTATCCACGCCTCTTCTCGGCCTTCTTCCGCTCTTCACATCGTGGCTTTTTCCCGGCTCTACTCTCCGATTTCGATTTCCGAAATAATCTATACGAGGTAAACCGCAAATATCAGATGCGGTGCCCTTGCTGGAATCACCAGCCTTGTCCCCTGTCGGGCGATTGGAGGACCGGCCGGGCATTCAACAGCTTCCGGGCCATGTCCAGCAGGACAAAACAGGCACATGATAGTGAGCGGTGTGCGGGGATAATATAGGCACCCAGCGACCTAAACCTCCCCAATTCCTCCACCAAATCCGAAGTTGTTTGGAGACCTGACAACGGACCGTGATGAAAACCCCCTTTCCATGAGCTGAAAATTACCGGAGGCACCGTGCCTGCCTCTCACCAAGTCATCGGACATCGGGCAGGGAAGAAGCCAACTAGTCAAGCCGCGCTCCCTCCACGCGTCCCACATCGGTGGATTCTTGGATTGGGAACAGAACTTGGGTGTGAGCCGGGGTTGCGCCCTCGCGCCTTTTTCAATCTCAGCCTGCAATCATCATTCAGCACTAACTCCCAGGAGCGGAACAGTGAGCAAGAAAGCCAGGCGTGCTCGGGTCTTGGGTTGCACTGGGTCAGGCAAATTCAGCAGAAAATCAATCCAGTGAAATCCAATCCGCCATGCTGGTCCGCCCCTTTGGCGGTTTGGCCCTTCTTTAGATTGGCTTCTGAACCCGTAGTAGTTCCATACCTTTCTTACCAAACCTGCTGTGCTGCTGGACTTGGACCTGTGTGTGTGCTTTCCATCCTTTGCCAATAAAATACACTGCCGCTCCCCTTTCTCCAGCCTCAGCCGATTTCCTTCCTGTTCTGTTTTTCTCCTCCTCCATCCCCATCGCGATACCTCAGAATTGCCCATACGCTCACTCTGGAGCTCGATCTCGAACACGAACGCGTCAAGACACTTCCGTTGGCCAACTCGAATCCAGCCTGCCCGAATAACCCGCCGAAACAAACATACTTCCCGTCCCATCACGCTCAAGCGGTCCCAAAGCATTGTAATCAGTTGCGTCGGCCGAGCAAGCAGATCAGGACTTCCCGTATCCCAAGGGATTTGGAAGCATCAACGAACGTGAGCGAAGGGCAACGCATCAATCGGTAAGTCAGAAACATTTCCAGTTATGTGCAGCGAGCGAGCGAATGTGAATCGTGCCTCTGGAGCTCAGGCCCCAACCGCAATCATGAAGAATCCCCGAACGAGAAGGGACCGAAGGAGATCGCATCAGGCGCTGTTCTACGTCCTTCGATCATTCCCGAACACAGCTTGCCGAGCCTGAATGCGATTCGCATCCGGACGATCCTCTTGGTCAATCTTGCTCGTGCAAGAACGGGAAGCAGCATCTGTGTTTGGATTGTCGCTCGGTCGACTGGTATCCGTGGCGGAACTGCAAGTGTGTATCTGGCACCACAGCACAACATACACACTCCACTCCAGGCTAGAGGAACTTGAGAATGTCGGAGTGTGCTTACAACCCGAGAACGACCCCAGCAATTTGGTTCTCCTTGCCGGGCATACCCTCCAACATTGCTTTTGCTGGGGTTCCTGGCGCAACTTCGTACTCAGGCGGGGGGGATACGTAAACCGTCGGCCTCGCTGTGCACTCCAGAATTCTTCTCACGGAAAGCCCCTGCGACCGCCAACAAAAAACCCTTGCATATCCTCTGTACCTCCTGGCGTTACCTACCGGTGCAAGAGGAGCTGTACACGACATACACATCGGTCGAGTCGCTACAGCCGATGTTTTAAAGCCGAAAAGAGCGCTCTGGGTGTCGGAACTTGGAACACAACCTGAGTCCGGATGCATGGCTAGGAAAGCAGCTCATCATCTATGGTCGTCTGCACTTGAACTTCGACATTAAGTTCAACCCCCTGTCAAGTAGCCAACCACTCGAGTAGCCAGTATCACCATCTCAACCTCCATCGGTCAGACAGCAATATCTCTACTAAAACATATTATATTTGGAAATCTATACAGCATGATTCAAAAGATACAGCTTGGAGAGACTCTGATGTAGATTTGGCCTCCGAAATTGGATGTCTTCGTTGGTAATCTTCCTCTACCGCTCGTACAGCTTCTTGTGCCAATTTGATCTCCCGAACTTGCGCAAACCTCTGATTAAGATCTATCTGAACTTTCTTTTTACGTTTTGGTGCTGTAGCAGCATCAAGGCGTGCCTGTAAGCCCGCGATTTTCAGATCTGATGAGGCCTGACGCGCCTGTAGCACTCCGATCGCCTTGGCTGCCTTCTCTATATACGACTTCGTCGTCTTTGCCACGCGTGTATTCTTGCTAAGAACGCGTAATGCACTCTGTACCTGTTTTGGCTTGTAGGGCGTCGTCTGGAGAACGGAGGGGACTGGTATGGGGGTGCGTGGAGGCGTGTTTGGTGGTGGAATTGGTGGTGCGGTTACGGTAGGCGGTGACGGTACAACGAAGCGGTTACTGAGGCCCTTTGACCGGTCAAACGGCACAAGTCCTGCAGCCTTCCACCCAGATCTGATTGTACGGTCGGTTAGGCGTGCCTGACGTGCCTCTGCATAGAGGACAATGAATCTCCGTCGTTTAATCGGTAGGGCCTCGTCGATATACGCGCTTTGGCGGAGGAGGGTCTTATAAAAGCGTTTTAGAGGCGAAAAACAGGCGAGATCCAGAGGTTGAAGGATATGGGAGGTATGTGCAGGTAGGAAGACCACGATTACGTTGTTTATCTTGCATTCGTACAAGAAATCGATGGTTGCGTGGCTACCGTGCCCGTCCATTAGCAGAATCCGGTACTGCCGCTGTGTAGCGGTTTCAGGCAGGAAAACCGTACGGAGCCAAACCAACGCGTGTTGATTTGAAGTCCAGCCGTTCTCTGATACCGTATAATGGAAGTCTGGAGGTTGTTCAGGGAACCAAGAAGACTGTAACGTGGCGCCTTTCTGTATAATCGCTGGTCTGATGTACTGGCCGGTCGCGGAGACAGTTTCAACGATACTAATCCATTCGCGGCCCATAGGACTAGTGATATAGGCCGTTGACTTCTGCGAGTCTGCGATAACCGTAGAATTAGCGCAAATCCCTAGTCCTATACCAACCTCATCCATATTCCAGGTATCAGAGGGGTGGACATCGTACTGAGTTTGAACTTGGTGAAAATACGTGTAGAACGCGTCGATTGTATCCTTAGTTGCAGCCTGACGTCGGGCAACATCAAGACTACGCCCGATACAGGTCGCAACGCGTGGATTACGGTGTAGGAAACGCGTTACCCAGTTCTTCCCGAGGGGCGTTGAGTCTCCTTGGAGGCGTAGAACTCGAGATGCCATTTCGCGAAGCCGTGCGTGAGTAGGGGGGAATCCTTGAGCGTCATTTTCAAGTATCCAGTCGACTAAAAAGGATTCTTGGTCCGGTGTAAGGCGTTGGCGAGATTGTTGAGCTACTACGCGTGGTAGGCGGCCTTTTAAGCGGGTTTGAAGGGTGCGTCGGTTGACCTTGAATAGCGCCGCAGCTTCGTTTTGTGATTTGCATTGACCGGTCTGTAAGGCATCAATAGCCTGTTGGACCGGGTCTTCCGAGTTTGGTATCATGATATTGTACGGTGGTGGAGATATCGCGGTTAGAGAGATGGTGATAGAGGTGGTGATACTGGCTACTCGAGTGGTTGGCTACTTGACAGGGGGTTGAACTTACTTGCGAATTGGCGGCAAGGCAAATATTGCATTTGCACCCTCACAATGCTTTTAGGAAGCTCTAGTCGCTTCTCGGTCCATGTCGATGGGTGTGCACTGTCTGTCGGCGATTGAATTGGGCGGGTGGTCCAGTTCCCCTCCCTGCAAAGCGCATCCTCTCCCTGTCGCTGGGCTGCTAGGCATCACCTGGTCCAACGTTTCCATCGTGGCTGCACTCTGGCTGCACTCTCGCCCTGCTCAGCTTTTCAAGTCTTTTTATCACCACCTGCCCAATTCGCTAGTCTATATATGGTTCACAGTGTCCTTGCTAGAGTCTGGCTGTTTTTGCTTCGAAAGCGCAGTGGTTTCCACACGATACTGCTTTCTGTTCCAAGCGCTTTCGGCCAGAAACATGAGAGCATATGGTCCCCACATTCGGACAACTCACCGTGCACCCCCGTCGCTCGCTCCCACATCGTCGGAATTTTGGCTTTCATCGTTGGAGATTTATGAGGCAAACTCCGCTGACATTTACGTTCAGACCAGGCTACTCGCGCCTGCATCATTTCGCTGCCCACGTCTCCACTCCACGCTACATCGGTTGTCCCATGACCTTGTGCTGGCGCTGGGACCGTCCGCTGCGAAGCCCTTCCCGCTGCGACTCTTATACTTCCCGTCGTGCCTGAACCTCGAGCATTCTCCTCCATATTCTTTCGTCTCCTCCATCCCGCTCGGATTTCCTCTTGATCTCTAGCTTCTCGCCGCCCGCGTGGCCGGCTGCCCACGAAGTCGACTCCCGATGGTCACAATGGCTGCGAATGGGTAAGTCTATCTATCCGCTTTGCTTGCAGCCAAATTCGCCTGTGCCGAGCTGAACATGACGGCGCACAATTGAAATTGCATGGATGGTCCCGTTATGAATCGCCCTCAGATGGTGCCTCTCCATCTGTGTACCGGACGATTTGAGTCCAAGATTGCAATTGTGGGTGAAACTGGTCATTGCTGACTTGTCGACCCAATTTCCAGGCAGGCTATCGCGGTTCCGGAGAATTACCAAGAAAATGGACGGTTGGTAAGTAACCCTGGACACCGGCAATTTTTAAGCCGCAATCTTCGGAAGAACCTTTGGCTGACCGCATCCGATGGCAACAGTACCATGGATTTAGACGAGGGATCTACCTGTACCCATGTGATGAGGTACGGTTGAAATACCTTTGCGAGCTGCCGATTACCCCGACCTGCATTCTACGCTCTCGATAGCAGCAGCAAAGAGCCCATCGCTGACATGGACCCCTGCACAGCACGAAAAGGACCGCATGGACATTTGCCACAAGCTGTTCAGCATCGCCCGACGAGGCCAATTGCACAATGCGCCGGTCAGCGCAACCTCCAACCCGTACAGTCCAACGCGTATCATGGATTTAGGTTGCGGAACGGGTATCTGGGCTATCGATATGGCAGAGTGAGTGGATTCTATTCTTTAAAAGCATCTCCAAATCGTCATAAAACGATCGTCCCCAAATGGTCCCCAAATTGCCACCAGACGGGACCATCCGGGTGTCGGAAGGTGCGGCCCTCGCGGCCGGCCCCACGGGAAGGTGCCAGCGGGGTTGTTGCCCTGCCACGCTTTCGGCACCTTTTGCACTTGTGGCACCTGTGGAACGCCGAAATCCACCGCTCCCCCAATTCAATTCGAGCAATCTGCTAACGCTTTGGGCTTTTAGCAAGTTCCCCCACGCCGAGGTATGTTCCAATCGTTGGAATTCAATCTGGGACGAGGCTCCGGGTATTCGGATTGTTTGCTAACCAGTTGTGTCACTGAAGGTTGTCGGTTTGGACCTGGTCAACATTCAACCTGAAAAGTGAGTGCTTGGAACGATGGGTGATGCAGGACAGACCCGGACGCATCATTTCCGTGCCACATGCGTATCTGCGGTAGTAGTACAAGACACTAATTGGTACGCTAGGATCCCGCCGAATCTGCGATTCCGAATTCCTCGAGACTACGAAGCACCATGGACCTATGGAGAGGAATCCTGGGATTTGATCCATATTCAAATGGGCTGTGGCAGTGTTTCCAGCTGGCCAGAGCTGTATCAAAAAATCTTCGCGTAAGTGGACGGTCGCCATCTTGTCATTTTCGAGAGTTTCGAGAGTTTCGAGCTAAATTCCGCCCTTATCAGACACCTCAAACCAGGGTCTGGTTGGATTGAGCAGGTCGAAATAGACTTCCAGCCCCGATGCGATGATGGAACGTTACGACCAGAGTCCCACGTCGTTCAGTGGTATCAATATCTCGCCGAAGCCACCGGTCGTGTGTCTAAGTCGATCACATATGAATCGAATACGGGGCATATTCTGCGGTCAGCGGGATTCATCGACATCCAAGAGACTGTCATTCGGGCGCCGTATAACGGTTGGCCAGCGGATCCCCATCAAAAACACATTGGGCGTTGGTACAACTTAAGCATCACCGAAGGGCTCGAGGCTCTCAGTCTTGCTGCGCTGACCAGGATCAATCGATGGGATGCAGACCAACACGTCCGGCCGTTGCTGTCGGCTGTACGTGCGGAGATAAACTCACGGAAAATCCATGCGTATAACAACATGTGAGTAAATTTTCTTCGCATACTGTGCCAGACTCCTGTCCAGGAGCAATAATTGGTTTCAATTAAAATCAAAGAAGGTCGAACTAACTTTACCTAGCCATATCTGGACTGCACGACGGCCCCTACAGTGAACTCAGGCATCATTCATTCATTTGCTGATGTCCGGAACACATGAGAAGCCGATCCCGCATTAATTGTCGAAGCACAAATTTCCACCATACATTTACCACTTAGACTGGATCAGCGCCCGGCCTTTCAGGAATCCTGGCACCAGAAGTGGTATTCTACCTTCCTACCAGCAATCGCACAATCCCAGATGATATATCGGAAGGGGTCGATCAGCCTCCGGGTACAGACACCACACAGAGAATCTCCTTTGCAACTGAAAGTATCTGCTCTGGCAATACGATATTCGGATACAAGGCGGAGCAAGCCGAATCGATGCACGCGTCGCACTTGTTGAGCCCTCGGTGGCTACAGAGACCGCAGTCCTGTTGCATGTGCTTGGAGTACCAAACTCCACCTTCTGCCCTCGCAGTTGTTTTACGCCGGGGGTTCCAACAAGGACGGGGGGCTCGCCACGTCTTTCCCCTTCGCAATCCAATTCCTAGGCTATCCACCCCCATTTTCCGATTCAGGTGATGCAAACGTTCCCATAGCTTTGCCAGAGAGTATGGTATGCATCTGGGACCATGTCTTGTCTCCATTACTTTCATGGGAGAAAAGGCATTTGTTTCTTTATCTTCGGAGGCGAATAACTTCTTTCTCAGTAACTATACCCATCCATCCGGTGAGGGACTCTCTTGTTTAGCCTCATCGCAGTAGGAGGCTCTTTGGACGATTTTTATGTCTCCTAAATTATTTCCTTTTAACTTTGATTGTATGCTCAATCCGGTTTGTCAGTGCGTGCCATGAATATTTCAGAGCATGTAGTGATTTCTCCTATTTGGGTCGTTGATCTATCTCCTTTGCATTTTAAAACGGATGGCACGGGCGTCGTTGGCATTCGGAAGGACGGGAAAATCCTTCGGATCCGCCATTCCTGGTTTAGCATTCATTTCGAAAAATCTTATTTCGGCGGTATTCAGGGTTGGAATCGCTTGGAGCCAGAGTCTGGTTGACTGGCCAAATTTGCCCTATATCGAATGCGTCAAGACGTGAATGGGAATGGTTTCCTTCCATAGTTCTCGAGCGTCGTCTTGGATCTCATACCCCAAATGCATGTGCTACAGTCACGAAAGAATAGGCGCCAAGGCCTCCCTTCCCTGCGATTCGGCGTCTGCAGTTGCCGGCCATGGGCGATTCCTGCACGGTCACACCGCTACAAGTGGTCTTGGGAACGCCAGCCTACCGTAACGCGGCGCCCTGCACAAAACCGGAAAGACGACGATGGAACAGAACAGAACGAAATCGCGGTTCCTACGACCCAGGGCTCTGGAAATCGAGGGAGTGGGGAGACTGGTCATTCCAGCTATTAACTATCCTATCAACCTGATAGGCGACCAGAGCTGAGTGTGTACTGAACGTACGGCGCATCGCATGGATCTTGACGGGAAGCAGTGAGGGATTGGTTACCAGGGCCTCGCGGGGTTGAGGATGGGCTGATATAACAGTCCTGGGTGGGAAGGAGGAGATCCTTCAAGGGCGCCATGGTGTAATTGAATTCTAGGGCTGCTCACGGATATCGTGGCTTCCTCCCAAAATGATAAGGCTGGTCATCAGTGGACTTTGTCAAATCGCCACTATGTTGTGCAGACAAGAAGAAGCAAGGCGCCCCAGCATGACGTTCAGCTCAGATAGCTCCTATCCTCTTGAGCATCGACTCTACCCTGCCATTGTTCCGAGTAAATCTTCACTTGCATACGAAAGGTGGGCTGATGATGGATGTCTGGCTTCAAGCCCTAGTGGCTCAATACGGCGAGTGAATATTGACCACTCAAAAGATCCATCCTCCAATTTAAACTTTCAAAGGATTCATCCTCCTCCTCATCCTCCTCACCTATCCCCGGCACCTGCCTCTACAATTTTCTAATCCTCACCTCACACTGCAGACCAAGAGCGAGGGGGTCGGCTAGGCCAAGCGATCGTCTGTCCGCTCGGACGGATGTCGTAAACCAGTAAAACCTCCCGGATGCAGGACATCTCTAATCGAGGTGGTTTAGGATGGATTAGCCAGATACTGCTTTTCGGGAGCGGCACAGCTGCACCAGCACTGCGGGCGTTTGCTCGTTCGGGACGTCACAACCAGACTGCGAAGTCCGACTCAAGGATGATGCTTGATGGATGGCTACAAGGAACACGTCGATCCTGGTTCATTCCATTGCCGATCTTTTGTTTGGTAAGTTAAACTCAGTACAGACCTCACAAAGTCACAATTGCTACAAGAACGCGGGGAAACTCGTACTATCGATAGACAAGGTTCGAGACGCAAGACAAAGAGTGACAGATGCATGTGAAAAAACATTGCCCTTTAGATGAGCGACTTGGATACAATACATACAGAGGATACTACCAGTCCTCGGCACCCTTATTGCGTAATCCTGTCCGCCCACCAGGCCTGGAGTCTCCAGCAGGTCTAGCCGAACAGCTTGGCGATATTCCCCAACTTCCTCCCCTTGTTTTAGAATGATGTCTGCTAATGCCTTGCTTCTTTCTATCTCCACGGGAAACCGGGTGTTCCTCCACTCGTCTAGTACAAACACTCCCCAAAGGCAGGGAGAAAGAAGGGAAGCTTCGGGTGTACCATCCTATATTTATCTTGCCCAATCATGAGGTTTCCCTGGCTTCGAAAAATCCCTTGTTTCCTGCCATGGTGCTTCCGAGCTTTCTGTATGGACAGTCGGTGTTGACACTAAGCTCTTCGACGGGAAAGATGCATATGTGAGATCCTTCTTGTGGTAAACCTGCTTTCAGGATGTGCTCGATCCAGGTGAATGCCATGCGTTGACCCTAGTAGGATGGCAGTCGCTAGGTTCTAGGATTCAACGAAGTCGTCTCATCGCGTCGGCACGCGGTTGAAGGTGCTGAAATGGCAGCGCGCGGGAATTTCGGTTCCGGTTTTGCGGATTAAACGCATATTCCCAGGTCGTGCTGCGATTGTATCCATACTTCCTCCACAGAAGCCTCCAGATGAGCTGGAGGGTGATGAAGAGAAGCAGAGGAAAGGTGGCCCATATGTCAGTGTTGAGTTCTGATGTGAGGGACATGGCCACGACCTCGACCTGAGCTACTCACGCTCCAGTGAATTGCAGTTGGGTGGAAATAGAATTCTGTAGAAGAAGGCTTGAGCAGGAATCAGAGACTACCACCTTAGCTAATAATAAGTTAGTAAAATCGCACTGGTCAACAAGGTGTACAATCCTGCTCTACTGTAAGGTGTCTCATACTATGCCGGTGTTGTACCTTCTCCTTCCTGCCTACCTCGAAGCCTTGAACTTTCCTATCTCGTTACGCAGGCGAAGTTCAAATGTACCTCAAGCTGTATCGTATTTGGTAGAATCTTACAATCAATGGTTGATTCTCGCACGAGCACACTCTCCTGTTCGCCGAAGTGTTGTATCCCGCAGGGCTCACACAGAATTCAGTGGATGAACGCAGGAAGTGACTGGTAGCAAGGGTGCAGGAGCTTTCGCTTCATATTGTAGATGTCGTACAGCGGATACCCGCATATGGCCCAACGCACGAGATTGAAGTTTGATGGTGTCTGTGTTACAAACATTTGTAAACGACCTTGCTTCCAAGTTAGAGACCATAGAATATTGGCACACACGAATGGCGTGTACGTCCACACGAACGACTCCGGAGCCAAGGTTGTGGAAGAGTCATCTTGGGCTAGTGGAAGAGCTACCAAATCTGTTCACGGTAATACGCAGGCTTTCGACTGAGAGAATGAACTCCTTGAGTTTCCCTTTGGTCACACCACGGACAGAAGTTTCCAAGTGCAGGTGGCTAGTCTGTCTCCTGGTTTTTGCTGAGTACGATGGATTTAAATGTAATTAGGTAAATATCAAACTCCAAGGAAACGTATTGATTTCCAGTCTATTTAAGAGAAAGTCCATCCGGAATGGACGGGATTGGTGACCTTGCAGTGCACCCCCAAGGTGTCGGAACCTCTCGAACGTTGCGTACTTTGCCTTACTACCTTTCTAAAGTTGTCGAATTCCTCTTTTATATGTTCTTTAGTTTAGTCATTACGTCGGTAGGCTTCCCCTTTCGGTAGGCTGGAGGAGCACGTCAAAGGTGAAGGACCTTCGATTGCTTCCACCCTGGATGGTCAATATCAGCCTCAACTCTGGTCCGACATATGGGTATCTACTTGATTTGTTCCTCTTCAGTTGCGTTAGGCTCGTTTATTAGTCGTTTGTTTAACTAGTCCGGATGCATTCCTACTCAAAGTTGATATTCTGAAAGATGCTTCCGAGTACAATGTGGTATAATCTTCGATACCGAACTGCGAAGTCCCTACACCAATACGATAGGAGATATTACATATAAAACTACAAAATTTCACAGGAATTGTCTTGGTCCTTGTGCTTGGCGGGCCTCAAAGATTTCTATTCCATGGGGATGTTGATCATGGGAATATTTAGCTCATCTAACCGTTCTTTGGCAGGGACCACTGAAGGGACTGATAGGAAGGAGACAGTTCTGGTACGGTTCCAATCCATTACCTGGAACAAAACCAATTCTATTTATCCAGCTACCATAAAAAATCATCCTGAAGAGAGTAATGAGAAAAGGCCTTCCCGACCAATTACCTTTTTCATCCTCAAATACTCTTTGGTACTAGATTTCTGCAATTTAGCTCTTTGGCTTCCTATACCCTAGTAGTCAATTATGGACCTGTCTCGCTATTTATAGAAGAGCATGACTATGGGCAACACGGAGTCCAATGAAACTCCTGAAGCTCCTGAAACGCCCTTATTGCTCCAACTTCCTGTCGAACTTGTCATGATGATTGTAGAAAATCTTAAGCTTCACGACCACCTTTTTCTGAGCCAAACTTGTTGGGACCTGCGGGCACTTCTAACCTCCTCGTGCACAACGGGGGTTGCTTCATTATGCCGGTCAGGTCGTGAGCGGGAGGCATTCGTCACAGGGCTCATTGGCTAGCAACCTGGCAAGTTGCTGTGCAAGGGTTGTAGACAAGAGAGGGAAGTGGATATATCAGACCTCCCAAGACCTCTGCCTAGGACGTAGCTTTTACGACTTTCCGCTCCACCGGGATTGCCGGTTATACAGCAGGCTCCACAGTTGAGGGGCGGACTATACCGTCTACCACCATCATGTCTAGGTGGCGCTTAAGTATGCGCTACGAAGCCTTGAAGCTACTACCAGCAGTACCTAGAGGCTATGCTAGCATCTCACCATCGAAATTTCGTCCACAACTACCGACGTACTTCCACGGAGTTCACTGCGGACCCGAGAGTGATCAAGGGTAGATTCATCCTCTGTTGCAAATGGACTATACAGGAGGAAGCCCACACTCCAGATCTTACGCTGTCGAGATTTCCGCATGTTCGGATCTGTCCGCACCTATCGGCCTTCTCGAGGCCTCAATCCCATCAAGTTGAACGGTCATTAAACCGAAGCCCAAGGATCCGAGCTCGAAAATCCCACTCCTGCGACGGCTGTTGGACGGATTATGCCGTGGATGCGTCTCCGAAGGTGACGACCTTTGAACCGTGGCAGGACTTTGGCACCGCTACCTGCATCCGCCCCCTCCAGGATTCTACAGCCCGGCATGGTGATGCAGAGGTCATTCCTTGCCAGTCCCCTCTTTTCCTCCGGGTACCATCTGGCACAGGTACATATTTGGGATGAACCCGAAAACAAAAGAGGACTGGAGACTGCTGAAAACACTATTTTCAAGTATAGGGCGAGAGTAAAAGGAGTTCGAATTTGTATAGGGGATTTCCTAGGTCCAGATTCTCGAAAATTATCTGCTCTAGAATCCATCGAGATGTATGTAGTGTTTCCTGTGTTGGGGGTTGCTGAGGACAAGCGCTGTTATCATAAAGCAGCGAAAGGGATATGAAACTGAGGACGTACATCGACCAAAATGAACCTGGGACCTTCGACAAATACAAATGAAATGGCATGTATTCCTTCAAGGACTTCCACCAAGGTCTGAACTGATTGTTTGAATGTAATCCTCACAAATGACATTGAGTAATCGGACATAAGTGGATCAATCTTCTGAGACAGGCGAGCATGTACTTATACGACCATCGTCCCAGAAACCATGCAAAGGACCATGAGATTTTCTTGGGCGATACGTATAAACCGAGACAGTCGCCTTGTCAATTCAATTCTATCCAATCATACACACGTTGTATGTTTCTAGGGATATCGCACGAAAACCCACAAATACGGGAGGAGTATCAGTACTGTCCGGGAGCCCGGTCCTCCAGCAATGCATGAGCTACGCGAGGGTACGCAGCAGCAGATGATCCGCGGCGCCGAAAGTGAGATGGGACCTGAAACCTGAGACACAAACGGATCGCGCATCCCACGCGTCTGGTTGGATGTTGCGATGTTGGAGATCTCCTTCAATGAGCATATACTTATGCACTCCGCACGCCACCCCCAAGCTTGCTCTTCCAGGTTGCACGTACCGATGGAAAAAGCACGTCTCCAAGAACTTTTGCGAAGGCTGCACCACGTCGTCCACTGGTTGCGCCCGGCCTGCGATACATCTAAAGATAGGATAAATTGCAAGGACTTTGTGACGCCGAGGGGATCCCCAGTGATCTGATTTATCTCCTGGATGTTGACCCTACAACAGGCATTAAGCTTACGATGCTGAGACTATAAGGTAGCTTGTAGCTATGCACACTCGGGTAGTGAGGAAGAGACGCTGCGACAGGAAAATAAGAACGCAAGTAGAAAGGAGCAAGCACCTGTACGAACCATCCAGATACCTGTAGGCTTTCCTTGAAACACCGTTTGGCTGAAATGGCAAAAGTCCCCCCAAGCGCTGCAGATATGCTCTGTACCATGAATCTACCACTCTAAAATCTTGCTCTCACCATTGTTCACATCTTGATAACTGGTATATAATGGATCGTTCCCCGCATTATCGCCGTTGTCCGCGTTGTGTTTCGCTTCGGTTTTGAGCGCTTCCTCAAGGCTAACGATCTTCCTCCGGAGTAGCCATGCCACCACTCCGCCTCCTATCTTGACCTCGTCGTGCGTTGGCATCCAATAATCGGCCTTTAGAATCCGTTGCGTTGCAAGCGCGTTATGTCCGCCTAGATTGAGTTGATTTGTCGGCCGGAGAAAAATATCGTGGAGGCCGTGAAGGAGACACAATGCTTTGAGAGGCGGCGACGCGGAGGATAGAATCTCAACGGCACTGCTATGAATCCCATGTGGCGTGTATAGGACAAACGGCGTGACAGCTTCATCATCTGCTTTAGACGACACCGAGGAAGGCGTGTGTAATCCTATTGAGGTAGTTCTCGTTTTGGTCGAAGTTGTATCGGGATGTGTTGGAGGTATGGAGAAAGCAAATAAGAGGGCCGAGTGGTAGTAGAGTGCATCGTCTTCCTTTTCCACGCGACATATCGCAAGCCATTCGGGGAGAGGCGGCAGGCTTCCGACCTGGTAGTCCGCGGCAGGGCCCCGTAAACGCGGGATCTCCGCTACAAAGTGGAAATGGTCCCAGGATTTGATGAGATGGAAGGCATTCTATACATCGCTGTGAGCCTGAAGTTCAAAGTCGGAGGCCCAACTCACCGTCGCCGCGAAAACTGGCACCTCTCGATCGAGCTGCAAAAGGGTCTCTTTGTGGCAGTGGTCTGTAAACTCATGCGATATGGCCACCACATCAATGACGGACCCTCCATTCCATATATCATCGTCCTCCACTTCGGCCATGGACGAGAGTGTCCTTCGACCTCGAGACAACTTCCTCCGCTTCCCTCCCAATGATGGACCCTCCAAGGCTTCCTTCATATCTCTTGCCTTTCGCGCGAATGTCTCCACTCTCATCACCAGCTCTTCCACTTCTAGTATGCTCTTGACCTTGCTTGGTGTCGCGTGCCATTGCCGGCTAAACCACGACGCGACGTCGCTCTGTGGCCCGTCCAACCAAGGGTCAACCAGGATGTTATAGTAGACGCGGCCACCGTGTCGTCGTGCCGAAGCCGGTCGCGGTATTTGAAGCAGCCATGATGAGTCTGCGTTCAGGTGGTGAAGGAGGGGCTGCGGCTGCTGAAGGCTTTCGATGATAGCGAAGGAGAGGTCGTCGTTGAGTTGAACAGAAGGAGAGTCGGGGATGGTGTCGTGGTCAACCATCGTCAAGTGTAAGACGTTGGGAAGCAACGGAAGCTCTGGAATCACAGTATCATTGCGTTAGGGGTTGGAGTTTGAAGTATTATTTTGTAAATGGTTTACAGTTGACATCATTGGAGTTCAGGGTGACCGGCATCTTGATGGTCGTGCTTTCCGAACCGTTTGGACTTTTGATTTTGGCTGGCGATTTGGGAACAGCAATTCCGTCGAGTGCATGATACTTTAATATTTATCAAGGACCCTAAAAATCAGAATAGGTACATGCTCAAGTTATGGACTTGCACCGATGGATTTTGATATTGGTACTGTATTATCTGGAAGGGCGTTGGATAACTGAAGGGCTAGAAAATAGATGGATTGCGACGACTGGCCCCTGAGCTTGAAATCAGACAACACCTCTACCGAGAACGTTGTAATATATGATATAGCCTCCAAGACTCTTTGAATTGTGAGGTGGACATCTATGAGGACACTCACTATCGTGTCGTAGCTATTTGATGGCTCCTCTTCAAAGCATTGTACCCCGTAACGTAGTCCTGGTAAGGAGTGCCTAGGTATTATACAAAGCGTGATACGTGATGGCGTAATGATCGTGGAGCTGTGCCTTTCTCAAGCTTTCTTTGTTCTTCTCGCAGACAGCTCAACCCATGATCAAATCCCATACACGGGATACCCAATGTCGTTATATAAAACCACGGGCTGATCGACCCTTCCTTGAATTTCCAAGGCGCAACGAGCCTTGGCTTCCCCGGTGCATCCCATTGTTTCAGGCTGTCTCTGGGCGAAGAACCCATCTCTTTTCGGTGGCCTTTGGCCCAATCCGTTCCGCGACGAGGTTGAGTGTGTTGATGATCGCATCCTTGGGTATCTTCGGGAACCTGGGCGGCGTAAGCTCACTTTATTCAGAGCTGCTGTCTTTGAACGTACCTCTTCTTCAAGTCCTCAACAATAGCTATTTTGGTGAGGTCGCTTCCTTCAATGGCCTGTTTGAACTCAGGAAGTTGCTCTGACCCAACTAATCGTTTCTGGCCTGGCGCAGCGGACAATGCTTTGGCGCCTATAGATTTTGTAGGTATTGGGCCGGTGTTCGATCCATTAAGGAAGGAATTTGGGCGGACTGTAAGAGGCAATCGAGGTGGATCCATTGACGATTTACCCGATGAAAGTTTAGCGAATAGAGAAGAGCCTGAGGCCGTCGGCTTGGGCGACACCTTCTCCCAGTAAGAGACTGAGTATGGGTCGATAGATGCCGGTGGAGGGACTGTTACTCATTAGTGAAAGTATCTCTCGGCCCTGGTAGGGAACGTACCCATCAATACACCCATTTTGTATCCTGGGAACAAGGCGATCTCGTTGGTATCTGCGTTTCTGGAGGAGGCCTTCTGATCCTGCCAACATATGCCAGTTGAGACGGGAACAAGTTCTGTGCCCCCAAGCATAGCTCTAGGCTTCACGGGCTCAACTGCCCCATCATCGTCCAAGAACCCATCCATATCTTCTTCACCCTCTACCGATTCTTCGTCGTCATCGTTCGACGCAAGGTCTTCCCCGTCATCCGCCTCTTCCCATTCTGCTTCCGAGTCGTAGTCGTAGTTGATGTCCGGTATGCTCCTGGATGTTGGATTTCGGCAGAGTTTTAGAGCAAGCGACCGGTCCTGCACACGTGTGAAGGTCCCGTAGTATGGTGGTCTGACATCCTCCCCAAAGTGAATGTACTTCATGGGAATGGATTGGAGGGTCTCCAGAGGCGATCGTGAGGCTTGCAACGAGCACTCGCTTGTCAGATCAACCGGTTTCATAGCGGAACCATTAATTTCAGCCATGATATCCCGAACCGAAGGACTCAGGTTCTGAGACGGTGGCCGACGGACAATGTTGAAATCCGAGCAGATCCTTAACCACGTAGAAGTTTCTGTAGGCCGCCTGCTGTACTCATCCATCCGGGCCCTAATTTCGGGTAGCTTGTCTGGCGGCGGAAGTTGAGGGTTATATGGAGCTAATATTGTATTTGAAGGTGGGAAGTACGACAGAAAGAACGCCTCATAATCCGTAAGAGGCTTTCTTGACGATTTGGGTGATCTTCCGGCACCGGATCCTTTAAGAGAGTCTATCGGGTCGATAGACAATGACCTTCTCGTGGCAGCTTCTTTCGTGATGTAACGGTGTTTCTCAGGACTCTCGTGGAATGGTTTCGTAGCCTTCGGCCCGATGAAGAAAGCATTGAGGCGCAATTGAGACTGGAACTGTCAGCAACGGAGTATCTGACATTCAATATTAACTCACCCTCTCCTTTTTCTGCTTCTCCTGCTCGGCTTGTAGTTTCTTAAGGTCCTTCTCGCGCCGTTTCTCCTCCAATTCTTCATGTTTCTTCCGCTTCTCTTCGTCCCTCACGCGTTTCTCCTCGGCTTTCGCCCTCTTCTGCTCTTCCTTCTCCCGAGCTCTCCATTCCTTTTCAAGCCTCTGGGCCTCCTTCTCTTGGGGCGTCATTTTCCGTCGTTTTGCGGGCGGCTGACCAGATTTGGCGCCAGCACTCAGCTCAATGGTTGGTACTGGGGTCTCTGAAAGAGAGGTCAGAGTGCTAGGGGCCGGTGAGCCACGACTGTCTTCTCCTGACACCTCAGGCGAAACTTGTAGGGCGGCGTTCGTAGGGACGGTAGAGGGATCCGCGTCGAAGGCTCGCTTCTTCGAGGGAGTCAATGCCTCGACCGTCATCTTGGAGGCAATTCGTGAAAGATAAATTCCTGTTACCTCACGTTGAACAGGACGGACGACATTCGTATGGGGTATTCGATCAGTTGGCGGAGTTCTGGATGGGAAGTGGCATAGAGGTGTTGAGGGAGTGTTCGGGTGGAGGTGGAAACGGGAAAGTGTCACCGTAGCGGTCGACGCGTGAGTGGAAGTCACGCGTCTTGGGCTAATCCTGTTTGAGCTAGCGTGTTCTGAAACACTCAAAGTTGGTCTCAGGTCAACACTCAAATGAATTTCTCAATGTCTTAATGTTATGGAGACGGGGAACATTTCACTTTCACTTAATTAATAGCCAGAGATGACATCCTGATTGTGTTTCGTAGATTGCACGAAGACAATCAAACAATACATGGACACTACGGGCGCTGTGCCAGCCATTTTCCTCCAAATTTCTGTCATGTCTCTAACACTGAAGGAGGCATAATGAATATGGAAGATGAGATGCTGCTCGTCTCATCTCCTAGTCCCGGCTATCATGTTCCCGACCATCTTCTTGAGAGCACAAGTTGTGCAATAGATGAAGACGATATGCTGCTGTTCTCTAAATCAGCAGATCCTCTAGTCAAGGGGTCTTTCGCTGAACCGGACCTCGATGGACTTGATGGTGAGCCTAATCAGAGCGAATCTTCGCGAATGGACTTGGATCCCATAATACAGCCTTTGGATCTTCGCGATGAAGCTCTTCTCCATGTCTCCAACGATGATGCTCAGGGTGAACCTTTGCGGATGGACTTGGAACCCGTGATACACTCGTCGGATCTCCCTGATGACGCTGTTCCCCACGTCTCCAACGCTGATGCTCAGGATGAATCACCGATTTCGGACGACAATTCAGACTCCGTTTGGAGCTCACAAAACACCTCTTCTTTTGCCTTTAGTCAGGACAATGTCTATCACGGAAGCATCTGCAGCGATGAAGAGGCTTTACTCTTCGATTCCCCGAGTTCTTTCTTCTTGCATTCCAAGTCTCCTGCTTCTGAAAATAACGCTCATTCGTATGAAGCCTCCGAAAACCACCCCGAAATTCAAAATCTTCTACGGGCCATGAATCAATCTCTAAAACTTTCTTTGGGGGTTACTGGCGGAAGCGTGGAGCAATCGTTATCAGTGTCAGATGCTGCTAGCCCTGTGGAAACCGGCACTGCGAGCACCTTCTTGCAGCTGCAAGACGGGACTCATGACCACGACGCTGTCGCGGAACGAATACGCAGCGTGCTCAGTGGCGTCGCCCTCCAGAATTCGAGAAGTGAATCCCCTTCAATATTCCTAAAGAGCAGAAAGGAGCCTCAACAAGGAGACACAAACAACGCAGATCCTCCATCAGGCCTTGCCAATCAATTGTCATACAGAACAATATGTCTACGCACATCTTCGCTTCCTAGAACGGAAAGATTTGGTGAGATAGGTTACAGGCTATCGTTGGCCAGCGCTAATTTCTCATCCAGTCACATTAGTGCTGGTACTCTCGCAAATCTTAATGTGCATACAGGGCAATATCGTCCTGTCGAAAAGGTCAGGGCAAACCTTGATTGGTGTCTTTTGTTGGCTAACCGGTGCTTAGAGACATCTACTACCGACATCCGGACATCTTCCGAACTCAATCCACCGTGGATCGTATCATCGACGATGTATCATTCTCTCTGGACGTCCCTCGACACTTGTTGCATATTGTCTGTACCCACTCCTGCGCCAACACATTGGTACAGCTAACGTGGAGGGTTACTTATAGACTGCCGCAGCCAAAGGTCTGGCTCTTGGAGCTTGCAGACTCGAAAGCGGCTTCGGAAGCAGTTCGAAATTTTCCAATAAAGAGGTATGATGGTGCTATAGATTGCGGCATTCACGCACAAAGCAATTTGCTGATCCGCTTGTGAACTATAGGGCACCTTGCTCCACCGAGTCAAAGACAACGAGGGGCTGTATTGCCCCGATGTTAAGTGGATCATTGTTGTTGAGAAAGAGGTTTGCAATGGCTCAAGTCTTCTACAGCCTATGTCTCACCTCAGCTAGGCTTCCTTTCGTTCACTGGCAGAGTCATGGCTGGGGTCTATAGCAATCCAGGAAGGGCTAATCATAACCGTTTGTCATCCTATCTGACTTTGGCTCATATGCTAAATCAGACAGGCCAAGGGCTATCCGGACATCGCCACTCGATCATTCCTTCGGAAAGTAGTGGATGTCAAAAGTCAGTGCGGAGATGGCACCGTGCCAACGTATGCCCTTGTCGATTTCGATCCCGATGGCATATCGATATACCTGACCTACAAGTACGGCTCTCGAGCTCTTTCTCATCTCAACAGTGAGCTCAACGTAGCATCTCTACGATGGATGGGGCCGACGGGTAGCGATGTCGTCGCGTCAGGCGCCGAGCATGGTGACGATCTGCTCAGCCTCACAGAACGCGACCGACGAAGAGTGAGGTGTCTATTGGGGCGAAAAGAGCTTGACCAAGACAATACCGAGCAGGATCTGAGGAGAGAGTTGCAGGTTATGTTGCTCCTCAACGTGAAGGCCGAGATACAATGCTTAGATCGTGGGCACAAGGGGGTTGCTAATTGGGTATCAGAGCGCATGAAGCAGCGATAAAATACCATCAACCAATATTGAATGCTCTCAAGTTAACCCTTGGCACGAATCAGCTCACCACATAGGGCGTCGAACTCCATCTGGTCGGCGGCTGCAGCCGCACGTATCTTCCGCTGTTGAGATACCTCAGCGGGTGACCAAGTAGCGTTAAATCTTTCGACTCCATCGACAACATAACCTCGAATTGAAGTCAAAACCCAGTCTTTCTCTATACGATCAATTTGTCGACTTCGTAATGACGCGAGCGGTGTAAATGAAGAAACGTATTGCGGCGTACGCGACCCTCGAAGTGATTGGGACCTGTTGCTCATAACACACGCGAATCTGGGACAGCCGGTGTTTGCACCCTCGTAAGTGCAGATGCCCCCGTCAATATTAAACCCTTTCTCCAAAAGCACTTTCACCCGTGCCATGAACTCGTCATTCGACAATGGGCGGCCTGGAGAAATCCCCTTCTCGTAAGCGGTGTGCAACAGGACTGTGGTATATCTCGTGTTGATCGACTCCCAGCGAGACGTATATAAAGATCCTCGAGTTCCGGTAGTTTGGATCTCAATGCTTGTACATTCCATTCCGCGGTCCCGAAACGCTCTGCTGCTTATGAAGAAGTCGGATTCAGACTACTCCAACACAAACTCCGATTTTCGATCGCGTAAAACCACCGATGGCTGTTTCTCAAACAGCGACGCATATCGGACGTTGTCCTGGACATCGATATATGATGTCGACGCTCGCCAGATGCAATCATTCAGGGTTTCGATTGCCCCACAAATCCCGTTGCGATCATGCCCAAGGAACGGTATTGTTTCTGGTCCATCCTCCTCCCAAATGGCACAGAAGCGGTTCTTCCCTCGGTACCTGTAACATGAGAGGTACGAGAATGTCACACCTTTCGACCTATTCAGATCACCTAACGCTCGAAATCCGCCAGTCTTCCGCGTATGGTCCTCCGGTATCAGTGCTCTAGTATCCATTTCTTCTACTGCCGACCCCCAGTCAGGCATGGCGGTGAAATTAGATGCTGGAGATGCAATTCCTTGGCCTGGTTGAAGGTTCGTATACGTCGATGTCGCCTCAGCGTATCGAGGTGGAGGACCATGGCTGGACGGCGCCAGACCTTTTGATGAACACTGGCTATCTTTCTCCCTGAGCAGTGCAGTGTTGATACCCTGCAGCTCCCCCACCAGCGTTGTAATACCCGACCTCGACGAGAACCACCGGAGTGGGCTAGTCCGACCCATGGCTTTCACCTTCTCGTCCAAAATAGGCATTAACTTTGTGCACGCGGAAAATAGAGGTCTCAGTGAATCCAGTTCAGCGTCGTTCATGTCCTGTTGAATTGTTTGGAGTGTCTCCAGCACGGCGTGCAATATTGTTTCTAGTTGTTTGGCTTCCGGAAGAGTCTTCGACGCTGAGGTTGACTGGATTTCTATTTCAAGGCGTGAACAGTTACTGATGAGCAAATGCAAGGTTCCGCTCGTCGCCATCGTTGCTTGGTGCAAAGTCACAATTCAGTGGTGTACGGTATACTAACACCCTTGATTTCAGAAGAGGATGAAATGTTTCAACAAGCATGCCCGTCCAGGTTCAATTATAGCGATATTCCGACTAGTTAGGGCATGATATCTTGCTTTGAGGAAGGCAGTGCCTTTCAACTTGGCTCCTATCCAAAATGCTGTTCTGAGGCGGAGCAGTTCAGCCTTGACCCTAGCCAAGCACCACTGGAATGGAGAAAGCAAGCGACCCAAAAACGACTCCGAGGCATGTGGATGTAAAATTGGTTGATATAAATTCGGGTTCTCCTCAAAATACCAGTAGCCAAGTGCCTGTATTACAGCTCTGAAACGCTGCATGTCCGAAGATGACATCCGGGAGAGGTTGCGACTCGGACTCGGACTCGTCTGAGACCTGCACTTCAACCACCATACGACCAAGTCTAAGTTGTGGAGGAGCATACTGAAGAGGTACGTACCGACTGTACGTTTCAATGGTCAAGTTTTGTCAAAAAGAGCTGGAAGCCCGAGGATGCAGAGCGGAACCGCTGGCGGAGTTTGATCTACTCAGAATTCTTGTCTCCTGCTCCCACATGGCATGACTGAGCACCTTGATGTGATTCACGCCCATCTGCGATTGCTCGAGAGTTATGGTCGCTGGTGCTCGGACACTTGCAACATTGATATGTATCCAATGGGGGGTACTGACGGCGGTGTGCTTCCAAATCAACAGATCACACCATCAGGTTCTGGCCCGAGGGGTAGTGTCGTTCTGTTACTACTGCTCGCTTGCGCTGTAGAGGTTGACCCTGGTGTGGCTTCAATATATTCGCCAGCGGGGCTGCTAGCCACATTCACAACAAACATCATTCGATGTACGTACAATATGCCTCGGTGCATGGTATATTCTCTCCCAATGACCTGAATCAACATATATGTACAAGGGTGATGTCAGTACGGCCCTGACCGACGACGAGGGAAGAGTAATATCCTATCCCAGGATTTCGGTATCAGGATGCTCTCCTGATGGAATGACATTTGCCCAAAAGTCATGCGAATGGAGCTCATACTTCCTATCTCTTAGGATAAAGAAGCATATAAAAGTAAGGTCAGTAATGAGCATTCTGGACTCCAATTGCAAAGATATTCTCGTGCAGTCAATTGCGATACTGCGTTACACTTATAGATTCACCTAAGGACATTAAACCAATACGTTCGTCGCCACCAATCTCGTACCCCTGGTGAATCCATCCGCCATGGTCGACGTCCCCTACATTTTCCCTAACCAAGGGGTTCCCGCTCCCCATCTCCCCCACATCCACCTCCCGCACCACAACCCTCACTCCCTCGACTATCACCCTCATTCCCGCCCCTCCGCCCGCGTCCCGCTGTTCGACCTCCGCGAATCCAGCAAAGCCTACTTCCTCGAAGGCGAGTTAGCCGGCGTCACAGACGCCGGCGCCGTCCACATCGAGTGGCTGGATGACCGCACCTTGCTGGTGGAGGCCGAGGTGCTCGGCGTCGATTGGACGAAGGAGTGGGAGGAGGGCGCGGGAAAACCGGCCGATGGAGGGAGTGGAGCGGCGGAGAGCTCGGCTGCCGCCGCGGCGAGAGGCAGTACGGATACGGGGGGTACGAAGGGAGACAAAGAGCACCATGAAGATGTTCCAGTGGTAGAGGCCGCTCCTGCTGTTGCGACCACTGGTGGGCTGGGTGAGGTGCGGCAGTGGTTGCATGAGCGACATGTCGGGCATCATAAGAGGCAGTTCACGTTCCCAGTGCAAGTCAAGCATAAAGGAGTGTCGGCGCGGCTAGGGGGCGGATTGCTGAGGGTTGTGGTGCCGAAGCAAAAGGAGGAGCCAGCAAAGAAGGTGAGGAAGGTTATAGTGTTGGGTCTTGAAGGAGTGGAGGTCGGCTTGAGAGCGTAGAAACGTGCATGTATGGTTGCAGTGGTAGTGGGAGAGACGACAGGGAAAGGAGGAGAAGATTGAAGTGAGATACCTACAGTGCAGGGATATGAAGGAAGTTAAGCTGGAGACTGCTTTTCGCAATTCATACTTAATAATCGTTATACCCCTTAACCAAGGTCAATTTTAGATGTTGAATTTGCAATTATTCCTCGACGTGTTGAAGAAAGCGCCTGAGAGGGCAATCCTAGACTCTAGCAAAGGAAGCGCCCTGTCGTGATTGAAGGGAGATCAACTGCTTCCGCGGGTGCTAAATATTAACCGCGACTAGGAAACAAACGCTATACGATGAGGACCTTGACGATAAAAGGTGACTCTGATCGCTCTTCAAACTGACTTTCGTGGAAAAGCATTGCGTGGTTAGGGTATCCGAAAAAGAAGAATGGCCTGTCTGGCCATGAATCACCACTCCAAAAAGAAAGAAAGAATTAATACGCAGCCATGCGCCTCTCGTCGTATCGTTGCTAATCATGTCGTCGTGCCTTTCCAGCAGCGGGCCGGATCATTCATCATTCATCATCATCATCGCTAAGAATAATGCATTCCGACACCATGGCCCTCTTCGACGAACTCGATGAGGGTCTGGCCGAATACCCTCTCTTTGGTTCCACCGAGCCCAGGAGTATTCCCTTTCCCTTGCTTTTACGCCGCTCATTATCCACTTGAGTATTTTGGGTTCTAGATGCCACCTCCCACGACCCATCCTCCTTGATCACAATCGCTTCTGCCGATTCCGCCACCTCCTTCCCTCGGCTCTCCAGCTCCACCCTCACGTCGCTCAAGAATTCATCGAGTCCCATATTCTTTGGCCGCACATCGCTCTTGCATATCGGGCACCGCCAGATGTCGACGCAGGCGGGCCAGTTCGGATGGTCGCGCGTGGCGATTTGCAAGAAAGCGGGGAGGTCGAACGCGTTAGGGTGTCGACAGTAGCGGCCACGAATGGGGAGTTTGCAAATTCGCGACTGAGAAATGGGGTCGCGGAGTGAGATCCGCAGTGACGATGTGGTGACCATAAAGTCGTCGTCTTCGGTATCTTTGGGGGACAGATGCCTAGATACTGCGGCAACGAGCTTGGACTTGGTGTTTTCGCTACTTATGCGCCGGTGAACAACAACGGAAGTGCAAATCTCGTTGAACGTGGTAATGGTGACAGCTTCAACCCCGAATGCCCAACGGATGGCAGTAGGGGAAGCAGCAGTCGGGGTGGGATAAATGTTGAAGCACGCTTTGAGCTTGTTCTGGCCTTGTTTGAGGTGAGGCGTGAGATCAATAGGGAGATCTTTTCCCCAGTGAAATTTGCGACGCGGGAAGATGTCGACGTCGTTGATCAGCATGTAGCAATTGGACGGCCATGTCGTGTCCGCTGTGATCCACATCCGCTCATCGAACGTGATTGCCTCTGCGTTTTGAGGCAGTTCGATGCAGCGCAAACGGAATGTCTTTGAGTCGGATCTTAACTGGCGCAGCGGACGCTTACCTGAAGCCCCAGGTATATCTTTCGGAATCTTGGCGAAATCCTCAGGCGACAGGTCGAAGGTGAAGTCGTGAAGGATCTTATCCGCTGGATAGGCCTGCGGATCCATGGCAAACCCGCTGACCACGCGGAATTGATTACTTGGGGTCCTCGCAGACTCGTTGTCGACCGGTCCGAGCCTCGGACTTCGTAAATGAGCCTCTTGAGCAGCCGTCACACGCGGATTTGCTACCGCTCTTCGAGCAACCATTTGGCCGGCAGTTGGGTAGAAGGGTATATCCCGCCTTGGATTAATCTGCCCGCCGACACGAGCAATTGTATTCTGCGGTCGCTGAGGAGCTTGGTTGCGGGTCAAACTCGGATTTTCAAGAACAGCATTCACAGGTGAGTTTTGCAGTGGGTTCCGAAGTGACGGTTCGGACATCGGTGGATGAGTGAGTTGCGGTGCAGTATTCGTATTTGAATTTGCTGTTGAGTTCCGTGGACAGGAAGGGCCTCGAGTAGCTGAATTTGAATTAGACAGCCTGTGGAGGGTGTCATCAGTTGCTCCCAGCCGTTCGGAGACGCCATGTAAGGGGTGATTCCATAGGACTGACCCGTTGGAACTGTGAACCGTTGGGGGCTGCGTCACTTGGTGGCTCGCAAGTGACGGCGCGATGTGATACCTCATTCGAAGTGCATTATACACGGACGCATGTTTGAAATATTCGTGCGCTGCCTCTGGAGCTGATAGCGCTGGATCGTCCCGTTGACGTCGTTTGAAGTGCTCCAGCTGGTTCTTCAGGAAGACATTACTTAATGATTCGGTATTGGCGTCGGGGGGAATATTCCAGATGTGGTGCGCCACCACCTGGAAGACAACATACTGAAGCACAACTGAATGGATACATAAATTCTCCACTAGCTCGTGCACTAGCGGCGGGAATGACCGTTCCCTACAGCTATCCACCAGCTTGTGCAACTCCAGGGGAAGCTTCGAGATAAATTGCGAGATTAAGTCTAGTTTATCGATGAAAACTCCAGGCGACTGTACAAGGAGGGTGGAGAGGGGGCACGGGAAGTCAGCCAGCTGGCGGAGCAACTGTAAATTGAACCCCGAATCCGAGAAGAGAAGCCATCCCTTGACGATGGATAATGCAGGCCGGAGATTCGGGATCTGAAGTATTCGATAAGGTAAGTCGGCACGAATGACGTCCATACTTACGATCTGGTGGAGTAAAAGGTACCACCAGTCGTATCGGTTAATGGCTTCGCTCAAAAACCGGACTCTTAGGCCATCCGATGGCCCGATGTTCTGGATACCGACCGCTCTCTCGATTTTCCGAAGCCTCTCCTGGACGGCATTGGGGTCCCAATTAGGGACAGAGGAAACTATCCGTGGCTGCCCGGCGAGCTGTTCTCTCTGCGTCGGAGTTTCAATTTCGGCGTTGTTCGAGGAAGATCTCGGCCCGACCGCTCTTGGTGGGTCTCTCCGAACGGTGGGCGAATTGTGCACTGGATTCCGCTGCCTGTCCGGGAATTCGAATAGGTGAATATCTGTAGGTTCGACCGCAGCTCGTGATTGGTCTCCGACGACGACGGTTGTGTTATTGGTGCGATTGTCTACACTGGCGGAAGCGGCACTTCGGTCGGCAGGGAGACTCTCCAATCGCACGCTCGATAGGCCATTTTGCTCGGTTGGGAGAATAACCCCATTGCTCAAGGCTGGAGACGGTAATGGGTTTGGGGCGGGATTTTCAACCTGGCCCTGTTGCGGTCTTGTCCCTTTAGGGAGTGTGTGTAGGTAAGCTGCTGGGGATAAGGATTGTACTGGCGGGGGGTCAGGTTGCCTGTGTGACGACGATTCGGGGACACTAATAACGGGGCGTGCGACGCCCACATTCGACGAGAGATTTATCCCGCCTGGCCGTTGCGTGGGAACCACGGAAGACGGATTGACATCTTCAGATCCCGTGAGCTGAGCAGATGGAAGCGGAGGAGGGTGATGTCCCAAGGCAGGGAAAGGAGCAGCAGTCCCCGTCAACCAGTTGTAAGGCCGTCGGACAGTGGGCCCCAGGAATCGGTTCAAAGTCAAATTCGTGTCGGCAAAATCGGTAGATGTGCCATCGTTGTCGGATATTCGAGAGGAGCGGGACTTCCGTTTTGCTGGCATTTTTAAGAGGACGACAAATGCTGTCCGCTCACGCCGGTTGTCACCTAACTGGGTAGTCAGCAAGGATCACGATGGAATAACATCGCGATCCTGTTCGGTACAGAGGTACAGAGTACCGTATCTGGTCTAGGTAGTCGAGTAATAGGAGGACTATCGAACGTGACGATGCAGAGTTTCGATATTTTCCAGTTGCCGTTGGTAGAGGACTGCGATTTTTAGGGGACCTGAAGGAGGGGGGTAAAAATATAAAAAAGGGAAGGAACGCGTCCACGCGTGTTTCAGGACGAGGAATCAGCGAACCACCAGGGACGCCTTGGCGGCTATGTAGTACAGGATTTATATACGCTAACAATGATGAATTGTTGACTCGCGTGGAATGGTTGCGAGACATCGCAGGAGAGCAACCAATGAGGAGAGGTATAAATATCAAATAGACAAGGAGTCCCTCAACGACGAACGCGAGCCTTCATCTTTTCGACTGAATAGGACGACCGTTCATGGATGGGCGACTTGATTTAGAACCGCGAAGTAAAAGCGATAGCTCACATTGTTGAGTCCGATGCAGAACACCATTCTGCAGAAAATACTTCCTCAGAACTCTCCTTGATTGGCCGCATCTACGGTTACCCCCTATCGCGGGGGCGCATATGCGTAGGCTCGGGGCATCCCGATGCAGGTGACGATCAGTTGGGGAGCACCCAATGTTGCAGGTGGACATCACTGCATCGGCCCGATGAAGGTTTTGATCTATCCCTTCGTTCGAACTGTGGAAGCTGTCCAGTGTCCAATAGTCCAGTCAGAAGAAATACCGTTCCGGGTATAGTAGTTTATCTGTTTGGCTTGACTCTGAGAACTGAGGATCGCTAGGCACGTTATGCCGATGAATCCGACGCCACCGATGCTAATATCAAAGTCCGCCCCGGCACATGTGATCGGTGAAATCCTGCCCACCCCATTTAGGATCAATAGAATATGGAGTACGTTGGGTCCTTGGGGCATACTTATACTGTAATAGATCATACCGGTCAAACTAAGTATACTTCCGTACGGGACAGTACCAATATCAAAATCAACTAGAATCTCCAGGAGGATCTATCGTTGTCTTTCATGGTTGGGGCATCTCCAATCGGCATTCACCAACCAGGACAGCGAAGCAAGTGAGACACCGAGGAACGGACCTACCGATTTGCAGCTAGTGACGATAATACCGTACAGACTACGGTAGCTGACAGAACCACTTCCCGATAACCCGTCTCCCCACCACTCAGCTGTCAAATAGCGAACCTGACCTCAAGCGCTAACGTCCTCAGATTTGGGCGCTATTCACTCCGGGTTTAGCCCATTCTTCCACTCCCCAAGCTTTCCTGAAAAACGTGGAAATGTCCTGGTCTAGATTCGGTATGGGTTCGGTGCTGCAGAGCTCGCTGTTCCCCTGTATCCAAGCCGCCTGGGGGGTTCCGATCCAGAGCGTTCGGATGGTAGGTAGCAATACTTCTCGTACAGAAGTCCAAGGCAATTGAGGAAATCGGGGACCGGCTCGTCTGGCACGACCACAGATCAGGATGGTGAACGTGAACGTCAAGGTGACTTGTTCGGTTGTTCCTCAGTTGGCTGGTCGGGCGGCGTCCACGTCAGGAACGCAGCGTTCCCACTCGTTGCGCCGGCTGGGACCTTGACTTGGTGGCCCTCCACCGTACACACTACACACTACACACTACACACTACACACTACACTACAATGCACACCACACACCACCCACGGACTGTACCTCTGTAGTCTGTACTACCACCAGATCCACTACAGGCACCACTACAGGCACCACTCCACCCACCACGGCATCCACCATCCACAATCAGCCTCTTGTCCACGACACCTCGCCAAAACACTTGCATACTGTACCTACCTATCTACCTACTGCTTAATCCTGTCGCACCACATCGCTATCCAACGGTACTCACCACCTCCACACCGTTGAACTTGGTGTTCCCTCGCCTTGATTGAACTCGACCGCGCTCCCTTCCAATCGATCTCCGTCTAGATTCCCCTCGGTGTGCTGGCTGAGTGTTGGTCGCATCTCCGCATGTCCCCGCCACCCATCGTGCGACACGACTGACAAGCGACATGCCTGCCGCCGCCTCTTGACTCTCCTCAGTCCTCACCTATCGTTCGCCTACCTGGATCGGGAATCCCCTGATAGGATATTAGGGCAGCACGCCGGACTTTCGATCCGCGGACAAATCCACAAGAGTTGACATGACTATCAAGAGCGCCCGCGATCGCTTCCAACCCTCTCCGATTTGATTGAGAACGTATATATTCAGTAGCTTGTTCCCGGATCTTGGATTTCGTCATGGCCACTCGGGCTCAGCAGATGCAGAGAGCCCGCCCCGGCGACATCCTAATCGTTATCCGTACGTACGGCCCAATATCACCGTGGCGGACCCGAACGCCAACCCCACTCCTCAAATCTTGAGCGCAACCGGTGTGCTGACTTCCTGGGTATGCAGATGACTTCGAAGCGCGAACACCGGACGAGCTCGGTCTGTCCAAAGGTGATAGGATAGAGTTGCTCGTGCGGGACGATGATTTTGGAGATGGCTGGTTCCTGGGGAAGCACACATTAAACGGCTTAGAAGGGCTGTTTCCGGAGGGTAAGCGATCCGATTATTGACGGAGTCTTTGCGGTCCTGACGAAATGTCAAAGTCTATACAACTCCTTGGCCAAGCCAGCAGGTCACTCGAAATAGTCTTCCACCCCGCAAATCCGAACCCGCAGTTCCGGCAGAAGATACCGATAGCCACAACGAGAAGACGTTGCCGGTGCCACCGGAGGATACCCACCAAGATACAAGGGCTTCCGTAATGAGCACAGCTTCCGCTCCATCGATGAGCGGCGCATATCGGACGTCAACTGCCTCATCAACACCTCGAAGCATGGGATTGGCGCTCAAGGGACAGCTGAACAGCCCTGTGATGGATCAGACGCTGAGCGTGATCGACGAGCACATTACGGACATGAGCACTCCCAGGCACAGCTTAATCGGACGGGAAAGAAGAACAAATGATTCGGAAAGCGAATACAGCGCACGACTAGACCATCGCCTATCCTATATCAACGGCCACGAGACCGATGAGGAGGAGCACCCGGGCTATACAGCACAAGAGGTGTTGAATTGGTCTCCCGAGCGGGTTGCAGAGTATCTCGAAGACGTTGGGGTTGAGAAGAGACATTGCGAAATCTTTCAAGAGCAAGAGATATCCGGCGAAGTTCTGCTGGGGATGGATCAATCATCTATTTTCCTAAAAGAATTCGAGCTCGGATCCGTGGGAAAGAGACTGAAGACCTGGCATAAGATCAAAGCTATGCAAGAGGAGGTTTCACAACCAAAACAAACGCTGGCGGCTCCTTCAATCAACACACAACGCAGCATCTCCGATTATGGCACAACGGACGATTCAGTCGATAGCGACCGACCAAGGAGCATATCGACAAGTGCCGTTCTTCCCAGGATTCCGAGCGTACATGAAGGGTCGCCAAATCGACACCACCCATTCACACAGCCCTCTCAAAGGCCCGATCTCGCAACCCCCACCGGTCGAGGCGAGCACCATCGCAGGCCCTCCGCTGCCTCCGTCCGAAACATGAACCACAACCGGAGGCATTCGTCGATTGACTACGCTTCCGGAACTCCTCCTACGCCGGGAACACCCACACTCAAATCTGGTCTGGGATACAACAACATTGCTCACAAGAAACAAGGGTCCTTGGACAGGACTTGGACTATGAGCAGTCAGCAAACCCAATCGAGCACAGCGCTCGGACCCAGATCCGCAACTGCTGCGAGTCACGTCCACTCCGCTTCCACAGACGGGGCACCGTATGATCCGCTTCGCGAACTAGACATGACCGTTATGAGCGCTGGTGAATTAGATCGCGGTTACTTTTCGGGCGGTGATGTCGAGGGCCGAAAAGCCCGGAATGTCCTCCGAAAGCGAGAGAGTCCGTCGCATTCGCGTGTCTCCAGCTTCCAGTCTCAAGCCGGGAAAGCCACGAGAAAACGAAGCGAATCTGCACGGCAGGATCGATTTGGAAGCACCGACGACTCGTTTCTGGATTCCCTTGCCATGACGGCGCCAGCGATAAACCGACGTTTCTTCGGACCCAAAGCACACAAAGGCGAGATGGATTTATCGAAGCCAATGATCCCGGCCAGGGACACGAGGTCTCCCACCGTGACGAAGTTGGAGTACGGCGACTCCCCCAGCATCGATGCCATCGCCGCGTCCTCCCCCGTAGCGGAAAGCGACAACTCCTCCTTGGACAAAACGGTTCCCTCTCCTGCGACCTTCCGATCCAATTTCAATCGAATTAGGGTCACTGGTTTGCGTGCCATTTCGGACGCTGTCACTGGCAGCGAGAGGGCACTGGCGACATCCCCGGATAAGGTCCCTTCACCTCGCAAGGAATCTCCGCTGTCCCCTCGAACTGAAGCCAGCACGCCATCGGGGACGGGGAAATACTTCGATTATGACGATGTCTTAGCACAGAAGGCTTCCAATGATTCCTCGGGTGCTGGGACTCCGATACCCGTTCTCAGACCCCGTCGCAAATCGAAAAAGGAGACCAGCGCTTACAGTCGAGGACTGGAGAAGAAGTCGCCGGCCGAGCAGGTGGCAGGCTGCGATTTCAGCGGCTGGATGAAGAAACGCAGCAGCAACCTCATGACGACGTGGAAACCTCGCTTCTTCGTGCTCCGGGGCCGACGCCTCTCGTACTACTACTCCGAGAATGACACCGAAGAGAAAGGGCTCATCGACATCTCGTTTCACCGCGTGCTACCCGCCAATAATGAGCGCCTTACCGGTCTACACGCCACCCTTACCGGCGCCACCCACTCGCCTACCTCCCCTAATCATTCTCACCACCCATCCATCGACGCCAGCGACCCCACCAACCAGTCAACCAGCGCCCCCTCCACCAACTCTACCCCCACCATCGCCACCCTCGCCGCCGCGACCGTCTCCTCCCCCGCCTTAAAAGACCCCACCGGCACCTTCATCTTTAAGCTCGTCCCCCCCCGCTCCGGCCTCAGCAAAGCCGTCAACTTCACCAAGCCCACCGTCCACTACTTCGCCGTCGACAACCTCGCCACTGGCCGCCTCTGGATGGCCGCCCTCATGAAAGCCACCATCGACCGCGACGAGACCGCCTCCGTCGTGACGACCTACAAAGAGAGCACCATCAGCCTCTCCAAGGCGCGCGCAATGCGGCAGCGACCGCCGGCGCTGCGCGATCTTGAGGAGGGCGCCGAGAACAACGTGGACCCACCGACGGTCGGAACCGAGGGCTCCAAGCAGAGCATGGAAGGCGCCAGCGTTGCAGGCGACAGCAGCAAATCCAAGGTCGACTCCGGCGCCGGGTTGGGGATCGGAATGTCGCCGGGGACGCCGGGGACGATGACGGATGAGAAGGGGAGTATAACGACCGATGGGGCGAGCGTGGGGAGGAAGTCCGGGGAAGGGAAGAAGAGCGCGAGTTTGAGTGGACAGGAAGCGGGGTGATTCTACGGGATGCTTCGGTACCGGTCGATGCGTTTGAGAACGCCTGGCTGTTTTATACCCGATGTGCAGCTGTCCGCAGTCGCGGTCCCTCAGGGTGGGGATTGAGTCGGCTTCAAGTATCTGTCTCCCGTGGCGAGAGAAGCAGCGGCTTCTAGGAGTGGGATGGCGAGGATACGCACCATGCCTCGGCAAAGGACATACGACCGCAAAGATTTCAAGCGTTGTAAAGCTTCAAGAGATTATCACATCTATACCGCATCCGGGATGCGGCTAATCTAGTCCACAATCTATCAACAATTAAGATGCTGTGGTCCTCCCGCTCATCATAACTTCACTAGCATCCTGCTCTTATCTGCAATGATCTGATCCAACTCGTCATCCCACGGTAGCCGAACCTCCCCCGGCGGCGGGAAGCTCAGTTTATGATGTTCCACCGTGCAATAGATCTCCTTCCCATCCAAGCTCGTCAACTCGCCCCGCACCATCGCCGCCGACTTGCCGAATTGCATGACCTTAGCTTCGATGCGAACCTCGCCAGTGCGGGTGACGGGTTTCAGGAAGGATATGTTAATGACACGGGATATGCCGTGTGGAGCCCTTGGACAGTTAGCGACATGCCTGGTGTCAGACGTTGTGGGTACTCACGGCCAGAAACCGGGCCTCGAGACTGTTGCAATCGCGTGGCCAGTCGCGATGTCTATCCACCATCAGATTTCTTCTTTATGTAGTTGAATCGGATGCGCATTACCCATCACACTCGCCAATGCTCCGCCGAATGCGCTACCTGCTTCTTCTTAGCCTCACGCGCGCGGATGAATCCAGGGGTTCGCCCATACCGGCCAGATTGAAGTGAATCCCTTTAATCGGTATATGGAAGACCACTCGCATATGCTCCGCTTCAACGGGCTCTAGGTCTTGGAGCAACGTATGGTCGACATGCTACGGGTTCTTGCGCTCAGTCCCCGGTGGTCTTTCGGAATCCATCGGACCCGCTACTCACCTCCTCCCCGCCGTTTGCTTTCTGTTGGGCTTCGGCGATCTGTAATCTGGCGATGGTGTTAGGGGCTTCCCGTTCGTTTCTCAACCGGTTCTTGGAACGGGGATGGAGCGGCGACTTGCCTCTCTATCGAGGCTTTGACAGCTTTCATGCATTGTTCGGGGGTGAGTATTAAATCCTTCATGGTGGGAACTGGAGACTCTGGAGCGGATTCAAGGAAATTTCAAGACGTGGACGAGGGTAGAAGTAACGAACGCGCTGCAAGGCCAATGAAGTGTATACGAAAAGACAAGATACACCAACGTAAGACAGGCGGAGACAGGAAACGAAACAGGTACCAATTGCATGGCATCGACTACACCGTCGTCCTATAAGAAATCTGGCCATTTATTAAGGATCCACACTGAATGAACCGCTAGAAGCAGCCAAACCCTTCTTACTGAGCCGACTTTTATATAAAGATTAGCCATCTTTTACTATCCTGGCTCGGCTCTAGGGGGTGCCGCCTCATCTGATATAAGCCGCTCAGCAGAACCTCCTCTAGGGCGCCGGATTCTAATAAAGCAGATATACGCATTTATGGTTGGGAGCTAGTACAAATGAACTAACTGCTTATATATAAAGGCAGTACGCAATGAAGATGGTGAGACCCATAGATCAGCCTCCGTGGACGGGAGTTGTTTTCGGGCTGAGGTGAGGTCGAAAATTGGAAGACAAGGTATCAAACAAGAGATTAAATCCGAGGTATCGGCAATTCGATGTTTTCGAGAGCTCGAGGGAGGAGACTGTAAGATTCAGGAAATATCGTGAACAATACTCGTGATGATTGACAATGAACGTCATGGCTCAGCTGGAGTTTCTATTGGTCCAGGCCCTTGCATGTCTTCCAAATTCTAGAAGCTCCCCGGAAAGAGAAAAGAGCGCCTAAAACCAGTGCGCATGCAATACTACACATGCAATACTGTACATCCCATTCACTTCGTAAGCCTCCGAGTACCCGGTTAAGGATCTTACCTGTATCCTCCAGTCTTTATCATCCGGGTGTCAGAAATGGATGTGATTACCATTAATGCATCACCGTCGGCTGAGGAATTTACCCCGCTGACGGAGCATCAATCACAAACACCTGTGGCCTTCTATGGCAGCAAACCAGTCTTGCACTATAGCTCAAGCGGAGCCGTGGTGTTGATACCGCAGTCGGTTCTCTTCAAGTTCGACCAATTCGCCGCGCTCAACGATGGAGTATCAAGTGTCAGTCCCGTGGCCAACGGTGATGCGCAAAACGGGACCACAGAAGATGTCGAGACGAGAATACAAGACTTGGACATTTGGGTGACTTCGGAGTACGTGTACATGCGGTGATCGACCGATCAATACTAACCATGCTCTGCAGATCGTTGATCATATGGGCTCCCGCCACCAGAAAAGGCGTCTCAATCCCATATCCCACCATCGCCCTACACGCCCTCCAACGCGTCTCAGACCCCCCCAGCGCATCGCAAGGCGTATACCTTAGCCTTCACACCGTCGACATCAACCAGGCCGACATGGGCGAAGATATCGAGACCATCGACTTCACGCTCATCCCGTCCAACCAGAGCCCTTCAACTGCCGATGCATCCTCAACAGGAGCCGCATCACCGTCCGCCGCCGAGTCGCTTTTCGCGGCGCTCTCCACGTGCGCCGACCTCCATCCCGACCCTTCTCCAGACGATGAGGCAGAGCCGTCTATAATAGGCGGAATGGGCGGACTGGGGGGACTGGGCGGGATTGGCGGGCCACCAGGGGACGGTGGATGGATCACGTCGGAGAACATTGGGCAATTCGAAGACGCGGATGGGAACTTCGTGGGCTTTCAAGGGAGTGGAGGGGCGGCTGTTGCGGGCACCGTGCATGGCCGAGGTGACGAGGAAGATGAAGGGTTTGAGGAAGACGAGGCTGGAGAGGGAGCCGGAGAAGGGATGGAGGGTGGTGATGCGGGGAATAGGGGCGAGACAAAATGGAGGCGGACGGAGTGAAACGGGGCGTGTATGCCTCTCAAAACTGTTTACAAGGGATATGGTTTTGGGATGACTGGTTTGAAATATCGAGCGCTATGGGGGCGCTTCAAAGGTTCATGTCTAGATACCCCAAGTCTCGCAAATGGCATCACAACGGCCTATAGAACCCCTTCCCCTCATCAGGTTGGACAGTGTCGAACTTCCTCTCGTCAGGTTGGATGGTGTCGAACTCATCAGGTTCGACGGTGTCGGACTTCCCCTTATCCGGTTTGACCACGTCGAAATCGACAGTTCGCACATTACCGCTGTCATCGCAGTCTAAGCCCGATGCTTGCAAGGCCGCCCACCGCACGCCTGCCATTCCCAGGAATTGACCCTTGGGACCCGCGGTCATGGCGCTGCACGCGAGGATGTCGTCCATCGCCTTCATGCCGCCCGGCCCGTCTTGTAGTTCTCGCACCTGCTCTTGGACCATGGTGATCTTCTTTCGAAGGTCCGTCGTCAACGCCTCGGACGTATTGTCCCCGAACCAGGAGTTTCTTCCCGGAGGGAGCAATCGATCCACTTTGGAGAGGACGATCTGGTGCGGGACGTTCATCTCGTACAGAAGCTGAAGCAGATGCAAATCGGATTCCATGAGGAGTTCCTTGCTGCTAACCAGGACGAACACTCTCCGAAGCCTTGGTGGATCAGCTATTAGCACACTTCTCATAGAACATCCGGAACCATGAACACGCACTGTTTCCTCTGCTTCAAAAACTTCAATATCTCCCCTCCCCACGCATCGCGACTCCCAAACCCATAACCCGGCATATCCACCACTACCAGACCCCCCCTCCCAATCCACCTCTCCTCCACTAACTTCGGCGCCTTCCCCTTCCTATCAATCCACTTCCTCCTGGTCCCCCCCGCATCATCTCGATCCCCTCCCCTCCCCACCTTAAAGAAATTCATCTCCTTCGTCAACCCCGGCCGCTTGCTCACCTTCGCCAACGCCGTCTTCGCCGCCGCCGGGCCCGGTGGTCGGCGCATGAGCGCGTTCAGCAGCGACGATTTCCCAATATTGCTGCGGCCGAGGAAGGCGATCTCAGGGGCCAGCGAGTCGCGCGGGAGGGAGAGGAGTGACGTCGAGGCGAAGAGGAACGAGGCGGGTTGGCGGAAGAATTTGTTGACGTAGGTGAGTTGCGCGGCGTTAGGCGGGGTGGTATCGGTATATAGGCCGATCGACTCAGCGGTGACGGTGGGGTTGAGGACTTTCGGCTCGGTGGATTGCCGACTCGAGCGCATGGGTCGATAGCGGGCATGGAGGAGGTTGGACGTGTGGAGCGGGCGGCGCTCATGGAGGTTGGTGGGTGGATGGGGGGGAAAAGGCCGGCGGAGGATGCGCGCAGACCAAAGACGCCATGTTGTCATGTCTCGGGCAGATGGAACCCGCTTCAGACAGACATTGAGTACGCCTGAAGAGACATGTAATGCTAATGATCGTTCCGTAGACGAGAAGAAATAGTCGTGGTGACTGGTGAGTCCAAAGATGATGTCGAAATATCTGAGGTCCGAGCTCGAATATCGGAACTCATCACTCCTCTCACGACTCACGCGCCAGGACCACTCATTTACGGAGTACAATAATTGAAAATGAACATTTCATGAGTTCGCAATTCCCTACAAAGCGCATCGCCGTCCTCACAGGACACAATGGTAAAATACGTCATTTGAAAGACCTTGAACTCAGTTCTAATCAGTACATCAGGCCCCGTCCACGCCGTCACCTACTCCTCCGGACTAGGCCAATACGTACGTCTTAATCGACTACAGCAGCTTATACATAATTTTAACGTCCCCCAGATTCTCACCGGCTCTTCCGACCGCCTCGTCCGCCTCTACAACCCCTCCACCTCCCCCTCACCTGGCCCCATCCAAACCTACCACGCCCACGGCCACACCGTCCTCGACCTCTCCATCTCCACCTCCAACGCCCGCTTCGCCTCCGTCGGCGGTGACCGCCTCGTCTTCCTCTGGGACGTCGCCTCCGCCACTACCCTCCGCCGCTTCGGCGGGCACGTCGGGCGGGTCAACGCCGTCGCGTTCGCCGGCGACGACGACACGGTGCTGGCGAGCGGTAGCTTCGACGGGACGGTGCGCCTGTGGGACTGCAAGAGTAATAGTTCGCGGGCGCTGATGACGCTGTCAGAGGCGCGGGATGCGGTGGTGAGTGTCGCGGTGGTCGGGGCGGATGTGTATGCGGGAGGCGCGGACGGGCGGGTGCGGGTGTACGATGTGCGGATGGGGATGCAGTGCACGGATGTGGTGGGGGCGGCGGTGACGCATGTGGAGCCGACGAAGTTGGGGGAGGCGTATTTGGTAGGGAGCGCAGATTCGCGGGTGCGGTTTATGGAGCGGGGGTCGGGGAAGTGCTTGATGAGTTATAAGGCGGAGGATTATAAGAGTGAGGGGCTGCGGTTGCGGTGCGCGTTGGGTCCGGGGGAGAGAACGGTGGTTGCTGGGGGTGAGGAGGGGAAGATTTGTGTATGGGATACGATGGAGGGCACGCTGTTGCATGTGCTGGAGCATGAGGGACCGGAATCAAAGGCGAGCAAGAAGATTTTGAGCGAGACTGCGCAGAAAGAGAGGAAGGTGGTTAGCGCAGTGGCGGTTTGCAAGAGTCAGAGCAAGAAAGAGTGGTGCAGTGCCGGTGGGAATGGCGAGGTTGTAGTTTGGGGCCTTGGGCGGTGATGTCAAAAAGAGCGGCCGAGAGTTCAGTGATCACACTGAGAGGTTGTCGCACGCGAAGATAAGATATCGACTTCATAATTCTTTGAAAATGACCGTGTCCAAGGTGACGGAAGTATGGAACAATTCCTCCTGATCCATCGAAGAAGCTGCTAATATCTCTAGATCTATGGGTGTCCAGTTCCCGGCTAAACCATAAGCCATACGCAAGAAATAAGGAGTCAAACTACTGCAGTACCACATTTACGGAACGCAGTATCCTCCATCGACGATAAGGTCGGCACCGGTGGTGTAAGTCGAGGCGTCGGATGCGAAGTAGAGGTACGCTCCCTTGAGCTCATGGGCCTCGCCCTCGCGTCTAAGAAAAAGCAATGTCAGACAGTTGGATTGGATCGTCGATGGTGCAAAACTTACCCCATAGGGATCTTGCTCTTCCAGATATTTTTGGTCTCCTGGGGAACGAAGTCTGAGATCTCAGTGGCCATATAGCCAGGAGAAACGCTGTTGGCGCGAGCGAACTGGACCCACTCGACGGAGAGCGAGCGGCCTGTATCAAGTGTAAGCGCGGGAATCTTGCGCAAAGGAGATCTGCCACTTACAAAGATGGATAACACCAGCCTTGGCAGCGTTGTAAGCGCCTTGCAACTGAGGAATGTTGACAATGTGACCGCTCATGCTAGCGGTAGCAATGAAGCTCCCGTAGGTGAAGTTCTCGAGCTTGTTGCCATTGATATCGATACCCTCGAGCTTCTGGCGGCGCCAGATCTTGCCGACCGCGCGAGCGCAGAAGAAGGTTCCGTCCAGATCGGTCGAGACCACCTTGTGGTAGTGGGAGAGCTCGCCAGTGATCATGGCACCCTGGGTCCAGGGGATCCCCGAGTTGGCGACGAAGATGTCGAGACGGCCATTGAACTCCTTGACGATCTCAATGACGATCTTCTCGACGGCCTCGGCGTCGGTGACGTTGACTTGGTAGGCCTTGCCTGTAGCCAATCGGGTGATGAATTAGCCTTGGTCTGCTCACTAATGCGGGAAAACGTGATAAGGTTTCTTGAGGGTTCAGGGATTCCTCAAATATCCCCGAAAATCTCCGGCGGATGATTTGCGGAATGGCGGCTAAGCAAACTGCAGGGCAGGATGACCCCTGATTGCGGATTGCGCCCGCCTTGCTCTCATTTTTTCTTTCTACAGCCGGTGCGCACTGTGTAGCATGACTGATGCTGTAGGGAAGAGAAAGTCGACTTACACTTGACGCCGTACGTCTTCTCGATGTCGGCGGCACGCTCAATGGCCTTCTTGTTGCTGTTGTACCAGATCGCAACGTTTGCGCCAGCCTCAGCGTAACCCTGCGCGACAGCTAGCCCGATACCGGCGCCAGCACCGGAGACAATGGCGGTCTTCCCCTTCAGCGAGAAGAGAGGAAGGACACGCTCGACGGTGGGAGCCGTGGTGTTGTTCGTCGCGAAGACGCCATTGACCATAGCGTTGTCACCCATTTTGACGGATGGAGGGGTAGGTCAAGATACTTGGAGAGTCTTGTTGATGAGGGGTAGGTATGGATATGGACTGGTACCTGACCGAAGCTGTTTTTCGAAGATAGAAAGAAAGTGCAATGGCAATTGAAAAACAGGATCCTAATATCTTGGAGGGAGAAGCTGGAGTTTAAGTAAGTTTCGATCTGGATAGGTGTCTCCTGCCTCCGATCCACCGATTAAGTCATCGCACCGGACGGATTACAGATTTACAGACCTTGGGAATGTCGGCGAGAGCAATAGTCATTCGTGCAAGGTTGCCATTGGAACCTCGAAGGCATGGCCCGTTTTAGGGTCCAGTGTTAATTTGATCGGCTTCCTGATCGAGGGGAGATACAGAGGGGCATACAGAGGGGCCATTGGGTGCTGCTCAGCGAGTTGAGCCGAGTCCTGGCTCCTGAGCTTGAGGAGGCGGGCCGATTTAGGTATCGTGAAGCGATTGAGTCTGGGCTAGCCTATTGACTCGATGGGTCCCCCTCATCAAGCCAGGACTTGCTAGGAGGGCAGGATACGAAAATAACGAAATCCCTTTACTATCACATTGCCATCGGATGATATGACGCGTTTTCTGTATGGGAGACTGGAGTGGGAGACTGAGGCTTGGATGGGGTTGGGGCTCGGCGGCTCGCTCCGTTGCTGACTCACTGGCCATCCCCAAGTTCTCAACATCTCCTCCCATAGTGTTGGCGTCAGATTATCCAACCACGATGCGGAATACTTACCGAATCGCCTGTCGTGAGCTGAATAATTGTACTAGGGATGATTTGTGAGTCCTCATGGAAATACTCCGTGTCAACCCAAAATGGCTGTTGATAGATATTTCGTTCCTATTCTCTCCTCATCATCATATTAGAGTCATACCTATGCGCGTCGCTGAGTAATGCTTAATTAGCTGCTGCCTGCTGGAATGTTGGGTTTCTACATCATGACAAAGTCCTTGGCTGCACAAATTGCATATTTCAATCTATCTCCATCGTCTGCGGCGGTTCTCAGGTTGTCAGTCTCGAAGGTTTTGGTCTCGAAGGTTCTCGGCGTCCGACTACTGACCGAGAAGCGAGAGTATCAAGGGATGTTCTAGCCCCGCATCCATCCAGAAGAGCTGTGAAAAGTACCGGTACTCCCAGACAGGAGGGATACTTTGATGCGGAAGACACTATCGTCAGTGTAGATGATAGTACTAATAAGCCAGGTCAGCTATCTGTAGGGTCTAGGTAAGATCAATGCCAGAAGAGAGGAGTTCAAGGGGAAGATGGCTTGCATTCCTTTCCAGTTCATCCCTCTCCTCACGTCGTATTGACCAGCCTCGTACTGATGCTCTATACATTCCACTCATTGTTTTGATTTTATACATGCCAGAAAAGTCGGGTGATTGTACGTCCATCACCACTTTTCCCATTGTTCTCTGGGATGGGCATTTTCAACTTCATCTTTTATTCTCACAGTCATTACCAGGTCAGGACAACAACACTGAAAGATTGGTTGAAGAGGATCCACGCTCCTTTCTTTTGAGATCCTTGAAGATTTGTCCCCTTTTTAGCCCTATTGTACATACATTGTGGAGATTGAGAATATTGCGCAATCTCTTAAACCTTCAAGCGAATATCACGAAACTGTTGTTTGTCTCTTAGTTCAATGCAGTCATGGCGCCCTTGGTTTTCCGTCAGGAGGACCACTCCAGACCAAGACTCCAAACCGGAGCAATTGCAGGAATCGCTGTCGTAGGGAGTGTTGTCTTTCTGCTAATCCTTGGGTTGCTTTTCCTACTTCTGAGGGCGGTGAGGGCGCACCGAAAGTTACTAGAAGACCTAGAAACGAGGGGCATCAGTATCACGCGACCGAACGTGCGCCGAACGGCAGAAGACTTCAACCCAGGGAAACCCTCGGTTCTGATGAAGCATGCTTTCATCCCTTATGGAGCTGCAGATGGGTGGAGGGAGTTGCACTCTCGAGAGGATGTCAAGGGCCCGATGGAGGCTCACGGTGAAGGTCTGGTTTCCCCGACTACGATGGGAAGATCCAACTGGAGACGGATTCCTTGGCCCTTCTCAAGACGCGGACCAAACGGGGGTGCGCCAACGCAGCATGACATGGAGTTGGACGCAGCTTGTTTGCCGGTCATCACTGGGGGGCCGCGTGCGCCACTGGAAACCTTCTCTTTGGTCATCCCCGAGCCACTTCTGGATGGCCAGCCAACAGTAAGAGCAGCGCACACAGAAAGCGCATCTCCTGCCCCATCGCAAACTGCGGACCGGTCAGTGGAACCAGGAACGGACAGGAGTCGCCTGAGCCGGGGGCCTTTCTTGGTCTCGGATTCGACCTCTAATTTGAGACCACATCCGCTCTATATAAGGAAGAGCATGGAGCAAGTTAATACGCCGGTAACCAAGTTCCATCGGCCATTATCAACGCCAAACATTCCTTCGACACCTTCTAGAACCGGAAGTAGCCGGGATGAGCGTGTTCCTCGGTCACAGACGCGCAGCCGATCGGTCAGTCTGGGCAGCCAAAAGTCGGGACACGCTCCATCAGGTCCAGTCCCTCCACTGCCTGCCATGGCCGCGAAAATCGATTCAAGTGCACACCCGAAGAGCTATGCCGACCGAGCCCTATCAAGAGGGTCTATGTCGAGCCTAGCGTCCGTCAGCAGCTCTGTTCTTGTGTCATTCAATAGCCCGGCACCGCAATCGGACCAAACCCCGCGATTCAAAGAAGGCGCAAACAGAGAATGGAAGAACTCATTGATATTAGGACCGCGGCAGATTAGAGATACTTTCCAATCGTATGGCCATCTGAACAACAGTATCTATTATATCAATCCTTCCCAAGGCTCGATTAAAAACCCAACACGACACAGTGTCGACAGTTCCGGAAAGATTTCAAGATCGAACAGTTTCAGCTCGGTGCCCTTGGGCTCAAGAACGATTCACAGTCATTCAGAATCGCGGCAACCGATGCGCCAAACTATGACGCCCTCCACTGCTTCTATCCAGCTCTTTGCTACCCCAAAGCGCAACTCCCGCTTCCAGGTCAACGCCAATGGATCGCCAGTCCACAAACCCCCGGTTTCAATATTAAAAGATGTTGTGATGAAACAGAGGATTCCGACACGGCAATTGTCGCAGGCATCTTCCCGAAATTCCTCGGGAAGCAGCAACGGCAATCCCTTCCAGTGGGATCCATCCCCGATGCAGTCAGGCAAACCGTCCGCCCTTCAAAGAAGCCCCAATGCGCGCAAAGGTCACAGGAGACAAAATTGCGTAAGAATATCTCTTGACACACCCACGATACTGGGTGGAAATAGTCGCTCTCTGAGCCCGGTAATGCATGGGATTCAGGAGGAAGCGTCCGAGTTCGAAGTCCCGAAGACCTGGTTTGCATCGCCAGCACCAGCATGCGCATCGAGACCACTTCCAAGTCTTCCAGATACATCCACTTGTGAACCAAGGCTAAATACGGCAACTTTGCGCACCTCACTGATGCCGAGCTCTCCTACGCTGTCTCTAGCGAACTTTTTCCAGGAGCAAAACCGACTATCCGGCCCGGCTGCGGGTTCGTCTTCGATCCGCCCGTCGCCGCAAAAGCATCTATCAAAGAGTTATACCGCTGCAGCATCTCTGGGTACGATCCCAGCTTTCCCCAGTCCGGTGCGATCATCGCAGGCACAGAGCATTCTCACCCCGGCTCTGTCAGTGTCAAAGTCCTCAACGGAGATTACCTCTAGCACTTCTTCCCCTGATACTTCCGATTTGATATCGAAAAACTCAATCAGCCACGAGCCCCCACCTAAAATCAAGCCAAGCCCAGACAAGACGTCTCCACGACGTTGCGTAGGTCGGAAGCTGGACACCGTTCAGTTCCAAGCATTTGTTTCTACCACGCAGTCCATGAACGAGAGTAAGCTCGAAACAATGGACATACTTAACAGGAACATTTTCAATCTTGCCATTTTCGGACCCAGTCATAGAACTCGTGGGGAATCGCTGGTGGGCTCCTCACCTGCCTGTTCGCCCAAGTCGACACCACTACGGAAAGACAAGCAAGGAGTGCAAGTGCCCACGCCGCCCACAGTGGAGAAAGCGAGCGGAAATGAAGTACCTCTTCCTGGAAGTCACAGTACTGCGAGTTTGTTGCCAATAAATGACGTGCTTGGCGACCCTCCTTTGGCGCAAAGTGTCCTCGCTCTCCGACGCATGAACTCCGACGTAAACGATCTCTGGCGCTCCGACCGACGATACCGTCGCATGAAACGCGAGGAAAGCCCGGCGCTGGAAGTGGAAAAAGCGGAACAAGATACAGGGGCCAACTGGATCGGTCCCGTCGAAATCAACGAAGGTGCCACCAACGTGGCCGCTGGCAAGGAGAGACTCCTCGAGATAAAAGAGGAAGAACCTTCCGACAACATTCTGATAGCGAAAGACCGTGCAACCGCTCTCTCGGAACTTACTTTCCCCGATGCCTTGCGCAAAGCCACAAGCGAAGGCTCCGCCATAGAGCGACGGCTGAATCCCGCCGTTTTCGACTCCCATCGACAATCCAAACCCATCCACCGCACCATCTGGGAAGACGACAAGAGTTTCCGGCCGGGCAACCACCCACCCTCCGCCGATTCTGTCGCCATGCCCGTGCAATGGCTGCGGAACCCGACCAAATCCCCCCCGCACCTCCGACCCATGGCCCGGCCCTCGCTCGCAAACCGAAAGTCCTCCGCCACGCCGGCGAAGCAGCCCATCAGCCCGGATCGTCGTGAGGCAAGCAAGGAAAACCAGCCGCCTAACGCGCCGAACGCACCTGTGGGCGGGGTGAGCAAGGATTTAGAGCGGAGCGAGGTGGCGCGACGGCGGGAGAGGGATCGGATGATCAAGCCGGTGTTTCATGGCACGCCGAAGCGATCTAGCTTGATGCGAAAGAGCGCGATGTTGACGGCTCTTACTCAGATGGAGGGCGTAGAGGCAACGGAGAAGGAAGTGGGAACGCCGGGGAGTTTGTATGATAGAGAGGGGTTTCTGGTGTGCTGAAGCGCTGCTGTTAGGCGATACCCAGCTCTGAGGTGCCTTGTAAACCATGGAGTGGAGGATTTCTATTTGTGACTGGTACCAGTTTCATATAATCCTGATAATGAGGTGCAAGGGTGTTGGAGGGCGTAATGTGTAATGGTGAATGCTTGTGAAGCATTGTATTTCGGGTCTTTTGTCTGTACTACGTCTCCGATGGGTGGATGCGCATCGAGGAGGCAAGACAATACCCTACTCTTATAATACCCTTAGTATAGTGGTTAAAGCGCAATTTGAAATTGATTTGGCAATTCCGAAATGTCTGTGCCGTCTATCGGCTATCTGAAGATAGGTCCAATTACCACTGACTGATACCCAACATACCTATATCTGGGCGACTGCTGGGTAATCGGTGATGCTGCTTCATTATGCGGACCCCGCCTATCCACTGAGATGGATGAGCCAACATTAATTCCCAAAGGAATGATATAGGACTGTGTCAATCGACAAAATGGTGCCAGGTAATAACCGACGCCCTCTGCAAAGAAATCCGAGTGGGCCTCGAATTCCCATCCCTCGTCCCCAAGCGCATCCACTCACGCCCCAAAATCGTTTCCCCTCAAGGCACCCACCCGCCCACCAAGTCCTCCCGGCATTGGACTCGCCGCCCTGCTCCCCGAATTTGCCTGCACCCGCGGACTCCTCGGCGTCGCGGCCCTTGTCACGATGCGGTTCTGCTGGCCGCGCAGCCCTGTAATCTCCTCGTCCCTCCTCCGCACTGTCTTCATCAGCTCCTGAATTTGGAACTTTAGACCGTGGATCTCCTCGCGTTGGCTGGTCTGCTGCTGTTCCTTATTGATGGCATGGATCCGGACGCTGTTCTCGTCCGCGCGCTTCTTCAGGATCACATTCTCGGCGGTTAGGACGTCGTTTTCATCTTTTAGTAAGGAGGCTTGGGAGCTCGCGTTGTTGTATTGGTCGCGGAGGAAGTTGAACGTGACTTCCTGACTCTGGAATCGGCTCACTGCGCTGTCGCGCTGTTCCTTGGCTTCTTGAGCCGCGATGCGGAGGGTTTCGCGGTCGACCGCATCGGTGTTGATAGAGGATAGAACGGTATTAGATGCCTGCTGAGCGGCTTGTCGTAATTCTTGGTTCTGTTCCTGATCTCTAGCATTTCTGGCCTCGAGGTTGGCTATGCGCTTTTGAAGCCGCTCATTCTCTTGGGCCAACTGTGCGTTCTCCTTCTTTGAAATCCCATACAGCGTCCGAAGCTCTTCAACTTGGCCCTGAGACACTTCAAATGCATATTCAAGTTCCTGGTATCGTTTCGCGAGCTGGTCGGCCCCTAGAGGCTCGGACTCGAGGATAGTTGGCTTCGTGGGGAGAGGGGTTGCCAGTGACGACGGCTCGACCACAGAATTGCTGATCCGAGTGTCGTTGTGCTCTGCCGTCTTTTCTTGTGGCTCGGTGGGTACAACTGCATTGGCCTAATCGAGCATTAGAATTGAATTCTCTCGCATTGTGCGCAAAGGACAAGTCCATGAGTTTCGCAGGGTCCGGACTCACCATTTCAACATCATCCTGCACTTCTTGAGTTGATTTCAAGATCTTGACAGCATCATTTTCCGGGAAGGGCCACTCAGCGTCCTCGACTCCGGAGACTTCGGTGGAAGCCTGATCACTTGTTTCGATGAAGTCCAACAACCGCTCGATGACGACATCGTCCCCTCCCCAACCGCGAGGCAGCTCCCCTACTGCATATGAATAATGGATAGCAGCTCGCACGAGAGACTTGAGACTATCCAATTTGCCATAGCCGTCCGGCAAGCAGTGCTCAAGATGGTCCACACTTTGGGAGATGAGCAGAGAGACGGCGAAGAGTTGTGAACCAATCTGTTTGGACAAGTTCAGAATTTGCGTGATGGCCTTGTACTCGGCCTCAAGCTCATAGCCGAGGCAGAGGACAAATCGTAAGCTCCCCGATATATGCGCGATATATTTTCGGGCATCAAAGATGGTAATGCGGATGGGAGCGGCGTCGAAATTGGGTGGTCGCGGTTCGCCAGCGATACAAAATGCGACGCTTTGATTGCCCAACATTTCGGGCGCGGCGTCCAAAAGGAGGCGAACCATCGCAAGGGGATGATCGGGGCTCGCTACGATCCCAAAATGCATCGAAATCTCTCGGCTGGCAACTTCGGCCAGGAACAAGGCCAGAAACCCAATCTTGGTAGACGTGGCCCTATAGAACGATGCCAGGGCTACGGAATTGGTGGTCCCATCGGTGAGGTTTCGCTGCGCGTGCGTGTTTTCGAAGAGGTCGTCGTGAAATGCGATCTTCTTGCAGTCTTCCACGATTCGACCGAAGAAATTTTCCAGCTTTTGTCGTTGCTCGGGGGCCTTGGGGTCCGCATACAAGTTGGATTCGATGTCATTGATACGGTCTCGGAAATACTTTCGGTACGTGTCCTTCGGGGCGCCCCCGATTTGAAGTAGGACGTACTTGTGCAGGTCATTGACTCTTCTCAAAGTCGGCTCGGAAGACTCTTGCTCAATAGCGAGACCATGATCCACAGATTGCTCCGGGGTTGGGGTGTCAGCGACCCTTTGGTCCTGCAACTGCTTGCCGGATGTATCGACCTGGTGCTCATCTGTTGGAGGTATCGCCGACGGAGACCGTCCTGGAGTGTCCGTGGGGGGTGGCCGAAGGGATCCGGAAGACATGGTGGAATCGTCTGCTTGGTGCTCTTTTCCGCTCGACCAGCGAGTTTCGTTTGCAATGAAATGCCCTCGTTCGGTGTCGGTCGCCACCTCTGTTGGCAGTAGATCGCTTGTGCGCTCAAGTTGGCTCGAAGACTGGTCGTTCAGACTCGGGACAAGGTGGTTCAACGCTTGCCACTCCCTGCTATCCTGGATACTGATCGAATCTATCGTAGACTGGCTATGATACGACTCCTGCGATGATTCACTGATGCAATCTCGAGACGGATTTTTCCGAGCGCTAGGTTGAGTGAACGCAAAGTCGTGGGTAAGGTAACCTGGGTCCGGGAATTGAATAGGAGAAACGCTGCGTGGAGTTCGAACTTCCGAGTTTTCTCCACTGCCCAAATATATAGCTTCGTCCTCTTCTGCAACGAGCCGCGAGCTGTATTGAGATGGCTGAGAAAGTTCTTTCGATCCTTGAGTAAGAGGAATGTATGAATCCGCAGAAAGTTGTGAAGATTTTCCGATCCCGTTAGAAGAGTTGACGAGTTGTGTGGCCAATGACCTGATAAATTGGGAGGTTTGTGAATGACTCGGATTCACTTGGGCCGACTCAAGTGAATGGATTCCTTTCTCTTTTGAATTTTCAGCTTCCCAAAGCTCCCGCAGCTTATCATTCACGTTGCGTTTTGGTTCCCACGTCGGCTCCCACTGAACCAGATAACATCTGTCGCTTTCGGCAAGAATCCTTTCGACTGGATACTCGTTATCGCTATTATCCGACAACTGGACCTTAGCAGAGACCTTCTTTCTGCGCTTCCTGGTGCTTTGTTGGTGGGTGGGTGCAATTGATATCTCCCCCTCAAAGTCTTTGCTTTCTCTCAGCCGTTTCAAGTCTACTCTTGTGCTCGACCGAGTATGTGGCATTATGAGGCCATAATTCAAGGCACTCTGAACTGCTCCTAAATTTGTTAAAGCGGGGAAATGCAAGGGGTCGTAGATGATGAACTAGCTAACGACGAGAAATCTTATAGTGTTACTAGTCGGTATTATCAAAAAGATCTGGCACCAAGTGAAGCTCAGAAGTGAAACTTAAGTGATAGGAGGTTGATGATGACAGCGACCGGAAGATGATTGGGTGATGTTGGTGCCTTGGTGGGCGATGGTAGGTCACGTGCCACCCATCCATATGTCCATGTCCAGGGGCAACCGGTCACGCCAGTCGCTGAGAACCATGGAACTGATCGGTCTCAACAACGACAAATTTCAGGTCTTTGCTGGGGAGAATGGCGCGGATACCTGGATAACTACTACCAATTCCCCTTCGGCCTGGGGCGCTCGGAATGTGACCTGTCTCATCGCCAATGTCTTGGACGATCAGTGAGACGCTAGAAATAGCACAGAAAGCCAAAATGCATGGCTGAGCGGGCTTTTACTACCAAGGACTAAGGAGAGTGGACCTTCAATGTCATTCATGTCATGAATTCCAGGCGAAACCTAAATTCTCCCAATGTGAGGTGTGTCAATGAAGGCCGTGAGACAGGTCAAGTTCTGGAATATCGGATGTGTCTTGAGACAGTATAACCTATCACATCGTAATTCTGGATTTAACGAGACCACCTATCAGATCTAGACATCCTCCTTCCAATAGGCAATATATTAGCTGTGGTTACTACTACCGTGTGAACTCCTGGCTAGGTATAGACGTATAGTTCGCCCTCCCGAGTGAGCTAAATTGATAATCCGGATGGATGAGAATCATGAGAATGAGATGGTGGGAGAGATGCACGTGACTTCGCGTTGAAATAGGCGCGTTCAGCTCCTGTCGTCAGCCGAAGAGTTTCAGGTGCTGCGACGCGACGGCCGACACTCCGACAATGGAAGACCCACTGTGGCGGTTCATTGTCGATAAATGATAACTCCGCCATTTGATCCACATCCGCGTCGACACTCCACTCCATGCGACAACAGCACTAACTTACCAAATATCGACACGTTCGTTACCCAGTAGCATGGCAAGTTCTTTAGGTCCAAATCCATCTGTCGAAGATATTGAGGATGAAATCATCCTGCTGGATAGCCTTCTCGAATCGCTCGAATCGGGATCAATCGATTACGACCGACTCCAGTGGAAATACGAGAAAGAACGACAAGAGCTGTTGAATTTGCTATCCGAAACAGAGAACCAAGATGCAGAAAGTAAGTCTAAATGCAAGATAATGCGCATTGTTTTAACTAATTCCACCTCAAGTAGGCAATCCTCGGGCCACTGCATCGCCACACCCGCCCAGCACAGAGCAAACATCCAGGAAACGCTCGCTAGATGACGACGACCGCTCTATACCCGGTGCCTACCCGGTCTCGAAATCAAGAAGAACGTCTGGAGGTAGCTCAGGAGCGAATTCGCCGACTTCGGTAGATTCGTTGGGGTCTATTCCTGGTCTTCGACAACCTGGAACTCCAGGCAGCCAGCGGGCACTGCAGCGGCAACGAGACCGCTTCGAGTCTGCGGAGAAAGGTAGGCTTCAAAGACGGCTTGATGAGGAGTTTGCAAAAAGTCTACAATCGGAGGATATCAGGGCGAGGAATGGCGGGGACTCTCATCCAGGCGCAACCACAACCCCGGGTCCTCATATGGCCATACAAGATTGGGCTCGCCCTCCGCCTCGCTCCTTTGATGACCCCTTCACCGATCTTATGGAGCTTCCTAATAGGCAAGGGCAGACGGATCGCAACACATATCTCAACGTTTACCCCCCTCCACCACCCCCACAAGACACCCCGTTTATCCGTACATCCGGAGGATTCATGAATCCCTCGGATGCGATACACACCCTTGTGAATCGAGCACCCTCCTTAAAGCAAGAGAATCCCTGGGCGCAATATCCGAATGCAGCTTCAAGCTCTCGTAACGACCCACCATGGCCTCCACCAGACTACGATCCTTATGGCCGCGGCATGCTCCCTTGGCAGCGCGAGATTCACGATGACCTCTACGGAGCCGCGCAGGTCAATTCTGCAGAAGAGCAGAAGCATCTCCAAAGCCTCATGGGAAACATCGAGTCGATTGATGATGTTCCTATTCATGATCGAGATCAGACCCCGAGGGAGATGGACTGCACGCTCTACGAACACCAGAAGATCGGGTTATTCTGGCTGAGGAAAATGGAAACGGGTTCGAATAAAGGCGGGATCCTTGCTGATGACATGGGTTTGGGGAAAACGATTCAAATCATCGCTCTCATGGTGACCCGACCCTCGGATGATCCAGCACAGAAGACCAATCTTATCGTGGCGCCTGTCGCCCTGCTAGAGCAATGGAAAGGTGAAATCGAGCGTCTCGTCAAACGTCGGTTTCGGCTTAGTATCTTCATCCACCATGGTCAAAGTCGTGCGAAGAGTTTCGAAACTCTTCGGTCCTATGATGTTGTGCTGACCACCTACGGCCAATTGACCGAAGACCGGAAGCGGTTGCTGCTACGGCAAAAGGCCCTCGAAAACAACCCACGAGTGAAGCTTACCCCCCAGGCCACCCCAGTCCTGATGGGTCCTAACTGCAAATGGTATCGAATTGTTCTGGACGAAGCGCAAAATATCAAGAATAAAGATACGAAGGCGTCAATTGCCGCCTCGGAGCTTCGCGCACGGTATCGTTTCTGCGTCACTGGAACTCCAATGATGAACCGGGTCTCCGAGGCATACAGCTTGATTCGGTTTCTGCGAATTCCTCCCTATGACCAGTGGAATAGCTTTAAACTTGCCTTTCACTCCAAGCTGCAGTTGGGAAATTGGGACAGCACTGTCATGGAACGATTTCAAGCCGTCCTCCGAGCCATGCTGTTGAGAAGGACCAAAAAGACCAAGATTGATGGAAGGCCGATCGACGAGACCCTCCCGGACCGGGTGATCCATACCGACCACTTTGTGTTCCGAGATGATGAAAAGGAGTTCTACAAGAATGTGGAGACGCATAACAAGGAAAAATTTCAGGGCTATATGGACCGAGGCGAGGTGGAGTCCAATTATATGGCCATCCTGGTCTTGCTCTTGAGGTTGCGTCAAGCCTGCTGCCACCCGCTGTTGATTAAGGACTTGAGTTTCGAGCCTGCCACCGATCTCTCGGAGGAAGACTTGGCGACATTCGCGGCGAAGTTGACACCAGAAGCAGTTCAGCGAGTAAAAAATTCTAACGGCAACTTCATTTGGTGTGTACTACCCCTGATAGCAATGCGAGACATGACACTAACCAGATGAAAAGTCCAATCTGTCTAGATGCGACGCGCAACCCAGCTCTTCTTGTCCCGTGTGGCCATGAAATGTGTTCCGATTGTCTCTCGAAGTTCGTCGCAGATTCCAACAGCACGGATGATGAGGATGTGAACGTACTGTGTCCACAATGTAGAATCAGCTTCAATCCGAAACAAGTGACAGACTACGGCGCCTTCCTGAAGGAGTATATGCCGGAAGAACCTCCTCAAGACACCGCTGCGCCGATTGGTTCAGACGATGACGACTCTGATGAGAGCGATGATGAGTCGGGGACGAACAGCTTGGACGGGTTCATCGTGCCTGACGACGAAGATGACGGAGATATTGACGAGGAAGCGAAAGGGCGCAAAAATAAGGGAAAGAGCAAGAAGAAGGGAAAGTCGAGGGCTTCGAAGAAGAAGCTCAGGGACATGACGCTCGGAGAGCTTGCCAAGGAATCCCGCCGCAACGCACGAGCCAAGTCGAAGTACATCCGCCGGCTTCGCAAGATGTGGCGGACCAGCTCCAAAATCGAGAAGACGCTGGAGATCTTGACGGAAACCTACCAGAAAGACCCCACGGAGAAGACGATTATCTTCTCTCAGTGGACGAGTCTTCTCGACCTGTTGGAGATCCCCCTCAAGGATCACGGCTACCGATACCTGCGATATGATGGAGGGATGACCTCCACGGAGCGAGCGACTACCATTTCCAAATTTATGCGACGGGACGATTGCAACGTCATCCTCGTCTCGCTCAAGGCTGGTAATGCCGGGCTCAACCTGACGCGGGCCAGTCAAGTCATCATTCTCGATCCGTTCTGGAACCCGTTCATCGAGGAGCAGGCCATCGACCGTGCCCATCGGATTGGGCAGAGGCGGGTGGTTCATGTCCACCGACTCCTGGTGCAGGAGTCCGTAGAGGACCGCATCATCGAGGTGCAGGAGCAGAAGAGGGAACAAATCAACGCCGCGCTGGATGAGAGAGCAGCGAGCAAGATTCCACGGCTCGGAAGACGGGAGCTAGCGTACATCTTCGTAAGTCATAGACGGCTCTGTTCTCGCCCATTACATGCTAACCGTCTTTCAGGGTGTCACTGATGGAATTTGAGTCAGCGTCCCATTCCCATAAAGCTCTCTCTCGGAGCAGGGTTTGTGGGCAGCTGTGTTTTCGGCCAGTCATGGGGATAGCAATCGCATTATGTGGGAAACGATAGAGATGATACATGTCCTCCCGTAGAGCAATACAGTCATGTTGCATGCCACACAGCCAGCGTAAATGAAGTCTCACCGTGTGTCATGCTGCCCAACAATTGCCTCTGTCACTAGATTCTCTTATCATCATTCCCATCCATGTTAGAGGAACTCATCGCAGTGTACGGTAGGCATAAGAACACAGCGCAAGCCTTATATGAGATACTAGAGGCGCATCATCAATCCTCGAGAGAAGCCAGTTGAAGGGATTGCTGATGGGTCGGCCCCTTGACTGAACTCACTGAGTACCCCAGGTGGATAGGGGTAGACATGAACTTTGCTCTCAAAGGGCCGCTGCCATCCACAGCAAGTGTCCTATAAATATACAATGGAGAGGACGGGTTTCGAACGTGGGTAGATGTGTGTTGTAGGCAGATGTGTGATGGGGTTGCAGGGCTCCATTACATGCAGTTGAGTAGGCATGTGTTAGGAGGTGAATTACCCTCCCTAACCTGATGATTTAATTATGCAGTATATAATTCATTTAAGCAGAGGGGTTTCCAACGGGATGGTGGAGTGGTGCAAGTGAGAGCGAAATGCCTTCTTAATAGATTTCATAGAGCGTTAATAACACTACACGTGTCGTGTTGCGCTCGCCAGTATACTCAACGTATTCCCCAGTTCCAACAAACCTTGATGATATCTGCTGTCCAGTAGGTTTGGTAGTGTGTCACCCCTAGCAATGGCTAGCTGCTGCCCCTCGACTGGAATGTAGTGAAATGAGAGGTTTCCCAATGGCAGGCGGCGCCTTTGGATTTTGCCATTTATTAGTCCTGGGTTCAATCCTTGCTTCAGCCGTTCCTTTTCATTTCCTTTATCAATCGGTTAGACAAGTCTCATGATATAGAATAGCCTTTGAGTTAGAAAAGTTATAGCTATTATTGCTTTACCTACGAACTATGATGTAATTTCTCTAGATTATGGAAAGACTAGTTATAGTACTGGTTCAAGGGTTATCAGGGTAGATGAAATTGATGATATAATGCTCCTGATACTCCGTCAGCCTACATAATGGTTGAGATACACCAATCTCGTACACTAAGACGAATGCAATGTACATCATATCTTGATCGCTCTATAGAGGCGAATAAAGAATGAAACAGGTAACAGGAGATTTTGAAGCACTGGGGGAATGCTTCAGGGTCGTTTAGGGAAGATGAGTTTGACAGCACGGAACCGACAAAGTCCTCCTCAATCATAAGTGTGTAGACGGAGACTCAGATCAATTGCCTAATTAAAAGGAGCATAAAACCGATTTCAAATCCCGGGGTATGCTTCGATGCTAAAATTTCATCGGTGGCCAATGCCCAATATATCTTCACGGCCGGGGGAGCACTGCAACAGTCACAAGGAAAAGGAAGGCTACCTTCGTTTGTAGAACAAATTTGTTCTGGAACAAGATCAATGACGAGCGCAGCGTTTGAAAGGTGAATGGAATAAATCCAGAGGTGTGCGCTTAAGACCCGAAGTCGGTTCGACCTGCCACCACCCGCCTTTCTTGTACACACACATAGCAGGAAACCAACACACAGAGAGCGAGAAACCAACCGCTCGTCTTGTACACACAGATAGCAAGAACCCAACCATTCTTCTTGTACACATAGATAACAAGCAACCAGCGAGCCGCCGATTCTACGGTAAAATGATAGATAAGATGCCAGGACAATGTTTCAAGCTGGCGGATCGCGCCGACTGGGGAGGGATCGTAGCATATTTGGCGGCCAACGACCTGACCTACGAGCATTTTCATGCGTCTTTTATCAATCACTGCATGAGAACCGCCATGGCAGAGAACCAGAACCAGTCCCTATCAAAGATGCCATCAAGGGGAGGATAGTACATGCGTGCTCTGAGAGAAAAACTTCCTCTCCCGAGACTGAAGTAAATCGACGTGTTGGAGATATTTCGCACGACACGAGAGTAGTTTCCAAGACCAAGAAGGACCACAACACGTTGAAATCGATCCAGGAAGGAAACATTGTGAAAGGGCAGATCAAAGTCTCAGATGCTTGGTATGCAATATTGCCTTACTTGTTGCGCCTCCACTGACATAGCTGGCTGACCAGGCTCATAAGGATGCCCAGAAGCGGGTCTATGCCCGGCTCTATAGGAGCACGCCCATCCGTTCGAAAGCGAACGCCAACAATGCCGAGAACGAGAAAAAGAAGGAGACGGACGAATCGGGCGGCGTCTCGCTGCCAATCCGAGAGAAGCATTGAACAGAGAAGTGGGGGGACGGAGGGAATAGCGGGCGGGGTGACCCGGAAAATTCTACAGAACGCAATAGATCATGAAGAGGCTGGAACAAGACCTACTTGAATGCTCTGTGATGAAGCCTAGCTATCACTCGTGCTTATGAATACTTGGGATGTTGGATCCCTCTGACACCGACCAAACAATCTTGAGTGCGTGGCCAGTTCTTATGGGATCCTATGAACTTCTTCTACGCGTCGCTGAATCACAAAACAGCAATGAAATGCCAAATACAAGCCAGCAAAATGCTGGATGTACGGCTGCTGAAAAGTACTGTCTAAAATGGACGCGGTTGTTATCGAAAGAAAGTTGAAGTCAAGCGGAAAGAAAAAATGCTTTATGGACGAGAGGGTTCATGTTGTTCGTACATCCCGACTAGCGGAAATGTGGAACTCATTTGGGCAATGTACAAATAGCAACATGCCACTGTCACAGCCACTGTCATCGCCCAGGAAGTCATGAGTGAGAGATGGAACCTTGAATTCTAGACTTTACTGTTGGACGACCTCCGTGCGCCCATTTCCCTGAGTAATTGTTTGAAGTTGATATCGGCAGGCCATAATATCTCTCCAAGAGCCAACCCCGCCCTGATCTCCCGACATGCTCAGTTAACAAACTCCACACGACCCAATTGCTGCAACTGTTCATCGATTGCACGCATACAACAATGGCTTCTGCGCTATTCTTCCTCGACCTGAAGGGCAAGGTAAGCTCGCCGTATTCGAGGCGATTGCGCGCGAAGGCTGACAAGGTGGTAGACCCTTTTGGCGAGGAACTACAGAGGCGACATTCCAATGTCTGCCGTCGAGAAGTTCCCCATTCTCCTTTCAGAGGCCGAAGAAGAGAGCTCCGCAGTGCCTCCATGTTTTTCGGATGATGGGATCAATGTATGTGCTTCTGTGACCAGTTCACATGCTTAACATACGTTGGCTTGAGCTTACCATCCATGGGTTCTAGTACCTATACATCCGCCACAACAACCTTTACCTCCTCGCTCTCACAAAACGCAACAGCAATGCCGCCGAGCTCCTTCTCTTCCTTCATAAAGTTGTTGAGGTATTCACGGAGTACTTCAAGGAGCTGGAGGAGGAGAGTATACGGGACAACTTTGTCATTATCTACGAACTGCTGGACGAGATGATGGACTTCGGCCATCCGCAGATCACGGAGACGAAGATATTACAAGAGTAAGGACTGGCACAGATACTGGCTAAAAATGCTGCCACGAATAACATCCTAACTTGCTATTCTAGGTACATCACACAAGAATCACATAAGCTTGAGATCCAGGCTAGGCCTCCAATCGCAGTCACAAATGCCGTCAGTTGGCGAAGCGAGGGTATTCGATACCGAAAGAACGAAGTTTTCCTCGACGTCATCGAGTCACTCAACCTTCTCGTGTCGTCAAACGGCAATGTCCTGCGCTCGGAAATCCTTGGCGCCGTCAAGATGAAGTGCTACCTGTCGGGAATGCCGGAGCTACGGCTCGGATTGAACGACAAGGTCATGTTCGAAACAACAGGAAGAGCAACAAGAGGGAAAGCTGTTGAAATGGAGGACGTCAAGTTCCACCAATGCGTACGGTTGAGTAGATTCGAAAACGATCGAACAATCAGCTTTATCCCGCCCGATGGCGAATTCGAGCTGATGAGCTACCGGCTTAACACCCAAGTCAAACCCCTCATTTGGGTGGAATGCGTGGTCGAGAGCCACTCTGGAAGTCGCATAGAATACATGTTGAAGGTTTGATGGCATCGAGTCCAATATTTCAAAGGTCGAGACGCTAACTGAACTCTCTACTTGCAGGCGAAAGCCCAATTCAAGCGACGAAGCACCGCCAACAACGTCAGCATTTCAATACCTGTTCCCGATGACGCCGATACGCCGCGCTTCCGCACCAACATCGGCACCGTCCACTACGCGCCCGAGACCTCGTCAATAGTCTGGAAAATTAAGCAATTTGGCGGTGGCAAGGAGTTCCTCATGCGAGCCGAGCTCGGTCTCCCATCCGTACGGGGCGACGACGAAAAAGGCGGGGGCATGATGGGTGGCTTCGGTGGAAGCATGGGTGGGGTCTCTGGCGGCAAAGGGAAGCGACCCATTTCCGTCAAGTTTGAGATCCCATACTTTACGACTAGCGGAATTCAGGTGCGGTACCTGAAGATTAATGAGCCCAAGGTATGTTGCGCTGTTCGCTGTTGGCGTTGTGGTGGAATTGTGGGTTTGATTGGTGCGACGATGTTGCCTTGCTGCATTGTGTGCGGCCTCACGCCGGGACCGGGCCGATGACCAGGGCGACAGTTCCAGGGCGTTCGTCACGATGCACTGGAACTACTAAGCGTCCCATCTTGCCCGGGACATGAGCGCTAAGGTCGCCTGCGACACCTATACCCACCCATCCAACTCTAAATTGACCTCAAATCCGCCTACGAAAAGTCCTTTTACTGACCTTGGTACTATCAGTTACAATACCCCTCGTTGCCTTGGGTCCGATACATCACCCAGTCTGGCGATATCGCGGTGCGACTACCAGATGTACAGTAGACGGGGTTTTCTGATTGGTTTGGCCGATGCGGGCATCTATCTAAGGGCGATCGAGCCTACAAATCCCTGGGGCACTCAAACAACTTAATTTGGCATTTGCATCATGGAATGAGGCTATAGAGCGACTTTCTTAGCATATATGAGCCATGCCAATAATGAGATGCTACAATGTCGGTAAAGCAATGCATTCAAGGATATCTGTGTAGGAGCCATGATCATTCCAGGTGTTTCGATCCCCCTGTGTTCCTCATAGCCGCGCCAAAGTTAGCTGGTCTGCTCAGCACGTATTGTGGGCAATGAATAACGTAAAGAACGTAGTATGGTAGGGCACAAGTCAATGGAAAATTTTCCCTTCTGCGACGGTTCCATCCTCGAAAAGTCGGAGCGGAGTCGTGTCCTCCGAAAGAGTGAATACTTTGACGAGAATGCCGCGGCGCGATGTCCCTGCACAGCATTAGAAGGACTTTGATTCAAGCTCACTTTGGGCGGTTGCTTACACCCTTCATCTCTTGGAAGCCCATGGCTCGTCCAGGTCAGACCTCTCATGCAATTAAATAATGCAAGATGAATATTCCCGTTTGGGACGGACAAGGCAATCAGTGCAATGAGTATGGCCACTTCCCCCTTCAGACCGCCAAGGCCAGAATTCTGAGGGCTATCATCATGGACATGGTGGGGGCGGTAAATGCAAGGGAGAAGCTCCTTTGCCCATACCTGACTTGGTCGAAGGAGCGTCAACCTCGGGACACCTCCTTCATGGAAGACGGCGCGTGACACGTATGATTGATCATTCTCGTGCACAAATGCCAGGCACTTCCAACCAATATCCATCACTTCCAACGGGGGTTCATGAGGCTCTGGGGTGGGCGGTTCAGTAACGTCCTCGCCGCATCCATATATCTGCCCCTCGTTATGGTAGACGGATACCTCACCAGCGTTGTGAATCGCATCCATAGGGAAGGAGCCGGGTGGATACAAATGAACTGTGCTGCCATCAAAATAGAAAAACGAATGTTCGTCGAATATCAGTTCCCAGTCATTATCACGAAATGTTTGAGGAGGAATCCAGGCTCCCGTTCCGTAGCGTGTATGCTGGTATTGTGGATCTCGCACGTCATTAAGCTCATATATCTGGAACGCAAACGGAGGCTACAACTAGGTCAGCATCGATAAAGTACCGTTGCAGACGATCTTACTCCAGGTGCTCCATTGCCTGTAGCCATAATGCGCCGAGAACTTGGATTGCGACTCTGAAAGGTAAAACGGGGGGCAAGTTGCCAAAGGGCGACGCAGTAGCTTCAATCGCCCTTGGCCGTCATCTCATAGTATGAGACGATTCAAAGGGCAGAACACTGATAAAGGAATATTGCTAAGAAAGTCCTTCTCGATTGCGCAGAGGAGCAGCCGAAGTTATTTGAGATCGAGGAAAGGAGCTGTGAAGGCAAAGTGTGACGGCGGCACAGCAGTGATAAGGAAACGAATCGCTCTTGCCGAGCACGAAACAAGGCTATACGTAAATATCTACCTGCGGCTATTCGTCTTCCCATCAGAACCTCAGGGTCTGGGGCAACCATGTCGTATTCGTGGGTGGGTCGCGGATTGTGGTCCTGTTCTTGCCGGAATTCCGCAAGTTGCTGTTCCGATGCGAAAAAGGGAGCCGTTAGATCCAATGGAACCCTCCAAACCATCGCGAGGTTTATTTGGAAACCCCGCATCCAGTTTAGCGCTTGATTGCAGCATATGTCTGCACGCCGAGATTGATGCTATGACCAGCATCGGGAGGTCATACGGGCAAACTCACTCGCAGTAGCTCCGTCATCTCATCCAGTCTTGCGTCGCCAACGAAGCGGACAGGCATTCCAAGAGCTGTCATAGATGACTCCGCACCAGCGCATCGGACGAAATGCTCCTCGGATGCCGACCATAAACTGGTCAAAGACGTGGCATCCTGAACGACCACGAGGCTCTTCGGTGGTTCTTGATTCCGTGTAAAGGAAGTTGAACAATCGTACTATGTCCATGGGACAGCTCATGGGTAATGGAGGTTCCCTAGCGCCTTTGTCCAGGACAGGAGCCGCAGAGTTGACACCGAAGTGGAAGTCCAGTCACGTGACGGGCCATTTCCTGAGCCGTTAGATTTTGGAGAGATGCGGCTCAAAATCCAGCGTGGGTGGCCAGCCAAGTATATAGGTGGGGCGTTCTCATGGTGTCGGCCGCGGAGGTGAGCAAGGCAACGGGTGATTTCGAGTTCGGCTTGCCCGTTCGCCCGCCGGTGCGCTGCACGTGTCTTGGGCAAGGTACTTTCACTGAAGTACCCCTCGTTCATGTCGTTCCGCGCCTTCGATTCCAGATGCGGAAGTCGACCATTCTACCGGGTCGTACGGACAGCTAAGCGATTGCACATCGCAAAGCACATAAATTGCAGTGATATAAGTTTTTCGGCCCTTTGGAAGAAAAAATGAGCATGGATCTGGCTACGGAGGAGGAGGGCATACCTGAGGGCTAGCATGGTGCGTAAAAAAGCGGCCTCCAAACCCCTCGCCACGGGCCCAGCTGACCGGACATCTAGCGCCTTTTGTACTTCGATTCTCCTTAACAAACAAGGCAACGACTTGACACGCTGGATTGCATGTTGCCAACAGTTTGTTATCGCCTCAAAAGCCAATCGTTGGCTCATGTCCCCCTTTTGAACGGATCAAGGCAGTGCAACCCCTGCGGTTGATCTGACCTCCACTAGGGTGGACGCCTCGTCCAAGAATCGAGCTAGCATGGCCATTTCGGTTGCTTGACTGTTGACGGCGTATGGTGTAATCAACTCCCGAGTATAACCCGAATGAGGAGTAATAACTAGGGTGGGCACGTGGAAGTACACATGACTAATTTGCCACGAAGTCATGATAAGAGCTGGACGACTGGTTTGTCGGATCTGGGGCAAAACATCATTGCTGACAGACACTAAAAAGCACTGGAATCAACGGACACGGAGGCCGCTGCATGCTGACATGCCGCACTATTGAAGGAATTCGATCAAACAACAAAGCGTGGCAGATGGGCACCTTATATACTTCGCCGAAAGATATATCACATGGAGGCACCCCCCCGGCACGAGCCGTCACTTGACCGGAACAACGAAATCCTGTCAGGTAACCGGCGAAATTATCCCTGAATACAATGTCAACGGCAGCATCTTATTGATCTGGACCAAACATGTACGAGAAACTGGTGCCATTTCGGTACCATCGCTTCACCGGGTCGCTCTGGGTCAAGAAATGGACAGAAGACCCACAGTGGTTGTACACGCCACGGCCCACGGTGAGACTCCCAATATGGTCACTGACCAATATGCGGAAATATTGCATCAGAAGCAACCACCTAGCTGCTCATTCCGCCTCTCGACCAGGTTATATGCTCACTTCAATATAGATTAGCGACTTGATGCGAGGACGGCAGAAGACGTACCTGACGACCAATGTACGCGATAGTGACCTTATCCAAAACGCAGGCAATGTGAGAAACTGAGAGAGACTCGACTGGAATGCGCGATGTAAAGACGGACGAGGATAACAGAGAAAAGACTTCGAGTGCGCTATGTGCTCTGCAACAATGCCCCTGAGGCACGTAACCAGGGCAAAATCCAGGTGTCATTGTTGCTGCAGACGCTGGAATTCAACCACTTGCTCTGGCAAGCTCCATTCGATGGCCGAGATCTGGTACCAGGTTATATCCACCAGGTATGCTTTCATATTGTCCCCAGCAAACCACGCAATGTTGTTCAGGTGTGGCATTCTTTTAAGGGGTACCTTCCAAGTCAGAATCATTCTGCTTCAATGGTTTCATCAAGGCATCAGCTGTTTGCCTCAGCTGGTCGACTGGGGAAAGTCTCAAATTTGCACGCCATAATTCCCAAGAACTCCCAGATGCTTGCCGTTGGTATGAACGAGGGATGAGGGTGCCATGAGACCTTCAAATGAGTCCTGGTCATCGACTAACCCGCAAAAGCAGGCCCGACCTGGGTTTCCCCCTTGAATTCTCTGGTCTAGTATGCATCGAGTTTAACGGTTCGGTTGCATGCGTCTGCGATATGAGTTATGCTAGGAACGGAGGCTTGGTAGCTTTGAATTGATCCATGGCTTTTCCGGACCTGTGTGCATCAGCATCGCTTCCGAATTCCTGGGACGATTGCATGAAGCTACCTATACTTACAGACAGCAAACCAGCTCAGATGAATCTGCCACAAGGGAAGACGACCTTCACCGGCGATCTTCGAACCGCAGCGGTAAGACTCTTGTAAGATTCAGCACGGATGCTCGAAGAGTGCCAAGCTGGTGTCATTAGGTGGTACGGGAAATGGGATCAAGAAGGGCGTCTGGGGCGCCCTTTCAGGTTGTTCATGTCATTCCAAGGACGAGGATGCTCCGCAAGCCCTTCAGGTTACGAAATAGAGGTGACTAATAGGCTAATTCGCATTTAAATGGACAACAATCGGCGTGCCTGCGACAATGAGGCTATGACGGTTCGAATACCATAAGGGTGAACTGGGAGAGGCAAGCAGACCCGTATGCACGTGTTTTCTCCTGAAATGTGCAATCACGTTACCTGTGCTTCGTAAAATAATTCCGCAGATCGCAGGGCATCCTCGTGCTATTCAATCCCCTTTGTGTATTGCAATCTGTAGGAGTTGGAGTTACCTTAATACATCCAATATTCCGGTTTTGAATCTTCAATCCAACTTTGAATGGAGAGATTGACAAGTTCCAAAGTAACAAGCGAAAGAACGGTGTCACGTGATAATATTTACACTAAACCCAATTTATTCGAAAATTACATAGCCTGGTCAATTTCAGTCGAAATTCGGAGACAAAATTTCCACGATTCGCCCAAGACCAGGACTTATCCACATCGTCGCAGTTACTCACGGAACAAATTTAAAGTTCCAGATTGTTGTGTCTAATTATATTGAATTGCAAATTGGGAGCTTTTCAAGGCGCTTAATAAGAGCTTGGTTGGATCCCACAGACAACAGAATGGACCCGAGAAAAATAGCACACACTCTCATCCTTGACGCGGGCCCGATCATCAAGAATGAGCCGTCGGTGTCAAGCCTGCTCGCACAAGGGGAGAGTCTTGTGACAACACCTACCATCATTTCCGAACTTAGAGACGAAGCAACAAGGACCAGAGTCGAGACCACCTTACTTCCTTTCCTTACCCTTCGCAGTCCTAAACCGTCCAGTATCAAATTTGTCACAGAATTTGCCCGCAAGACCGGAGATGCTGTGGTCCTCAGCAAGCCTGATATTGAGCTTATTGCTCTTGCGTACGATGTGGAGTGTGAGCGCAATGGAGGAGACTGGCGGTTAAGAAATGCGCCGGGCCAGAAAGGCTTGAACGGCTCTCCACCACAGGCTGATACTTCCGCGGCACAGGATTCAGGAGATGGCAACGCATCCGAAGATGTCCAATCAAGCCAGCAGGATGCAGGAGATGGCAACGCGTCCGACAGTGTCCAAGCAAGCCAGCAGGATGCAGCAGGTGGACCGGATGTTCAGCCTGAAGAGCCCAGCGAGCCTACAACGCAGATCGAACCGGAAATTGAAGACAAGGACGCACAGGAGCTTGAGGAGTCTGTTCAAGAGCAAACCCTTGACTCCTTAGCAAAACTTGAAATTGATGCAACGAATCCAGAGCAAGAATCCGTTGTTGGTGGATCAGGAGATGCGGTGGCCAATCCTACGCCGGAGACTAAAGAGGAGGACGACGATTCTGATGGATGGATCACACCGGCGAATATCTCAAAACATCGAGCGAAAGACTTGCAAAGCTCTTCGAAAGAAGGCGCAAGTCGCAAGCCTGTTCAGGCTGCAATCATAACTTCGGATTTTGCAATGCAAAATGTAATCCTGTCCATGAACCTCAACCTCCTCTCCGCCTCCCTTCAACGAGTTCGACAGATTAAGACGTTTATTCTCCGGTGTCATGCATGCTTCCTCCAAACCAAGGACATGACGAAACAATTCTGCCCTCGGTGTGGAGGCCCTACATTGACGCGGGTGTCATGCTCGACAAATCAAAACGGAGAGTTCAAGATCTTCTTGAAGAAGAATATGCAATGGAATACTCGAGGCGACCGGTACAGCATACCAAAGCCGGTGGCTGGCTCTTCCAAGGGGAAGATCGCACAGGGCTCGAAAGGTGGTGGGAAAGGTGGATGGGGTCAGGGGTTGATTCTTGCTGAAGATCAGAAAGAGTATACCAGGGCAATGGAGCAGGAGAAACGGCGGCGGCAAAGGGATCTCATGGATGAAGACTATCTTCCGAGTATCCTGAGCGGCGAGAGATCCAAATCAGGAGGGAAGCCGAGGATTGGAGCCGGGAAGAACGTGAATTCCAAGAAGCGAATATGACGATCCGATGGAACGTGGGAGGGTATATCATCACTCAAGAGACATGTTACTGAGTGATCAAGGGACTCTCAATTCATAGCTGCACTCCAATGGAGACCCTATTTGAAGCCATAACTATCCTTGATCTTGTTCCGCAAGTGCCCTATGAAAACGCCGGACACCATGCTAAGATTGCCACAACTGCCTGGAGAGGCTTTTCCGCTCTCTCCCTATCTCTCATTTCTTCAGTTGTCTCAAGCGGCGTTGTGGACCTCCCCAAGGAGTTTCTGGTCGGCTTCTATATTATTGTATGAGCGAAACTGTCTCCTTGTGATTCTTGATAAAGCAGCGACTCACTCTTCTGGGTCAGCAAGAGCCCATAGCGCCGTTTGAGGGTATATCGGTGCCTATTGTCATGGTTAGAGGGTGTCATCATCGGCGCAAAGGCTGCGTGTCGCACCTTGAGAACTTGTCGTCCGGAGAAAATCTAGCGGGATGTGCTGAGAAGGTGGCTTTGGCATCGACGGCCTTCTTGAGCGTATAGACTCGTTTGCCGTTGCTGTCAACGGAGTACATGAGATACATGATGGGCCTATGCCAGGAAGGTCAGTATCCACACGATCGCGGCAGTTCGAGGATTCATCATACAGTTGGGAGTGTTTCAAGCGACAGAGCTGAATTCGTTACTCTCAAAGTCTCGATGAATGCGTGAGGGTGGCTGGTAAGTGGGAGAAGATCTTTCGTCGGATATTGTGGGGGAAATATGAAATTGAAGATTTCTGGGACGCTTTACTACGGAGCTCCCATCCCGTCACATCCCTGCAAGTCTGTTAACCTCCACGAGTCCATGTTGTGCTGCTCAATGTAATCTGTAATAGAGCATTGCACTACCGCTGTCTAACTCTTGTCATACATTTATTGAAGGGAAATGACAAAAGATATGTGAACCAAGCACTCCACAAGGACATACTCCCTCATATTTGCCCCACCAGGCCGGGCGCATGTGGTCCCCTCGAGTCCCTGTCCTCCCTTAACCTCTAGAGTCCTCATGCCTCGCACCCACCGGCAATCCCGGAGTTCCTCGCGACTATGTCATCTCCCTCGTACCGACAATCTGTCGATAGATATAGCTCCCCGACCTCAGCGACTTCACAACATGGTCAGTTTCCGTTTCCGAGCCCAGACTGGACCGCTGGGCGGCAAGGGTCGACATCAAGCCTTCGACGGGGTTCCGTTGCCAGCTCCATCGGCTCGATTGGAGGCTCCTTGGACACCATCGGTCAGCCGAAGGGCAATGCGATGACGGAAATTGGACAGAATGGTCAGTAGGAAGAGCATCTAGAGCCGACCACATCAAAGAAGCGGGCTCTAACCCTTTCGCTTAGCAATATCAACGCTCCTCCAGCCACCTATGCTTCGAACCGGACTCAACCCACACATAACACCATCCACCTCACATCGCCCTCCTACCACCCGAGATATTCCTCCCGTCACATTGGCCAATATCCCTCGTGTGGATAACTCCGTGTTCAAAACATATTTAGCGCAAATCGCGCCTTTGGTCGAGTCATTCCAGAGGGCCAGGTTAGGGTCGGAAAAAGATCCGGGTCGCAAACACAAAGGATCATCACAAGAAGAGCGCGTTGTGGATACGCTTGAGCGGAAACTGAGTCGAGATAGCCTAGGAGCCGAACTTCCCCGACGAGCCAGTTCAACCAGCGTTCTCTCCCCTGTTGAACCATCGGAAGGAAGACGGCGCTCCGGTGCCGGTTCGTCGAGGAGAGCGGCCGCGACCGTAGCGCCTCTCTCAACTATCCCGAGTGTATACTTCGATGGCAACTTTCAGCTGGAAAACCCGCGTACATTTGACGTAGTCAGCGAACGCTCCGAAGTAGTGCGATCCCCCTATCCATCCAAAGATGACGGGCAAGGCGCGAACGGACATCCGAATGGCGCCCCAGCACCTCCACGGAAGGCGCTTGCTACCAATGCGATTCTACAAGAGAAATTGTCGTGGTACATGGACACCGTGGAAATCCATCTAATTTCTTCAATTTCCACAGCTTCCGCGTCATTCTTTGCGGCACTTGGTTCCCTTAAAGACCTGCAGTCGGAGGCTTCGGATTCGGTAACCAAGATCAAGAAGCTGCGGGAAGATCTCGCCAAACTCGACCAAGACATGGCTCAAGGGGGTCTCGAGATTCTTTCCTTGCAACGACGGCGCGAGAATTTGCGGAAGCTTGGGCAGTCGATGATTCAACTGCGATGCATCATGGATGGCGCCACCCATTGCGAAGAACTGGTTGACAGTGGCGAGTTAGAGCTTGCAATCGACCGTCTCGACATCCTCGAACGATATGTGGCAGGGAAACTGCCCAGCGTTCAGGGCGAGGATTTGTCGTGGTTAACGTCCAATCCTGCGCAGCATATCTATGACCTAAGAAGTCTCAAAGCATTAGAAGGGTTCACGAATGGGGTGAATCTGCTTCGGGACAGAGTTGGGAAAGGATTCGAAGCCAGATTCCTGGAGACTTTGCTTGCCGATCTACGGCAGCACGTCTTTACGGTGCCGAATAAAGAAACGTTACGAGGGTGGGCTTTCGCGTCTCAGCGTTCAAGAGGCGGCCACGGGCGCTCGCAGTCAGGATTTCCTGCCTACATGAAGACGGACGATAAGTTTAGAGAAGATCTACAGTCGATTTTGCATGGTCTCAACCGCTCACGACACACCGGACCAGCTGCGATTGCATTTCGAGAGGCAGTGATGCGGGAAATGAAGAGCTTAATCCGCCAACATCTGCCCAGCTCGTCCGATGACGATGCCGAGTCATTGGCATCGGCATCGACGCGGAACAGCCGAGCTTTGAGTCAACAAGAGAAGTCGGTGATACTTGCTCGTAATCTGCGCGCCTTAGATCCCGAATCCGCCGAGGACCTACTGGTGAAGACATACACTGCAGTGGGAGAGGTCCTTCGGCGGCTGGGCGTCCAGGTGAAGGTTCTCCTCGATGTGACGACCGGAATGTTCGTCCCTCCTCCCAAGTCGGATGTCTCGTCCCCGCCGCGAAGCCCGAGCATTCCCAGCATCGAGAAGACGATCGTCCCCGGCCGACATAGGGCGGACTCCAGTTCCGTACAAGAGGAAATCTCACAGAGCTTGGACATGTCCAGCCTTTTAGGGCAAGCTGTCGACGTCGCTTTAACGCACGTTACCAAAGTCCTAAAGGCACGCTCGGAGCAGACAGTCCGCCTTCCCATGGAGTTTTTCCTGCGATATTTCACGTTGAATCGGTTATTCACCGACGAATGCGAAGCAGTCTCGGGCCGATCCGGCGCATCGCTCAAGTCCGTGGTCAATATGCAGATCAAAGAATTTGTGACTTTGTTCGGGGAATCGGAAAGGCAAAAGCTGCAACAAGTGCTCGATGCGGATCGGTGGGACGCCAAAGATGTTGGCGAGGCCGAATCGGCGGCTCTCTCGCGGATTTTGGAAAGCATGACATCGGACCCGCCTACATGGACGAAGATCGCCGACCTGTGGGCAGATCCAGAGTCAAAAGAAGACGACGAACAGGGCGCCGAGGGAGAGACAAATGGCGTTAAAGAGACAGAAAAGGCCAGAAGTGCAGTCATTGACGAAGACAAGTACATATTGGTCGCGTCCACCATTCATCTCCTACGCACGGTCGAACGGTTCTGCATTATTCTCACGATTATCCCTCCAATGAGCAACGAGATATCGACCTCGCTCCTCGACTATCTAAAACTTTTCAACTCCCGGTCTTGCCAGCTCATCCTCGGTGCCGGCGCAATTGGCACGGCTGGGTTGAAAAATATCCTAACGAAACATCTCGCTCTTGCATCTCAGTCCTTGAGCTTCGTCATCGCCTTGGTTCCTTACCTTCGAGAGTTTATTCGTCGGAGACCCTCCACATCACCTGGGACTCTGGCAGAATTTGACAAGGTGAAACGCCTGGTTCAGGATCACCAATCGAGCATAGACGAGAAGTTCGTTGATATCATGGCCTTGCGCTGCTCGTCCCACATATCAGCAATGAAAAAGCTGGATTTCGATGCAGAGAAGGAAACACAGCGGAACGTTAGTCCATATATGGAGACACTGACGAAGGAGACCAGCACGCTCCAGAGAGTGCTCGCTAGGCACCTACCAGATGGAAACGTGAAGATGATCATGCTCCCCGTCTTCACCAACTACAAAGAGCAATGGGGCAAGGCGTTCGCAGATGCCACGGTAACCACAGCACCAGGGAAAGCAAGGTATGGCCTTCGTCAACGAGAACTTCATGGGTGGTGCTAACCTGCGTAGACTTCTACGCGACGCCGAGTTGTTCGATACGAGGCTGAGCAAGATCGATGGATCTGGTGATATCGGCGCCTACGTCAAGGACATCGTGCACAAAAAGAAAGTCCAAGAGAAACCAGCGCCCGCCCCAACGGCTGAAGGTGACGATGACGCGGAGACGCCGAAGGACGTAGCCCCAGAGCCGGAAGAGAAGCAGTCGGACTCGTGAATTAGCGTTGGTCTTCGTTCGGGCGTTTCCTTTTTCCAACCGGACGACAACTTGAGTTGGATCGTCGTTGCATTGGGCGGAGTTCATGTGTTGAGGATCCATTTAGCGTGCGATGAGATCGTTTAACTATATGTACAAACTTCTAACAGATGTTTTACAGCCGCGCTTGGCGGAGGCACGGGTGGATTGGCCTGCTGTGCTGACTATCAGCATCAAACACGACAATACAAGTCCATTCTGCCTTCGTATGACTCTCCCGTGATGTCAATCCAACATCTCCATGTCTAGTAAACCGGTGCAATGCGATCAAAATGGGTACGAACGCTCAAGCCCGTAATCCATGCAAACCCAGTCTTTTGTCTCTTTCCGAATAACGCCATTCAATGCCATGACAAATCAACACGATCATCTCTTGCTAGTCTTCTTCAACGTCGCGTTCGCGCTCGCCGAACCCAACGCAGCCCTCTGTTTGAGATAGTGCCTGACCACATTCTCAACGGATCCCTTGTCGTGCTCCGGTTTCCGGAGATACGTCAACCGCGCCCTTCTCGCCCGCTTCTCCGCCCGCTTCACCACCTCCATTCCGACCACGTTCGGACTGTAGACCTTGAACCACATCTCCACGCCGACCCTCGTCAATTGGCCGCGCAGCAGCACCGCCGTGTCCGTCCCTGCCCTTTTGATGCTGATCACCACGCCGGCGAACGGGTCGCCGCTCCGTTGCCGCACGAGGAGAATGTCGCCGGGGCAGACTCGTTCGGGGTTGGTTGGCGCGAACAACCGCGTCCGCGTGCCGGAGGGATCGAGGTGCCGGATATGCGTTTCGGTGAGGACTTTGAGGGGCTCTTTGCATATCGGGAATGGACTCGGGGGAACTTCATGGACGCGGATTCCCAGATCTCGAAGTTTCGGACGAGGGGGACGACTGTTCAACGCTACAATGCTTCGTCAACATCCATCCGCCAGGCAGGTGAAGCACACGGCTCCAGGGGCGAACGTACCGGCATTGACCATCTTTGTAAGCGGTCGTCGTTTCCCGACCATGGGCGGAGGATACGATCGAGGCGGAGGCGGTCCCATGGCCACACGCGGCTGGACTTTGGGAGCTTTGCGCCATTTGAAAAACGACGCAAGTGACGGGACCTTTAAAGATCGCAGGGATTTTGTGATCGCGGACATCGTATCTAACAGCACGGCAGCGCCGCGTCTAACAATTCGAGTCGTCAATGGGATTCCGATGTGGATTGTAGAAAGTTGCTGGCTTTTGGCTGGGAGTTGAAGGGTTCGGACGGTGGATGACTAAGCCAGGCATCCCAAACTTTGAAGTCCAAGACTGTAGGACCTTTATTAACGTACCTCCGTATCCCCTAGGTACTATATTATCAATGCTAGGACAAGAATTCTCGGCCCTGGAGATATACGGTTGCACATGTGAAGCTATTGGGTAGATTGCTGAACCATTATTTTGATGGTTGCGATTGAGGTAGTGGAAATGCCGCTTCAACTCCTCTGTGTGGTAGCAGCCTGGTAAACATAACCCGAGACCATAGGAACTTTTGTTGGTAAAAAAAGAAATATATGACCATGTACTAGTTCGCCTGTATACCCCCTATTTCCCGAGAATAAATTTGAGCCCGACGCCGAACCATGCTGACCGGAATCCCAGTATGCTCATGCCACAGGAATTGTTCCCTAGCATGCCGAACGAAAATCGGCGTCCTCCTCCTCCGGTATTCCACCAGAGTTTTCCTCCCTCTGTCTCAGCTCCTCCTCTTGCTTCTGCACTACGTCCTCCTCCATCCACCGTAGACCATTGGCGGCCTCTTCTAGGGGGAACACCTCGCGTGCGTATTCTTCCATGCTCCGGAACCCTTCCCATAGCTCTAACGCTTCCTCCAAGCACTTCTCTTGAAGGTCCGGCCCGAAGTACGGAGCTCGTTGGTTGCCGAGAACCTCTTCCAGGATCTCTAGGTGTTCTCGATATCCCGTCGGAACAGGAAGAGATATCGTGATAGGGGCACGGACATAGTGAACGGGCCGATTCAGAGCCCTACTGAAGTCACGACAGACTTCAAGGGGAGTGAGATTCTGGAACGCAAGGCAGACTCTGTGAGAAACAGTTAATATGATGCTCGGACACACGAGGGAAGTATTGAGCCACTGGGGGTGAATCGAACACCAAGTTCTCAAACCCAAATTATTCGCTTACCTTTCGCCATGCCATCTTTGCGGGCCATGTTTGAAAATCTGAAGAATTGCCGGGCCAACGTCATGCTCAGCGTCAAGCCATGGGAGCTTATCGTGCTCATGGAACGGAGCTCTCCACTCAAAGCTTCCATCGTCTAGCAACTCCATCCGGAACAGCGGGTAATCCAAGCTCGTAAAGTTGTTGTGGTATATCGCCGTATACACAAATGTCGCTCGAAGCCCGAGCTTTTTCACGTACTCTTCAATTTCTGCTTTGCGTGCCCAGAGTGGCAACGATTTCCATCCCTTTCGAAATCTTGAGTGGTCGGGCATCGTGCTATAGATATAGTGCTTCACACCGACCCGCTTCGCTTCGTCCGCCAATGCTTTTCCCACAGCAAATTCGTTACCCCAGTGCGTGGTGTTGATGAAGGCCAGGTCGACACCCCCGTTCTCCGTGCTGAAGAGTTCTGCAATAACGCCCGGCTCTTCCAGATCGCCTTCGATCACGGTGACGTTGGGTAGGCTGCAAATCTCCTGCGCTACGATCCCTTTGCGATCGCGCATCTGCGCACGAACGTTCCAGCCAATGGCTGCCGCCACTCGCACCACACTCGCGGCTTGACGACCACTGCTGTTAATCGTAACCAGGGTCTTGCCCGTCCGCATGGTTAGGGTTCTGATGGTGGACGGCATTGGAGCGATATGGCTAAAGGCCCCTCAGCCTGAGCGACCGGACCGATTGCAATATATTTCCCCCTTCTCCAGTATCGGCCGAGAGTTGAAGGGAGCAGAGCGGAAAACAACCGATCGCAGCTTCCGTGCAGTGCGCGTTTTCGATGTCTGGACTTAGGATGACGATAGCTGAATTTTGGGAAAGGATTTTTGATACCAGAGCGTCGATGCTGTGATCGCAACCAGGATTAGGCCACCGCTATCGAAGCCTAGTCAGGTCAAATCATCAATATGAGTATAAGGCAACCGGTGGCAGAAATCGTCCGAAAGAGGATATCGATCAGCCAATAAGACTTTGCTAAGGATGCAGGATAAGGAGCTGATAAGTGATAACGCAGACGCAGTCGGACGTTTCGAGGTAAGCGTTTCCGCCGTGGTCAAGGTAGACTTCCACCGACAGGCCGACTTCAACGGGTTGAAACTTTGGGTGTTCTCAGTAGAAACTTGCGAAATATGACGTTATCAGCTGTTCAAGATGGGGGAGGCAGCCGAAGGGAATTTGGAAGGTCACTGCGGATGGTACGGGCACGGGAAGCGTACCGTACCTATATTCGGCGGTGATGACTAGGTATTCTCAAGCAAGACAGGAGCACGCAACAACTTGATAAGAATGCATAAGAGGCGGATGGGCAAAATATGAAGTCGCAGAATGTCCACAACCTGCCAGAAAAAGTTGACGATGTGCAGGCACAGGGTTCAAATGCAAGCCGGTGGACAGGGTCTTGGAGGGATAGGCATCGGGAAAAGGCAGTCCCATGGCGCTGGTGGTTGATTCGCGTTACTTCGCGTTGAAACGGCTTCCGGAGGAATAGGGAAGAAGGGTTCGGGTTAGGGACCGACGACGAGAGGAGATGACAGGCCAAGGGGGCCAGGAATCATGCCAAAAATGAAAAATTACCGTAATTAAGCACCACGTGCGTGAAAGTCTGACCAAGGTCTGGGCCAGGCAGGCGCTGAGGAGATGAAAAAGTTACATGTATTAGCAAAGATTAGCCAAAGGAGCAAGGTCCCCCGTTGGTGTCACGCATCTTCAACGCCATCCAGAGACCGTACGAGAGGACTTCCTATTACCTAATAATCGACTATCCTTGGCCGCCTTTTTCCAGTTAATAAACAGAGTGGACTGGTTCGGCACGCTTACAGCTTCACGAGACCACGAGAAGTTCGATCCATCCCCGCCAGCGTTGGCTTGGATGTGGCCGGACGTTTGACGGTGAGCGGGACTGCGGGATACATGGTGAATTGTTGATCGTGATCGGATAGAATTCATGGAAAACTTGAACTGGTGAAGTCTCCCTACCGTTCTAACAGCGATCCTGTGTTCAATGTGTTGAAGAGTTGATACAGGTCTTCCCTCTAATACAGCATCCCTCAGCCAAGATTTGTGGGCTGATCATCATAATCCTTCGTCGTTGATTCCTCTACACGTCTACATGTTAGCCTCCTTGACAAGAACCAAAGAATGGTGACCAGCTACGCAGCAGATGCCCAAGTCGAGTCTCTCTTGAATCGAGGCCCCTCGCACAAGGCACCACCGCACCAGCGATCCGATATTTAGCTAAAAATTTCGATATTGCGGGGTACCCGGCCCCACTGCACACTTTGCTTCTGTTAGGTCTCAATTCTCCAAACGCTCAATTCTCATGCGGTCACGGCGTCATCCAACCGACGTGTAATATCTGATCGGCACTCTGCAGCCACGTTCTTGACTCCCAGGGCCTGCAGCAGTGCAGCTCCGTACTCGGCCGATGACGAGAGCTCAGAGCTCATGCTTGAAACCAGTCCTCCGGTTCGTCGGGATGACTGATGAGGGCATTAGGGCGGTACGGGAATCAGAGACAAGCGACCCCCGCCACTGGTAGATCGCGCCTTGGACTGCATCGTGCGATGCGTAGGATGTTGCATCTCCGGAGTCAACACACGTGATGCGAAGGGCGAGATTCCAAGATCATCGCCCTCTGCTTACCCACCTTAAGTGCTGAAGCCTGAAGGATGTTGCTGATGATACCATGGAGGCGGCATCGTGCGGCATCGCCTATTCCCCAGTTGTACACAGAACTCTTCGAGCCAGGCTCAATTTCTTTAACTTACAGAATAGATTGAACCAGAATTTCTTGAAGAATATCGGGTGGGTCCGCTGTGGTTAAACCCTGAACAGTGGGGAGCAATGTCCATTATTATTATTAATATTCAACCGAAGTTTGGTTAGACAGCGACACGGAGAAGGGAGAAATTCCCCTTTTGCTAAAAGGGTGGATCGGCTGCGCAAATATTGATGAAAGGGAAGGATGCTTGGCATTCGAGCATAGCGACGCTGGGAGGAACAAGTTACTGGACTAAACTCTTCCTTTTCTTTGTAATTACGTTATGATATCCCAATTCGCATCAAGTAATCAACTGTCTTTGGTGGGAGAAAATTGCACCCACCGCAGAGTGCAGACCAGCCCATGTCACCGCAACCAACTTCCAAAAGGAGCTGGGAGTGAGAAAGACAAACTCGGTTGCCTTTAAGCACACCATCAACACCGGAAATCGATTCATAGAATGGCGAAGTATCACGCGATGCTGAAATTTGTTTTGTTATCTGAACTTCTGTCGAAGCAGATCAATGAGTGTCGAACGGCTAAAGCTCTCGCGGCCATAATGAATGAATGGACACCCGAGCCCGATACCTGTGAAAGGAGAAGACAGCAAGAATTGTCCTCACGCGAGTCAATCTGTTACCACTTTCCGTCCACGTCAATTCCTTCCACTCGCCTTTGCATGCAATTTTAGTCAGTCTTCTCCTTACACCCGATGGCATAAGCTCCCCCTTTTTAGGCAATTTGATTTCCTCCATCGAATCTAGCACCCTTTTCAGTACCTTTTTCAGCATCAATCACCACCGTCTTGAGATGTTTTCCACTCCAAATCCCAAACCGGCGTTTGATGGCTTTCCAGATCTCAATGTAGCAAGTGTATACGACCGTGCAGCCGACCACAATGCCCCACTCCCAGGTCAGACCTTGGTGCTTGAACACCACTCGGTTCATCACCGGGATATACACGATGGGAAAGCAGATGACGAATCCGGCCATCACGGACCAGAACAGGAATCGGTTCCGCCAGAGCGTGGAGAACACCGAGAACAGGCCAGTGTGGCGACTTGGGTCCATGTTGAACAACGATCGTGAAAAGTGCTTGACTTCCCACGCCGTGACGAGGAGCAGGAAGGTGAGCGTCGCATAGGTCGTCGCCCGAGCACGGTAGACCACATCACAACTGTCGTTGTAGCCTTCGTTGCAATCATGGCCGAGGTTTCCGCCGCCCGCACCATAGCTGACCGAGGCAAAGGAGACGAGACACAGGGAGCCTAGGAACACGCCATAGATGAACTTGTCGGTGATCAACTCCGCGGTAAATACCCCGACCTGCAAATTGGCAGGCGGGCGGTACATGATGTCTGGCTGCGCATCTTCAAGGCCAAGCCCAATCGCCAAGAACGAGGACGTGATCAAGTTGACCCACAGGATCTCCAAGGGAGAAAGTGGGAATATGGAGACGCCATTGTCGTCCTTGAACGCGAGGCCGAGAAGAAGGAGCACGACTTGTGCAATGTTCGAGATCAGGAGGTGCATCAGGAACTACGTACAAAGTAAGCATGGACAAGATGAACGACGCGTGCAGACCTACCTTCTGGATGTTGTCGAAAAGTCGACGGCCTTCCTCGATTGCTTTCACAATCGATGCGAAATTGTCATCCGTCAGGACCATGTCTGCCGCCTCTTTGGCAACATCGCTACCGGATTTACCCATCGCGATACCTACATCAGCGCGCTGAAGAGCCGGGGAATCGTTGATCCCGTCACCCGTCATCACGCAGAAGACCTTGCGTCTATGCAATGCCTCTACCATCCGGACCTTTGTCGACGGGCTGCAACGAGCAACGACAAGAGGCAGATCCTCCATCTTATCCACTTCCTCATTGGTCAGCTTGTCGAAATCCGCCGCAAGCATGATCTTTCGATCCTTCCCGATTAAGTCCGCTGGTTTCAGAATACCAACCTCCTTTGCAATCGATGTAGCCGTCTTGATGTGATCGCCGGTCAACATGTGCACGACAACTCCCGCGGTCTGGCATTTCTTGACCGCGCCGGCGGTTTCTAGACGAGGTGGATCGTATAGTCCGACCAGACCAAGGAAGTCGAGCTCAATTTCCATGCGGTCTCGATTGCCCCGTTGTTCTTCGCTCAATCCCGTGGGAATTGGTTTGTGTGCTACGCAGAGAACTCGCAAGCCTTCTGCAGCCAATTCCTCGACCTTCTCTTTCATTTCCTCGGCCAGCTCCGGGGAAATGTTCAGGAGCGGCAAGAGGACCTCGGCCGCACCCTTCGCATACATGTGGAAACTGCCATCGCCGTTGCGATAGATGACCGACATGCGCTTTAGGGCAGACTCGAAAGGAAATTCGACCGCCAGTGTGCTTCGCCCGTCTTCAAGTAGAGTCGGTTTGCCTAGGTTGAAACGCGTGGCCAGAACTTGAAGAGCAATCTCGGTAGGTTCACCAAGGGCGGTCCATGTGTCAGGTGCTGACGCGGTATTTGCTGTGCTTAGTGACGCAGAGTCCTTCGACATATTTGTCACTGTCGCCAGATTGCAGAGGGCAACCGTTGTGAGGAACATCGTCAGGTGCGGGTCTTGATTGAAGGACTGCTCCGTGGTCACCCAGTTCGAGTCGTCCACAAATCCGCTTGTCGGATCAAAAGGAGTCGCGTCCTTGATGAAGAGGGTACCGGATCCCGGTATCCAGACCTCCTTGGCTACCATTGATCCCTGCGTAATCGTTTGCGTCTTATCGGAACAGATATGGTTTGTACCTCCAACGGCCTCAAGAGCCGCAAGTTTTCGTGTAATGACATTGCTGTTTGCCATGGCTTTAGTAGCAACGGAAAATGTGATGGTCAAGACGGCGATGAGAGACTCCGGAATGACTGCCACCGCCACGCAGATCCCATAGATAAGGACTTCGCCATCTACTTCCCATTTGCTGACGGAGAAGACGATGATCGCAAGGAGGATTGCAAGACCGAAGAGCAGTAGGGCAAACTTGCTAAGTTTGACTTGAAGAGGCGTTCCCACCAGACCTAGAATGTGCTTGGCGGTGTTTCGGGCCTTTCGTAAAGCCTTGATGGCCTTGCTGCCGTCCTTAGCATTCCCGTTGGAACGTAGCATGTCTGCAATCTTTCCGACCTCAGTGTGCATTCCGGTGGCGATCACGACTCCTTTGGCACGGCCACGAGTGATGGTACTTGCAGAGAAGGCAAGATTGGTCCGATCACCGGTTGCAATGTCGAGGGATGTAAACAATTTCTCGGGAGTTTTATGGACTGGAAGCGATTCGCCCGTGAGCAAAGCTTCGTCCGCAGCCGTGTTGATTCCCTCAAAGAGTCGAACATCGGCAGGCACGATATCACCAGTCGTCAGCTGAATGACATCCCCGACCACGAGACTGAAAGCCTCGATGATCTTGGATTCCCCGTCTCGAACTACGGTGGTCTGCGGAGCAGATAGCTCAAATAGCGAGGCAATTGTTTGTTCTGCATTGTAATCTTGGTAGAATCCTACAATGATGTTCAGAGTGATGACTCCAGCGATAACAGAGCCTTCGATATAGTCGTCGATGATGAATGACAGGGTCATAGTAATGAGAAGAACAATGGTCAGACTATTCGAGATCTGTCTCAAGAATATCTGCCACTTGGATACTCCCTCAGCTGCTTTAATCTTGTTCGGCCCATGGTAGCGAAGACGAGCATCTGCTTCGGTAGCAGAGAGCCCATGGTGCAAGTTTACATCGAGAAGCTGGGCGACTTGCTCTGCTGAAAGCGTATGAGCCTTTTGGGCTATATCATCTGCGGTGAAATTCGGTGTTGGATCCTGTGATTCAGTGCTGAGATTCGATTCCGGACGACCCGAATCGTCGGTGGTGTGAGGATGTGGCGATTTCTTGGTTTGGCCACATATAGGAGGTTCGGAACTCTCCTCGGGGATGGGGTCTTCTATACCCATTCAATAATAAGCGTGAGGAACCTAGAGTAGTAGTAGAATCAACAAAGAGGCACCCAATCTCTTAAGCACCGGAAAGACAGGAAGGGAATTGGAATTTCCAGAAAGATGCACGAAGCAACAGGGTGGGAAACGCGGAGATACCTTATACCCCTCCCCCGTGGGTGAAGCAAGTGGGACTGCAGGCATCCTCACTTCTTGTGCAAGCGGCAAGCCTGAGTTGCAGTTGCAGTGAAAGAATCGCTGTCTTGGCTACAGCAGCAAGCATTAGTTCAGTTAAGCGAATGGCGAACACACATATGCCTAGTCACTCAACGTCATATTCCGCCAACGCCGAGCATACATGAGGCTCTTGGTGCTTGGACATGCGGACTTGGGGCGGACTAAGTTCATAGGTTCGGATTGCAGATCCAGCAACTTAGGTTTCTGTCCCTATTATGGTCGGTACTCGGAATGAATAATAATGGACCCATGGTCTGAATCTGATAGATATAAGAATGAGGCGACCAATTGAATAGATAGCATGGATTCAGCAGCAACTAGTAATATTCCATAAGAGTCTTGGTCTCCTTGGAGCTCTCAGGAGATGGAAGGATTGAATGCAACTTTGCTCCATTCGTCACCTTCAGCGATTCAAAACCTCAACCATTATCAAACCAATAGCAATCACGTTCTTTGACTTCTTTCAGTGGCAATTGGGAGTGATTTGTCGTGAATGTTTACGGAGGACGTTGAAATTAAACTCGGTCCGAAGGTGATAATTGGAGGTCACGTGACTAGAATCTCTAACCTCTGGCCCCTGGCACGTGCTTGAGAGTTTGATTAACGATTGACTGATGTCAAAGCAATCAATCTTCGTCTGTCTTCACAATTGAGTGTTTCCCGAACATGCTCATCAGAGAGTTCCAGCATCCAGCCATCATTAATGCTACGTTGTGCAGCGTGTCGCCTTTCTGCGTTTGATTTGTGACTTGTGGCACGTCAACTTCGTTGGTGTCGCCAATATCATAGCCACCCGCATCAGGACCTCATAACACGCTCATTACCACATCCCACATTCGTTTTGCGATTGCTACTGCCAGCTGCTCCATTAACGTACCTTCAACTGCTACGTGGCACTATACACTGATACGCCTAAGACCGATACCGGGGAACAGTTTGCGACAATGTCCAGCCCTTCACCAACTCCCGACGTTCCGCGACACCGATTGCCTACCTTGTTCGAAGTGTTGGGACGAAGAACGCTAGCACCCGTGGATCTGTATTCATTCTACATATACATGAGGGACCAGCAGAGATCAGTGGACTATTTGGACTTCTGGTGGGTTATCCTGAAAAGACGTATATTGGACTCTCACTGATGAATTTTAGGCTCGATGTCTCACAACACATGTCCCTATGTCGACATTACGTCCGGGAACTACGTCGCTCCAACCTCATTGAAACCCCCGACCTAGATAAAGCGAGCAAGCGATCGTCCGCGGGTTACGACGCAGAGGGAGATGGTGCCGGTCCGTCCACCGAAAAGCCCATGTCCGACCAGCGACTCTCCGCGTTCCTCCGTTCCGAGAGCCCAAGCAAACACTCCCCGTCAAACAGCCATGGAAGCAACACGACGAATCAGAGCGCTACGGGTGCAGAACACACCGCCAGGCCTGGGCTCACGAAGTCCACCTCGCAGTCTCCTGCAACCGGAACTGATCGCTCTCCCCCGCATGCCTCTGATTCCCCGGGGCACACTGTGACGCGACAGGATTTGCGGGCATCGGCACAGCGGATCCTGTTCGTGTATCTTCTACCTGGGTCGGACCGCGAAATCATTCTCCCCCAAGGAATCCTCAACGAAGTCACCGCTGCTATCGAGGAGAATGGCCGAGAGGATCCCGAAGTGTTCGACGCCGCGAAGGACTACGTGTTCCAAGCCATGGAACGAGACGCATTCCCTGGGTTCCTGCGGTCGAAAGCGCTTGGAAACGTCGTCCCGCCAAGTATGATGTTTAGAGCGATCGTTGGCCTGATTTCTTTGTTCGGAGCGCTATGGACAGCGTTTGTCCTTATTTTCCTGGATTATAATCGCCAAACGAGGTGTTGGGTATGTATAGATGCAAGCATCTTCCGTTGCAGGATAACCATGTCTGACAATCCACAGCTGATCCTCCCGTTCACCATCGGCGTTTACGCGCTCGCCTCCCATCAATATATGCTCGACCCCATCCTCGCACTCGTGGGGTATAGTGAATATACATTCATGAAATTCGCCCGAGTGAACGAGCCGTTCGTTCGAAAATTACTCGTCAAAAGATCGTGGAGCGTGCTAGGAGTGGTGGTGTTGATCGATGCAGCGCTTTGCTCTCTGTTCATCTTCGTTCCGGGAAAGAGGCTATGACATAATGTACGATTTGGTTTGGGAAATGCTTTTAGCGGAATCGGTGTTCTGCGATGGCCGAATGAAGGCGTATTGTGGGTTAACTACAACTAATGGCCATGGAGTTGTACTCGTCTGGGCTGCTGTGTGTTTATCATGGCCGTTGTTCATGCCATCCGGGATGGCACTCGTGTGATTTTACTCTATCAGCATGTCTGATCCATCTTCTTAAGTGTGGTCTTCGGTGTCGAGTTGTCGTTCTTGAACATGTCACTCAGTGCGATATCTCTAGCTGCTCCCCGGAACAGCAAGCGAATGTGTCCTGTTTTCTGTTTGCTCCGGAGTAAATAATCTTGTCATTTGCGAACTAAACCATAAGAATCATATGCAATCATCAGGACGAATCTCAGCTATCCGATCTCGAGTCATTCACAGCCCAGCTGCTTCATTTCATCCATCCCATCTAACATTGAGGCTCAATCCCCAAACGGACGAGCATGCGGAATACCCCCGCTGCCTAGTAGTTCTTGGGGCAGTTCCTCCACTGGATGTGAATCTCCTGCGAGTACTGGGTGTCGCTGGCTAGATCTTGAGCATCGATCGTGATTCGTCCAGGCTTATTCCGGTTGCCGAGCAAGTTGAGGTCTGTCATCATGTTCAGGATGGACGACGTTTGGCCGCAGGGAGACCATGCGACGACGTCGGATTCGTCGACTTTGTCCCAATAGAAGTCGTAGTCTTCGTCTTTCGGACCCGTGGGAATGGAGACGGACGTCCGGACCTGCTTTCGAGGTTACTTAAACAGCTTATGGAGTACGCGACCGTCGTCAACTTACCCTACCACGCTCTCCCGTGAACCAATACGTGGTCGAGCACTTCCCAGTCTGCCCCTTCTCCAGATGCCCACTCCCACGATAGATCGAGCTCACAATCGAATACGACAGCCCCTGCGGGATGACCAGCGGCACCGACAGCGTGCACGCCTTCCGCCAGTCCTCGGGCCCCTTCCCCGGCCCCGACAGCGCGAAGAACTTCTCGAAAATCAACTGGATTTTCGTCTTGTCGGTGGACGCGGCGAACTTGACGGAGCCCGTCGGGCAGCCGTCGCCAAAGATGATCATCTTGGAGGCATCGAACTGCACGTCGCGGGGGTTGGGTTGGCCGGTGGGCTCAGTGGAGATCTGGGGGAGGGCGAGGGCGCTGCCGGCGAGGGCGAAGAGAGTAAAGAGGGTGGACTTCATGGTGAAGGGGTTTGGGTTTTCCTGGGGCTGATTAACTGACTGGAAGCTGATGCGTGTTTGGGAATCCTCTGATGTCAATTCGGGGAAGACGACTGATATAGCTAGACACGGGAGCATGTCCAGTACATGTCCTCGGGGACATCAGTCCATATTCGAAGGATCCCATGCTATCCCAAGCAGTTCCGAGTCTGTTATCGCCAATTCAGCTTCGGATACGATAGTTGAAGGCGTCCTATTAAGCCTAACTTAAGCGAGTGATACAAATTACAAATCGCCCGAACTAGGCTGGAATGTTCCGATGATCGAATGTATCCATCGCAGAAAGGCTGAAGATATATTTGCTGAATCTTACGATTGATGCATTGAAAGCTCGTATGCTATGATGTCCTGGCTTTTGACGTAGAGCGGTGGATGCATGATGGTTACAGTTGCTAGGATTCTGCTTCAGCCCTTTCCACCTGGAATGAAGAGCGGATGGCCATAATTGAGCTTGGACGTGCCATATGTATTGAGCGATATAGGTGGTCATCATGTACATCATCTTGACTGGGAATGACATGCAGAATGGTGGCGGCACCACCGTTGAGTACGGCCTGGAGATGCATTGAGACCCTCGAGACTCCAGGCATTGAAGGATATGACGCAAATATCTAATACGATAGAATCTGGAGGCGTGATGGCCAAACTATTCGATGGAGTGATATTATCCGCGAGTATGATTATTCCAGAAGCGAGCCAGCGCCCAGAAAGTACGAATAAGTATGGTATAATTAATCTCATGTATTGGGTTGAATGTCCGTGGGTATGGGGAAATTGGGAACACAACAGTGAGACTCGCCGACAACTCACGTCTTCATTCATCCTGCAGGAGCTTTTCGTCTTCAGTACCACTGCGGCACATCATCCCGAGCCGTCAAGCCTGTAACCGAACGTTGTGTATTAGACCTATCATAGAAGCATCTGGCACGCTTGGCATGATCCATCCAACCCATCAATTCCGAGGAGATACTGACCCGACGGATTTTCCCACTCCTTCATTTCAAATACCTTGGGCTGAAAAAAGACGAGAGGAGATGTCATGCATTCTCTCCCTCATTTAGACGCTGTACACAAAAAGAACGCCCCCTTCCACGCTCGGCTGTCGGAGCCAGTCGCTGCTCATCCAATTCTCGTTTCGTGTCGCCATGGCAAAGGCATATCAGTCGGTCAGCGATGTGCGACTTATAGACGACGCCTCGTCCTAATCTCCAAACGATCCCTCAGCTCCATCAGCTCTGCTGCTCGGGCTGTCTCGTGGGCTTGCTTCGTCCCGAACCGGAGGACCTAGTCGCAGTTAGCACGCGCAGCTAAGCCCTGCAGGGGAACGTCAAACTTACATGCTGATCCGCCGGGCCATGGTCGTCATCACGGTGTCGTTCTCCGCATCCTGACTCGCCCGCTCCAGCGCCTGGTTTCTGCTCTCCGCATGGTTCTTCCGTACATCCTCCTGGCTCGGTGGGAGCCGTTCATTCTGTAGATCCACCTTGCGCGCGTCTTCGAAGCTGTGGATCGCTTTCTTGATGCCCTCGGCGCCGAGCATGAGCGTCCCCGCGGGGAGGCGACCGCCCGAGGCAGTCTTGAGCTCGGAGACGCGCTCGGATTCTTCGCGGAGGACCTGGAAGACGCGGGAGAGGCGGCCGATGGCGAGGATCTTTTTCTTGATGGCGCGGCGTTTGTATTCGATGGATTCGGGGTCGGGAGAGCCGAGAGGGGGAGACGAGGGGCCGGAGGCGATGGAAGGGGTTTCGTCTTCGAGTTCTTCTTTCGAGCAGGTGTTGAGGATGGCGATGAGCATGTCGGTGACTAAAGATATTAGTGATGGGGCGTGTTACAATGGATAAGATACGTACTCTTCTCTCCTACGAACGGGAGTGACCACGTGAAGACGTCCATGAAGTTTGGAAGCCAATACGGATGAGGTGTGCAATCTACAGCTCGGTCAGCGATGCTAAATGAATCTAGGGAGATCGGACATACTGAATTGTCTGATGTTCATGACGTTGTTCTCATACTTCAAGACCGCCGCCTTGTTGTTGTAGACATCCAGATAATTCGGCGCGCTGAAGATTGTCATGACGCTAGGGAAGCCAGTCGTCCTCGTCTTGCGATACATACGATACCCGGCATCCTGGGCCTCGTGCGCGCGAATGATCGACAGCAAGCCGTTCTTTTCCAAAAACGCACAGGCCGCCGGGTATGAGAAGAAGTAGGAGCACCCACGGACGTGGTTGTGGATGAAAAATTCGGCCGTCTTCTCTTGTCCAAATTCTTCGAGCGGATCGGCCCATAATATGTCGCACATGAGTCCCTGGGTTGGTGGCTCGCGGAATCGGTCAATCTGGTCTGGTTAGCAAGGTCATTGGTGAGATGGTCGCAAAACATACGCTCTTCAGATCTTCGAGGGTATGCAGCTCCGGGCTCAATCCACCGTGGATGCAGAGGAATTGCTTGTTCATCACCGCGGCGAGCGGTAACGCGCAGAATGACTTCATGCATGCCTCGTAAACATCCTCGGAGTATTTGTGCTTGCACTCGAGCTTGAACGTGAAGTAATCGGTGAGATGCCGGCATTCGTGATTCCCTCGGAGTAGCCAGAGGGTATTCGGGTACCAGATCTTTAGAGACCACAGATACAAAACACACTGACGGATTAGTTACAACGACTAGGCGTGGGGACCTGTCCCGCTTACCTCTATGCTGAAATACCCTCGATCGACATAGTCGCCCAGGAACAGGTATCGCGTATCCGCGGGGTCACCACCGACTTCGAACAGCTTCATCAAATCGTAGTACTGGCCATGGACGTCGCCGCATACAGTGATGGGCGCGTCCATCTCCAGCATATTAGGTTCTTGCTCCAGTATCTCCGTCCCCTTGTTGATGATCCATAATGCCTGCTCTTCGGTCAAGCGACCTTCGCGGTAGAAGTGCTGCTTGAGGAATTGGATGTTCGGTTTTTCCGGGTCATCGGGCGAGAAGAATTGCTCGGGCGTCGGGGGGTGGAAAGCGGGTGCTTGAACGTCTGCAAAAAAAAGGGTCAACGTCATGCCTTCTCTCACGATGCGCCGTGTTCGTGCTCATCGCATATCCCAACCGGTCTCTGATAGCCTACCTTTGCAGACGCGCTCGAGGGTGCTCACTTGCTCGCCATCTTCCATGGTATGGAGAGTGAAATCGATCTCGGGCGCCGGCTTCTTATTGTGGACGGCGCGCAGAGCGGTGTCAATGTATTGACTCTGATCGAAGTTCTTGTTATTCGGATCCATCTCGGGCGATTATTTGCGAGTGTCGAGTGAGTGTCGGGGAATTTCCAGTTTAGAGAAGGCTGTTCTGCCTGTGAGGACAGAAGAATCGCGAACGGCGAATGTGGCGATTTCGGCTGTCGTGATCTCACGGATCGCTTGGCGGGGTGAAAAAGGCGAGGGACAATGACGATCCAACGATAGTTGAAGACAATGATCAGCGTCGCGAGGTTCCTGGGTACTTGCAGGAGTATGGGGTTTTCAAGGAGAGAGAGGCTCGACACCGGTCAAAGATGGAGGGAGGTTGAGGTATCCGGGCGAGGGGTAAGAATAGACTGGAGTGCGGTCTGGTATTGGGAGGCTAGGCTACCACTAAACGGGTGAGAGCAGAGATACTCGACGTTAAAGCCCCTGACAAACTCGTTTGAGATGCTTAATGTAATTCTTTGGATATTCGACCATGTATATGCTGTGTTGTCTATCGCGCAAGTCTTAGGCATCAGATGAATCGTGGGGTTTCTGGAGCTGAAAGAGCGATCTGATTTTGCAATTTTGGATCCGCTCCCCCAAGCTTTCGCCTGTCATAGAGGATGTGCCCACACCATCACACGTGTGATTACCTACCTCAGTAGCTACCTTACCTAGTTAATAATACGACATGAACCTTACGAGCGTTGCGGTGCTGCCTATTGGAGCCTCAATTCCGACCCCAACTCAGGGAGTTCAGCCGTCAGCCTCAAATTCTCAAGTATTCCCGGGGCATTATAGAATCCCTATCCACTTTAAGGTCGGATCCAGGGACTGCAGTATCGAGTGACTGGAGAATAGAGATCCCATGGACTATTCGTCGGAACTCTGTTGTGGAGCTTAGAATGTGGGTTAGTGCATCGTGGTACCAGTAACCAGGAACAGGAAGTTCCATTGCGGAGTATGGCTGAATGGCGAATGATAATGACGGGTAATTTAGAAGTTAGACCGAATTTATCTTGCATAATAATCAGTAATGATCCTATCGTTCTCAATGGTACAAACAGGGGGCCAATGGTTATTTATATCTGCTCCGTATATTCTGATGATAAGCTCGGTGGAGTGGACATTTGACATGAGGGGACTTGGAGCTACCAATTGATCTCCCCACCGAAGACGGTATTTCTCAAGGACGGAATAAGGTTGCGCAGTTGGACATTTTGGCCGTACTAATGGCCTTCTTCGATGAAATAGTTATGTCATACTCGTAAGTTCCTGCAAGTAATCCGCGGGTATTATCAGAACAAACATTTCGACCGATCGGTAACAAGAGTTCGCGAGTGTCAGCGAAAATGTGGACGAGATAGTGATGTTGGCTTTCTGTTCGCCAAGGAACAGCCGAATCAGGGGCAGAACTTGATGGAGTTTTAGATCTACTATCTTCGATGTCTCGATGGTGTGGAAAAAGAGGAAGCCAGGCTGCTGAAGGAGTTGGATAAGGCTCGGGAGAAGTCGGACGAGGAAGCTAGAAGTTCCTCCATTCCTGGGCGAAGTTAGAATCTCAAAGACGCAGATTATAGGGCTCATGGCTCTAGAACTTGAGCCTGAGATTTGTCATGACACGAAATGGATGTTATCGGACTGCCTATGCAAGTGAACTGTTCAGCATGAGTGTATTGCCTCACTAACAGTATGGGGAAAGCTTCCATGGGCCGCATATGGGGCAATCGATAGATTGGCATTCTTGATCACTTGTGTCAAGTGACTGGTCAAACTGATTCTGAGGTAGTAATAGTAGATACGGGCCTAACTAGACTACTGGAGGAGTACCTAATAAGTAATAACGGACCCCAGAGAGGGAGTTTAATGTTTATGATTTCATGTTAACTAGTTATCAGTTGGTTGAGCTTACCATAGTAACTAAGTTAACTTAGTAGTAAGTTAGTTGGTCAAACTTCAGATTAAGCTTTGGAGCGGGCACAGGAAGTGGGGCTACCTACCCCAGAATTGAACTGAAGAAATATCACAGCATTTGAGCTGAGCTCAAAAATTGGCCGAACTTCGCAATCCACCATCTCTCCCTCCCAACAATTGCCTTCCACAACATCATCCTATTGTATTTATCAAGGTATATACTATCTTGGAAACGATCCAATTGTCTCGTCTTTAACCATCACACTACTTCTTGCTACAAGAACATCGCCGTTTAGCTTGTCACTTCCCCTCATCAACCCAGGATGGATATCGACCAACCCCAACCAACCGTATTTTACGAAGAGCTTAGTGAGCTTGAACATGAATTCGATGTCGCAGATCTCGAGATAAGTAAGATAACACTCTGTCCATATCCCACCCACACTCTGTCCCTAACCACCCTCGCCAGTTCGCAAGCAATGGGAGCTCAACGCGCCCCTATACGCCAAGCGCGAAGCCCTCATCTCCAAGATCCCCAACTTCTGGGCCCTCGTCTTCGAGCAATCGCCCCCCGAATTCGACCAGTTCATCCAGCCCTCCGACTCCGAACTCTTCGCCGACTGCCTCCGCTCTCTCGCCGTCGACCGCTTCGAGCTTGCCGACTCCCCCCGCAGCATCAGCGTCAAGTTCACCTTCGCCCCGAACCAGTGGTTCGACGATGAGGTGCTTGAGAAGAAGTTCTGGTTCCGCCGCGCTCGCGACGGATGGACCGGCCTCGTCTCCGAACCCGTTAAGATCCACTGGAAGAAAGGGAAGGACCTTACCAAGGGGCTGACGGACGCTGCGGCGCAGGTGTTCGAGCGCGAGCGCAACCTGCTGGGCTCCTCGAACGGGGCGGGCGACGCGCCGCGCGAACCGTCGGCGGACTACGTGACGCTCGCGAAGAAACTGGAGTCAAACGAGGATGGAATCGGGAGCTTCTTCACGTTCTTCGGGTTCGTGTCGGAGAAGCAGTACGTGAGCGCGGAGGAGTCGGCGGCGGCGAATCGGGCGGAGGATGACCGGAGGAAGGCGAGGAAGGAGGAGGGGAAGGGCGAGGAGGAGCCGGAGGAGGATCTGGAGGATACGCGGCAGGATGTGGAGATTTGCCCGCATGGAGGCGACATCGCGGCCCTCCTTGCCGAGGATATCTGGGCGAATGCGGTCAAGTACTTCAGTAAGTGCCATTGAATCCGAGTGAATTACCGCGAAACCGGTTTAACGCTCGCCACAGCTTCAGCGCAGGAAATGGACGACGAAGAGCTGTCGGATATGGAATTCGAGGAGGGAGATTGGGACGTGAGCGACGAAGAAATCGACATTCGCGCGTTGGTCAAGGGCAAAAGGAAGGAGAAGAACGGCACTCCCGAGAGCGGCCCTCCTTCGAAGACCCAGAAGAGATAATCCCTCGTTCTACCATTACCGCGATACCCTTTTCTTAGAATAAATGTCGGGAATACCAGTCGTGGATGATGAAACTTAAGAGTTCTAGAAGCTGTAATGTTGGGGATCTTGGCCACTGGACAAGGATCCAAGTATTACAGGTACTTTCCACAATGGTGGCTTCGCAATAGGAGTTCAAAAGCATGAGGTACTTAGTTTCAGAAATCGATCCATTCTCTTTGGGCCATGACAATCGCTTTAGTCGTTGGAGGGTGAGTCCAAGGATCCGTTTCTAAAGACACTACAGGTACGGTATGTTCCTCCTAATGTCAAACCTCAAAATCATGCATGCTTTTCTCAACAAATGCATCAAATATTCCGTCGGGTTCACCTACGCCAGTCCTCGTCCCGCCGAGCACTAGGTATTACATTAAATCTTACCCGAAGACAATTGATCGCATAGCATCAGTTTGCAGCGCGTTGAAACAAGAGAATTACCTATCCAACTGGGGAGGCTAGAAGCGGCTGACATCTGGGGCAGTGCTGCAGTCGGTGAGTCTTCTATCGTCTTCTTCGTCTTCATCTTCATCTCCTAAAAGTTTCTTGCAATGACAATAACACGGTACTGGTATCTGTTAGAATAGTGTAAAGCTGCCTCCAAAAGGTAAACTTCCAATCCCCAAATCGAATGGATACCATCCCTTCCACTCCACCACCCTGTCTCGTCGATGATAGGCGCTCCATCGTAGAGATCATAGTCAAGTATTTTGTCGTCCATCTCACCACCATTGCCGCGTTCGCCCATTCTCCGTCAAGAGGCCGTGGTCGGATGGAAACTGGTCTACTACGTCCTTGCGCCCGGGCATTTCTCTTTCAGCATATCGCGGGCCTTGCTGCCATCGTTGCCATCGCGCTCTACAATGCTTTTCTACCCCGACATCAGCGAACCGATGTCTGGGAAGTGGTGCATTGCCTATTTGGGATCGTGGACGATGATTCCCATGACGACCGACATGCCGACGATGGTCAACGGTTCTGGAAACGATTCGGAGAGCCGCTGCTGGCAATCGGCTTCTTGACGCAATGCTCGAGTAGCGTCTATCTGTATTCGCGTCGGCTCGCGTTCGCCCCCGACTCGTTGACGATTGCGGATCAGAAAGTGTTTGAGCTCGCGAGCAGCGGGCTTTTTGCGGGTTTTACGTGGCTGGCGTTGAAGGCCAACTTGAAGCCGTTCTCAGGAGCCGTACCCTGGAGGTTCCTGGACTGGACGCATGAATTTTAGGCAGGCATCACAGACAGTATCCTGCGCCTACACCATCGTCGGTTCTGACGAAACTGGAAGTCCTGGTCTGTTTGGCTCGTGACATGAGCATCGTATCACGGCTCCAATATCAAATTGGCCCCTACTCCGCCTTCCACATGATGTCCTTCATGAATCATCTGTTCGTTACTCTGATATTGGCCTCCGCAACAGACCAGATCACCTATCTCGGATGGACCGAAAAGGCATATTGGTCATCATTGGCTACCTCTTACTTGCTGCACTTGTGTTCTACGTACTTTTCATATTCTGTTTGTTCGTCCCAATGACCGCTTTGGCTGAGTACCAAGGGCAAGTTAAGAACAACGGCACTAGGACGTACGACAAGTCCCAGCAGCATCAAATTCGACCCGGCGATCAGCCAAAGTCTTACTTTTGGTACTTTGGAAACATTCTCAAATCCCTGTTTCCCAGGCACTCGCCCTTTTACATCACTCTGACCGTCGTGAATGCGTTGGCACTTGCAGCTTCGGGGATATATGCCGGAGACTTCTAATCGTCGGGACTCAGCTTCGAGAATTAGCATCGTGGCCGGAGAATACGACCTGTCCATTGCTCTGGAGCGATAAAGCTGCAAATTGGGTATGGGCATTAGCATGAATCGAAGTCGTCAATATCTTCTTATCCAAACCATCAGCGAGCCAAGAATTGATTGAGCATGCTGCCTCGCGGACGTCCCTAAACTTCGTGACCTTTGCGCAGTCAATGTGTGAATTCTGTATACATGATTCAGCAGGTATTTGATATTTCCCATTTGATGAGAATCGTAGGATGCGAATAGAAGAATCAATCGGGAAATTAACAAATGTTGATGGACGTCAGTGTGACCAGTGGCGACCCACAGGGGGGAATCGCCTCTATCCGCTCGACTTCCATAAGGCCGAACACGAACACCATCAACTACGTTTAACCTCTTCACCACGCGCAGCATTCAACGAAATATTTCGTGCGAGTCGGCATTCCCACCACCTGCTCAATTATATATCATGAATTGGTGAATCTCTTTAAACATGTGAATAGAGAGTATTGCAGTTTTTTATTCCGCTCCAAACGCTTCTAATGGCGTCGAAACCATGCCAAAACCTGCTGCTCAGCAGCCGGTTCAGTCGACCAAGCTCCGTCTTGTCTCATAGACAGCCTATACGGTTGACGTCTCGATGTCCACGCCGATACTACTCCGATGGCTCCGACGAGAAACCGGATTTCAAGGGTCAATTGTACGAGAGCACCGCTCTCCGCGTCAAGAGAGAAAAGGCGCAACAACAGCGTCATGCGGAGATGCGCGTGCAGCAAGCGTCTGAGAAAGCCGCAACCTCCCCATGGCAGTACGGGCTCCTAATTACGTTATGTACGTACCGACCGAAAACCCTCAAATGCCACCCCTTGCTCCAGAATATTTGCTAATTCCTGTGATAGTCACCCTCGCCGGCCTCGGTTTTGGGTATAACTATGGCAGCACCTCCAATCCTCCGAACTCCGACTCCTCGACCTTACCGCTCTCCGAAACGCGCCCTCCTGATTTGAATACTGATGCCACCTCCCTCCAAGCGGCCTGGGCTGAGATACGCAGCATCGTCGGCCCCGAACACATCTCCACCGACCATGACGACATCATAGCCCATGCCGGCTCGTACTGGTCTTCGCACAAACCCGAGGACCCCAATGCCGACAATCCGTTCATGATCGTGCGTCCAGCGTCCACCGAAGAAGTCTCCGCGATCATGAAGGTCTGCCATGCGCGTCGTATTCCGGTCACCGCATACTCCGGCGGCACGTCGTTGGAAGGACACTTCGCCGCGACGCGGGGCGGCGTCACGGTGGACTTCATCCGTATGGACAAAATCCTAGCGTTGAATAAGGAGGATTTGGACGTGGTGGTGCAACCGGCCGTGGGCTGGGAAGCGCTGAATGACGTTATCGGAGACGACGGATTAATGTTCCCACCCGATCCCGGTCCAGGCGCCATGATAGGCGGGATGGTCGGGACGGGGTGTTCGGGCACCAACGCATATAGATATGGAACTATGAGGGAATGGGTCTTAAGCTTGACCGTCGTCCTGGCCGACGGCACCATCGTGAAGACGAGGCAACGCCCACGGAAGAGCTCGGCCGGCTACGATCTGACCAAGCTTTTTATTGGAAGCGAAGGAACGCTGGGTCTGGTTACCGAAGCAACGTTGAAGTTGACCGTCAAGCCACAGAACACCAGCGTCGCTGTCTGCAGTTTCGGAAGCGTGCGACAAGCTGCCGACTGCGTGTTCAGCGTGGTCGGTGCGGGCGTTCCCATTGCTGCGATCGAGATCCTCGACGACGAGCAGATGAAGTGTATAAACGACGCCGGAATGACGTCGAGGCAGTGGAAAGAGGCGCCGACGCTGTTCTTCAAGTTTGCGGGAACGTCATCCTCGGTCAAAGAGCATATCGCTATCGTACAGAAATTGGCGAAATCGACCGGCAGCAAGTCATTCGAGTTCGCCAAGAATGACGATGAGGCGAATGAGCTTTGGAGTGCAAGAAAGGAGGCTTTGTGGAGTGTGGTAGCAAAGAAGCGAAGCCTGGACGATCGAGTGTGGACGACGGACGTTGCGGTCCCGATCAGCAAACTAGCGACGATCATCGAAGAGACCAAGGACGACATGAAGGCGAGTGAGATCCTTGGGACAATCGTTGGACATGTGGGAGATGGGAATTTCCACGGTAAGTTACACATTCATTTAGAAGGCGTTAGACACCAGAAGTTAGACCGAACGGTATCGCTACCTCGAACGCCGTCATGTGCTCATGAAGTATATGGGAGAATACATTAACCCCGTAGCCCATTACCCTCTCACCGCCACTGCCTCGCCTCAATCGGTGTACATACTGACGCGCTCCAGCTATCCTCATATATAATGCCAAAGAACAACAGGCCGTCTCCGGCCTCGTCCACCGAATGGTCAAGCGGGCTATCGAGCTCGAAGGGACTGCCACAGGCGAGCACGGCGTGGGTCTCGTCAAGCGAGACTACCTCAACCACGAGCTCGGGGAGACGACGGTCGATTTGATGCGGAAGGTACGTGGATTTCGAGTTTGTCATCGGTGGTGCGCGCGCCGAACTTGCAGGTTGCTCGACCGCCGTCCGTAGCGAGGGTGGGATCCGCGGACGCGGAGAAGCGGGCACCTGCAGGGTCGAGGAGAATGATGCTGTGGTTCGAATCCGGGGGAGAGACATGTGCTGACGACGTGGTTTTTTGCAGTTGAAACGTTCGTTCGATCCGCTCTGCTTGCTGAACTGCGATAAGATCGTGCGATCGCAGCCGTTGAAGAAGGGGGAGGTGGAGGATTGGTAGAAGGATAGGGCTTGAGGAGTGGTAGCCATGGACGCCTCCATTTTGTATAAATGATCACGGTAGTCCGTAGATATGGTAGATATGCCGTATTGCGGTAGGAGATTCTCCGTAGCGGCACACCAGTTGACAGCGAACAAGAAGTGATTATAAAGATTGAGACTGACGATGATGGCTCAATCATCAACCTAAAGAACCAATCTCTACCTTACATTTCAGCGGACATGCTCATCTTTATTATACTGGACATGTATCAGGATTCGAGATCTGACACTCGACCTTGTACCTCTAGCTCGAGTCAACCCGCACCCCACACTAAACGTCCGATGTGATCGAAACATGAACATGAACATCCGTCACCCTAGCATCCAATCAGCCCATTGATTTATTCTCCATCATCGGATTCTCCCAAATATAGCCGCTCCCATGCATCGAACGTCACATCACCCAACCCGGCGTCCAGCTCCAAGGCCTACAGGAAGACAGAACTACATGACTGAGACTCCCTCTACCTGTCAAGGGAAATAGTACCCGCATGCGTGAAGAGCGAGTCACATCTCTCGTCACGGCGGCTACATCGAGGCGTAAGGCTGCGGCTTGGCCTCCCAAGGGCCCCCTTCCGCCCCTCACGCCGTTTCGCACCTCATCCAACATGCAAACTCAATCATTCCCGACCGCATTACAGGCCAATCTTTCTCTCGCGTGCCTGAGGAGCTGAATCATGAAGCACTTTCGCTCCGACGATACAGTAAGCTGGTCCGCCTCGCATAAGAACGGTCCGCTCACCGTCAAACCAAGCGTCGCGGCCTCGCGCCGGGTTGATGAAATATTGGAGGTTGGTCGGACGAGTGTGGTGGCAGGTTTGGCGTATGCGCGAGGTAGAATGGCGGGCATGGGGGTCGCAATCCCCCGTCCAGAGGCTCCTTTGAGTCCGAAGTGTCAAAGCGCGAAAGCCTCAATGAACATGAAGGACTGTGGCTGTGGTTGGGCGATTCTGAAACGGCTGCGCCTTGACATTGATGTTGGGAGTTCATGCGAACGAGTTTTGAGTAGGCGTCTTGAGCGCCAATCAATCTCAGGCTATTGTGATGCGAGCGAGCATCGACTGCATTGATGGCATTGTTTATTCCTTGCAGAGCTCGTTTTCAGACCTCAGGCTTCATCAATAATCAGCTATTATCTTGACAGAAAAGACGAGGGTCAGAATGGAAATACGAGTCGCGTTGAGCCGAGGGGGTCGTCTTTGGGGTCGGACCGTCGGGGGGTCCACAAGATGTGATCGACCATCGGGCGCTTAGGATCCGGCCAATCAAACCGGAATTCCTCTTCAAGGCAACCCCATGCATCATCATTATCATTATCATCATCAACTCAACTTCCCAGCAGAACTTTTCAGTCAACAAAGGAAGAGCCAAATGAAATCGTAACCTCACTTTCAATCTGAACAGATCAAAATAATTCCAGCTGACAGATGACGAGACTCACTATACGATTTGCTCTATTGTCCATCACAGAATTGAAGCGGCAAACACTCTTGCAAAGGTCATCATCATTAAACTCTTCAATCTGGTTCCTCATAGGTACCAGCACATGATTAACATAGTGCTCTCGCAATATAATATCATGATATCTGTGTTCATTACCTGTTTGATTCCCGGGTTTCCTTTAACTCAGTCTACAAACTGCGTACTCCGTACTTCAAACCTGGAATCGTCCTTTGTCCTCCTCGATCTGCGCCGTTCAGTCCCACCCCGATCACGGGTTTTTCGACTAAACCAGTCCTGGGATGGATCTTCTCTCTGTCTTACTTGGTCGAGATGTGTCCAAAGCCATTCTATATTATGAAGTCAAGTATCGCGTCCGAAGCCTATAGCCAGCCAAAGACAATCCAGGAGTACGCGCTCATATCAACAATCCATGGAGTGTTCGGCTTGGATGCGGAACCGATTGCGCAAGTTATATGAAAGTCTAAACTAGCAATTGAGTCGCTTTTATTTCGAGTCAGTATTCAATTCATATGTCATGTTCTTCATCCCCTGTCTATCAATGCTGGATGATTTTTCCGGCCCGGCGGGTTGAACATCTGGTGGCCTCATAGGCCGGCGCTAAGAGGACCAATCCCAGGGCGGATCCGAGTTGGTCCCCACCAGCCCCGCAGGTCCGATATCAAATCCAGCTGGAATAATGTTGAATGTGCAAAGCCGTTAAGGAAGGCGTGGTGGTCTTTGCTCCTTTGCCATGTTCCAGAAGGTGCCATGTGTATGTTCGGCTGACGTCGGTGAGGTTATGATGCCTCAGTTTACTGTTTCCAGACCGGATGTTACACAGACAGCGTCGCTCAGTATCATGTTGTCCTTTTGAAAGAGTGGATACTTATCCTAAAGGCTATGTTAAAGCCTACGGACTTCAATGAGCGACTGAATACTCGGTGCACCGAATCTGTCTGAGACCTATCTATTATCCACCAAGATCAGTTATCTACAAGACATCCTGACCGGAGTCCTGAAGCAGTGATCTGTCAAATCGTCTTGCTGGTGTCGGACCAGCTCGTTGACAGGTCTATCGCACACTGCACGTAACCGCCGAATATGGTGATAGAAGCAAGCAGATGACCTTTGTGCAGGACACCATCTTAGTCAACCATCTTCATGGTGAAAAGCACCGATTGGGTCACTGAAGTCGTCATCGTCAACATCGAGCAGGTCTACGATCGGGGGACCTGGAAGGGCGGCCGGGAGGAGCCTGAGCAACCAGCAGGGGTGTTAGCCATTGCTGCCCGGGAAACACAAGCTCCGTGCCCTACTCCGGCGAAGACTGCGGGCAAATTTTCCTTGTTGATAGGCTTGGACGTATAAGCATAGAAGCGGGGCAAACAAGAGGGGTCTGATGGAGGAGAAGAAGGCCGAAATGGAAGGACGGCCATATTGCGATTTACGACAATCAGAAGCCATGCAGTGTGATACGCAAGTGCGGGACCTGCCATCACATTGCCAATACACCAGGGCCACCCCAGCGATCAGCTGTGGGCCGGGGGTTAGGGGATCCCTCATTGGGCGGGTGTTTCCCGGTGATCCTGGCTCCACATGCATGTCGCCCACAACTCTCCCATCTCGCTCCATTTCCACCCACGAATCATCCTCTCTAACCGCCCAACTCCTCAACATCCCTTCAACATTACTCTCCGCCATGGATGCACAGAAGCATCGCACAATGCACCACCGTGGAGGTGTGCATGGGACTCTGGACTACGATGGAGACCATGTTGTCGTAATCCTGCTTCGTTGAATCGTTACACTGCGACTGCATTTAAGTATCCCCCGATCCACCACCTTTGGATCGTTTCCCTTCTTTTCCCTTCAGCAAGCATCCTCAACTCCCAGAGTGTTTTTTGGTTTCCGTTTTTGTCCTTTCTTCTTCAATTGTCCTTGTTCATCGTCAGAGCCTGGTGCTCTTCAGTTCAGTTGCCCCATTGCATTTGTCCATACTTCTACCATTATAATTTGAATCTCCGCCTAATATTCACACCCTCTCACCCAAAGCAACTATACAATCTTTAATTCTTCGTCGCTGGTCGACAATACGGCGCTAATTAATTCACTCTTCTTGCTCAATCGAATCGTTTCAATCTCTTCAACGAATCGAGCCTGTCTTGCGGTTGATCTGCGACCCTCAGCAATTATTTTGACTAATTCCACTCGATATAATACGATCACCACCGGAATCCAAGGTTTAATAATATCTATACCACGATGTCTTCGTCGATCCAGATGGATTTCACTCTTCGCACGTCCACGAACGTGAAGACCGTTCATTTGCTTGGCTCTTGGGACAACTACCAAGGCCAGCTTCCGCTTTCGAAAGATTCCAGGAAGAAAGGTGGCTGGAAGGGAGCATTCAGGTTCCAGGGAGCGACTCTTGCGCCTGGCCATCGATACTGGTACTACGTATGTGCTTCTTGTCGACGGAATTGACTCATCAATCTCTAACTCTGACGCCTCAGTATATCGTCGATGGCTACCATGTCTCCCATGATCCTGCCAAGGACTCCACCATCGAGCCTACAACTGGCCGTCAACTCAATATCCTCGATGTCCCCGCATCGACATACGCCAAGCCATCCTCCAGCTCCCGCCATTCCAAGCGCCATTCCCGGCCTATGTCCATCGACATCCCCAAAGGCCGGGCCGTCTCGCCCAGCAAGATCCGCTCGCCGCACCCCGTCAAACCCAACCAGACCCGCCACATCGTCCAAGCCGACTACAACACGCTTGAGCACCTGTCGCAGCAATTCAGCCACGCGACGCTGGATTCCTCCGATGACGAAAGCTCCGACGAGGACAGCGATGTGCCGTCTCTGACCAGCAGCCGCAGCAGCGCCTCCAGCAGCCCTAGCTCGCTGAGTAGCACCAGCAGCTGCTGTACGTGCGAGCGATACGGTATCACGCGCGGCGGCGACCGGGTCAAGTTGGACTGCGGTGGAACCCGGTGCGGGAGCGAAGGTGGGAGTAGCTGCTCGAGTGACAGCGAGGACGAGTATCGGCGGGGAACGACTCGGCGCAACGGGATGGTCGTGTACGACTAAACGAGCGCATCCCAGTTGCAGTGTTCTGTCTCCCTATTTCCTTCCTGGAGTCTTCGCCCGCGCGGCGTCTACCACATCGCCTCGCGCCGCAGTGGCGCAGGCTGACGCTCATTATTCGTGTTGTGGACCAACCCTCACTCCTTGCGAAGAGCACAAATATGTTTGATTCCATATGTTTCGACGATAGTTTCCTGACGAATCGTCCTACCTTGCGATTACCTGGACTTCGACTCATCGTCACTCGGCACCCCCTTTCCTCGAAAGGAGGCGCCGACATCGATGATGGGCCGTTCGCACATCCAGGGCGTTCCTCACTTCCCCTGGTGGGAGGAACATGGAACGTCGGTGGTGGTTGAGGTGAAGAAAGATATGATTGCACGATCATAGATGGGAAGGTCAAGCAGCGCAGGCTTGACGTGGCAATTGGGCATCGTCGACTTGCTGTTCGACGGCATGAGCAGCCAGGCATACGGCGATGCAATTTTATCAAGGCATCTTGGGACGCGAGCCAGTCTGGCACGACCAGTCTCGGGGAGGGGGGATGGATGGGCTGGTGCTCTAAATGTTTAGGCAGATAGAGCAGCAAATGACAATTGGAGGCCTATCATTTCAAGATTCATATCTTCGGTGCACGTGATGATTGGAAATGTGTCCCGTGGAACCTGAAAATCCCCTAGAAGCATAGGATGGTATCCTGCGTTTATTCTGCTAATAAATCATGTTCGTCTTTCTTGAGAAGGAATGCTATCCAAACTCCGAAGGGTAACGAAATAACGTCTTATCCACCGAGTCATTACAACATGATCCGCGGTCGATCTTGGGCTCCTAACAAGGGACCGGAACGGGAATTTGGCAGCGAGGTCATTTAAACCCCCAATTTATTTCCAGCATCGGACGCAGACAGATAGCGGTATGTCTTACGCCCTTCCGAGTGATAACTCTGATAATTACCATCCTAATACCCACGAGGACCTCAGCCCCCGGGATTGGTTTATGGGATCTATTATTCGCCAGCATATAGAAGGAGTGAAAATTTTGAAGCAATGGATTGGTGGTTTGAGATTCCTTCTGGCGATACTTTTCTTTGCTAAAGGCTAACTTATGTACATGAATCGTTCAAAAGCCAAGGTCCGGCCTATGGCCCTTACGGTTTCAGTTCAAATGGGAATGACCTGGATACCTTCCAAGCCCTTCTTCTCCACTTGCCACCCTGCTTGTTGAGCACCGTTACCAGTGAACCATTCTGCTGCTTGTGCATCACCTCGCAACAGCCACTTCAACCAGTTGGTGCCTGAGACAGCGAATTTACCACCGTCAGTCTCTCTCCAGTTTGCCATGTGGCCAACATCGAGGTTGCCCTTCCATGACGGAATGTTACTGGGTAGATTTTTGTAATCACGCTCGCCCTAACGATGGATTAGCATGGACTGCGAGCTGCGGAGACCGGGCAACAATGCTTACGTTCTCGTACGCGATATCCGATCAACCACCAAGGAAGTAGAAGACGGGCTGTTTCAGTGTCGCGATTGTTTCCCGAGATGCCGAGTCGCTGAACTCTCCGGAGTTGAAGATCCCTATGGCCTTGACACGAGCATCGGTCGCGGTCTCGTACGCCTCCAGACCACCGCAGCTCTGTCCTGCAGCAGCAATGCGGCTTGCGTCCACATTAGCATGTTTGCCCTTGCCGGCGTTCTGAGTGATAAAGTCGATCGATTGGAACAGCAATTTCGAAGTGGTCTGGCCCGAGCCACCTGGCTCGCCATTGGCAATGACGATGAAACCGTGAGAGGCCCACTCTGTCAGTGCCTGATCGAAGGAAGTACCGTCGGACAGGCAAGCTCCATTCCCCCAAACGAGTACAGGGAGCTTCAGATCTGCGGGAATCTCCTTGGGAAGATAGATGGTGTGGCCAGTTAGGCCTGGGTCAGTTGAGTAGCCCTGGATAGTTTAGTTGTTTTACTATGCCCTGGGCTCGAAGGATACTCACCGCTGGATAGGGACCACTGCCGCCAGTGCTCGGTCATCCGCTACTCCCGCCCAGTCCACCAAGTCCCCCAAGCTGAGGGGCGGCTTCGGTCGCCGCAGCCAAAAGACTGAGAAGGAGGGTCACAGACTGCATTTTGGAATGAATGGAAGAAGTGAAATCACAGAAGCGTGGGCTCTGATAGTTCAATTGGTCTATCGAGACTGTGACTAGAAGAACGGAGGAGGCGCAATCCTCGCTGGGAAGGTCCTCTTATATATCATATTTGATTCCGGAATGACAACAAGCATGCAAGAGTCTCTCTGAGCCTATACTTGTGACTTTAGGATTGCATTCATTTTAGTTAAAGTTCTTGGCGACCATCTTCGACGTCCTTGACGTCTTCCATATGGCTCTACGATGTGGAGAAGATATCTTGTGTCTGGTGATTTTACGTCAAATTAACAAGGATTTTGGTCTGGAAACCCTAATTGTGAGCTAGGCGAGCGGAATTCGATTCGGAAGAGGTTGTCCGCGAACCAGGTCTTGGGCGATCTGAGAAACAGTGTTTGGTTATGGAGAACATTATGGCAGAGGAGCAAGGGAGGATCGTCGTACCAAAAATGCGAGTATAAGACAGGGCATGTCGTTCCGAGATTGCCCTGAAACTCACAATTGTCGCTTTGATTGGAGGTTGGGCCAAGAGGGGTCATGTTCGCTGACAGCAGTATTGCCATACATGGTGTACGAGATATATTGCCAAGATGGGACTGAGTTTAGTAGAATTGGGAGATGTAAACATAGCCCAGATTGGTGTTCCTACAATGCGGAATTGTGGAGACACAGTGACCACAGAGGTTAGGAACAGGCTATGGACTGGAGCAGAGGATTTTCTTCTGGCTTTAATTCTAAGGCAAATATAAGAAAGAAAACCAGCTGTCGTGTAATTTGCATGGGAACCATTATACGACATAGGAGCTAGCGAAAGCGCCGAGGGAGGCGTAGAGGCGGGGAAGGCGTTCTTACAGATGGTCATCGACGTGGTGTCGAAACGGGCATTCCACATAGCTATCAAAGGGATAATTAGGTGGGCAATTGAGGAACCTCAAACTCAACCGACCATCACACTTCCAATTGAATCCCTCTCATTCAACTCAAACCCAATTGAATCCCAATCAACAATTCGCGTTTCTCTCGCACGTAAAGTCAGCAAAGCACCGCATACCTAGCCCGGGGAGTCATCACCCGACATTTTCGGTGTGCTTGGCTCGCCACCAATCTAACCATGTAATAGTCTGTAGCAGCCCGGGATCGGTTCCCGATACAGTAATACACATCGTCCGAACCACATCGCGCCCACTTCAATTCCCATGTTTATGTCCCGGTTCACGATCTAGGTTACTTCACTCACACCGATCGGGAAAAGCGGTCCAGTTGGCTCCTGAGTCATGAAATCTAGGATTCCAAGCCCCGGAAAGACGGGTTCCTTCGGTACGCCAGTAGCCGAAGTCGTCGGACTTTATCCGATGGGCTCCACTGGCGAGAAAAGTTTTGCGGTTGGAGTTGACGGATGCGGTTGAATAATATGACGCATAAGTAAATTCGGTATTGTTGGCGGCGCTAATGGGGTTTGGGCATGTGGAGGGGACGAAGGGGAAGACGGATACTGGTGCGTAGTGCCCATCTCCCAGGTCATGATGTAAGGAATTAGGAGTTGGGGACTTGGACGATCAGGTCTTTTGACGCAGTCCTGCATCGGTTTGCGGCACCTGCTTGCATTATTAATCCGATAGAAGCTCAGCCGTCTGGGGCATGATTTCGTTGATATCAGGTTCAGACCTATTTGGCTACACTGGCTTACAAACATTGATGGCAGGAGGTCCCAAGTTACAAACTTGAAATTTGAAAGCCGGTGTCCTGAAATAGGTAGCTCTGGTCCCTGGCTAAGCTGATTTATGACCATTTAACAGGGGAATCGTCGTATAAATCTTCACTGGGAGCGCCAATGGATGCGATGCCCAACAGCAATCAATGCCGCATGGAAAACGGCGTCAATCATGAGGAACTCCTTGTTCGGACATGGTCTCTGGAAGCATAGATCACTTTCAAACACCAATTACGTGCTTCGACAATTGCGTCAATTAATCGGAAAGCAATAGACATTCCCCATCCATAGGACGTATTGAAGCAAGGCCTGAATGACCATCCTGCTTCGTAATCGAAAACTCCACCCTGCCTTACTGTGACTGCCGACTGGATGCGCGTGGTAGGGCGCATGTCGGTTGCTTGACAAGTTGACAATCTCCCCAATGGCGATCGACGGTCGAACACCACGACTAAATGGCAAGCTTTGCCAGCCTTGTCAATTGTCATGGTTAATGGTCCCCACTGGCACGCTCTAACTGAATGCATTCAGACGCGCGAGTGGGAACAGGGCCGATCATCGGTGTCCACTGGCGGCATGGTTGTTGGTCTCATTGTGACTCAATGCGATATATTTCCTCTCAGGGTAAGGAGAAGATGCAGAAGGGTCTGCTGCCAATTAGAATATAAGACTCTTCGGACCCCGTCCTTTTGTTTTTGAATTGAAGCATTTATTATGAGATTGTCCATTGTTCTCTATCGTTACTCCAGCATTTCTATCTCCGCGTCTACTTGCTATCCACATTTGTGCCCAGAGTATCAGATACATCATACATCTATCACACAGCAGTCTGGTTGCTACCCCGCAGATCTCGGGAATTCTAGTCAACATTCTTAGGGCACCATATCATCACCTTTATCGATTGCATCGCAATCCCAACGTCGGTTCCTCCCCCTCCATTGCCTAGAGTTGGGTGGGCTGCCCAGAACGGTCCTCACCCAGCTGCTTGCGGATCACTCGTGAGGAGCTGCTTGGCTCTGTCCGTTTTATGACATATTTATCCAGTCATTTGTAAAAGTCCAACAATGTCTTCCTCTTCATATTCAGTCATGTCCCGCGAGGCGCTTGACCTCAAAGTCCGCAATATGACTTTGCTATCGAAACCGATCATCGAGATCTACCTGAAAGACACCTCCCGATCCGTTCATGGAACTTATGTCAGGTCGTTCTCCACCCTTGATAAGATCGAGGGCGAAGTACGTATCACGGCCAAAAATGACACTCGTTTCGACGAGATCAACATCACCTTTGAAGGTACGTACCTAACTTCGCAAATTCCCAGTTTCCCCTCTCTTTATCCGGCGCACCCGGGGATGTCATCTGCTGCCCTGCGCCTCTGCTGGGCAGGAGCATGATATTGGCTGCCTACTTCTGTCGCTTCCTGGGCATTCTGCATGTCGGCGTGTTTGGCATATCAATACGTCGTTCAATCGCGTCACAATACCCCGCTAACACTGCACCACAGGGGTCGCATTTACCTTTGTCGACAATATGAGCCCTATCACCACTGGTGCCACGCGAGTGGAGAAATACAGAAGATTCCTATTTCTCCGGCAACCAATCGACTACAGCACTCAAGTACCACAGCCGCGCATCATAGCCGCAGGCGCCACAGTGACGATTCCTTTCATGTTCGTTGTGCCGCAGAAGTTACCCCTTTCCTCGTGCACGCATAAGGTTGCGAACGACCATGTCAAACTCGCGCACCTGCAAGTTCCCCCCAGCCTTGGCGACCCGGAGACATCAGGCTTCGGTGGGAGGCTCCTTGACGATTCTGCGCCGGATATGGCGAGGATCCAGTATGTGCTGAGGGTCCGTCTCTCGCGCAACCGCGATTCGGATGGCTCGGAGAATATGCTGGCGCAAAAATCAAAGAAGGTCCGCATCAAGCCGGCCGTGGACGAAGCACCACCGGTCGACGCTGATAACGACCCCGACTACATCCTTCGTTGCGAGAAGGGACTGCGTAAGTTCAGTAAGGGCAGGCTCGGTCGATTGATCATCGAGGCCGAACAGCCGCAGAGCTTCCGACTGCCCGCTTCCCCAATTGAGGACGCAGGTAGACCTGTTACGACCAAGGCGCGGGCCATACTTCGATTCGACCCGGCCTCGCCGAACGAGCAGCCGCCAAGATTGGGAAGCTTGTCAGCATTGCTGAGAGCGCACACCTTTTTCGCAGCGACCCCGAGGAACGACTTCTCGAGCAAGTCGATAATGCCATATGACATGTCGCAGGGACACTTCGACCGCGGCTTCAACATCTTCAATCACTGCATGGGTGGCGCCCAATGGGAACGGCACGACCCTTCCCCTTCGGACTGCAGTCGAAGCGGTTCGCACGACTCGACCAATACTCGACGAACTTCCTCTGGCTCCATCCCCGTCCCAGCTCCCTCATCCGAAAAGCCACCCAAACCAGGCTGCCCCTTCTACACCGCCGTGTTCCTCATCCCGCTCACCCTGCCAACCTCCCGCAGCTTCCCGCCCACCTTCCACAGTTGCCTCATCTCCCGCATATACACGCTGTCCCTCGACCTGACGCTTCACGGCGTCAGCATGATGAACCCGAAACTGCATCTGCGGCTGCCGGTGCAGGTCTCGGACGAAGGGAGCAAGGACACCATCGAGGAGCGGAGGCGGAGCGAGGTGGAAGAGCAGGAGCGCTGGGAGGGCGCGTTTGCGGCGGCGGATGAGTATTTCGCGCCGAGGCGGATCGGGCAGCCGGAGACCGAGCTGCCGGAGCAGAGAAGGGATGGGTTGCCGGGGTATGATGCGGATATTGGGGTGCGGGGAGGGGGAGGGGCGGCTAGGGGCTTAGTGAGGGCGGTTGGGTGAATGGATGAAGATGCTTCGAGGGATGATGGGATGCTGCTTCAACACTTTGGATTTGGGATCGGTTCCCTCCGTGTGGTTCTCGAGTATGATTTCGGTTCTCTGCGGACTTGTGAAGCCTGACTGTTGGCGTTTGAGTAAGGAAACCCTGGATCGAAAACAAATGATACCCAAGCTGTTGGTCGGATATGAAACCATCCAATGGACAAATGTTTGGAGGATTTAGGGAATGTATATCACTATAATTCAGTAATTAATGACAGACTTATATCCATCGGCCAGATGACCCCTCGACTCTTTTCAACATTCAGTGGTCGTGGAGGCATACATGCGGTTGGTAATGCGCCAGCGTTCATTGACGTTCGTCCAAGTCCGACACAGCGCAACCTATTAACCTATCCATCCTGTGGGGGAAAGGCCACAAAGGGCCTCTAGGGTACCTCACCTTCATCATAATTTCTGTATTTGAATTGCCGAATCTTGAGTCGTCCACACAAGAGCAACTTCCAAGGAACGAAAGAAGGGGATCAAGCGGAATGATCACGTGAGATATAGGTAATATGAATTGCCTAAGTTACCTAATCAAGCAATAATAGCCCGCCGTCCCGCCCCACTTCTACGACTTGAGAAAATAATAGCGCAGGGGTTTGAACCACCTCCTTTTACCAATGGGATTCTCGTGTTACACCTCGTATTCCGCAATTCCCTTCAATCCCAACCTTGAATTTGGATGTCGAGGATTCGCTCACCGTCGACTACAAATTCGCCTGCCTGTTCCAATATTAGACTGGCCAGATCGGCTTTCAACACCTCCCGATGATGCGGCAACAGGACAATCTTCTAGGAGATGGTGCTTCTGGTCAGGCTGATTTCTGCTTGTCAGCATACTAATCATTAATTATCTATCTTTAACGACATTTTCTGTATAAGAAGCTTCTGCCTTGTTCTAATTAGGTCTCCAGCCCAAGTAGTTGAGGTGCTGAGCCCTTGATCGCGTCGTATGGCCGGTTTGTATTACTAGTAGGTATCGCGTCCACAAGGTTTGGACATTGAAGTCACTACATGATGCTTTCCTATCTCTTACCAAATCACACTCTGTATAACACGCGCATTGGCAATTGGTCAGTAAAGTCGATCAAATATTAGCTTTGAGGACCCCTGGAAGTCTTCATTTCCAGGCCTGTTCAAGTGTTTATGTTTAGCATGCAAGATATGCGCCACGGCATCAGAAGTGATGGTTACGTCCATGATTAGACGCACTTGCCCACTTCCCGCCGATGCAATTTGTCGAGACTGGGGATTTTGCCAATGGAAACGCCCAATGGTCAAGGCTGACCAGTCAAGGCTCACGCGATGTGCTCCAGCCTCTAGGCGTGCCTGAGCCCTGAGGGATTCTGTTGTTTGACCAATGGTTATTTGAATACTTTAACTGTCTGTCCGGCCCAAATTTTCCAGTCACAGGCGTTTCGGTGACATTTTTTCTGTCCCTTAAATTGATCGCCGTAGCTATCAGCGCGAGAGCTCACGGCCATCATGAAGTTCGGCGCATCGTTTACTGTTTTGCTTGCGTCAGTTGGCGCACATGCGAGTATCTTGTTTAAAAGAGCCGAGAAAGAATGCGGCGGTATCACGGCGCCTGCAAACAATGGCGGCCGCAAAATCGGGATTGTCGTGGACAGCTCCGGTAGCATGAGTTCGAACGATCGCTACGATCTCCGTATCGCTGCAGGTCGACAGCTAAACACCTACTTGATCCCGAGCAATGATGTTTCTTCGGGGACGAAGGAGGATTTGGTGACAGTCGTCGACTTTGACGATGTCGCGACGTTGCTCTATCCTCTTGGTGACCCTGACGGTGCCGATGCCACATTCAGTAGCATTGACTCCACCGGTGGAACGGACATAGCTGCAGGTGTGAGAGTGGCAATATCACAGCTGAATTCGTCGGGTCACGATCCGACCGCCGACCGTTCTGGTATCATTGTGTTGACAGACGGATCCGATACAGACACGAAAAATCTGGTTTATGCGGTCAACAATGCTACGGCTCAGGGTATCCGTGTCTCGTTCGGATTCCTAGTCCGCAATGGCTACGGCTCCCAAAATTCCAAGGTCCTTGGAGCCATCTTTAATTCCGGCGGTCAATACGCAACCATTACCGACCCTGCCGCACAACAACGATTCATCAACCTCGTCACCGCCAACGGTCTAACCAAGAATGACCCTTCCACGCTTCCCAAAGACATGCTGATGAACGGGCTCGCCGTCGCTGGGCGGGTCTCGGGAGATGGGGAAGACTTCAAAACGTACTCAGCCAAGAAAGGCGAGATTCTACGATTCGCCATCAGCTCGGTCGATGCCGGTACGATTGAAGCCCGATTGTTAGCTCCGGATGGACAAGTCGAAGACGAATCAACCGTGCGTGGCACGAGCACAAGGTTTCTGGATACTACAGCGCAGAGCAATGGGGACTTCCGCATCATCGTTAAAGCATCCAACGCTCCCCAAGATGCTATGTACCTTGTTGGCGTGAATTCGTCCGCCGTTATGGGGAATTGCACGTTTAACGACGATGAAGACGGCGGGTTGTCTGTTGGTGGGAAGGCTGGGATCGGCATTGGTGTGCCCCTCGCGGTCGGACTGCTCGCGACGGGAACGTACTTCTTGTGGAAAGGCTACCAGGGAGTTCACCCGACTGGAGCCGAGAAACCTGCCCATGGATCTATGGACGCGAGCGAAAAGGGCCCGGATGTCACCTCCTACTCAGTGGAGCAGCCTAGTCCTTTCAACGGTGATCCAAATTTACCGGCGAATCAGGCGCTAATGGGCCATGCTCCTGGAGCGGAGCAGTCTTTCACACAGCCTCAGTACCCCGAGGGGACCGATCCGCTCTCCGCCCAAGCCAGTTCCGCCCCCCAGGCACCGCTCACGGCTGACCCGTCTTCCGTGACCCATGCTGCTCAAGGCGCCGCCGATGGGCTCAATGCTTCTCAGGGTCTCGACGCCGCCAAGGCCGCCGATGCTGCTCAAGGAGCTCTTGACGGACTGCATTCTGCCCAAGCTACCCAAGGTCTCGAGGCTGCGAAAGGCGCTGAAATAGCGCATGGCGCAATTGATGGGGCGAACGCCGCTACGGGAAGCGATCCGCTCAGCAGTGGTGCGAAGGGGGCGTCTGCAATTCAGGGCACAGTGGATGGCATCAATGCCACTTCCGCCGCACAAGGCGCCGTGGACGGAGCAAAAGCCACCGCAGCAATACATGGTGCAGGGGACGGGCTCGCGTCAGGGACAGCGGCCGCGATCCATCCGAATGTGGGGGTCGGCATCGTTCCCATTCCCCCGCAGGGATATTCGGACAGAAAGGAGGGAAAATCGAAGTCCAAACTGCCGATCGTCGGGGGTATGTTGCGGAGGAAGAAGGTCAAAGACAATCGACAAGAAATCGAGCCACAGGTACTACCGCGGGACCAGCAAGGACCGGCGGAGATGAGCGGTATCGCCTGGCCGGCAGAGGTGGAGGGCCAAGGACCGGTGGAGATGAATGCGGAGGGGGATCGGACGGAGTTGGAGGAGCAGAGGCCGAGGAGAGAGATGGAGGCTGGGGAGGTGGCAGTGGAGATGGGGCACGAATCACGATAAGCCAAGCGAGCGGACATTTGATGGCTGATTTTCGAACTTGCTCTTCCTGACGTTAATGATCAGGTCCGAGTCTATAACTAGCTTGATACCCCAGGTAATTCCAAGACCTGACTGAATACCGGTCGTTGTTGTTGCCAGTTGACCCGAGTGGTGAGGCTCCCCACCTCCCAGCTAGTCCTCTCCAAATCTTCAACCATCGGAGTCTCTTCCTCATTGTATTATCAATCGATTATCGATCTGACGCAGTATTTCAGCATCATCCACAAGGTAGAGGCAACGGTATTGCCGGATCTTGTAACCGCCCAGGATCAGTCAGCATCAGGATCTCGCAAGTCGCACCGATCCAAGTCCGACGTTTGCCTTAGGTGGCAACGCCAAGATCCACTCCTCCCTTGGCTGTGGACCGCGCATTCCGCTCGCCACGCGCCAACAGTGCGGCCAACGGTAAATTTTACTGCGGTAAATATATTACCGCGAATTTTACCGTCCGAGCTTGACGGTAAACTTGGCATCGTTCATGCTTCTACGGATTAGAATGGCACTGTACAACATACTCTTCTTTAATATTAAAACTCCTTAAATAAGATGCCTTGAACCTTCCAATCCTTCAAGCATTCGACCGCCTCTACTGCTTCCATACTGATGCTAGCACGATCCCAACTAATCGTACGACGGCCGCCTGAAAACACTCTCTCTGGCTTGTCACTCATCGCAGGAATTGACAGGATCTCAAAGGCAAACCGTGAAAGTTGTGGAAATCGTAGTTGCTGCACTTCCTGGGCCCACCATTGAAGTGGTGTAAGTGGCTGAATGTTATACGAGGGTGATTCAGCACAATAGGAATCGTACTCATCCTGGCTTTGTGGACGACCTCTTTCACGGCGCTTTTGGCGAAGCTTTTGAAGACTCGAGAGCTCCTCAACTGGCTCGGCTGAAGATATATTCTCGTTCGATGTCTGTTCGTGCGATGGGAGGGAGGAAGGTGGTAGGTTTTTCCGAAACCTCTCCCAGAGCTGTTTAACCTTCCAATTCATTTGTTCGTCCTCTGTTGAGAGCCACTCTCCTGATTCATCCTTTTGCCAGGTCGTACGCCGTTCTGGATGAAGAATTCTTGCTGCCGCGTAATACGGAGATAGGCGAAGTCTCTCCACGTAAGTCAAGAATTTGGCATATGAACGCTGAACTCGGATATGGTGGAGCTTAAAGTTCTTATTTATCTATAAAAGCTTTAGTATAGATTAAACGAAAGGACGTACGACTTACGAGATATTCATCAAAATGATCATGTAAAAGATCCATACTTTCCAGCACCCGACCAAGCGTTGGCTCATTTCCTTGCATCTCAAGGGTAGCATTCTCAAAGGGTTCAAGAAAACTGGCGATCATACGAAGCTGAATCCAGTCATCCATAGAAAGAACATCAATTTTATCAATTGTTCCCTCTTTAAGATGCTTTTCAATGTATTGCTGAACACTGATCTTGATCTTCTCTTCTAGAGAAACCTTCAACATAGTATACCAACTATTCCATCTCGTACGATTGTCCATTGGAATCAACCTCTGAGCAGCCTTCTTAAACTCCTGTGTTCGAATTGCGGACGAACGAATGTGCGAAACAATATTATGAAGCTTGCCCAAAACACCAAGTTTATTGCGGATAAAGTTGCCTCTATCCTTTTCACCTCTTTCACTCAGCTCTGTATCCTCAGAATCTTGTTGATCGTACGATTCCAGAACAGCTTCCTCATCGCTTTGAAAGAAAAAAGCCTGAACAACAAGATTAAGGATATGTCCTTGGCAGCGAATTCTTTGCTGTGTAGGATGCCAATCAATTCGTTTCTCTTCCGCGAGGAATTGAGAGATCGACCGACATAGCGTATCATTCGTCCCAGAATTGTCGCCGATAACAGTGCCAATTTTCTCTAGGATACCGTATTCTTCAAGAATAGGTTGAAGTGTATTCCATTGAGTTTCTCCACTATGGCCATAGGTCGGACGAAGAGCAAGAAGGATATTCCAAAACTGGTCGTTTATATCAACAAATGTTCCGCAGACTGCAAGTAAAAGATATCTGTTCGGAGAGGTCCAGATATCTACAGCAAGATGGATGCTTGTTTTGGCAGATTGGAGAGCTTTTCGTACGATATCCTTTGCTTCGGGGAGAGAATCTTGGATCTTCTTTGAAATAGTAGTGTGAGAACTCGGAATGAAAGGTATTGACTCTGGATTCAATGCCGCGCAGAAGGTCCGAAATTCAGGCCATTCTCCAATCCTGAACGGAAGCTTTCGTACGATAATAAGGTCCAAAAGTGTTTGATTGATCATCTTTTCGTTGATTGTTCGCTTGAGGACCTCCTGATTTAGGTTCTCAGCCGCATTCTCTGACATGAGCCTCGAGTATAGCGTGGAAATTGAATCCTGCGTATTCTTTGTACGAGCTTGTACGGATGAAGCAGAATCAATGTCATGTTTGCTCTTTAAGTGGGACCGAAGACCACTTGTTGAAGATGATTTGCTTGGGCAATATCTACAATAGTAGATAATATTGCCATTTTGATCACGCTCAGGCTCATAAGGCTCTTTTGTACGAGTATGCTCATGAATTGGAGAGGATTTCTTTCGGCGGATTGGGAGAGTAGAACCTAGAGATTCCGTCTCAAGAGTATCAATACTCTGATCTAGAATAGATTGCTCGAATTCTGAGGCCATTATTCATGTTTAAATGTCTGTCTTCGAGTTGTATTCTAAGTTGTGCGGAATGCCAAGCTTTTACTGTGAATTACCGCGGTAACGGTAAAATTACCGCAGTAAAAGGCTGGTGAGATTTTCCCCCCCGTTTTGAGATTTCCCCCCCTTCAGAAGTACCAAAACCGCCGCTTTGGAAATTTACAAGGCAATATAGCCACACTTTCAACATTATTTTTAAATTCAAAACTTAGATAGAGTTCTTTAGGACTCCCTCTTGCTCCTAGACTCCGAAATTTAATCCTAATAAGTTGTGGTGTTACGTGATTTAGGATTAAAGTTATGGCAGTTTTTTCATACAACTCACCAACTTCAGCACAAAATTAAACCACAACGCAGGGGGTATTTAGAGATCTAAAATAGTAGGCTCAGTTACCCAGGCTTTAGTATTTTTCTTAGCATTTAAAAATTATATTACTTCGAAGCTGGTGTTGAGCTGTTTGGCGTTGAAGTTGAAATGTGGTGATTTTGGTACTTCTGAGGGGGAAAATCTCAAAAACGGGGGGGAAAATCTCACCAGCCGCAGTAAAATATTACCGTACCGTTTTACTGTGGGCAGTGGGCTTACCGTTGGCCACACTGCGGCGCCAAGCTGCGGCCAGGCTCACGTGCTGCTTCGACCCCGGTTCCGCTCCTATACTAACACCTAGTCACCTACTAGTCACTGCGGCCTCCTCCACCTTCGTTTCTTATCCCCACATCAGCAGAGATGGACTGACTAGACAAGAGATGGAGTAAATATTTCATGCACTGTTGATATCCGCTGATATGGAGTACCTGCAGACTGGAGTCTCTTCGCGGCCTTAATGCACGCTCTTACTCCAGGTATATGAAAGGCCCCCATCATATATTCTTCCAACCCCCTATCTCCGACGAATCGGCCTTGACGGTTGATTGTGCTCGGTATTACATGGCCAAGAGGATTCCCAAGAGCCTCAGCCCTTGGCCCTCGGAGCGAATGCGGGCGAAGTTGTTGCGTCATAGCGTCTGATGGTTCTTAATCTGAAAAATCAAAAACTGCATGTAGGAGGAAATAGGAATCTTATCAGGCTATCACGCAAGACCTCTGTGCTACAGGTAGCCATCAAGCTCGCCCATAGGTCGAGCTTGCCTGTTTGCGTTTCCGTCCCTTCCGGTGGAACTCCCCATATGTCTGCCGAACCTTCTTGCCAAGCCTTGTCGTCCATCAACGACCTTTCCCCTCCACTTGCTCTTGCTACGCCATCTAGAAGCTCTAAAGGCGTTCTTACAGCTACGAGCCAACGCCTTACCAGGGAAAGCTCTTTCACATTGATCCAATGACGTGATTGTATGGTAATGGACAAGTTCATGCCTGGACTGGCGATTCACAACGACATTATGCCGAATATTCCGTGCAAACGGCAGTCTCTAACTAGACATACATTCACCGCGACAGTGACAATCGCCGCTGTATGCCAACTCGCCAAGGATGATGCTGGAGCAGAGTCTGGGACCTTGACCGGGATGGTTCTTGTTCTCCAAGGAGGACAAGAATTCTAAGGCCTTGACACTCCTTGTAGACCGGGTCCACGTGAGAGAGAAAGTGGGGATGGGGAAGGATGGAGTGATAATTGTGGTTCTTTGTTGTGGAGGAAACCAAACATTCTTGTAATTAAGGTACAAGGTGACACACGTTTTTGCTGAGGAATACCTAGATGTCGGAACGGCTTGGCATACTGCACAAACCGCGCCTCAAGTCACTCAAGTGCCCTCAACACCTTGCTTCGGGAGGCGAATTTCATCCTTGTGGGGCAATTGAGACTCAGAGACATGTCTCTGGGGATATTATAAGTATCTAGTACCCCCCGCCAAGATTGGGTTCATGTCGTCTCTCAAACTGCCAATTGACCATTACTCTCACTCACTCTCACTCACTCTCACTCACTCTGAACCAAACAATCCAAAGTTAATCATCTTGAGGTGGTGATTTCACATTCCTCCCATGAAACCAGTGATCAACGTCATAACCAACCAACCATTACCTACAGCAAAACGCAAGTTTTATTTCCTTCGATCGTGAGCTTTGATGGCTCCGAAGGGTTCCCCCAGCACCCAGCCAGAATATGGCAAACATCCTTTCCAATTGACCGTGGAGGAGCTCTCCGAGGAGCTCCACACCAATATCGAAAGCGGCTTGTCTGCGGAAGAGATTCGCAATGCCCAGGAGAAGTATGGAGAGAACAAGCTCAAGGGGGAAGAGGGCGTGAAGTGGTACAAAATCCTATCCAAACAGATTTCCAATGCCATGGTTCTTGTGAGTATGAGCACCCCCGAATGAGAAATCAAGACTAAAATCATGTCTTAGGTTCTTATCCTTGCAATGGCTCTATCGTACGGTGTTTCTGATTACATCGAAGGCGGTGTCATTACCGCCGTGATATTGCTCAATGTCGGCATCGGCTTCTATCAAGAGTACAACGCGGAAAAGAAGATGGACTCTCTGCGTGCCTTGTCTTCCCCAACGGCAAACGTAATCCGCAATGGCACCGCCGACCACATCCCTTCGCCAGGCGTCGTTCCTGGTGATATCGTCGTTCTCAAGACTGGCGACACCATCCCCGCGGACCTGAGACTCTTCGATGTCATGAACCTCGAATGCGACGAAAAGATCTTGACTGGCGAAGCGATGCCAGTCGTGAAGGAGGTGGACACCGACTACGCTGACCAGAACGAGCTCGAAATTGGCATCGGTGACCGCCTGAACATGGCATATGCATCGGCCACGGTGACAAAGGGACGAGGAAGTGGGATTGTCGTTTTCACGGCCATGAAGACTGAGATCGGAAAGATCGCGGAATCCATGCATGGCAAGGAACGGAAAGAGAATAGATCCCTGTCCAGAAAGAAGTATGGTCCACTCCAACCCGCGAAGGGCGCGTTTCTCCGGTCCTGGGATGGTGTTGGTGCCTTCTTGGGTCTGACCGAAGGCACCCCCCTTCAAATCAAGCTATCCAAGCTGGCATACATCCTGCTCTTCTTCGCTCTTCTTCTTGCTCTCATCGTCTTCGCGGTCAACCGATTCAACGTCACCAAGGAGGTCGCCATTTACGCAATTTCAACCGGTATTGCGATGATCCCCGAGTCCCTTGTGGCGGTGCTCACCATTACATTCGTGGGCGGCATGGTATCGATGAGGGACAAGAACGTCCTGACACGGAAACTGGCTGCTCTGGAGGCTCTTGGTGGTACGACAAACATCTGCAGTGACAAAACGGGGACGATTACCCAAGGGTCAATGATCACACGAAAGGCTTTCATCCCCGGAAACGGTGTGTACACAGTGAGCGGCTCGGAAGATGCCTTCGATCCCACTCAAGGCACTGTTTCACTCGGCGTGCAGAAGTCTAAGGAAGAAGCCGAAGCCGAACTCATCGCGAGACGGGAAGAGCTCGATCGATTGCGAAGTTCTGCTGCGCTCACTTTCAAAGAACCCGAGAACAAACCACAACGGAATAATCGACCGGAGGAGCCTGAGACGGAAAAGGTGCCCCTCGATGTCACGGAAAATCCGGAAATGACATCCGAGCTTGAAGCCTATCTCCATGCAGCTGCCCTCTGCAACCTGGCCACGGTGCGTAGGAACGAGAAAGAGAATAAGTGGCAGACCACCGGTGACCCAACGGAGACCGCGCTGCAAGTGTTTGCACACCGATTCGGGCAGGGAAAGAAAAGCCTTGCATCGAAAGGCTGGAAGCAGGTTGGAGAGTACCCATTTGACAGTACTGTCAAGCGTATGTCTGTCATCTACAAGACTCCCGACAAAGCCGAAACTCTAGTATTCACGAAGGGTGCCGTGGAGAGGATCTTGGACCTATGTGTATCCGTGGGGCTTGGTGAGCACAACATTGAGATGACCGAAGAAGTCAAAGACGGCATTCTTGAACAGATGACTCTTCTCGCCGAACAAGGACTCCGCGTCCTTGCTATTGCCCGGAAGAATTGGCCTACGGATAGCAAAGTCACGGATGAGATTCCACGAGACGATATCGAATGTGGACTAACTTTACTGGGACTGGCTGGAATCTACGATCCGCCACGACAGGAGACGAAAGACGCTGTCAGAGGTACGTCTACAATTATATCCACAGCAGAGAAGCACGCCTTGCTAATTTTACACAGATTGTACTCGCGCGGGGATCAAAGTCCACATGCTCACAGGGGACCATCCCTCCACGGCAGCGGCAATCGCCAAAGAAGTCGGCATCATCCCCAAAGACATGAGCCATCTGTCTGAAGCGGTCGCAGCATCGCTGGTCAAGACCGCAACCGAATTCGACGGCCTCACTGACGAAGAAATTGACAATCTCCCGTCGCTTCCGTTGGTCATTGCTCGCTGTGCTCCTCACACCAAGACACGAATGATCGCTGCCTTGCATCGACGGAAGCTGTTCGCGGCAATGACCGGAGACGGTGTAAACGATGCACCTTCTCTGCAGGCGGCGGACGTGGGCATTGCCATGGGCCTGGCTGGTAGCGACGTTGCCAAAGGCGCGAGCGATATTGTCTTAACGGACGATAACTTTTCGAGCATCGTTGGGGCGATCCAAGAGGGACGACGCATCTTCGACAACGTCCAGCGTTTCGTTCTACATCTTCTCACCAGCAACGTAGGCGAAGTTGTGCTGCTGATTTGCGGCTTGGGATTCCAAGACGAGCAAAACTTCTCGGTCTTCCCTCTGTCTCCGCTTCAGATCTTGTGGATTAACATGGTGACGTCTGGGTTCCCTGCATTCGGACTGGGGAAAGAGAAAGCCGCCTGGGACATTATGTCTCGACCTCGTAAGTTTCTTGTCACCGAATGAAAGAGCCTTTGCTGACTGTCAACAGCGCACGACAATAGAAAAGGTGTTTTCACCTGGCAGATCATCTGTGATATGATGGTCTACGGTCTCCTTATGGGGATGCTGACGCTATTCACCTTCCTCACCATCGTTTATGGTCCGGGAAACGGCAACCTTGGTATAGACTGCAATCGGTCGTACAGCGATGAATGCGACACGGTGTTCCGCGCGCGTGCTGCCGTCTTTGCGGAATTGACCTGGCTGATTCTGATCTCGGCTTGGGAGATAAAGTCGATTCGACGAAGCATGTTTCGATTGGATCCGACGAGTGAGAACCGATTCCCCTTCTTTAAGGACGTCTATGAGAACAAGTTCTTGTTCTATTCCGTTGTCCTGGGAAGCTTGGTGGTGTTCCCTTGCGTTTACATCCCCGGACTGAACACAAATGTGTTCAAGCACAAGGGTAAGCGATGCTTCCAGGTGATTCAACGATCCCCTCCGCTAACATTCATATCTAGGGATCTCATGGGAATGGGCGCTATCTGTCGGAGCGGTCTTCATCTTCGTCTTCGGCATGGAGATGTGGAAGCTCGCCAAGCGGCAGTTCGGCTGGTTCGCTGATGCGCAGGAAATGGAGCGGCTAGAGCAGGCCCACCGAGGATTGAGTCTGCGGCAAGGCTTCTTCTCCTTCTCGAAGTCCAGCACCTTCGCGAAAGAGCCATCCGGAACGGCATCAGTGAATGGAGCGACGGGCGGCCTGAACAAAGAACAATTGGGGAATTCGTCGGCGGTTTAAACCCCGAGTCGGAGCCGACATTTGCCTGTTTGAATGTCACTGGACGAACGTCTCACAGTCCACGGAGATGCTGATCAATGACGTAAGAGTACGGAATATGAGACCGGTGATGCCGACGGGACTTGGTATATGGTACATAATTCTATCTCGCATGCTCTGCTATTATGGGATATACTAGTACTGAGAGTACATATGAAGGGCTTTAAGTCTCCTGCACCATGTACGTAATGACAGAATTAGTAATTCTCAGCTTTAACTAGCTAACAAATAGCGACTCTATCGTGCGGAGGGCGCTCAGCGTGTGACGTTCGTCTATCGGAAGCGATGCCCAATCGGGAATTCGCGGGGTTGTGGCTGATGATGTGGAGTCTGGAGACGTGGAGTTCCAGACTTCCAGTCCAGCCCAGCGCGAGTACATTCTAAATCCGTCAACCATCCGGATGGACTCGAATGGAATATCACAGGTTTGCCCGTTACATCTCCTTTGTCATATTAAACACAAGCCAACCACAAGGAGTATCATCCAAAGTGTTGCCTAAGTGAATGCTTGTTGATCGCCAGCTCCGGCGGTCACCATGTGCCCCACGTTTGTACTCATCACATTCAGCGTGATAGAAACATATGAAACCCCATCATCGTTGGAAATTATCAACCACTACACCCTGGGGACTACGCATCCCGAATCTTTGGCTTTCAGTATGCTGCTACCTTTATCCTGAGAGCTCCAATGCGCGAGACTTCCACTTCCCAATCCTCTCTGTCGAGTTGGATATCCCGCAAACGTCAACGGACCTCCCGCACGCCAGATCCACAGCTCCTCTCGCGGACAACCTCCAGCATGGCGGCATTTGCAAAAGCTGCTACGACTACTGGTTCGGGCCGAATCAACCACCTGCCGACCGAGTTGCTACTGCAGATCTTCAATCACCTTCGATCCAGCTCTGCTCGGGGTAGTCTGCTGAACTGCATGTGCGTCTCTCGCCAATGGAATGAGCTATGCCTTCCGATCCTCCACAATCATGTGGTCGTCGCGATCCCGTGCCAGGCTCCCGATCGATACCACCCCCAGATGGAGACGCTTGCAGCGAGCGGAGGTCGCATCGACTGGAGTGAGCGCATCGCTTCCTTCACCGTCCTCCTCGATCCTTGCAGCGAGGCATATGCGCCTCCTCCGCCGACTTTCGCGGAGCGGGTGCGCCGGATTCCTTCGGGTGTGAAGAAAGATCACGAGGGATTCGAGCAAGCTGCGGCGGCGCTGACTCGCATGAAGAATATCACTACTCTCTCGATCAAAACGCGTTCCACAGGGGTTCAGATACCATGGTGTCCGCAGGAGGGAATCTTCAAAACCATCAGTGCGACGCCAAGTACCGTGGTGAATCTGGAGATCGACACTCTTAGCGCGGACACGCTCTCAACGCGGCACATCCATCTCTGCAATGCGTTGGCACCTCTCCTCCCTCAGCTAAAGCTGCTCCGACTGCGGATCCGGTTTCTTTGTGACGACCTCTTCTCCGCGCTGGAGGACGAACATGCCACTTCATGCCTCGAGAAGATCTCGATCCGACTTGGCTACAAATACAACTCCATCTACTACCCCCTCGTCGCCTGCACGAAGCGCTGCGGATCGGACAACAACGCACCGCCGTACGATGCTCGCATCGCCCTCGCTCGAAAATCCCGGGAATTGTACGAGGGACGAAAATTCCCAAACATCACGGCTTTTACGTTTGTCGACCGGCAAGATCTCTTCCTTGGCAATACGTTTTTACACAGTCGGGCCTTCAAAGTGTACGATGTGATCGAGAATCAAACCCTCACGATCCCCTGGCGTGCAATGCCCTCTCCTCCCGCCGGTACCGTGGGCCTTCCACGCTATTACGCGATGCGAATTCCCGAGGGGTTTCTTCGAGGGAGTCGATTGGACGACGAATTGGCCGAGGATCGAACCGAAATTATCACCAATGACTTGGAAGCGTTGGGGTCGGTGGTGGAGCGTCAAGAGTGGTACAGCGCATACGGCGAAGCTCGTCTTCCGCTTTCTGTCCTGTACCCTCGCACCTATTCCCGCGCGCTTCTCCGATTCAGCCACCCTTATTCCGGCCTTGCGGGCGATGAACCCAATCTTATTCGACCTTCTCAGTATCGCGAGTGGTTAGATACCATCACCGAGCCGATCTGGCTGCTCGAGTCGGCTACCGGAGCCAAAGTCCTTGAGTCGAGGGTAAATTATGGCTTCGAGGATACGGAGCCTGGGATGATCGAGATGCCTGAAGGGTTGCGGTATGAGTACGACGAGGAGGGCGCAACAGTGCATCTGATGTTGCAGGATGGGGTGCCCGGAATCAAAATTCAGGGCTGGTGAACGATCACGACTACTGTTATTTTCTTGACCGTTTGCACAATTGGTTTAGATAGGTGTGCTTTGTTGGACATTTACTCATCACCGCGTTCACCTTTCAGTCTTTTCAGTCTTTTCAGTCGTTGTTTATTCGGCAAGAGTACTCTTCACACCATGTCGATCATTACAGACATAGTACATTTGCGCTGATTTCATTGTGTGGAAAAGCTCGAGAAATGGTCAGGGTTGACGATGGCGTTGTATGATACCCAAGGGATGAAAGGGTACTGGATAATGCTTTTATGAAGGAGCACGGTTCTATGTACTGTTAGGTATAGAGAGCGTGCTTCAATGGGATATAAGATACGAGTAACGGCAATATGATACATGTACATTACCAAAACCAAGCCAATTCACCCAAAGATCTTGCTCAAATGCGTAGACCCATGCATATCGCTGACGCCAAACATCATGCTCTTGGATATCCCGTGCAGTTTCAACCCGCAATGACTTTCTTCGCCTGCTCCACGATCCGCTTTACTTCCTCACTCCCTTTCTTCACCACCTCGTCCATCTTTTTTCCCGCATTCCTCAAATCGTCCGGCCGAACCGACTTGTCGACCGTCCGCGCTCGGATCCTCTTCTGATGCGCACCCCGCGCTTCCCGGATGCCGTGCAGCGCGGCCTCCTCGGCTTTTTGCGCGGCATCCAATGCCTTCTGCCGTGTCTCGGCAGTTGTTGGCGGTAGCTTCACGGGAATGGTGAGGGGGTTGTCCGGGGTGGGTGATTCGGCCGCGAGGTGATGCTCGGAGGATTGCAAGGCTGTTCGAATGGCTTTGACGTACTGCGATAGTTAGCATCTGTCTAACTACGTGCGGTTCGCAGAGTAAACAGCACGTACCGACTCCTCCCCCACGATGACCTGCATATTCCGACCCCGTGGGATCACCTGAGCCAGATCTCCAAGCCGCACCACCGCCGCGCTTCCGCCCGGCTGCTTGGGCAAATGCACCTTCAGATCCTCCACCACATCCGGATTGAACCGGCCGCCTGTCCGGAGCTGCGCCAGCGCATGGCTTAGCTTTTCGATTGATGTGAGGATGGACGATTCGACGTTCGACAGGTCGTAGATCTGGTCTGTGGGTGTGAGCCCCACGGCGGGAGGTCCGGGAGGGGAGGAGTCGGATTTGGCGTGGGAGAGATTCGATTTGCCGGATTTCTTGAGGAGGGAGGGCGAGGTTGCGAACGAACGGCGGGCTAGCTGGGCTCCATAGCGGAAAGACGAAGCTTTACGGACAGCTTGCGTGATAGGGGCGCGTCGGCCGGGGAAGGATTCTTTGCAGAAGCAGCAGATTGGGCCGGAAATATTGGAGGCACGCAGCAGAGATCGCCCGGTAGGCGGCATGAAGGACATTATTGCTCCGGTTTGAGGATGGGCAAAGGGGACTTGAATTCAGTCCTGTTGTGTTTTATTTTGATGCTCGAGATGAGGATGTTTGGAGAATATTCCCATTGGCCAATGACACGACATGGACGTTGGGGATCATGGTGATCTCATTATTGCATTGCACTGCCACCAACATCATCCAATAAATACTGTATTCATCCTCCTTTCCGAATGCCATTCAAGTTTCAACCCGTGCCGCTCTGAAACGGATGAATATAGTTTAAAAGCTCGATGTTCGATATGCCATGTCGCTGTCGGCTACGCGCTATTCAAGCTAGCCCATCGACCTCGTATCCGTATATGCTATCGTCAGTCGTCACCTTGGCACTTGACTAAGCTGTGAAGCCAGCTTTACCATAATTAAAGGGGCTGAGTCCGTATTCAAACTTGAATATCTGGCGACTGGACAGGCGCCTAGGTCTATGGTAAAGATTATGAATTGGAGCGTTGGAGAATACAATGGCACGAGCAGTCCACATGGATATGGCGGTATGGACATTCAACTCATTAAGAATGGGTCGAGGGAGCGCTAACATCTCGAAGCAATCTACAACGACGGCCCCAGATAATCGGGACTTGGACCCTCCTCAATGTTCCCCCATCCTTTCCGACGCGACAACCTTGGTCTCCTCGTCCGAAGGTCGGATTGATGACGCTGCCCGGATTTCACGGTATCATATGTACCACCGGAAGCATGGCAACACCCACTATACATTGACCCCGATCATTCTCCCCCAGAAAGAAAACCTATTCCATCCTCCCAAGGCTTTCCGAAAGGATCGCAAGACCGCAGATGACCCCTCCTTAGCCGAAGACCTTCACGATCAGACCTTCTATGTGCATAAGCCGACATTGATTTTTCATCATCCCCCACGAACGCTGCGTCGTGGGTCCTCGAAGCACGCAAGTCCTGTTTGTTTGACTCGCAATTCGGGTTTCTGGCGGCGATGGACCCTGCAGTTCAGCTCCCGACTCGGTGATGAGGGTGTATTGGATCCAAGAGGGGTGGTAGCTCGGGAGGTCGATGCTGGAAAAGCGGCAGGAGAAGGGCGATTGAAGGGATATGGGGTTCGTAGGTGGAGGATTCTAGGCGAGTCGGGCAAAGAGCATTACAATAAGGCTCGCCAGTGCAGGAAAGAGGAGAAGAAATCAAAATCAAACAAGAAACAAAGGTCGCATAATATGGCTCCCAAGGACTCAGTATCGGAAGCGGACCAGATTATCGCCGATCAGGTGGTCCATTTGGATTGGACCTCCCCCTTCTCACGAGATACACGGCGGTATCACTTTCGGTATGCTGACATTGAGTTCTACTGGAAGGGTACTGGAACGGTCAGGGAGACGAAACAACTGGGATACCTGTGCAAGTTCAACCACCTGAAACTAGTTGCGCGGGTCCCTGTCTCTAGTGGTAGGTCTGACGACGAGGATAAAAGTGATAATGAACCTGGCCTGGATATGCGCGACCTCATCCTCGGGAAGTATACCTCATCCATTGCCTGTCGCAAGTCCGGCATCCTAGAACTCTATGACGGCGCGATCCTGAAGTTTCTTGAGGAGTATGTGCCGAAGGAGAGCTTGGAGGACTGGAAACATCTCGACACAGACGATGAGCTGGAAGCCATCCGGCAAACACGGCTCTACGAAGTCATTGTGGCAACAGCGATTTGCATGATAGTTGGCGAATGGCAGAAGAGACAGGCGGTCAAAAAGGTTATCGCAGCGATCGTTGGGGAGGGTGCAGGTGGTGGTGGGGATGCAGGAGGTTAAAGATCTGTGTTTGCTTGGTCATATGCATATCCTTGATAACGGCTAGAAGGTTCTGCACGACATCATCTACATATGCTATCCTACTCCGAACGGTTCAATTATATGCTTTTTATTTTCTAATTTTATGGGGAATTGTGCTGGACAATATCATGAATGTTCATTCTGGACTTGAAGAGTCGCGGGGTTGCAATATCTCAGTACAGATGTCGGAACCTACACGCAGACTACCTTGGTCATCTCACCAGCATTTGGATACTGGAAATTGGAATATTTTTCCATTTGCTATCTCAAATTTCCGAATTCCCTGTGATAATACATGCTAATTACTTCTAAGTGTATTTGCGTGATGCTGTGCAATTGAAACCCAGTTGTTAATACCCTCCCCATGATTGGACATCGTAACATCCATCAGGTGACTCTATGAGTTGATCCACTCTTGCAGACCGCTCACCACAATGAACTCCATGAACAATGCCATATCACCTCCATGAACTTTACCCTCATAAACACGCACGAACTCAAACTCAAACCATTCCCCATATCATTGCTGCTTCAACAGAGAATCCATACTCATACTGTGAGGTCTCCGTGACCACGATTTACCCTTCGTATTGTCTCGGGAACCCCTCATTGTAGGCACGCAAGCCATCAGGCCAGCTCCTGTCCCTGATCACTCGCACGCCGGCCAGCTGGAGCGTCAAGATGTCTTCGAGCTCGGTGGTCTTCGGCGAGTATCCAGTCCAGTCGAGAATGACGTACTTCAACTTCGTTAGCTCACCAAGCTGGCTTGCAATGAACCGGAGGAGCATCCCGTCGAAGATGGAGCGGTGCTCCAACCTGATGCACTTGATGGATGCGGGCACAACCTCTTCGGTGAATGAAGCAATGTCTCGTTCGGGGTTCATCATGAGAGACTCCGCAGTAGAGACAATGACTTCGAGATTCTCCAACTCGAGGAGTGAGCCGGTGGTGATAGCGGGATTTTGGATCAGCCGATCCTGATGGTATTGATCGAAAGTGAGCCACTTCAACGTCTTCTCGTGCATCTGGAGCACGCCAGAGATGTTGCCCCAACCGTATGTTTCATCGGCTAGGAACAGTTCGAAACTTTCCAGGCCTTTAAAACCATAGAGCATCTCAGGTACAGGACAGTCATATGCCGTCATAAGCTGGAGCTTGAGGTGCTTTAGATTCACCCGGGTCTCTGTTTCAGGGAACTCGAAGGAAGAGTCCGTTGTAATCGTCAAAGACACAAGAGCTTGGAATTCGTGGCCTGGCCCACACTCGAAGAGGAGGCCGAGCGTTGAAGCAATGGCCCTACCAGACAGCGACAAATGAGTCACATGGTACTGGTTGAGGGAGAACCCGGTCTCCGGCATACCCGGTGGTACAAGGAATCCACGGAAGATATCCGAGTGGGATTGAATACTGCCACTGCCGTCGTCCACGATCGGATCGTCCATGGAATCGAGATGGATCCACTTAGTCTTATGAAACAAGACACCCAGGATAGCCATCCAAATCTTCTCCCAGTCCTCGCCATCAAACTCATCGAATTTGTCGAAACGCCCCAACCGGTGGTAGAGAGCCCTGGCCAGAGGTGGATCCTTCTGTTCCAATGCCAAAACCAGATCGCGGATGTTTTGAACGGGCTCGTGCAGCCAAATATTACACCCGTGAGTTCGAAAGTTGTTAATGCTCAGGGAGTTGGTTTTGTCGATGAACTCTAGAACCTCCGGGTGATGAGCAATGAGATTAACGAAGGAGTGAATATTGCAGTCTGAGAATGGGAACCGAAGTGCTTGGTGACCAAGTGTGATATCCTCAAAGAGGTAAGGCAACCCGATGCGATGGAATACTTTTCCCACTCTCGTGAGCCTGCTAATGTCTGTAATGGAGTCCAAAAGCTTGAAGACCTCATTGATAAGCTCTTCGGGAATGTCTGCCAGTGACTTTGGTTTGCGGACAACAGGCGCTTTGGACTCCGAAGACGTTGCGTTGACCAACTGATTGTGGTCCTCGCCTCGCTTTGGGTCATAGAGTACGAGAGCCCAAGAGTGACTAGTATCAGATCCGTCATCGGATTCACCCAAAGCATCTTTGGAGCGATCAGCCACGCCGTTACCCTTGCGGTAAGCAGAAGGCACCACATTGCGTTCAACCAGCGTCTCATCGGAGTAGTTATCGTCACTCTCTTCAGGAGCCACGCAGCCCTGAGCCTTTGTGAAGGACCAGGTTGGGGAGAAGAACCCGAAAAAACTGTTGGCCCCATTGAAAGTGAGAGTTCTCCCCAATGAGACAGCAATGTGGTTAATCTCGGGCACATCCGAGCCATCCGTCAAAATAGACTCATCGGACGTGGACTCAGTTTCATCAGAGAGATCCACCAGCCTTACTCATCAGTCAGTTTGATGCCATCAAAGAGATAGCCACTTTCAACTCACTTCTTAGACGAGGGTCCTCCCGCATCAGCCGACTCATCGGAATTGGTCTCATCAATTGACCCATGGAACTCGGTCTCAAGTTCATCTATGGAATCAGCAAGCCTTGTTCACCAGTCAGTTCAATGTCATCAAAGGGACGGTCACAATCTCAACTCACTTCTTAGACGACGATTGCCCGCCGGCATCCATCTTGCTCGATTCATTAGACCTGGTCTTTGTTTCATCGACATCGACAGGCCTTACTCATCAGTCAGTTCAATCTCTCACAGGGACGAACACAATTTCAACTCACTTCTTGGATGACGAGGACCCGCTTGTATCCATCATCATGGTCTCATCATGTGAAGTGATTGCCAGTTCTATGAGGTCTACAGGCCTTTTGCATGTGTCAACTTCATAACGGCATGGAGATGGGATGATCTCAACTGACTTGATGGGCGAAGATGGCCTGGAGTCAATGGCGTTTGCCATCCTGAGAGCTAACCGTGAAGGAGTGTCAAGGAGTATCAAGGAGTGAAAGGGTGTCAAGGAGTGCCAGGTTGTCAAGGAGTGCCAGGTTATCAAGGAGTGCCAGGGTGTCAAGGAGTGCCAGGGTGTCAAGGAGTGCCTTCAAGGAAACGAAAAATGACTACGAAACGAAGTCAGGACCTTTCAAGATGCTCAGTGAATGATCTTCCTAGGTGAGATGGAAGAAAGGAAGAAGGGAAGGTGATAATTTAAGGGAAGAGGGGGATTGTGTGCCTGAATGAGGGGGCCAAAGTATGCGTCCCTTGGAGGTGAGGTCTTCAAAGGAGAATGTCAAGTCGAAACCTTCACCAACCACCAGGCAAACACCTTGGAACAGACTCGTATCGTTCACGCCGCTGCCTACGCATATTCACTACTGATTTCAATTTCTTTCACTCGCTTATGCTATCTATTATCAGCTAACATTGTGATAGACTCCTCATCCATCACTTTAGGGGCTCTGGAGGGGTAAAACGAGGGGCCAATATCAGGGGGTGGCTTCTCGCTCCATTGTTTGTGCCTTGTCGAGACTTGTCGAGCATCATCGAGTCCCAAACACTCCATCACTGCCTTAAACTGCAAGCCGCAACAATTACGTAATTGGGAGCTGGAACAATTACGTAAATCCTCAAGGACTCGACCTACTGTTGTGATAATCTCTCGGCCCAGATCGGGCATGGCGTCAGTGTTGCGAAGCTAATCATGTGACCTCGCCAAATGGAATTCAAGGCAGCGATATGTGCACGATCCTGCTCACCTGAAGATGGAGAGATAGGCAACGGGAGCGGCGGATTAGTGGTCTACACTATACTATGCGATTCTGAACAGTTGATGTTCCTGTTCACGTTTTGCTGTGCATTTCCTCACTCTTCTTTTTCTTATTCATGTTATTATTCATCGGTGCTTTGGGTTGATAGAACTATTGTCGATCAATAACGATGTCGATGTCAACGCCGAAGCCTCATATTACGCGGGGATCTTGCACGGAGACCGCACTCGCAGAGACCATATGGTACCCTGAGACTTCGAAATACTCCTTGCACAAGGGTCAGTATTAGAGGTGGACAGAAGCAGATAGATGAAACACTGCTAGCGAGTAGTTTGTCATACCAGTGAACAGAGCCCTTTCCAAGCCACATGGAGGTGGAAATCCCATTCTATTCATGGTCTAGATGTTGAAAATCACGGTACAATATACTCTTTACCAATCCAACCAGCTGCATTGCTCTATTTATAGTTTCTAGCGCATGATCTTCTACTATATAAACTCGGTGATGGACTAGAAAACAAGAATGAGACCCTTCAATTATGCCTTGAACTCTGCATCAACTGTCTCGTAGTGGTTTAGGAATCCTTCAAAAGCTTTGACTCCGAGCCCAGGGTCTTTGCTACCAGTCGTTGCGCGAATACTGTGCATTGACAGCTGCGGGATGCCGGCATCGACTGCACGCACGCCCATCGCAGAGGACAGCATGGGTCCAACGGTTCCTCCACTGCGGCTGTCATTCCGAATTTGGAAGACCTGAAGCACCGAGTCGCACTTCTCGGCACATCGTTGAAGGATCGCCGTGCTTACGGCATCTGTTGTCATATGCCCATTCGGGTCGGCTGACACAGCAAGGCCAACATTCAGCCTCGGTGCATGGTGGGGGAGATAGGCATTCAGGAAGTTCGGGTTCACGGCGTGGATGACATCGGATGAGACCAGGAAGGAGTTTGCGAATGTGCGGGAGACCAATGATGGCGTCGAGGGCGATGCGAACGAGTCGACGATGCGTGAGATGGTGGAGGGGAGAAAGTTCGAGCGAGCACCTTGGCGGAGCATCGAGCCAATTTCTTCGTCGTCAAAGAGCGCGACCAATTTGATCAGTGAAGAGGACGAGCTGGAAGAGGATGAGCTGTTGTTAATGAGAGCCTGGATGGCGGCCCAGGAGCACAGTTTGTCATCGATCCGGCCAGCGAAGATGAAGTCTTTGTTCAAGCCACCAAGAGCGGCGGGCTGTATGTCAAAAAGCTCAAGCTCCCAGTTGACTATGCTGCCATCTGCGGGGTGTTAACGTGAGGAAATCGTAATTCTATGGACGGACATACAATCGGAGATCCCCATCTCTCCAGCAATGGCTTTGACCAGAGCATGCGGTTGTGTCGAGATGAATGACCCTTCACCTCCGAGTGCGGTAGGTTTGGAGTCATTATCGTCCGTCGAGTATGGCTCGGTGGAATTGTCCAGAGCGATGATTGGCGCCATCTGCGTCTCTTGATTGAAGGGTCCATTGGCTGCAGCTCCAAAATGAGGAGCCAATGTCGGTATCCTCGCGACTACTAAGGTCAGTGCAAGAAGACAGCGGTTGAAAGGGGTGATTGCATACTGGGATAATCCAGCTTTACCAGCTTAGACACGATTTTGCCGCTCGCCTCTTTCACAAGGACTCGTCCACCGATACCCAGATCGCGATCCCACCACGTGGAATTCATGGCGCCTGCATACGGTGCGACCTGGAGGATCTCAGTCAAAAGGCGTTTTAGGCTCATTTCTAGAATCACTTACACCTAGCTGGGTATATCCAGCCTTTGATGAGAGGTTCGATACCGGCTTCACTGGACGTTAAGTAGATAATCAGCAACAACCCTCTCAAATGAGCAACTCGACATACGTTTTATACACAACGCATCAACGTGGGCAGCCAGCATCGCCACTCCATTTCCAGGCTCATAACCTTCCCCAACCTCGAAAGCGATCAGACTGCTTCCATTGCGCTCCAAGTAGTATTTCCCTCCGCGATGCAGCTTCCACTCGTCTCGCTCCGACAGCTTCGTGTACTCATTCTTCTCAAGCTGCTTCGCGGTTGCATCCACGTAATGAAAGATCGTCGGATTCTCGGTCAAAAAGTCACAGAAGGGCTTCGCATATGATTCGACGCTGCGAAGGGAGGGATTCGAGCTTCTGGTGGTCTCAGTCCTCGGCATAGTCGGGATGGGTTGTTTACTGTGGTCGGTGGGGATGATTCTCGTCATATTGTCGACAAATTCGATGGGAGGATGTGCGGAGGAAGACGAGAGATGGTGGATTTGGATTGCGGAGATAGAACAAGCTCGCTTATGACCAATTTATTGCTAAAGTATAGAGAGGAGCCTCATCACAGCCTCCTTCGGAGTCACGGTGAGGTGCTTCGTGATCATCACCACAGCTTGCGCCATGACCATCCACTATCCCATGAACGTCATAGTGCCGATAGCTGTGTTTCTAGACCTCCCGTAAGGAGCAGCCAAGCAGGTCCACCAACCTCTCCAGTTTCCAACGAGTGATGAGCAGGTAATCATTTCGATACTTTACATATATCGTAACAATTCCAAATTTGGTAGGTACTTACTGAGAAGACGTATCGTCTAGTTATATATTATACGTGTTTGGAGTACCTTGATATTCCCAGGCAGATAACTCGGCGACTCTTGGAGAATATATCGATAAAGGACCACCTACCATCCTCTAATGCCACCGATAAATAGGCAACCTTCCCAATCCAATCCTATAGTGCCTTTAATCCCGTCGTCCCCTCTTATGTGAGTTTTCCGCTTGTCCATTGCCCTTCATGTTAGAACTATAACCGTTTTTGTTTCCTGTAACATCAAAGCAAACCAACCGCCAGCCAACTGAGTATAACCAGAAATCGCCACCAATTTCCAATCGGTCTGCTCTGTCCCGCTGTGCTCGGTAAAGATGTTACTCCTAGCCCACTAATAGTTACTGTGTCAATTCCACCCGACCTTCCACTGTTGGCTCCAGTCCCAGCGATACTTGATAACCGAATTCCGCTCGCAACATATTCCCCAATGTCCGTGGTGCCAGTGATGCCAACCGCGTTTACGGTTCCGATCCCACTGACAACCAGACCGCCGGGACCCAAACTAATCGTGTTTCCATCAACCACCGCCCCTGGACCACCCATTGTCAGCGTCTGCCCACTAATGACAGCGATCCCGGCTACGCCAAAGTCGGCTTGCGTAGCTGTATAAACTCGGCCATCTGCGGCCGTAAAGATGAATCCAAAGGCCATGCCGCCAGCAGCGGCGGCGGCGCTGAGGAGAGATGCAATATTGTCTGCAGCGGCGGCCTGGCCTTCGCCACCGGGGCGGGATGGGACGGACCCAGTGCCCCCAGGGTGGAAAATAATCGTGGTTGGGGCAGCCACACCGCCACCTCCCTGTTGACTTTCATTGTTATCCGAGGGAGAGATGATAACAACGCCAGAATCTCCGCTAATGCCGGCGCTGATGATAAGACTATCGCCTGAGCCAGAACCAGAAAGGAATGTAACGGGAGCACCACCTGGTAAGATGGTAGATCCGCCGACAATGATACCCGGGCCGGAGGGGTTCGGTACGATGGTCTGGCCATTTGGGAGGAGAGTTATGGGTTCCGGATCCGATGAGTCTGCAGGTGATCCTCCGCCCGGAGAACCACTGGAAGCGCCGTTTCCTCCAGGAGAATTGGAGTCGGAACCGGTGTTGCCGCCCAAAAGACCACCGATGATCCCGCCAACACTTTCGCCGTCATTGTGAGCATTACCTCCACTGACTCCACCTTGTGGTGCCGTTGTCGGCTGCGGCAAGCTGTCACCTGGTTGTTGGCCAGGGTGTGCGGTTCCTCCATCGCCGGTTCCTCCTCCTAGATTGCTTCCTCCGCCATTCCCATCATTCCCTCGTCCCCCTTCATTATTTCCATTCCCTCCATCTCCTTCTCCGCCTCTCCCACCATCAAGGACTGTGGCAGTGGCCAATGCGAGTGGTGGATCATAAAGCCCATCGAAATCGAGCGCGCAATCCGCCCAATTCGGGTCCAATTGTCGCACCGCAGACGGGACTGCTAAGACGGGTTTATGATCATCGTAGTATAAAGTCTGGCACTGCTGGATAAAGCACTGCGTGAGTCCGTTGTACGCGCTCCAAGGCACTGGACTGTTCATATCCGCGAAGTTGAATCGGTAAGCGGTTCCATAATTAGGAAACCGCATCGAAGAGACCGAGGCGGACGGAATGGCGAGGAGATGTGAGCTGTAAATTCCCCCAATCTGACTAGAGGATCCATCGCAGTATTGTCCGGCAAGCAGGTATTGGAAGGATATATAAGCGCTATTAACGAAAAAGGTAGTGCCATTCATGACCACGCCACTTTGGCCGCCAGCAGACCCACCAGTGCGAGTTGCATCGACAACAGGGGCAGTTCCATCAGTTCCATCAACGAAAGACTCAGTGGCCACTGGGATGTCTGGGGCAGGTGTTATCACAGCAGGGTCGTCAATTGGGTTGGGAGCACACATATCGCGAGCGATAGTTGTGGGAACGGGGAAGTAGATCAACTGAACGCTTCCACCGCCGATAGTGCACTTGCCGCATTCAGTCGTGCGGATCTGGCATTGCGGATGGTTAACGGTCGAGACGCCATTGCTACTAAGCGCCACCTGCATAGCAATGCTCCAGCTGCTGACGAGGCTTGAGCAGTCTTTCGGTTGGATGCTACAAGTCGGGGAAGGCTCAAGGAAGGATTCTGTCCAGTCGCGGAACGGGCCTGTCCAGATCAGCGAGTCCCACGACCGCGTGGTGATGGCGAGAGTGTGCGTGGGAGAGTCGAGAGCATAGGTAATAGTGGCGGTACCACAGTTCGTGGTGCTCACGGGAGCGACTCGTAGAGTGGCGGCGTGGATATCAGTCGTCACAGTCGTGGATGGGATTCCCATGTAAAATTGGATTCGGGCGTTAAACCAGGACTGCTGTGCGGAATTGCATGACGAAGCATAGCTCCAGCCTAGAAAGAATCATCAGGGCATGAATTCATCTGGGTTTAGTTCGAGATTCGGCGGAATAGGGGGATATATCTGGTTCGACACTGGCCATCTTATAAACACACTATGACGGACTAATATAAAGTCCCACTTACCAGTCCCCGTTGCAAGTACGTCTTGTCCGGTTCCATTACTTGGAAATAGCCGGGTTGAGCTATTGGTAGCGCTTGAAATAGCAAAGTAGCCAGACGACCAAAAGCGTGAGATGTTTGGATACGGAGTGATCGCAGGGAGAAAGATCGGTGGCATTCTGACGGTAGAGGCTATCGAGTTACCCGCGGATGAAGAGGAGGAAGATGCTGAAGACGCTATTGAGGTCGAAACTTTTACGAAGGCGACGTTAGTTCTGGATCCCGCCTTACTGCTGGAGATCGTGAGGAGGTTCTTCCACGCACCATCCAGGTTGCCACCTTCCAGATTCTCTATCGCTGTTTTTGCGACGCCGGCCACACTCCCGGCCATGAGGAGCGATAAAATCACCCACCACAGCAGCAACAACATGGCTGAGTGAAGCAAAGAATGCCCATTTATGGTGATTGAGGAAGAAAGAGAAGAGAGTGGAACTCAGAAGCATGATTCCTCAGCTCGCGTTCGGCAAGGCATCGTAGTGCTCAAAAACGATATTCATTCAGGTTCTGAACCAGTATCACACACACTGGTGATCTCCCCCAGCCCGAGACGGGGCTAAGAGACCGAGTCTGAGCAAATTAGGTCATGTTCATGTTGGCCACCAGAAGAGGCGAATATCAGGAGGTCTAGAACATTGAAAACCCAACCAGGCGACACAGGCCTTGGAATGGGCTTCAAGAAAGACATGAAAAGTCCGAAAAGAAGGGACAGCCTAGGGTCTGCAGAATACTTCCGGAGCAAAATGGCCTATCAAACCAATTCTCCCCTGATGGTAGAAGCGAAGTTATTACACAACGCAGTGCCATCGGAGCTTGATGCGATGTTGTTGGTTTGCTCAGTGCTAAGGAGCGTTGTTTGACGTGATACTGCAGGGGATGATTACTCCGGCAAGCCGACGAGTCCATCCGAGACGCGACAGAGTACGACAAGGACAATCTCCACCAGATTCTTCGAGTGTCCTATTATCTGTCAATCATGTATGCAGCTAATCCGTCCAAACGACGACGCAGAGTCCGGGGTAGAAACTAGCCGTGCCCGGGCATCTCCTTACCTTAGACCAAAGGCACGGAGACTTGCTATTGGGTATTAAGTACGCAGATTGGTGAGATAAGGAAATCGGAAAGATAGAGACTCGAATTACATTCGGCACAACCAGATTCGATCGAGACTTCCCGCATCTTGAGCGGCACCAAAATGAGAGCAGACAAAAGAATCAAGAAACTCGGCAGATTCAGGGTCTTCGGAGTTCTGGCCTCGATCATCCCTTCGCTCCTACAAGACAGGACGACAATGCAGCCCTGTCGTGGTGCAGATGTCCTGCAGGTCTAAGGTCTTCCCCCGCATAGTATCACCACCAGTCAACCACGCTAGAATTTCGACCAGGCCAACTTAGAACCGTGTAATACCATTCGGAATGATAATGAAGATCTATCGAAATATGGATTGGACTCGGGCTCGTTCACATCGAAACTTATGAAAGTCCATTGATTAATTAAAGGATTGGCGATTCGTGTTTCATGAGAATTGAGATGGATGGATTTTCCACGGATGGTGGCGTTGGCGGAACCGCAATATCATCCGAAGAGTTGCGGTTTCCATGGCGACGGCCCAATCCGGAAATACCACGCACATCCCATACCTTTCATGCATCCACCATGCCGTCCCCTTTCTTCGTCACCGTTGGCAAAGGTATCATTTCCTTTCAATTCATCAAGAGACTCTAATCGCAATTCAGCGGCTATCTCTGCACCGCGGTCACTTATTCTTACCTAAACCAATCTTTTCCTGCATGCCCCAAACTTCATCGCTGGCATAGCTCGACATTCCGACCGATTTGTTTATGGCCCTTGCGTCACCATATTTCTATCTGGGGTGCCTGAACCCGAGCAGCGCTGCGGCGCAGAGATAATCCTAAGCATGGCGAGCGGATACCAGATGTTGGAGGAGCTGGGGAGCGGGAGCTTTGGTGTTGTGTACAAGGCAATTGAGAGAGCCACGGGGGATATGGTCGCGATAAAACATGTACGACATGTCCATGCTATGTGGAAGTATGTGAGACATGGACTGACTTTAATTCTATTAGATCGACCTCGAAGGCAGCGACGATGATATTCGCGAAATACAACAGGAGATATCGTTGCTGAGCACATGTCACAGCCAGTATGTCACTCAGTACAAGACCAGCTTCGTCCGCGGCGTCAAGCTATGGATCGTGATGGAATATCTAGGTGGAGGGTCTTGTCTAGACTTGGTACGTTCTATCAAGCCATTCTCAATCTGCATCGAGATCAATTACTGATGCCAATTCCCACGCAGCTCAAACCCGGACCCTTTAACGAAGCATACATTGCCATCGTCTGCCGCGAACTTCTCTCTGGCCTCGACTATCTCCACCAAAGCGGCAAGATCCACCGCGACATCAAAGCGGCGAATATCCTGTTATCCGATTCCGGGAAAGTCAAGATTGCGGACTTTGGCGTCGCCGCCCAGTTGACCAACATCAAGTCGCAGCGGATGACGTTTGTCGGCACGCCATTCTGGATGGCACCGGAGGTCATCCAAGAGGAGGGGTACGACATCAAGGCTGATATCTGGAGTCTAGGGATTACGGCGCTAGAGCTTGCCAATGGACAGCCGCCACATGCTGACACACATCCCATGAAGGTGCTGTTCTTGATTCCGAAGGCGGCACCTCCGAAACTGGAAGGCAACAAATGGAGTAGGGAGTTCAAAGACTTCATCAGTCAGTGTCTGGTCAAGGATCCGGATCGTCGACCTACGGCGAAGGAGCTCCTCCAGCATAAGTTCGTGCGCAGAGCCGGCAAAGTCGAAGGTCTCCGCGAATTGATTGAGCGGAACCAGGAATGGCAGGCCAAAGAGGAACGGCTCTCTCACGTCAAGTATTATGAAGAGACCATGTGAGTTCCTTCAAAACTTGATACCCTTAGCTTGTGCTAATATCAAACCAGGCGCGACTTATCACCTCGACTTGCTCAGGAAGAATGGGTCTTCGACACCGTCAAACCTGCAGCTGCGTCAAATGCACTTACGAACACCAAGCGCCGGCGAGTATCTCGTCCCGTGTCTCGCGACCAACACCCGGATTCTTCTCCCAACGCAACGGCGACGCCTGCTCGCATTCGCAAGGCAAGTGCAGGCATCACACCAGCTTATCGAAAAGTCTCTGGCACACGCGTGCCGTCTGGGCAGACGCCAACGACGCGAAGAGTGAGCAATCAGGCAAATACGAAGCTACCCTTAGGCATTGACCTTAGCTTTGGGAACTCACCGTCGACCGTGCGGCAGTTCCGGAGGGTCTCGAGTGGCCAAAAGCACGCCGACCGAAACCCAGAGTCAAAGGGGGCTGATGTGGACGGCTTCTCCTTAGATCACTTAAGAATTGAACAAGGGATGCCACCGCTAGACGAGAATATTCCTCCAAGGCGAGGCGAAGCCGGCGAAAAGAAACCGAGTGTGAAGCCTGTTAAGGAGATGTACGAGGATCCATACTCCGGTACGAACCCGTACCCCGAAGACGCCCCGTACCCTGAAATACCCTCATTTGAGCCACCGATGAATACATCACGGCGTTCATCAGTTGCGTCTGTTGTTTCGGTGCCTCAAGTACAAGCTCAAAAAACTCCCGCCCTGGAGGATTTCCAATTTCCTCAGCAACATGTTCAACTGTGGGCCGAGCACCTGCGTCCTCTTCTTCAGCGACTCTACGCTAGCTCTCCCTCACAAAGCACACGAGATGCGATCGCGACCTTTGCGGCTGGGTTCGAATTGCTGGAGCGGGAGGATCCTAGCATGCTGAGAGACTTGGTGCAAGTGGTTAGCCATGTTTCTATTGAGCAGTTGGGTAGTCCCCAATCAGCACCGCAGTCCCGATCTTCCTCCACCCAAAGCCAACGAACGACAGACCACCCGCCACGATCGCCAAGTAAACGGGCTCAGTCACAAGCCCAGAATCAGCAGCAACAGCCGTCTCCGCAACGTCGTCCGAAAAAGCATCTCTCCCGCGTTGACTCCAAACTCGAACCTTCATCCCGCCAACATGGCCCACTCGGATCTCCAGCAGGAGGTGTCACTCCCGCTCGTCTTCACGGCCCTCCTACTTCTCCTAGTAAAGCAGCACCCTCCTCTCCGACCAAAACTCGAGTCGAATCCCCTACAAAGTCTCGAGCTGACGCAAAAGCAACTCCCGCTCCATCAAGGCAATCGAGTAATGCGAAAGCCAAGGCTCAACCGCGCCTACTCCCCAACCGCCCTTCTCCCGCCCATGGTCACCGCCAGCGCCACAGTATCCAAGTCGTCGACCCCTCCGTCCTCCCTCATGGCGGCATGCCCCCACCCCCTGTACCCGGTACCCCCCGACGAGGCGGCCGCGAGAACAACGGAAATGTGACGCCTAGCCCCAGCCCTCGTAAACGCACCGCCAACCCGAAAGATGTTGAGGACGTCGTCATGGGTGGGATGAGTCCCGTCACACCCTCATCACGCAGGCGGCAAGCACATGGCGCGCACAACGATCTGCAGAGCGCTACGGGCTCCCCGGGCCATCGTCGAAGCGGCACACCCACGCCTTCGCGGTCGCCGAGTAAGGCACCGGCGAGGGCGGCGGCGGCGGCGGCGCATGCGAGGCGAGAGAGCGGATTGCGGCTGGCATCGGAGAATCCTTATCTACAGGCCCATCATGACCGGAGACGGAGCGAAGTGATTGGGGGTGAGGTGGATTGGGAGTGGGAGGCGATCCGGCCGGATAGGAAGCCAGGGTGGGTGCCCGAGATGGAGACGGGAGGAGAGGTTAAGGGGATGAGTGAGGTGGGGATGTTGCAGGACGTCCTGTATACCCGGTGGTTGGATGCGTTGAAGGAGCGCTGGGGGAAGGTTTGAGTATTGGATGAGATGTGGTGTTTTGCTTATTTTCTCAGCCATCGAAGGTTGAGGCCTGGGACAATGCCCTGGATCGCTGTCCTGTGTCATTTCAATGGCGTTCGTTTTGAAGTTTATATTCCTCTTTTTTTGCTTTCTCTCCAGCGGAACCCATATTTGCATTTCAAGCCGGCGTATATGTATAGGCATTGTCATTTCTGCTTCCGTTTCGAACCTCTCGTTTCACCACCCCGTTCGTTTGGTGGGTCTTCGATTCATGGACATAATATAGACTCCGATCAGTCTGGGTTGATTTGCACTGTTTGTTACATAGAAAGTATCATGAAAGGAGTAGCTAAGAATGGAAGTTGTGATGTACCAACTCACCCGACCTTGAAGTTTCAGTAACCGACCCCTTACCCTCTGAGGACCATCCCTCACACATCATGCTCCCAGAGCAATATTCCCCATCGCAATTTACCCACGGAGGACCTTGTATCGGCACATCAGGATCCCACTTCTCTCCATCCGTCTGACATCCACCAGCTCCAACCGTACAACATGCGCACCCATCGCTACCATCTTCACCCCATCCCTCAACATAACAGGCATGACGGCCGTCTCCATCGAATCCACCACACCAGCATCGAAGCATGGCCCAGCTAACTCGCCGCCGCCAAACAGCCAGATATCCTTCCCTAGCCTCTCTTTCAACCCCTTGACATACCCAATAAAATCATCCCTCACGATTGTGACATTTGTATGGTTTTCGCTCTGCAACTGTCTACTAACGACCACGAGGTTTTCCTTAGGAACCTTTTTCAAGGGATTCGGTTCCATTGAGAGCATCGATTCGTAGGTTTTGCGTCCGAGAATGAACGTGTCGAATTTCGCATACAACGACGTGAAATCAATATCCGGATCATCGACGATCCAAGTAGCAGAGCCGTCGTTAGGCGCGATGAAGCCGTCGAGCGAAATGGCCACGTTATACCGGAGCTGCCGCATATTTGATTTTTGGAAGCCAAATGTCTGTGTAACTCAGTCGTAGTCCCCCGCCTGGTGAGAGGATGCAGGCAAAGAACAAGCTACCGGTTGGCAAGGTCGGGGCCTTCTCTCCACGTTCACCTTCAGCGATCCGATATAAGCAGGGTCATACCACGTGATGGGGGGTCGTCACTGGTTTCATTACGAGGATAGACGCGTATCCGATATCTCCGAACAGAAGATAAATCATCCCTGGTCCTTCCATGCTACATGCTGCATGCTCCCCCTATGGATAATGAGTGGCTTGGAGACGCCGTGGGGGTTGTAAGGAACTCCGACTCTACCCTCATCACTCTCATGGGCGACGCGCCGGAACATTACCCGTGCAAAAGCCAACGCCTTCCTTAGAAACGCCAATTGATGGGTCATGGGATCGCCCGCTAACTGGGACGCCTCCACTCCTCCAGCAAAAGTACAGGGAAGAAACATGTAATAGCAGAGGAGCAACCTTCATCCATACATAGTAGATTCGGAAAGTCCTCGCGCTTCCTCATGGTGTCACAGTAATCCGACGTCGCCTTAGGAGAAAAGCAAATCACCCTGTCTCAACCTCACTCAAGCACCTTAGCAAGAATCGGCTTAGAAAGGTGTTAATATCAATTCTTCCGCTTACTTTAACGCTAGATTTTGAAGGTTTGAGGGTTCGCGTGGTCCATTAAAGCTGGACCCTATAGATCTCCTCCCGAGCCACGCTAAAGTGACCTCGCATCTCTTCCCTACTCTTCATCAAGATAGGGTTGGCGCTATCCCAAGCACACAATTGCACAGTCATGTCTCGTCATCCCAATTGCACATTTACAGCTGGACGTCTGTCCCAATGTATGGCTGGTTTTCTGCCCGCGCGTCCGACTAGGGAACAGTATTTCCAGATTCTAGAACCATTGACGTAGGGACGTAGTTGACTCATGGGCCCAGGATGTCTTTGGGTCCAGGTCCATTTCATGCAGAGCTATGGATACTGTCTCGATCTGCGGGGTTCCAAGAAGCCTTGCTTTACCTAATGGCTAACATGCTTTCAATAATTAAGCAGCAAAATTCTTACTTTCCGTGTTTTCGTTCGTTGTCTCACAGTTCTAATTCAAGTCTCTCCTTCAAGCTCAATTGGCCTCCGTTATGGCAGGATCCTCAAGTACCAAAGCGTTTCCCAGAGTGACTGAAGGGCCAGTGATCGATGAAATAACCCCACTCCTTGGGGCTGCCACGGTGCCTCAGCCAAAGGATGTGGTGTACAATGTTAGCATCCTCCTGCCTACCCAGACAACCTTGGACACTGACTGACCTGCAAAGGGGGCCGCCGATGAAGAATCACTGGAGACGGGAAGGGACGGTGAAGAAGAGAAGAAGAGCGCCTGGGATATGTTTAGCATACTCTCCGTATTATTAATTGGTATGTCTTATCTTGTAATACCTCATCGTAATTCTACTAACCAGCTTTGCCAGGAGCTTTTATGGGCCAAGTGGATGGGTGTATTATGATGGCCACCTATGGGCTGATTTCTTCAGAATTCAACCAGCTAGAGAATGCTACCTGGCTTCTGTCGAGCTATATGCTCGCAGCATGCGTCAGCCAGCCTCTGGTGAGTCTTGAAACGGACCACTTGAGTCATGTGGACTGTTCTGGTTAACAGAGTCAAGTATGGCAAGCTGAGTGATATCTTTGGCCGAAAACCGTTATTACAGATCTCCTACCTGCTTTTCACCCTTGGTTGTCTCCTCTGGTAAGTCTGACGCATTTCCTGGCAGATAAAAGGCTTATCATGGTGTGTTCTAGTGGGTTGAGTCAATCCATGGCCCAGATGATCGCCGCTCGAGCAATTCAAGGCATAGGAGGAGCAGGTATGGGAGGCCTTGTGGCTATCCTCATCTCTGGTATATTATCCTTATTCAGTTTCGACCCAACACCCGCTAACTAATCACAGATCTAGTGCCTTTACGTGATGTTGCGGTATATCGTAGCTACGTGAACGTTGTGCAGACCGTTGGCAGGTCATGTGGCGGTCCGATCGGAGGCGCTTTAATGCAGACCATAGGCTGGCGCTGGTAAGAAGTGTATTTGTGTGCCAATTGCATTGCTGACCTGCCGCGCAGGGCTTTCTTGGGTCAGGTGCCAATTATATTGATAGCAATGTGCCTCATCGAATGGAAATTAGAGTCCCCCGAACGAATCGACGATTCGTCGAAAGAGTCGTTATGGGAAAAATTCCGAAGCATTGACTTCCTCGGTGTAGCTACACTAAGTTTAACGATTCTTAGCTCCTTGCTCATCCTTGACCTGGGAGGTACGATGATCCCTTGGAATTCGCCGTTGATCCCCGTTCTGGTAACCGGAATGTTGCTCTGTGGAGGACTATTCATCGTCACTGAAAAGTATTGGGCGAAGCAGCCTATCTTCCCCCTTTCTCTTCTCACGCATTATGATGTGTTTACATCATACCTTATTTTGATGTTCCAATCTTGCTCTCAAATTGCGGTAAGATCTGTCTCGCTACATATATCGTTAGAAGACCTCGCAACTAATGTACTGAAGCTTATGTCAATCGTACCGCTATACTTCACAGTCACCCAGAACGCCTCGCCAGCTGCTGCTGGATCATACATGACCCCATCTATCATCGGTAATACAATTGGGGGGCTGGGTACAGGGGCATATATCAAACGGTAAGGCCTTTCGCTTTGTTTTAGTCCATTTTGGATTGTTCGACAACCACTCGCTCACTTGGGTTATAAAGGAGCGGTCGTTACAAGCTACCCATAATTATCTCCGGTATCAGCGCCTGCTCTTGCTTTACCATTCTCGCCACGACATGGAGAGGCAACACAAGCTTATGGGAGGCACTCCTCATCTTTCCCGCCGGCTTCTCGTCGGGCATTGGGTACTCCGCCACGTTCATTGCTATGGGTGCCGGCATTGACGAAAAGGACATGGCTATCGCCACCTCTGGATTGTATCTCAGCTCTAATGTCGGCGCCGTGGCCGGCGTGAGCCTTTCGAGCGCCCTGTTCCACAATACACTGCGTACCGATCTTAACAAGGTGTTGAAGGGCGTGGAAGGTGGAAAGGAGATCGCAAGAAAGGCATTGTCGGACATTGACTTCGTGCAAAAACTGAAAGGGAGGCTACACGCCCTGGTCATTGAAGCATATGTCTATAGTTTCAGCCGGACGTTTACATTATCGTTGGCCTTCTCTGCCTGCGCGCTTCTCGTTGGCTGGATGATTAGGGAGAAGAGAATCAAAGGGTAGAACTCATTGTGAGAGGACGTTGACAGTCTCCAGACACAAGGGAAAAAAGGAATAGAATAATATAGAAGACACAAAATTTCCTTAGATTAGCGAAGAATGAACATTTACCTTTGCTCCTAGGGTCACCGCTTCACCCCCTTTCCATTCTTGCCAAACATGAGCAGTAAGCACAACCAAACTCACATCACCGTTAATGGCAGAGCCCTCGTGCCTCAGTAATGATTGCAGAAGCAAAATAAACTCTCCAAACGCTCCACACTCACCTGCCCAGACTAGGCATGTCCGTATGTAGGATGGTTTTTGGGCCGACGTTTGGGGTGATACCATCGAGAAACCAAGAGGAAGCTATCGCGACGCGTTTAGAGATCTCAGTGAAAAGAGCTCGCCTAATCCTCGAAAGAAGCGAGCCGATGACACGGTATCTTCAATTGCATCTAAGTCCAGATGCTGAAAGGGCCTTGATATCTGAAACTGAGAGGATCATCCGCTGCTCCTTCCTGTGCGTACGGGATAGCATCCAAAGGCCCCTCACTCTCTTTGATGTACCCGAGTTCGCATTTCGTGAAGCTGACCTTCGGCTGGTCGACGTAGAAAGAGTCATACCGAGGCTGCAGACTATCGGTGAGGCTGGCAACGTTTCCCTTCGGATGCAATATTTCCCATGGGTGGGTGCATGCGCGGCCTTTGCAAGTCTTAAGCACCATCATAAGCGCGTCGAGCCGAGTGATCACCTCATGGAAAGGACGATTGCGAATACTGAAGCCCTCACGCTGCGACGCATATTCGGCCGAAAAGAGGTTCCGTAGTTCGCCTGCATCGGTCTGCCTCAAATCAGTACGAGTATATCCTGCCTAGATAGGCGAGCGAGCAAGGCACTGAACTTACCGTCAAATCATACAACTCGGCCTCATTGGTGCACCAAACAGCGTAGTAAAGATTGTATTCCCCTCCGATAACGCGGACGGCCTTGTAGGTGTTGTTCGCACCTGTTGGAATGTCATAATCCCCAGTCTCAACCAGGTCGCCATATCGTCCGTATTTTCCTTCGGGAATTGCGACACCCCAATATTCGATGGTGACATGCTCCGTCTTCGACTTCTCCTCGCCTTCGTACGTGAGCGGGATGGGGATACCGTCCGTGTTTTGCAACGTCGAACCAGCAAGGCCGACGATAGTGGAAGCAAGATCGGTGTGAGCCGTGACGACTTCGGAAATGTGACCGACTGGGACACCAGGTCCTCGAATGACTAGCGGGATGTGAACATCTGTTTCGAATCCGCATTCCTTGCCCGGATGCATCCTGTGTTGGCCGATATGGTAACCATTATCTGTGGTATAGATGATGTACGTGTTCTCAAGTTCTCCGCGGGCCTCAAGCAGCTTGACCAGCGCTTCGACCGATTCGTCTACGGCCTGTAGGGATCTCAAGCGCGCTCGCTGATATTCGTCCTGATAATCGACGACTGTATCGTTCAATCGAGGGAGCTTGGCCACCCAACTGACGCCTCCCTGATGTTCCGGATTGAAATTTTCCTCGCGCGGAATCTGATAGTCTTTAAAAAGGTGTGCATGACGCTCGGCATAATACGGCTTGTCAAATTTCAGTTTCTTGTCGAAGCTGACGTCGCCATGAGGCGCGATTGGAGCATGCACTACAAACCAAGGTTTGTCGTGTGACAAAGCCTCCTCGACGAAGGCGTATGCCTTCCCAGCTGTGACGTCAGGTGAGTACTGGCCCTCGTAGCTAACCGGAGGAGCGCCATTGCGAGTTAGTGATGCGTTGTAGTACCGGTACGTGAATGGGTCGAGGAGAAAATCCGAGCCATTGAAGCCTCTAGCGTACGGGGCATCGTAGTTCTCGACAGTATGGGCGTTCCAGAGCTTGCCGGTGTAGTAGGTGTTATAGCCTGCGTTCTGAAGCCAGACCGGAAGGTAGTCATCATTGATCCCCTCGCGGACAATCTTTGGGTAGCCACCATAGGGAGGGTGAACGTCCGTGACGTTGGTGTTATGGGCTGCCCGTCCGGTCCAGATGTTCACCCGCGATGGGCAGCAGATGGCGACGGTACAATAATGCCGCGAGTAGAGTGTCCCTTCGTTAACGAGGTGCTTCTGCAGGAGAGGCATATGCTGTAGGGATTGCATATGCCAATCTTGGTCGTCGGTCAGAATGAACAAGATATTTGGCTGTTTTGCAGCCAGCGTGCTGTGGCAGAGCCATGACAAGGCAGCGAGCAGGATTTTGAGATGCATTTTGACTCGGAACGCTCAAAAACTTGGAACCAAGCAGAACGAAAGCAAGACAATGGTTCTCAACTACAGGGAAATCAAGACGAATATAGCCGTAATATGGCTGAGGATTTCAACACCATGGGATTGCAACACCCATTCCCTGAAATGCAATGGGACGCGCCGTCTCCAAATACCTTGCTATTTTGCAATCCCATCTTGTCCATGCACAGATGTTTAGCGCTCGACTTAATTGATAGTGCCATGACGAAATCTGGGGAGTTCGATTCCGTCAAGACGCTCTCGGATGATGTGATACGTACATGCTCAGGTAGAGAGAGTGGGATGTTATCTCAGTTGGGACTCAGGCGGCAATGGTGCCCCCTGGCCATTATGGGGCTCCGCTATACCCAATGAAGCCCAGCCTCTTCTTTAGCACACGCCACTAAATATTGACCAATCATGCGCCTTGAAGGCAGAGGGCACCACTGCCGTCTGAGAGACTCCTGCATAGTTTGTGTGGATGTGTCGAGTATCAAATCATGATATAGGTGAGGGAACTCCCATCGCTAAGTGTGCTTGATCCGGAAAGGCTATCGCTAATCTGTTTTCAGAAATTGATCGTACGCGTTGACTTCTACATTTCATCAAG